TTTCTTTTTTAATTTATGAAATTTATGAAAGCTTGGAATTTTTTTCACCTGATGCTTACAAGGGAGGTCATTTTACTCGGAACTACACATTTTTTCGAAATTTTGCTGAAACACTTTTTGATCTGCTATGAGAATATCTTGAAAGTTGCAACTTGCAAGAATTCTTAATTTTCGAGAAAAGACACCTTAAAGGTTGCTCGAATGGGTCCTATTCAAGAAAAATGAATTCAAAACGTTTTTTTGTACAGAAAAATGAACTCTTTTTAAGGCTTGAGGATGAATTTTTAGAAAAATCTGAGATCACATCGAATTACCTTTGAGTTGCAGGTGAATAGAGGTCAATGTACATCTTTTTCACCTGGTTGCCCTTTCTTTCTTCCCCTTTTCCGTGGAATGAAATTACTGGAAATATGAATTTGCCTGAAAATTATATATATCAGAGCGAAAAATTTGAAGAAAAAAAATGGAATAGGCAGGATAGAACCTTCCTGTGAATTATTTCCGAATGATCAGAAAGATCTACTTTTAAAAAAAGTGCCAGAAAGCTTGACTTCAGGGACTAGTACTTTGCTTTCTTTTTTCAGCTAAAAAATCTATTTCTGCAACTTTCTCCGTTAACTGCTTCTCGTGTCCAACAAAGGATCCATCATGCGGCGGGGTTCAAAGACGAGTTAGAGACGTTTCAAAGATCCATTCGCGCCTCTTCAAGGAGAAGAGGTTCTGGAATACGAAGTCATATCAGGCGACTCCCTATCTAGCGAAACGTCGTCCCAAAATATTCATTTTTCCAGGAAGTACGTTACGTGTGTAGTTCCCTTTTCATTGGCTTCGTTGACACCTCCAAATGCGATTATTTTTTTGCACTTCCAGGATAACTTTTTTTTTTCCAACGTATTAAGAATTTTGTGCTCTTCAATGTAGTGAATGTTGATCCCAGAGATTTTTTTTTTTTGAGAGGTCATTCTTTTGAAAATTCGAATTTTTCTATCGCATTGAAGACTAGTATTGGATGAAATTTTCGGCCTCCTCTAAATTTTAAAATTTAAAATTTTCTTCATAGTTTTTTTTTAACTTTTTTTTTTCAAACTTGGGACGATTTCGGGATAAACCCAGGACTTCTGAATGTTGACCTGGGAGTTTTTTTTAGCCTTGGACCGTAATGATTATTTTCAAGTTTAATTTGAATATGACCGTTTTCACCTGTTCATTTTCTTCCTTATCGCTTTCTCAGTTATCATAAAAATCCGTCCAGTTCTCAGAAAGCCATGAAGCGAAAACAAAAAAGTTCAATGGCACTTTCACAAATTCAATCAGACTCGATTACTGTAATTTCTCTGGCTTCGTCAAGGGCATGAGAATATTTCCAAGTTCATATCCAGACTAATCTTGTTGGAAAAATATTCAATAACATAAGCTTCGATCGTTTTTCACCCATTTTCGGGAAGCTTTTTCAAAATTATCAAAAATCAAAGTGATAAAGTATGTTCGTCTTAAAAGAACAAAGACCACGCAAGAAAAAATTTCTTAAGCGTTCTTTTCTTTCCTTCGTCAGTGATGAATAGACTAAAACGGAAAAACCATTCTGGTACTAATGAAGCGGAAAAGAAGAAGTACATACATTATTGCCTTAGTTTATCTTCTTCTGACAAAACTTTTCTCCATCTTAGAAGAGATCCCGACAAATATTATGTTCGCCGGCGGAAAAGAAACGAAATTAAAAAGTTTGTTATGACCGAATCTGCTTGAATATACGTCATTCTTTTCTTGGAAACGTTTGAATGTGAGACAGTTAGGTGGATTTCAGAAGTTTTTTTTTTCAAAAAAAATTTAAAATGATATCACTGGAAAATCGGATGAAAGCAGGTGATTTTTCGTGTTTTCCAGCTGCAGATCATGCCATAAGAAGTTGTTAATTCCAAGTATTCTTGGATAATTTTCACTTGTTTTGAGTGTTCCTGTGAAGTTGGATTCTTTTTTTCTGATTCCAGATTTAAAAAAATCTTTTTGCTCTGTTTGTTATAAGCGCTTCCTTTTCGGATATATTTTAATAAATTTAAGCTTTGCTTTCTAATGACCCACTAATATTCATCGGAATATTTGCCTATTCACAACGAGGAAGAAGAAACCCCGCGTTTCCTACAAATTCGGGTACATTTCTCAACTAATCTTCACGGAAACGCGCTACAATTTTATATACTGAAGCCTTCCCAAAGTCTTTTTTTTTTCTATTTTGGGAACAGGCATAAATTTCCAACTACCAATGTCCGTTTCTAGCGTTGTTTTGCTTGAGAAACGACGCTTTTTTGTCCTGGCGTCTCTCAGGGATGCATAAGATTTCAGAGAGGAAATTTGAATTCAGGAACTGGTAGCAGCAACTTTTGTTCTATTTTTATTTCATTTTTTTTTGAATTTATTGCTTTTTCTGTCTTATTTGGTTAGAAGTTAGCCCACGTCGGGCTTCACTTTTTCTTCTCTGCATTTCTAGATCTAGTTATATGACTTTGTGCTGCACCTGCTCCGTTAATGGCAGCGTAAAGCAAGTCTAGTTAGAAGTTCCGCCCTTTCCTGGCCCTTTTGACTTTTGTCTTGGGGTTCCTTTTGTCCTGGACCTAATGAATTACTCATTTCGTGAGCTTTTCCTCGAAGTTTTTATTTTTCTCGTTTCTAACTTCCTAGTTCGTCCTCAGTTGGAAAAAGTTTCTATTTCTGTTTGAGTAACAAAAAAATCTTAAACTTAAAAAATGCACTTCATATAAATAGCCCAATAGCTTCATATTCAGATCTTTCGAAAAGTTACTTTTTATGATTTTCCCAACTTACCACAATCTTTATTCCCAGTTCAAAAAAAATCACAAAAAAAGTTTTCAAGTAGAGAAAAAAACGTGTAGAGCTTGTAAAAAAATCAGAAACAATGAAAATTTTTCGAGTTTTTTTAATAGTCCATTTATTTATTTTTTTCTTTTTCTCCATGTTTATTCAAATAAAATAATATAATCAGAACAAAGTTCTCAAAAAGAGAAAAAAATTAAAAAAATAAATTTATAATAAAGTCCTTGAATCTATATGAGATCCTATCTACTCGGACCTGGTAACGCGAATCGGACGTGTCGGGGCACATCTAGTGACCACTTTAGTAGCCTCAGCACTCTTAAAGGGATCCCTGGAATTGCCCAGAAACGTCCGGAGCACGTCCGTTTCGCGTTAACAATGTCCGAGTAAAATTTAAAATTATAAAAATTAATTTTCCATGGAGCGCACATGTATACGATTAATCGACTTATCATTTATGGATGATTACTTACGGGATTTTTCATTTATCTCTGATTTTTTTTTCCTAATGTTGTTCTCTCGTAAATTGCCTTACACTTTCAAAAGAACCTTGCACTCATAATAGCCGTCAAAGGAGCTGCCTGACCTTTTCTCAGTGTTTTCTTCGGACCTGCCTGGACTTTTGAATGCAAAATAATGCTTTTAGCTGCTTTCAGTCCCACAATTTGTGTTTATAAAAGAAGGGCATGGGATATTTTTTTTTGTCAAGTGCTCATGAATAACTGAACAGGTCCGTTCGTCCTTGTTGTTTTGCACTGGAAAAGTCTGGCCATAAAAGTTGGGACTCTTAATCAGCACCAGGCTCTTTGTCGACGACACGTGACTTCTTCCGGTAGACGAGAGGCTTCTCCTAACAAGCTTTTCTCCCCTAGTGACTCCGTTTGATTGTTGTTGTCTGAAGGAGGAAGATTATTTCCCATTCGAAGAATTCTTGATTGAATTGTAATCGTTCTTCTTTTTTCAAAAATTGACCTTCTTTGGAAGTTAGCTGAAAACAGATGTTTTTTGTGATTGAAAAGAAGGAAGACAGCTGTTTTTCTTCTTCCGCTTTCCAAAGAAAAGGTTAGAATCAAAAATAAATTTCCTAAAAGTTTCAAGAGAAACAACTTATTTTTGTCCATTTTTCTCATAAAAGTCATTTTTTCTTTGCCGAATCTCTCGTAGGCATTAATCTTGTCATGTCTAAGCTGTATTTATCTTATTTTCGGACACTTTCCCTCGAAATAAACTTTTAGTGGATACTAGAGGATCGTAGATCGTATTACTTACAAGGAAGAGAAGAGTTGTAAGGTTTTTCAGTGAATTTCAGTAATTCAGATTTTTTTAAAAAAATTAAAAAAAGATTGAGGAAATTTTTCAACGTCCTTTCACTTGAGAGTAATTTTTTTCATAAATGAACTCATCGAATTCAGTAAATTAATGGTCGAAATGCTACGTGGGGCATCTATGAATGAAAAAAAGGTGCTGATGTTCCCAGGAGAATATTTTCTTTTTTCGGTGGTTCCAGGCCAAAACATCACATGTTTCAAGCTTTTTTGGCTTCTCAACTTTGACTGGCGCGATTTTTGAGGATCTGAAAGTATTTTCCGTTGAAGCTTTTTTTTTCCTCGATTCCAATGCTCAGAATAGAAAATTACGCGTTTCACAAGTATTTCTACATAAGTTTGTTTCAAATTTAACATCGAAGGAAAGTGTACATACTTCTGCTAATTAACCCCCCTTCCCCCTCTTTTTTTCTCCCCCTTTTTACAGTTTGAGTTCTCATCTCAGCCCTCTTCTCTATCTTATATCTAACCTTCTCAATAGAAAATTATACGCGATCTTCGTGTCAAGCCCCGTTTGAAAAGAGTCACTTGCCTCCAAAAGGGCGTTCCTCATCAATTCCTCCCTATCTTCCCCAGTGAAAAAAAAAGAAAAATTCAACGATGCATAATTCAGGACGAGCCGCGGAAGCTCACGAGTTGTGGACTTTTTTTTCCACTCGTCTCAGGAGCACGACTGATGATTTGCTGCGTGTTGGAACTCAATTAGAATCGCTGAGAGAGGGATTCGATTTTAATTCAAACTCTTCCACCACCACCACCACTTAATCCTTGCAATTTGCTGCTGGCTGCCATTATTTTATTCATTTTTTTCGTCTTCTCGGCTTCTTCTTTCGAAAAGCGGAGATCATGGTGAACGAAACGTGGACGACGGCTACGATGCCCGTTCAACACCCGCCGGAACCTATCTTCTCAGACTACGTCGAGATGATCTCCCTAGTGGTCATGTTCGTCGTCGGAGCGCCATTGAATCTCGCGGCCTACACACAGGTGATTTTTGTGGCCAATGAAAGATGGGGTATGCTTGGGAATTTTAGAGTGGTCCTTATAGGGGCTAGGAGGAAAACAGCCATTATAAGGGCCGGAAAAGTGGTCTCTCTAGGGTTAAAACCAAGGCGATCCTTATAGGGGTTAAGGATCGAACCCCTTAGCCCCTAAAGGTTAAGTGGTCCCTATAGGTGGTTTCCAATTTTATTCGAAAAAGGTTATTTCTTTAGTTTTGCGCTTCTTCTGCGCTAGATTTCATTGAAATGTCCCTTATAGGACCACTACCAAAAACCCACTATAGAGACCTTTTTTGCAAGCTTTATTGGCCCCTATAGAGGCTGGTAAACTTCTCTCTAGATATGACTCTCCAAGGGCCTTATAGGGACTAGAGTTTCTGGAGTTTCCAAGTGCCTTAAATTTACGCTTCAAACATTTTTTAACCAATTTCTCTCCTTTCAATCGAGTTCTACCAGAAACTTGATAGTCTAGTGTTATTTTGACATTACTTTGACCTTAAAAAGCGGAATTTCAATTTTCAAAAAATTTCTTCTCTCTCTCGAGAAATGTCGTTTAATTTTCTATGGCAGGCTTTTTTTGGTTTTCTCATCTCCTTCTGAATACGAAACGACTGATTAAGTCTTCCTGTCGTTTTCGTTCTCTTCATTTATTACTCAAAGAACGAAAATTGATGATTCTATAGGACATCATGGAGCGAAATGATGTTTTAATAAGACGTTAAAGAAGTGGAGGCTATTTTGAAGGGCTCAACTCTAGTGACCACTAAAGAGGTTCCTGAAGGCTGAAGTGGCCAACCACCTCTATAGAAGCCGCTAACTTGTGTCTTAGTGGCCGCTATAGTAGTTTTTAGTGGACCAGTAGCAGTAGTACCACTTAGACCTCTATAGTGGCCACTAATTTTTAAGCCCTTAGTGGCCACTAATTTGACTACTATAGTGACCTCTGAAACGTCCAAGCCATAAAGTGGCCACTAAATTTCCCCCAGTAAACACTCAAGTCTAGGGCAACTGAAGCTTTGAAAGGTCAAATACTCACAAGTTTTTTATTCATAACTTAAAAAGTGTCAGAAAAATTTCCGGGTAGAATGACTTTCGTCACATTTTTCCGGTAGGGCTTCAGAATACTCTGAGATTTTCGTCCCGGCTCCCCGAAGAAAAAAGGTGTAATCTCTTTAATTCAGCTAGCAGAACGACCCCTCTCAACTCGATTGGAACTCCTGAAGCGTTCGTTGAACTACTCGGACCTGCTGGTTCTGTTCGTCTACGTTCCTTCGCGGGCTTGCTGGCTCCTGACCTACGATTGGCGCGGCGGCGACTTTCTCTGCAAAATCGTCAAGATGCTCCACACTTTTGCTTTCCAGGTTGGCACCAACAATAGATGAAAAGCTTGAAAAAAGGTTAAAAATAATAATGCCGATTTTTAGACTTTAAAAGGTCTCACAGTTAAATTCAAACATTGAAAAAGTCTGCAAAAGAGATAAGAATTTTAAACAGGCGAAATAAATTTTCATTTTCTAAAAATGAATTTTGAATTTTTAACGATAGCCTCACTGACGCTCATTTCAAAACTCCTTTTTCGAATTTTTCGGTTTCTGATTCCCTGGCCTGACAATAAAGAGCTCACAATCCTCCTGGGTTTAAAAACATTCATCAAGCGGAGTGACTGAGCGATTGCAATTTTTAAAAAAGGAACAGAGTTGGGTTTATCAGAGCGAAAATCGTGTATGTTGGACTTTTTAAGGGGTTAGAGATTCAAAAAAGGCTGCGAAATTCTGTAACTTGAAAAATTATTTCAAACCACCTGAAACTTGGACGTGAATTAGTCATTTTCTAGTCTTGGGCGAATCTGATGCTAGACCGACAGAACAAAGGTTTTTTGTAAGTAGAGAACCTTTTTAGGTGGGAAAAAAACCTAACCGGTTATCAGTGAAATTTCTTTAAAAAGATTTAAAATTAGAAAAAGGAAGGTCTCAAAAAAGTTTATCGACCTTTCTCAACCTCTTAAAAGTTAAATGTTTGCCTCCGCGGACGCCTTCTGTCGGATGCACTCCGAAATTTTGAACTTTTGAGTTTTTTTTTCGCGCGCCCGATTTGGATTCTAGCGTATGCCTAATCAGAACTTCTGTGCTTGAAACGGGGCGAATAACTTATTTTTGAAAGCTAGAAGAATTTCAGTCGTCATCGAACGTGATCGTGTGTATAGCACTGGACCGTCTAATGTCGGTTTTGTCATCATCGCATCATTCTCCGGCAAAAGCCCAACGTCGGACGAAAGCTATGTTGCTCATAGGTAAATTGAAATGTAGATAAAAGTAAATCATGTAACTCTGCCTAGAAAACTTGCTTTGAAAATTGAAATCCTATCAAAAGCCGAAAATGAACTCGATTTTGGAAAGAAACTGTTAGACAAGGAGAAAATAGATTTTTGTCATTTTCTCAGAAAACCATCCGAATTTACAAGGGCTTTATAAAAAGTACATTACTTCTCTCTATCCTTCACAAGTTTCCCATTTTAGCTTGGGCGATTGCGTTGATCATCAGCCTCCCGCAATTATACGTCTGGCAGAGTTACCTCGCTCTACCGGACTTCAACTGGAGCCAGTGTCTTCAGGTTGACGCAGTGTTCTTTTTGATGAAGTTGAATCTCGAGGTTCAGATCTGGGAAATAGCGCGTTTACAAAACGTATCAATCGGACCGGAAACGTTCGACGCCGAGTCTTGGTACAGCATCCTTCACATTTGCTGCGTTTTCTGGATCCCCGCCATGATTGTTCTTGTTCGTTTTTCCTTTGGTTTTACTGTAACATAATAATTTTCCTTATCACCTATGATAACTAATTTTTTCGATTTTCGCCATTTTAATCATAAGCCAGACGGCTAGGTCACGGCGTTCCCAAACGGGGTGGGGAGACGTCAAACACAATTTGGCGCGAAATTTGAAATCTCAAGTACGCAGCCAAAGGCGATCGAGCAAACAAGTTATCAACGTTTAATACTCAGTGTAATTATGACGTCATTTTATCCGGAACGCGCACTTACTTTTTTTTTTGTAAATTAAGAAAGTTTGACGCCTCGCTCACCTTCCCTCACCCCATTAGGAATGCCGTGAATATAGTTTAAGGTCTCTAGACAATTCCAAATTTTTGGCCTTATTTAGTAGGAAACCGTAAGGAGTGCTAGATCAAAAAGTAAATAGCCGCGACTCAGATCAGCTACGTCGTAGTTCTATCATGGGTTTGGATGAACTCGCGGCCTTCGATCAGCAACAGCATGTCGGCGCACACCTTCTCCATCCACACAGGCTGCGAAACGGTCGACACCGTCCTGACGCGAGCTTCTGAATGGAATCCCTTGAAGAACTTCTCGCGGAGCCTACAGGTCAAGGACGAGAAGAAAATGCGTCAGTTGCCTCTTCGATGAAGCTCCCCACGATTGCGCCTTACAGAGAACCCGAGAATCGTCGTTTCGGACGAGTCATCGGCCCCACTCACCCAGCGACCGTCGATTTCACCGTCAGAAGCGTCGGCGGTCATGAGAACCGGCGTCCACAACAGCGCCTCCTACAATGCTAGTGTTACTCGGTCAGTGGGAACTTGAAGCGAGCTTAGGAACTCCGAAGTGGTCCCTATAGGGGTGACCTTAGGGGCCCCTAAAGGAACCTCTCTAGAGACCACTAAATCTTGCAAAGTGGTCCCTATAGGGGGATACTAGTCTACTGTTATGTTAGAAGAAGCCAAAAGGTCAGACCAGAACCCCATAAGTTTTACTTCTAAAGGTGCACTCTTTATCTCTGAACCCTATAAGGACCACTCTGGAGTTCCTAAGATTCAGAATATTTGAGAGAAACTTTTCAAATCTCAAGAAAGAATACTTCTAAGTGTCTTCAGAAGCCGAGCACTCCGAGTCTCGTTCCTTCTGGTGGCAGCCTACATCGTCTGTTGGCTGCCCTACAATTTGTTGAGCTTGATTCACTTGCTCGACTCCGGCCTGTTCAACGCCAACCTCAAGAAGGTTTCTCATGAATCAACTTAAGGGATTCTCAACACTTGTTTCAGTTCTACTTCCTACACGAATTCATCATCTTCAACTCGGTCGTCAACCCATATTTGTATGGTCTCTTCGCCAAGAACGACAAGGCACGGTTTCCACGTGTGAAATAACTCTGTAGACGGTTTTTTTTCGTTTTGTCTGTAAATCTCTGTGTGAAATTTGAATCCTGTGAAGAGGTTCCGTTTCTCATCCTAAACATTAAGTATGCATCTCACACCTCTAACTTTTCTATCTGTACGAAACTAGTTACAACACAATTCTAAAGCAATCAACGGGTTTCCCCGTCACATATCTTTTTCGATTATCAATTCCGATCTCTTCCTGTCGTTACCGCAATTAAAATTATCTTTTTTATTACTTTTTCAATTTGCGAAACAACGAATTCGGGAAAGAAACAGCGTGCAATCGTTGTCGCGACCACACATACAGATACAACCGTGAATCATGATGGACCTTTCCGCAGAAAGCGCGGAAATCTAAACAAATTTAATGCAAATAAATTACTAACGTTTTCGGAATAATCTACTAGTATGCGATAAAACAAAACGCAAGTACAGAAAGATGGAAGAGAGAAAAATATGGTGGAATTTTTTTAAAATAAATATGTGATAATTAAAATTCTGAGATATACACATGGAAAAACGCGGTAGGTGAGAAGAAAAACCGAAACATCTAGAAAGTAAAAGAGAAAACACGTCCGTATAGAGAAGGAAAGTAACAACCAGGTTTCTTCTTCCCACTTTCAGCTTTCAATGACAAAAAAGAACTGCCGGATCACGATTTTGGACAACAAGAGAAACCGTAGTTGTTAGAAGTTATCGAATAAAACCAAGTAGAAAGGAAAGAAAAAGAAGAACAACTCGTTTAGAAGAACATGGCTGCGACTCCGCCCATCTGCTGTTGCTCCTTGACGAAAATCTCGAAGTACTGGTAAATGATGGTGACGGCCAACAGGATACCAGTTCCGGATCCGATAGCTCCCATGAAGTCGGCAGTGACGGACAAGGCGCCGATGCACAGACCTCAAATCGAAAAATTCGGTTCAATTTAAAAGTCATTTTTCACAATGTGCGACAGCCTTAAGGCGTAAAACTTAAATTAAAAATCAAAAATTAAACTGGATAAGATTTTCAAGATCATTATCCTCCATCAACAACAAGAAGAGAACAATTTGAAAAAAAATTGGGTTTTAATAATTTCTTTTTCCCCATTCAGAGCATCATCTTTTTCAGCTAATTGACTAAAATCAAGATAAAAGTGAAAATGTGTATTTCGATAAAGTTACTTTTAGTTAACCAAAATGTTTAGCTATCAAAATTTCAATTTGAAAAATAAATAATAACCTCCGAAAGCTGCGGCGGTAGGAATGTAGCGGTTGAGTTCGTGGATCATCGACTTTTCACGGTGGCCACGCATAACCATCTGCTGTTCCTTGAGCTGCTTGGCAACGTCCTTGGCCGATGAGCCGGAAACGTCGATCCAGGTCTTTGAGAAGAAGGCGCATGATCCGAGCATGAAAACGATGTAGACAATGCAATGGAGTGGGTCCTCCAGGACATGGCCGAGGGTATCCGGAGGCGAGAGGTAGTAGCAAAGTCCTGTAAAACAGAAAGTTGTTTTACCTCACAAAAATTAATGATGAAAAACCTCCAGTCGGGTAGCTTCTGTAGTTTCCAGAAGCGTCAGACCAGGTACCGAGAAGGTTGACGATGAAGTTTCCACCAAACTTGGCAGCAAGCATCTTAATTTCTAGGTGAGAAATCTTCTAGATTAAGGAAAAATACCTGGGAAATGACGTAAAGGTTAGAAACGAGAGCCGACTGAAGAATGATGGGGATGTTGGAAGTGTAGAACAGCTTGATGGGGTAGCTGCTGTATTGGCCACGGTAGCGAGCGGACTTGATTGGAAGGTCAACACGGAAACCCTGAAGATTGATATTTAGAAAAAAAATTCCTTGGAAAACAAATGAAACAAAAAAAAAAAGCTTACTTGGAAGTAGATGACAACGGCGAAAACGAGAACGGTGGCCATCAAGTTCATCAAGTTGGGCAGGTTTTGGCGGTAGAAGGCTTCGCGGAGAGCACGGACCTGAGATGAACATAATCATTTTTTTGTTTCGACAACGACTTTTTTATAATCGTATGGATTTTAAAAATAATATCGAAACTGTACCTTATCGGAGCGGGTGGCGAGAAGGTGGAAAAGAGCGATGACGGCTCCTTCGAATTCGGTTCCGCGTCCAGTGTTCATCGTCGCCGGGGAGAACGCCTTCCACACGATCGTCTCGCAAATGTTGGTTGCGATGAAGAGTGAAATTCCAGACCCAAGACCGTATCCCTTCTTAAACCCATTTTCTTCATTGAAAGCTGAAAATTCAAGTTTACCTGGAGCAACTCGTCGAGAAGCAGGACGATGAGACCAGCGATAACCAGTTGAACGACGATCAACAAGCAGATTCCAGCTCCGATTTCCGATGGCTCACCATAAAGGCCAGACATCACGTAGACGATGGCTTGTCCGACAGTAATAACCATGCCGAAAACTGAAAATCAAGAAATGAGAACCGTGGATCTCAAGGGAAAAAAAAAAGAATGATTCGGGAAGGAATTACTCACGTTTCTGAGCTCCGTTGAAAAGAGCACGGTCCTTTGGAGTGTCTCCGACTTCGATGATTTTGGCACCAGCCAAAAGCTGCATGATCAGACCGGATGTGACGATTGGCGAGATTCCAAGCTCCATCAAGGTACCACGGTTTGACGCCAAGATGACGCGAAGCCAGTAGAAGGGATCAGCCGAATCGGTAGACATAATTCCTAAAAGGACGTTTTGTGGCAATTTATAAAATCTTCGAAGTTACCGAAAAGGGGAATTTGACAGCATACAAGGAAGACGAAAAGGGTGATAGCCGTCCAGAGCATTTTTTCGCGGAATTGGATGTTGCGTTCCGGCTTCGCAACCTCCGGCACGAAGCCGCAAAACGGCTTCACGAACTCGAGAAACTTGACTGAAAACAATTTAATAACAAAAATGTCACATGAAAAGGTGTGGGCAACTCACTTCCCATGATGGCAGGTGGCGGAGCTCCACTAGTGAAACAATGAGAAGCTTCACAGAAGACGAACAACTATCCCTGGATAGACGGGAACGAGACAAGTTCGTTGGCCGAATCGTCTGCACAACACGAGAGATGAAATTTTTGCACGCCTGCCAACAGCTACAGTAACCGACTGCAAGGGAAAAAGTGAAATTATTTAAATTTCTTTCAAAAATATGGAATTTACAAACTTGTTTCTGCGTTGTATGAATTTAACTCTTTGTTAGTTATCATTCAACTAGTAAAAAAACAAGAAATAAAAAGAGAAAAAAAGCGAGAAAAAAATTGAAAAAAAGGCTCGAAGAACTGCAAAGTCCTGCCGCGACATTAAAGGAGCAGGTCTCTTTGCCTGCTGAACACATTGAGCGCGCGGCTTTCTCCCGTTTTTTTCTATATTTTTTTACTGTGTCCTTCCTAAAAATTTGTAGTTTTTTTATTGTTTTTTTAAATTTAAATTAAAATTATTAATTTTTTTGATGATTTTAAGTATTTTTCGGATGTATTCAACAGGTACGCATAACTATAGATCTATTAAAAGTTGTTCTCAATTCATTTTTTTGTGTTTTATTCAATTTAAATATTTTTTTCCAGTATCACCTTTTTTTCTCTCTCGTTCAGTTTTTTTCAACGATCATTACCGCATCTGACGAGGAAGATTGAAATTTCCTGTAAAAATTTACATTTTTTTTGACGCTCGTATATAATTTTTAAAACTTCGATAAACTAAACATTTGTTGAAAAAATTATTACAGTACAATTAAAAAAAATTTTCAGGGTTTTTACTTCACGACAACATGTCGTTGATCATTCCTGAGAAGTTCCAACACATTCATCGTGTTATGAACACGAACATCGATGGCAACCGCAAAGTTCCATACGCCCTCACTGCCATCAAGGTTTTTTTTTATCGATTTTTTTTCTGAATATTATTATGGTTTTTTAGTCTTTAAAAAAGACGAAATTGTTTCTAAATTTAAGAAAAATTGCTTCAAAAACGAAAATTAGTAGTTTTTGGAGCAACTTTGGTGACCAAATTTTTGCATTTTTGTAACATGTTCCGTATCTTCGATGAACAAGCCATTGACGAATGATCACAATGCAGTTTCTTTGCTTGATGTTACATTTTAAACTGCGAATTTTTCTCTTCTTCTGCTCGATTCTTCGTGTCATGTTTAGTGGTTACCAGGCCTCGACGAAATGGAATCATTACTTGCCAGAGGACATTTTCATGTATCTCGACGCTTTTTTTTTAATTATTTGAACGCCCTAGTGAAATTTATATTTCAACATGAACAGAAAAAGTAAAATGAAGGTGAAAGTATATATACTTTATCATTTACGCTATTTCTTTTGTTATTTTCAGGGTGTCGGACGGCGTTTCGCCTTCGTCTGCTGCCGGAAGGCTGATGTTGACATCAACAAGCGAGCTGGAGAGTTGAGCGAAGATGACTTTGAGAAGATCGTCACCATCATGCAAAATCCCTCGCAGTACAAGATCCCGAACTGGTTCCTTAACAGACAAAAGGACATCAAGGACGGAAAGAACTCCCAGGTTTTTTTTGTTTAATAATCGACTTTCTTTCTTTTTTATATGCCGTGTTCAAAGTAGTTTCCGCGAAATACAAAATTATCTCTGACTCTTCTAATTTCAGTCATCTCTTTCTTTCCGCTCATTTTCCGTTTCGTGGAATCATTTTGAACACGGCAATAGAAATAATTTTTCGTGTTCCAGTTTAAAACATTTTCACTCGCCTCAAATGCAGAAATTCCTAAATATACTTTTCTTTCTGAAAAAGTTTTGTAGACTAATATAAATGAAACTTTCCTTTTTTTCTGAAATTTTTTTATATACCGAGTTGTTAGTTTAATGAGTGTTCAAAGTAATTTTTGCAAATTCCAAAATTATCTCTGGTTCTTCAATATGTATTTATCTTCTCTCTCTCTGACGGCTAATATGAATTTTGCTTTAAGAAAAATTGAAGAACTCAATCTTGTGAAAATTCTGTTTATGCTCAAAATTACTGTCATGCCGCGTTCAAAGCATATTTGACGCGCGCAGTGAAAAAGTTTTTCTTGTTCAAAAGCACGAGCCGAAACGCGGCGAAAAGCAGCAGATTCTCCTGGCGTGATTGGTTGGCTCCCCCTTTTTGGCAAATTTCCAATATAAATTTATTTTTCAAAATGTTTTTTTCTTGCCAGTTGAACGGAGCCAACCAATCACGTTGAGGGAATCTGCTGCGTTTCGGCTTGTGCTTTTGAACCGAAAAAAATTGTTCGCTGCGCGCGTCAAATTTGCTTTGAACGCGGCATCAAAGAGTAAAAATATCAGTTAATTCAGAGAGTGGAAAATAGTTTTTAGCTTGCAGATCCTATGCCGTTTTTAAAGTATTTTCGAGTAATGCAAAATGGTTTGTTACTCTCCAAATTTAGTTATATTTTATCTCTAACGGTTATTTTGCATTTCGGGGATTTACTTTGAACACAGCATTATTCTGAAAAGAAGAAAATGTGAATCTAAACTTCTCACTTTTTCAAAAACTGAAAATATTTTCACTGAAAATCACCTCCAAAAAAAACTCGGAAAATCCAGTTTTTGTTGGATATTGGTAACTTCACTTCTTAACATTAGAAGTTTCTTTTGGACAAGTCCCTAAAGGCGATCGACCTAATTTGATTTTTTTATATCATTTTTTCAAAAGAATTTTTTTGGTTTTTGGATATCTGAGTTCACATTTGTTCTTTGATTCGTCTATCCATCCATCATGTGATATTAGATTAAAGTCTTGATTTTTTTCGGGTAAAAAAACCAAAAAAACATGGAGTTTCGTCATGGCGCCTCTTTTTAAATTTCTGTATGCTAAATATTTAATCACACTAGCACATTTTCAGCTCCTCTCGACCGCTGTCGATAACAAGCTCCGTGAAGATCTCGAGAGAATGAAGAAAATCCGCCTCCACCGTGGCCTTCGTCATTACTGGGGACTTCGAGTACGCGGCCAGCACACCAAGACCACCGGACGCAAGGGACGTACTGTCGGAGTGTCCAAGAAGAAGGGAGGATAAATGTAATTTTTTCGGGGTATTGTTTTTGTTTGTTATACCCTGTTGATAAAGTGTTATTTACTGAATCTTTATTCTTTTCATGTGTTTGTTATCTAAATCAAGGCATACGTTATTATAAAAATATCCAAGTGTTAGAATATGAAGGAAGCAGAAACCCGTCGAGAGTCTGGAAAAAAAAGGAATTGAATGCTTTGCTCATAAATACTTACGGTGTTATTGTGAAATTTAGCGCAAAACTTTGCCGTAGTCCTTCTATTACTACGTTTTTAAATATAGTCTCTCCCACTTCTTCCTGGCCGAGGAAGAAAAAAACGCCGAAAATTCCTGGAAGCTTGATATTAACTTGAAAATTTTAAAAGGTGGGATCACCTGGCGTCACAGTCAGTAACATTAACGTCGCAATTACACGTCTAGTAAAGTTTTCTCCCAATTTTCCTCGTATTTCTTGGCACCAATTTTGTTTCCAAATTGTAGACCCTATCCTTTCTATCGTCAGTTCAATAGCGGAAAGCGTCACCTGAAAATAATTTTTTTTAAACCTCAAACTTTGAATATATCTGACCCAAGCTAAATAGTGTCTCCTTGTACCGTGCCAAGCTAAAACGACTCCGAAAACTGCGGCAAGAGCGCTTAGATTTCTTGTAACGGAGAGAATGGGCGAGAGTTTCGGAGTCATTATAGGAATGTAAACCTGAAAAATTTGAAATTAGGCTCCAAAATGGGTTTACCTGATGCTTAAGGAACTGATAAAGACCCGCATCGAAATGCCTCCACATTCGAGAATATAGAGAAACCCGTGAAATACAAATTGGCGGTGGCGGAGGCTTCATTCCTAGAAAAATTTTCAGTATTCCTTTTTTTATTAATTACCATCAATATAGGAGAACAATGAAGGAATTCCAAATATAACTACATATTTTACATGGAAAAATTGGCCGGCCACGTAGGCGATTGAGCAGGCTGAAATATTAAATTACGGTAAACCAATTTTTAGTCCTCCGAACCTTCATAAGCGTTAAGTCCATTGATTATTGTGAAAGGCGAATTGAACAATGCGTTCGCATAAATAAAATGAAGAAAAAATTCAGTAAAGAAAAACCAGAAAGCCAGCCGAAGACCGAATGACAGAACTGGTCTGTAAAAAATTTTTCCAGCTGTTCTAATTTTTAAATTTTTTCAACCTGTAGTCTTCAAAGCTGGAACTAGATTTCAAAATGTAATTCTGTTCTTTTTTTTGAAACTGCTCCCGGAAATCTTCGAACAGAACAATCAGAGTCATTGAATAAGGCAAATAGGCGTAATAAAGCAGGCTTTCGACGAAAACGCCTCGATAGGACTGTTGAGGATTTTTGCAGAGGAAGAGGCATAAGTTGAGAATCTGTAAAAATTGTAAGGAGCTTGGAAAGGCTATTTGTATACCTTTATGGCCCCATAGAGGTAAATGTTAAACTCGCGGTAGAAAATATGTCCGCCAAGTGAGAAAGGGACGTAAACGGCAGCGCGGGTAATGAAAAGAATACAAAACACCCAGGGAATTAATTTTGAGCGAAAAGCTGCGGATAAAGTGGTGACCAGTAAGGCGAAAGTGTACAGGACCAGCACGCATCGAAAACTAAAAGAAAAATTAAACTTGTAAGTTTCTGATAGAGGGCATTAAATACACGGGCAAAGTCCAGGAGGACCTTTGAAAAAAGGTTTCACAGGCACCTTTTTTTTGAACTTTTTCAAAAAAAGGTCCACTTTAAGAAGAAAAAACAAGCAGGCTGAACAAAGGTGCAAAAAAGGAGATACAGAGAATCTTTTGAAATTTTCCTAGGAACTTATAAGAGCTCTAGCTTCTTCTTTTTAAGAACGTATGTACCCTTGGAGAAGACATTTTGAATTTCTGAGATTTTTTTTGTGGGGGGGGGGGGGCAATCATTTTTTTCTTTCACTAGGGAATGGTATCTATTCGCAGTGGGACTTCTGAATAAAACCAGCTTCCCTAGATGTAGTTTTTCACGCTCATTCCAAATCTGGTCTCGAAAACTGTAGTCGAGGTCTGTGAAAAAAATTAGGGGCCCTTAAAAGTCGAAAATTCCAATTTTTTCAATTGATCTATTTTTTTAGAGGGTATATAGTCCCTGTCCACAGACCTCGAGGGCAGTTTTTAAGACCAGGATCAGCGTGAAAAACTACATCTAGTAAATCTAGTCTCATTCTAAAATCCAAATGGAGACCGTTGTCTAGTAGATATCAATTATCAAAAACCTCACCTTGACATATGAATTTGAGTGAAAAACCCAATCACAACCATAGCGTATCGAGCGTTGTGCGTATTGAAAATGCGCTGGGCTAAGAAAATTCTGAAGACATTCAAAATATTCAGAGGATGATCCAGTACGGCATACGCAAAACTGTGAATAGAGTAGTCGAGAATGAGCCGAGCCACAGTCTGCCGATAGTATGACCATTCGGCGTCGGATTGATCGACCCGCCAGCCGGAAACGTAGCTGAAAGAGGTATTTGGTTTATTTTTGAGCAATGGGGAAAGGTTAACCTTGGCAAATGGGATGCGAAAGAATGTCAGTATCGTTTCAAATTTCAATTTTCGAAAAAGTTGGTAGAAAACCTGCTAGGTTGCATCCAGTGTTTGATCCACTGTTCGACTTTCACATTTGACACGTAGTAGGCGATAATGAAAGCTATTGCCGAATGAGACAGCCAAACGGCCCAGGCGAGCTTTTGCTCCCATCGGGGTAGAGGTCCCGGCAATCGCAAGTCTCGTATTTTATCAGCTTCTTTTGATTTCATCCTAAAATTAGAAAATCTCTATCAAAATACAAATTTCGAAGTTTTCCGTTAAAACGATCCAGTGATTATTTTCCCACTGGTTTCAATAAAGAACAAGTAGAGAAGTTATAACTGATTCACGGCTAGCTTGGGACGCTCAGGGGGCGTGTCCTGTCTGCGCTCTCCACGAGCCAGGCGCTATCTCGTGCATTATCCTGCCAGGACCATTTTTTCGATGGCTCAAGCCAGCCGTGAATCAGCTATATGTGGAAGTTCCCAGAGGGATAATAGGCAAAAGATAGTATCACTACAGTAACCGACGCTGTTTCTGAAGGACCCTCCAATTTTTTGAGGAGTAGACAAAGAAATTTTGTGAATTTTAGCTCGAAGTTCCCGATCCGGCAAATATGTTGAGAGTTTCTTTACGTTTGAAAAAAAGCTTTAAATTTCCAAGTCTTTCTAAAGGTCCGAGCTAGTAAATTTCTGGCTCTTGATTTGCTGCTCACGTCTTTCAAATTTTTTTTGAGAAGGTTCGAGCCAAAGACGCCAAAAGCATATTTAAAACAAACTTCGTAAGCTAACTAGATGATTAACCCATTTACGAAAAAAAAATCCAATCTTGATTATTTTGCTTTTTTTTTGGAGCGACATGCAGAGCTTATTGTTGAGTTTTAGGTACTAAAACGAGTCGAAAAAAAAAAACGTTTTTTGCTCCAAAAATCTCATATAGTTATTCTGAAAGACCATTAAAAATCTCAGAGAAGCTTTTTTTAGTTAAGCTCCAGACACTTGGAGCGACAAAAAATCAAACATTAATCAAAGCGCATTAATTTTTCCAATTAAAGCTAGTTTAATTGTCAATTTTCTAATTAAGCGAAATCTTGGAAATCAGCGTGGGAAAAAGATGAACCGCCTAACAAGTGGCTGGGAAAGTGAGGCCACAAAAGAAAACTCGGAGGAGCACTCCAAACACGGTATTCCACCATTTCCCCTTTACGATTTGTCAATAGTTATACGATTGCGCCTTTGGAGCTTTTCCTTCCTCCGTCACATACAAATCACAATGCGTTTTTCATAAATGGGGCTGAAATGTTTGTTCGGTATCGAAATGATTGGTTTTCATAGGCGTAGTTGATTCACAACTACTTTATACTTATGAAATAGCCAAGGGTTAAGAGGACTATTTTCAGAGAAATCGAACTTTTGAAAATTGAGTTTCACTATTTTTGAACTAAACTATGAGGCGCTTTCAAATACACCAGGACTAGGTTTTTTTCATTCATGTAGTAAAAATTTTGATTTTTTAACATTCCGAATTTCATCAAACTTCGGCTATTCCTTCCGCTTAAAATAATTTAGATAATTATAGAGGAATTCAGCTTTTTACTGGAACTATCGCGCTCTGAAAAATGTCTTAAAGGTTCATGAATCTGTAAATTTCAGCAAAAAGCGTCTAATTAGATTTTTTCATTCAGAAATTGATCTACTGAACTTTAATGCTTTGATGGAAAAGCTTAAAAAAAGTCGCTTTATGAGATTTTTTTTTTCAGGATGGCTGAAAAACTTTTTGAAAACAAGATCCAGATAATCCAGAAAACGACGAATAAATTAGTTTTGTTTTTTTCTTTTCAACAAGTAAACTTTTTAAACTTATGTCACGGGAAAAAAAATAACGCGAAGAATTCCAGTTTGCCATGAAACCTCGTCTCATTTTTAATTTATTGGCAGTTCAGAAGCTTTCCACGCATTTCTAAACACCTATGAGAGGTTTGAGATTTTTTTTTTCTTGCTTTTATGAAAATCCATAAAATTAAGGCATTGAGAAAAAAAGGAAATCAAATCAAATGATGAAAACACAAAAAAATCGGAGCTATGAAGTCGATTTCAAGCGTGTGAGCTTTCTTCAAACAGGTGAGATTAATTTATTTCATTTAATGACTTCCTTTTTATTTTTTTACGGTCTTAAAAAAAGTTTCTCCCGAAAATGTACTTCTTAATCTCAAAATTATCTCAATTTTTACTACTTTTTCCTGTTAAAAAAAGTATTTACGGCTAATAACTCTGAAAATAGTCAATTTACTTCTTAATAACTTTTTGGTAAGTTTAACCGAATTTTTCAATTTATCGAATATTATTATACCGTTTTTTTCGATAACCGAAATCTCACTAGAAACCCCCCCCCCGCAAAAAAATCAAAAGGTTGTACTGGGAGGAAGTTTGATTGGGTTGAGTTTAAAATTATTTCTCTTTTAGAGCGATTTCTGCTGGAAGTTTTCTTTTCTTACAGTATCTGCTTTGTAAGAAACATAATTTACCAACTATTATACAGTATTTTGCATTAAAACATTGATTTGAAACTTTTTTTCGAAGGTTAGATTAATTTTTCAAAGGAAAACCTGCGGGAGATTTATTGAAAATGAGTATTCAAGGAAAATTACAGAAAAGTTTTCCCAAGCTTCAAATAGATGTCTTTCAAAAAATCTTGAATACAGCTGTGAATGTAGGCTTTCAACAACAGAAAATCGATATAACGGAACAGTTTTTGAAAAGGAAATGGGTGGATAAATAATTCGTGAGGAAGGAGGAGGGTAGATGTGCCATTGTGGCGGAGAATCGAGGTCGCGAAACGAGCCAGCCGTGGAGACTGAGTCAGCCGCCGTGTGAGGTTCCGAAAGAGTTGTCCCCTCTCCAACCGCAACCGACAACTTTTCCGTTCGTTCTGTTTGCCCCGACGGCCGGACCGTCTCTGCGTTTCTCGAGTTGTTCAACTCTTTTGCGTGAAAAACCTCGTGTCGGCGTCGTCGAGAGCAGCAAATTCGCGTTTTTAATCGTGTTAAGTATGGAGTCCCTTGTGAAGTGAAATAGGTAGATTGTCGAGACGAAAAAAAAATGTCAAGAATTTTCCAGGAAAAGTTGCTTGAATTTCTAGTAAAAAGACTCTTCAGAGCTTAATTTTTTTTTCAAAAATTACAAAGATAAAAAACAGTGACGTCAACTTTTTCCAATAGAAGTAGAAAGAAACTTCAGAAGGTCTCATGATTTTTGAAAAAAATGAAACGTGAAAAATTTTGAAAAATTCAAATTTCTGAAGAAGGAAACTAAGCGGAGTGAGGCGAAAAAAAGCTCCTTTTACAACTTTTAATGAAACAGAAAAAGAAGACAAAAAGGCCTAAATTTTTTTCTGATAAGTAAAAAAATCTGAAAAAAATGAGTCAAAACTGTCTTTTTTTGAAAAGAAGAGCTGGAACGAAAAACACTTTTATTTTTTTGAAACCACATTTATTATTTAAAAAAAGCTAAAAAAATGATGTAGTAAAATCGTATAATTTTTTTCTCTGTTACACCTTCAGTACATGGCGATTTTTTTAAAAAAATAATTTTTAGACAAAAAAAAATGAGTGTTTTATATGAATTTGACATTTAGGACAATCTCTTCCAAACAGCGATTCATTTATTCATTTCATAAATTTATACAACATGTTTTATTAAACACAAGCTCTGAGCAGTACATGAAAGGCAAATTCAAGTCGAGGTTATTTTTTGGAAGCTTCATCATCATCGTCTTCTGAGTAGTTGCAGATGTGGTCGTTGACGTCGTCTTCGAAGTTCTGGACAGAAAATTAATTGTGATTTTCTGAATGCGATTCACTTGAATAGCGCCGCTATCACTGCCGAAACCGTTGAGAATCACGTCTTTGAGCTTCTCGCCCATGAAGACCGCCTGGTTGTTCGGAGAGAACTTGCCATTTTTGCACTTTTTGCCTAGAATCGGGAAAATGTATAGTGGATTCGTTGGTGGATAGCTTACCGGGTGGAGCGGTTGGAGGTACATTTGGAGCTACAGGCTGAGCAAGAGTTGGTGGGGGCTCGGTAATTAGCACTGGCCCTAATTCTGAAAAAGACACTTGATTTCTCGTCCTTTTTTCATTTCAAGGCTGAAGACAAGTGTGGAAAAAACTTTAGAAAAGTTCAAAATATTATTTTTCAGAAGTATGGGACCAGAAGACAATATTGGTAGGACTAGAATTTGGAATAGTTAATTTGAAGATAATAATGAAGAAATTTTGCTTGGAAATAAGTCATGAGTTATTTGGGTTTGGTTTTTGAATTATAGTCTGTGTACCACGACTTGGAATTTCACCGAACGACATTCCGCTGTTCCACTGCGTGCTCGGCCGCGCCTTTAATTTTTTATTTTGTTTAAGAACTCAACCAACACGTGTTCCTAGTGTTACAGTCCATCTATCAGAAGTGAGAATCAATTCGAAGCGAGATCGAGGCTCGCAAAGACGCTTCGCGACGCAGCGGAAGAGCGGAATGTCGTTCGGTGAAATTTCAAGTCTTGGCACACAGACTATGGACATTTAAAAAAACGAACGTCCGGCATCGGCAAAAGTTTGAGGGGAGAGCAGGACGTTGCACATCTGTCCCTCGCAGATACATCTTTCCGGCTGGTCGGGATACTTGGTGCAAGCCGGCTTGAAATCAATTTTGAATTTAGTTCCCGTAGTTTCAATCTTACATCTTCTTCGCCTTCCCAGATCGTTCCGCAATACGCGTAGGGCGACTGTCCGCGCTCTGGAATTTTGATTTTTGGGTAGAACAAGTAGGTCATCTCAGTGAATAGCTTTCTCCTACATGCTGGTGATGCTCAGGTGGGATTTTAAAAAAATAGATTCGGTAAAATTGATAGAAAAACAGACTCATGACACAGTAGTTTCCTTGACAAGTATGGTGAAGATCGCAAGGAATGTCGCGAGATTCACTGCCGACTGTGACGTTTCCGCACTGATGACAGTATATCATTGGAGAATTGGGAACGGCGAAGGCGATACCAGGTGAACTGAAGGAAACAATTGATTAGAGTCATCAGAAGCAACAAATTTTTGCTCAGCTTGAGAACATCATTTTTCAGAAGCTTGAAAAAGTTTTTCTCAAACCCGTTATAAGTTTCAATAACTGACCTATCAACACTTTCTGCAGCTGCCTTTGATCGAAAAGCTCTGAAAAAGGCTTTTCATTGGTTATTTTACCCTTTCCTACCGGAGAGGCTTGGAAGCGATTGAAGAGTGGATTCCGGCGACCTCCTTGGCGGCGTCGAGGCTGTTGCAGAAGTCGGTGTTGCAAGTGCATTTATTGCCAGAATCCAGAAGGGAGCACTGGAGGGAAATTGGGTGGTTTACGAATGAGCCTTTTGAAGTGGGACCAAGAAGCCCAGGAAAATGGATGGTACAAGAAAAACCTGTAGAACTGTTGATGAAGCTGTTTCACTGGAGCAACCGGCTGACCAGACTCCGTCAGCGGAATATTCTGTAAAAAGCAATACTTCCAATTCAATATGAACTGACCGAAGAAACAAGAATGGTCTACGCAGAGCTTGTCGATGGAGCAGAACTGTCCCTGCGACGAAGAGTTGCCGTAACATTCGAAGCACACGACATTTTGACCAAGAACCGTGCTCCAGCTCATCGCTAAGAGCAGGGCGAGCGGAATCATTTTTTTGGGGTCCTTCCTCTGAACGGCTCTAAAAGTTTTGAGAAGTTAGAGACTTGTTCTTGAGACACTAGAAGAAGTAGATTTTCCGTCGAGTTGTGAAGATTTTTTGTCAAGCGTTAGGGGTTTAGCAGAGTCAAAATTTGGTGGAATTTTCAGATTTCTAATGAGTACATGGAAGTTTTAGACGCAGAGTGATTTTTCGACAGTGAAAAAAAAAGAGAAGGAGGTGGATTTGTAACTTCCAACCTGAGAATATTCTAAATTTTGTTGTACGAACAAGTAAGATCGGAAAATAAGGACGTAGTTAAATCAGGCAGTGGTTTTAACAAGGTTTCCATAGCAGCTAACTTTCTAGTGAATATTTTCTAGGCTTACTTTTTAAAAAAAAAAACTTAAATGTCTTGAATACGGTTGGATACTAAAAAAAAACTGTGCAAAAATCGAATGAACGCGATTTTTCGGAATAGCTTATTCAACGGTGTGGATTTGATGGGTGAATCTCATATCTTCTCGAAAAACAGAAAAAAAAGAATCTCCGTGGTTCGACAGGAAATTAAGAGGAAATTGAAGTAAACCATGTCAATTCATCAAACCGATCCTGGAAAGGAAATTGAATATTGCTGAAAAAACAGAATTATGAATCAAAACTACACTCACTTTGTTGTAAACAAATCGATTCCCCAAAAAGAGTTGTGCGGGAGGAAAAACGGTGGTTGGAGGGCAACGAGCAGATAAACGGATCAGCCTCAGATTTCAGCCGTTTTTTCGGCATTACCCAATCAAACTTTCACCCATTCTTTTTTGGCAACACTTCCTGCAGCTAAGACTTTTAAATTTTCACGCAATTGCTCATGTTATATTTAGTTTCGTCACGAATAGTTTAAAAATTTTTTAAAAACGCTGGCTACGTTGAAATTTTGGTTTATTGGATCTTCACTTGAACTTTTGCCTTTTTAGCCGAAATAAAATTTGTAGCTTTCTTGACTTTATTACTCTAGAAAGTAGAAGCCTACTTTTTATGAATGATTTAAAAAGCTAATACCGGGATTTTTGGAAGCATCCAAACCAGCTTCAGTTACGGAATTGAAGGATTTTTTAGTTATTGGACAATTTTTTCCTTTCAAAGTTTGAAATAAAATTCTCTTGAGAAGCTATCCTTCTTTTTGAAAATTGAAAGAGATTTTTCTGGATTTGACTGATTATTTTTGAGGTGGAATCGAGAAGTGAGCTCGTCATCAAAATCAACACGCTAACGTCAAATGGGTGCGTTTTTTTTTCTTTCAGGCAATTCGAATCAATTTTTAAAAATGGATTGTTAATTTTAAGAGCGATTTATAAAGTTTTTGACTTTTGCTGATGATCGGAAACTATTGAAATCCAGTTTTTTCATGAGGATAATGATTGCTTCGATAAGAACCAAACAAATTATTCTGAGAAGCCTGTCAGTCCGGGAAAATCTAATTTGATGAAAAATGTATGCCTTTTCTAATTTTTTAAGTTTTTATCCAATGTTTTGAGTCAACTTTGAGGCTCCTGGATGAGACTGGAAATTCAGCTTGTTTTGGAAAATTTTCAAACTGCTCAGGAACGCCAGATTGGTCCTTGTAGAGCTCAGATTTAGGTGATCCCTTTCGTAGCTTAGGCTCACCTCTATGCCCCAAAAGCTCAACTGGTTCCCATAAAGTCCAAAGACAAACTTGAAAATTTGATCTTTTATTGACAATAATCGACTAGCATGTCCCTTATAGGGGCCTCTAACGAAACCCCTATAGGGATCGCTTTTGCAAGCTTTTGTGGCCCCTAGAGAGAAAGTAAAGTAGTCCCTAGAGGGGAACCTTCAAGGGTCCCTAAGATAGCCCTTATAGGAACCACTCCGGAGTTCCTAAGTAAGACCGGATAAATAAGCCATGCCGGCGCTAATTCTCGGGCCACAGTTGCGGCTATTTTTTCCAAGGCTGTTTGTGTTATATTTTAGAAAACCTTCATTTCAACTACCATTGAAGGTCGAGGATTCAGCAATTTTTGGAACTAGATCAGAAAAATAAGCCGCCCGGCACTTAATCTCGGACCAATTTTGCGGCTATTTTTTTCAAGGCTATATTGTCATGTACCTTCTGGAACGGAATTGTAGAAATTCTGATCTGTATTTCAACTTTTCACCATCGAAGCTTGAGAATTCAACGATTTTTCGAACTGAGATCAGATTAATAAGCCATGCCGGCGCTAATTCTCGGGCCACAGTTGCGGCTATTTTTTCCAAGGCTATGTCGTCATTCACCTTCTGAAACGGGATTGTAGAAAGCCTGATCTGTATTCTAACTTTTCACTATCGAATCTCGAGAACTCAGCGATTTTTCGAACGAAGATCAGATAAATAAGCCGCCCGGCGCTCAATCTCGGACCACTGTTGCGGCTATTTTTTCCAAGGCTACTCGTGTCATAATTCGATGCGATCCGCCTCGTAGAAGAACCGACAGAACAGTGCAAGAGTCTTTGGAGAAAGCCAGCGGAGACCCTCGCCTTACCCAATTATTGGTGGCCGCCGTGTGGTGGAACGCGAGCGCGCTCGCGGCCTTTTGCCTAAACCATCTCTTTTCCCCCATTTCTCGTCCGCCGTCCGTTCTTTTCTTCTTCGTCGTCTTCTTCTTCCTTGCCTGACCGTCGTCTCCATGACCCGACGACGTTCATTTCATTCGTTCCGTTCGAATTTGCAGAAATCTCAGGATTTGAGGGCGGTCGCGGTTGATTTACTGATCTTTTTGAGCAGTGATTCTTGACGAAGAATAAGTCTGAAAATATTATGAAAACGTTTCTCACTTCTTTCCGCACTCTTTTGCTCGTTTTTCCATGGCGAATCTTATCAAGACCCAATTTTGACATTTGCACCTCAAATCAGGTATCTTTGATCTTTCTTTCAAACTTCTGAATGGACTTTTTTTTCAAAATATTCTGTCTTGACTTTGTGGAAAGCTTCCTCGTCATTTTTGTTATTTAAACGTTTTTGTAAGTATTCTTGAAGGTATTCATCCATTCAAGAGAGAAAGCCGATTTATCGTTTTTGAAGATTTTCTTCCGGTTTTAGGCTTAAAATTCTTGACTTTTTTTTTTAAATAAAAATTTTTGATATCAGAATTTTGTTTTTTGTCATAATTTCAGTTAATTTATCAATTAAATATCGATCCTTAAGGGATTCAATTTTGCTCAAATGAGATTATTATTTTAGAAGTTTGATATTGGGAATTGTTACTTAGTCAAGAGATTCCTATCATTTCTCATTTTCCAGGTTTTTTTTTTGAGCTTTCGACACTTGTTTGGTGGTTTTTAGCCATTTTTTTGATGAGATTTTTTTAATTTTTTTCGTTTGAAAATTTTTTGTTCTGTTTGAAATCTTCTTCAAGCTCAAATAATACGCTGATAAAATTTGTTTTCACGGAGGTTGAAATTTTATTTTTGAAAACTTTCTTGATTTTTCTCAGAAAAGTTCACCTTAACTCCTAGAAGATTCAGAAAACGTGGACTTTTGAAACTTCAGAAAAATTTCAAAACCGCAGGGCAAAATTTAAGAATTCAATTTTCTCTGTGAAAAGAGGATAATTGAGGACGCTATTTTCTACTGATGATCAATTTTTTTTGAACGGTAAAATTTTGAACTTTTTTGTGGACTTTAGCTCTCCAATTTCCTTCCGAGATTAAAAGTTCTCCACTTGCAAGCCTTCTCAATTAGTCAATCTCCATCCGACGCAAAATGGAAATACGCTAAGAAACCCTTTTGAACGCGAAACCGCCTCGCTGATCTGTCAAAACGGAAAATTCTTCTCGATTGCCCTTGTCTTGAGAATCTCCTTTCTGTGCCGGTCGTTTATCACTGACGACGATTTCGGGGGGAAATTCCAATCTCGCGTCTTTCTCGACATTTCTGGAAGGTTCGGATCAAGGTTTTGCGCGGAACTTTGGAGGGGGCGATTTTGAGAATTTCAGAAATAGTTTTTTTCCAAGAAGTTGTACATTTTAACTGGAAGAAAACTTTCATTTTATTTTCAAACCTACGTCGAAAAATCTACATTTTTTCTTCTATCAACCTTGATTTAAAGAAGGTGCATCTGAAAAATTCACTATTTTTTTTAAAGGTTGATACCTCGACCTTTTTCTGAGATTGCGGAAACAGATGCAACATTTAAAAGCGCCTCGATGGCAACTTTCCTCCGAATTGCATAAACGGAAAATCGTTGACGTAAATTGCGTTGGCGAGTAACAACAGGTTTGGCAATTGATTTAACGACGGACGGTGCGCGCGAAAAATGTTTGTCGACGCGCCGCCCAAAGGTGTTCCAAAAGCGCGTTTTTTGAAAATTCACAACGAAATTTGAGCTTCGATCCATTAAAGATCGTTTAATTTAGAGTTTTTAAGTAGGGGCCGAGTTAAAATTTGCATTATTTTTGTCAGTTTAATGGCCAAGAGTCTCGTGCTCTTCAAATATTCCATTATTCAGCAGATAAAAGATTACTCTGAGGACTGAATAAATGTTAAATGTTAAATGTTAAATGGTCAAGACCTCAATGGCTTCTTCGATGTTGCAGCTTTCACATAAATTTGAAACCCACAATTTTTTTGATAGCTCAAAGTTCGAACCTTTAACACAATAAATAATGTCGGAGGTCGTTCTTAAATTCGAATAACGTCCAGAAATCGTTTTTCCCGCATAATTTGGACCGCTATAGATCTGCGGATGTCACTTCGATTTTTGAGGCCGAATAAATTTTATTTTATTCGCAAAACTAGTAATTCATGTCTTTTCAAAAAAGCCTACTTTTATTTTTTAAAAGCTACCCTCCTTCGTTTTCCTATTGTATCGTGGAGACTTGAACAAGCGACCTTCCGAACATCAAAAATGAGCCTTACCCTCCGAGCTATAAGCATTGTCCACCAATTCCTCTATTTGCCGTTTGCTTTTTTTTTTGATTTTTCGTTCTCATCTCGTCCGTCGCCGATGGAACGGTCAACGCGGCAGTTGTGCTAACAAAAATCATGCGGTCCCTCATTCGATCAATTTCTCAAATGCTTCCACCGAAGCTTCCTTTTTATCGATTCGACGATTTCTGATTGGTTTTTGGATTTATTTCAGTGGATTCAACGGATTTTTGTCCTGTTTAGTTTCTTTAAAACACTTTTTGAAGTTTTTTCTGAGATCAGATTGGAGAAAAAAAGTTCTCTTGTTTCCTTTTTTGTGATCTTGGCCTTCTTGTTGTATCTTTACTTTCAGTTGGCTATTCAAATTTTAAGAAATAACGGATCTGTTTTTTTTTTTCTGGGTCTTATCGGAACATCTTGTTGCTATCAGAACTTCACGTTTCGACAGAAAAAAATGAGATTTTTTTCAAGGTTTGGAGTCAAGCTGAGAAAGTAAAAAAACCTATAAGCACACATAAAGCTACAACTAGAAAAGGCTCTTAAGCAAAAAAATAAATTTTATTTTTTTTTTTCAACTGGTAGAGTATCACCTGAAAAAAAATAATCTTCAGTCACTCAGCTCAAAAAAAATCCTATCTAGCTACCATCAAGACAGAAAGCAATATTAGCTATTCATTGACCCCTTATTGAGCTGCGGTAGCACTGATAGGAACTGGGTAAGACTTTTTAAAGGAGTTTTGAAGTGTGAAGTATTGATAATCCAGAAAAAAGTGAAGAAGTAAGTTTTTCACATGGAAGTGTTCTCTGTAAGATGTGAAGACTTTGATTAATGCTGGGCTGAGAAATATGGCAAATTGCTATCTTCTTCTTCAGCGTTTGTCCCGACCGCTTACGGGGGTTCTAGACTCAACCATCTATGATTGAAATGTCTCAGTTTCCATTTCATTGGTTTGAAAACCGAGTAAGTTCAATGGAATAAGGCTGAGCGATCGATCAAGGTGTTCCCTCTCGGTGGGAGGGAGGACGACGGCCCTCTCGAGGACATGCTGCTCTTTGGAGTTGAGGGCGACCCCGAAGACCAAAGCAAAGAAAACAGTGCGCGGAACCGCCCGAGTGTCTCAAGATGGTCAGCCTATTCCATCCTCCGCGCCTTTCTCTTCGTCTCTCCAACTCTCTTCTACCTTTTTTGGACCGTTTTTTTCTACCCCCGATTCTGCTGTCCGTTCCATTTTCGGCATGTCTACTAGAGATTTTTTTTCCGCTTTAGATTCGATCTGTTGATTTTATAAGAGATTTATTGATGATTTTTTCAAAGGTTTTTCATGAGTTCGGTCCGAATTTTTTCTGTTGAACTTCTTGAAAATTTTTTAAAGGCGCATAGAAAAGGGTCTCGAAGCGTAGAGAAGACATTGAAATCCCCTGCGCCTTTAATTGCTATTTTTGCGATTTGTTCTCTTATCGTCTTCACATTTTTGCAATTTTTTTCAAATTTTAGACAAGTTTCACGAATTGGGGTTAGCTCATAGGCTTTCACTTTAAAAAAATTTTTTTGTTTTAATGGGAGCAATTTTTTTAAGATGAGTTTTTTTGAGTTAGTAGATAGTCTCTTGAATAAAAAAGATTAACTTGAATTAGATTAAAACAAAATTGATATTTGAAATTGGACTTGAATGTTTTTTTGGTTCTGGTTATTCAAATTGCTCATTTTGCCTGTAATCTTGTTTCAATTTTTTTGATTTATCCGATTTTTTAAAAGTTTTTTTTATTCTTGTAAAGCGGATCTATGAATCGCTAAATTTTTTTCTGGGCTTCTCACAGGCTTCATATTACAAAATAGCTTTTTTTCTCAAAATCTGTGTGATTGTGCAAGTTGAGAGTTTCAAGATCTCTACCATATCAGGAAAAATGAAATCCTCAATCAAGTAAAATTACCTTCCTTCTCAGTTTTATACTTATTGCCCAGTTTTTGTGATGAACATGCATGGGCAGACCGTTTTTAAAGGCCGCCGTCTCCTCCCAAGTTTTTCTAAATTAAAGTTGAAACCACCTTCCTGAGGCTAAAACTTGTACTATTGTGGCCAAAACTACCTGTCATAGGTTGAAACTTGATGTTATTCCCTAATTTTCATAAATTTTCGAGAGTTTACCTTCCTCCCGGGTAGTATGAGTTCTGTACTTGCCTATCTAAGGTGATTTCTATTTTTTCTATGACTCTTTGTAAGCTTTGGAGAACTTTTTAACCTCCAAGGTTACGCGGAAAAATGTTTATCACATTCTAAAACGTAGGCGACCGCTCTTTACCGCAACATTGTTCTTATCGTGAGCGTAGGGTGAGAAAAGTGCGGCGAGGTGGTCTAATCCGGCAAGTTTGGCGCGCAAAACAAAAGCCGACGGCGGTTCTGCGTTTTGCCAGCTTCTTGGCCGTAGAGCCGCCTCAAACGGCCCCGTGTTTAAGCCGCGGCTCGACCAACGCTCGAGTGTGTTTGTCCGCTTGGTGTTCGTCTTCGTGTTTCGTTAGTTCTCGGTACTTATCAATCAATATCCTTAAGTCTGTTATTAGAATCTGGCAGAGCTGGGAGCAACACTTAGAAAAAAGCACCAAATGAATATGATTCATCTTGCAAAACTCACTCCACCGAAAGCCAAATAATCTCATTATATTTTTGACAGTCTTAAAACAGTGAAGTTTTTCCAAATTTTGGCAATCCTAGGAGTACAACCAGATACAGTCGTAAAGGCAGCATCAGAAACATTCTTTATAATTTTGGCGGTCCTTAAAACACAAGATACAGTTCTTATTATTTAGGCAGTCTTCAGAGATCAACCGGATACTGTCTTTATAGTTTTAAGAACAGCGCTACAAAAAGTTTTTATAACTTTGGCGTTCCTCACTAGTCAGAGAACAATACGTTACAGTCCTAAGAGCCGCATTAAAAAATTTTTTTTAAACTTTGGGCAGTCCTAATACACAGCCAGAAACAGTCCTTACTAGGGAACTACTCGGACTCGGGTACGAGTTCAGACTTTAGTGGTTTATAGACCCAAGTTAGAATACTTGAACAAGTGAGAATATCTGCTAAACCCGATAGAGAACTGAGAAAAAATTAGTAGAAAATGTGAAAATTAGGCCTGAAATTTTTCAGAAAACTGCTTTTCACCTTATTTCATATTTACAATCGTCTTGAATGATCCGGCTATGATAAACTCTAAAAAATCTTTTTCCAGCCAAAAGAAGAAGGAAAACAAGAATTTGATAATTTTCAAGCCTAAACTGTTCATTTTCAAAAAGCTTTTTCTCAGAAGCCTATGGGGTTTAGCAGATAATCTCTCTTGTTTCAAAGTACTCTCACCCGGGTCTATAAGCCACCAAAGATCCAACTCGAAACGCGTACCCGAGTCCGAGTAGTTCCCTAGTTAGTAGCTTCTAACACCTCTTTGTTCAATTTTTATTTTATTTCTTCTCTTTTTCCAAATTTTAATCAAGAAACGCCTCGTTTTGACTCAAATGCCTTGATCCGTTGCTCCCAGATTTTTTTTTTCCGATTCTGCCTCTTCCTTCATAGTTATGAATGAGCCTTTGTGCTTTTTTTTTCTGACTATTGTTTGATTGGAACGGAAATCCATACGATTTTTGCATTTACTTTTTTGAGTTTTATTTTACGTAACATTTTCCAGTTTATTTGCCTTTCGGAACAGCTTTTCGGCTTTTGGCCTCGCCGCACACGTTAAATTTCGTGATTATTTTCTTGGTTTCGGCTGCCTTTCATCTTGATAGCATTGTTTAATTAGTTGAAGCTTTCGAGGTTTCATAAATTTTTCTCATTCAAATGGGTCATTGACAGTTAGAAAATTAAGATATCTCGTAAAAGACGACAAAAATGCTACCAGCCTGGTACCCCTTCCAATTTGCGCGCATTTATTCGCCGGTTTGACCTTCGATATGATGGCGAGATAAGGTTCATCCGTCTTCCCACGCATCGTAATTGAACGATCTGTAGTTATACGTTTTTTTTTTCTCTCAGAGTTAGAAGCTGTGAAGTGAAATTGAATTTTTCTACATCATCCTTTTAGAATTTTTGCCAAGGAGTATGATTAATTTTTTCCTAACTTTTATTTTTGTACCCGGTTAGCTCATAGAAACAAAAAAACCACACCGTCTAATTTTTAAAATAGCTAGAGTTTCTCCTCCGGAATCTAGAATCCAATTTCGCATTTTTCTCGTCTTCAAGCACATTTTTTTCAAAAATTCTCCATGTCGCCGCTCTCTGTACACGTTCTATGTTGTTGTTGTGCCGAAAGTATAAAAGACGGACAACAAGTTCAAAAAAAAAAGTTTTTTTTTGCTTTGGCTTCGGACGTAATCGCCGACGGCGGCTGCGGTTCTCCTACCGGGCTGGTTTTCCGTCGGCCGCTGCTTTTTGGGCCCCCCGTCCCTACCTTCGTTTTTCTTTTCTGTGTGCTTTTCTTCGGTCCTATGCCCAAGGCATTTTTCGGTTTCGCCTCGCGCGCTCTTGCCTAAATTCTCCTTTTATTTGTTTTTGTTCTTAGAATGTTGCTCATGTCGCCTTTTTCCGAGTTGCCGCGCATCTTTCTCTTTTTTACTTTTGGTTTCTTTTTGATCGATTCCTTTCAAGTTGGTTGAAGGCGCAGAGAAAGCCTCATTATATCATGGAGTTATTTTTTTGAAAAATAGTTGTTAAATTTTTTTCTTCGATACTAAAAAAATCTGTTTTGAACTAGTTTTTTTGATTCGAAAGTTTATTGCTACATCAAAACTTCAGCTCAAAAAGATCAACCTCAAAAAAAAAAGCTTAAAAAGTGAGCTCAAAGATCTCAGCCTCGTCGAACTTTTGCATATCAAAGGGCTTCACCTAGGATTTCAGTGAACTAATTTTGTATCTTTTTCATTTTGCTGGTATACCTGTCCAGGCTGAGATTTATCAGCTCAATACTTCAAGCTCTTTTTTATTGGTGGGCTAAGCTTCTCTGGGCGGAAAAACCCTGTTGAAATTGAAATTTTTTCACCGTCAACTATTTTTTTCAATATTCATGATATGCCATTTCATCTATCTATAGACAAAATTCTAACTTCATTTTCCAAGTTTCTGTTTTAATTAGTTAGCCGGTCTGATTAATTATGAACTTTCTGAGTAATCAGTAATCTTCATTTTTTTATTTTCCGTTTTCCGCAAACTTTTTTTTCTGCAGATTACTCATTTTTTAGTGCTGAAGTCTGTTTTGAAATACTTTTCCTCGTGTTTGATAATTCATTTCCCGACGAGATTCCAATCATCATCGAAGTAGAAAAAAACATATCAGGGCGTATTTATTCAAGGATCCAACCTTCTTAACATTTTCATCTATGACTCATTTTTCTCTCTGGTTTTTCAACCTATCATGAATCACGTTGGAATTTTTTTAACTTCTTTTTTTGTTCTGTTCCGAGTGATTTTTTTTATCCAAGTCAGAGTTTTATTCCTTTTTTCTGCGAATAGGCTTGCTTGCAAATTTAATTTTGGTTAAAACGCGATTTCCATTATCATATTAAGCAAGCTGGATGTGCTATGAAAAAGATACGAAACGGACACGAAAAAGATGATTATAACTTAACAAGAGACTGCTCAAAGGCTGTCTACAGTCTGTGTACCACGACTTGAAATTTCACTGAACGACATTCCGCTGTTCCGCTGCGTGCGGTCGCGAAGCTTTTTCGCTTTTACGAATCTCGGTTGTGCTTCTAGTTTTTTTCTTTTATTTCAGTGCTCGATTTTCATGTGTTACTAGGGAAACAGTCTACCAGCAATGATAAAAAAAAGCGCTATCGAGGCTTGCAAAGGCAAAAACGCTTCGCGACCGCACGCAGCGGATCAGCGGAATGTCGTTCGGTGAAATTTCAAGCCGTGGCACACAGAACTCATAGAATTTATCCACTATGCTGTGCGTGAGTTTTTCAATAAATTTTCCTGAACAGCTAGCGGAATAACAGTATAGAAACCCAATTCCAGTAGAAAATTTTTCTATTGATTCATTTTTTCCTATCAAAATTAAAGGCGAAAAAGCTCACTCCAATAAACTTCAAAGGCAAGGAAAGGGGGTCAGTTATTTTGTGTCCTTGCATCCAATTTTTTTTTTCTTTTCTTTGCGAGGCGGTTTTGTGCGCGGTATAAACCTCAATGCATTAATCGCATAACCCTCCCTCCTTCCCTCTTTCACAAGCGTTTTTCTACCTTATTTCGTCGCGAAATGACCGTTCCTAGCCAATTTTTCCTGAGCTGCATGTTAATTTTTAGAGTTTTTGTTGACAATTTTTTTCTTGGAGAAACGAATTTTCCAGCTTTTTGGAGCATTCGTTCATTTGAATTTATTTTTAAACAATTTTTGATTTCTCCATATTCTTTCTGATTTCCAGTATTTCCCAATTTTATCAAATTTCCTTATCCTATTCTGGAACCTTCATCACTTCTTTACTTCACATATATTCATCCTCACCGTTCTTGCCTTGATAATTTTTGAAAAAAAAAAAGTTTTTTTATCGATCAATCAAAAAATAGCATTTCCAGACAAAATGAGCTGCTGAGGTGTGAGAAGAGACTGTGAAGTTCATCAATAAGGACCACCGGTTTCTTGGAAACGACCTTGTACTTCGAGGAAAAAAGAAAAGGATCGCCAGAAAAGGAAGTTCAACCTCCCGGGTGCCAAGATGCGTCGCGGAGCTCCTGGCGGAGATCCGTACCAAAGGTATCAATTTTTTTCCTGTACGGAATTTTTTGTAACTATCCGAAAGTTAGCGTATCATGTTGTTTCTACTAGAAAAATGTTAAATTCAAAACTAGCTCTTCATTTTCAAAATTTCCTTTTTTGTACTGTATCTATTTTTCTACGGATCATTCGCTACCACTCTGATGTGTTTGCGCTCTCTTTTCTCTCTTATTTTCCATTTTCATTTTTCAGTGAACGGCAATCTATAGAGAACGCTGTCTCAAGTCGTTGGGATGTTAGGATTTGATTCTTTGAAAGTTAATCGATACTTAGGACCTCCAGAGTGGTCCTTATAGGGGCAAGCTTAGGGGCCTTTGCAGGGTTCCCTCTAGGGTCCACTTTACCAACACCTATAGGAGTCCCTAAAGCTTGCAAAAGAGGTCCCTATGAGGTTTTTAACTAGTGGCCACTATAGGGCACATGGTAGTCTTGAAACGAACTCTAAGCGAAGTAGCATTTCCATGAGAAAAACTGAAAAAATGAGCGTTTTTTGAATGAAATTGAAAGGCCCCTGTAGGGTCCACTTGAGCTTGAGGGGCCAAGAAGTCAGACCCTAAACCCCTATAGGGACCACCTTTATTTTACCCCCATAGAAACCACTTTTCGGCCCCTATAGGGGTTGTTTTCCATCCTAACCCCTAAAGGGACCACTCTGCAAAAAAAATAAAAAGCTTTTTTGCTATTTACTTTCAAACGATGCACTTTGGAAAAATCTAGATTTTTTCTGACCTTTTGCAAAAAAAATAATCATTTTTCACATCCCTCTCCCGTTGTCGAAATGTGGCGTGCAACCAAATGTCACTTCGATTCCCATACACGAAAAAGGTGATTCCATTCGGGAACCGTATCATTCTGTTTATTTCCAATCGTCGTTTCTCCCCGCCAATTATCAAGCCGTTTTGCCTGGCGCCTTGTCGATAGTCGTTATTATTATGAAGATTGCCGTTTGTAATGCTTTCCGTCTCTTTGCCTTTTTAGTGTCTTTTGAATGGAATAGTGGAGTTTTGCGCTGTTTTAAAAACAACTCGAATTTTAATTTTTAGCTTTTTTTCAAATGAAAAGATTATAAAAACCATTATTTCTCAAATTTTTGTTTGAATATTTTTTTACAGTTCTAGAAGTTTTTTTATATTTATCTTTTTTTATCTATATATATTATTTTAATCTCAAGTCAACCTACCCGATATTTTTCTTTTTGATAAATACGTAGAGAATCAACGATTTTTCTTCCTAACGAATTGCTGTAGGTCAACCAGCTTTTATAACCTCAATTAATCAAGTTTCTAACTAGTGCCTTACAACAGAAAAGACTTAAGAATTGGCTTTTTTCTAGGAAAGTTGAATGGGGTCCTGCCTTTGCGTAAATGTCACTCATTATTCTCTCTTTTGGTTTCACACATCGCCAAAAAAAGGGCGTGGTCTCGTCCCAAACTTCTCATTTTGCCATTTGAAACCGATACTTGCGTGCCTTTTGGTTTTTCCTCTCAGAAGTTTAGATTTAAATTTCCCTGCTGCTTGTTTTTTTGTATAACTGTCTCTTCTTTGGAATTATCTCGTTAAAAGTCATTTTTCTCAATCAAAAATGTCATGCCCTTGGTTCAAAAGAGCAACTCTTTCCACAAAAAGAACATTATCGCGCAAGCTTTTATGGGCATGGCATGTACTGCGTAACACCTTTGTCTCTTGTCACCCGTGAATTCCAAACCGTACAATCGCATCTTTGCTATTCCAAAAGGAACTGATAGGGAGACGATGGACTCGAAATACATATAAGTTGAGGGTTTGTTTGACAAGTTTGTAATCTTTGCGCGGCTCTACCCACGAGTAAACAATTGTTCATTTGGACCTCTTATTAATATTACTGTCATCAATAATTTCATGAGTAATCACTTATTATCCAGTAGTAGATACTTCAAAACAGGATAATTGATAAAAAAAACTCTACAATATTGAAAAAAAAAACAGTTTTTTTCTTCTGATTTGTGAAAAAAAGTTTCTGATGATTTTTTTGGAGCTTCTCTTAGGCCTGCCGTACTTTATTAAAGGTGTTTTTTTGAGTGGTTTTTAAGCTTTTCACAAATTTCATGGTCATTTATGAACTTAAGCTTGCCGGAATTTTTTTAATTACTTTTTGAAGAAGATTGTGAAGCCTGCCAGAATCAAATCATCAAAAAGTTCCCTTTCTATCACAAAAAGTTTCGAAAAATCTCATCAATTTTTAAAGTTTTTTTGAAAAAGATCTTCTCGATTAAAAAAAGTGGGTTTCGAGCTAAATTAGAAATAAAAGTTCCTAAAATCGAATTTAAAATCTTAAAAAAAAGTAACCATTTGGTAGCACACCAGCCATAGCGCTTCTCTTTATCTTTTCTCACGAGATTCTTTTTTTTTTTTTTGATGTGTCAACCCCCATTCTGAACGAAACGGATTGGAGGCGTTAAAACGATTGAGGCGCCAAAAAGTCGCCGGCTTATCTATCAGCTCTTTCTTTATTATTTTCGACCTCGGGACCTTGTTTTAGTCGTTCAGCTGTATTCTCATTTTTATTACAGAAAATAATTGCAACCAAATTTTCCGTATGTTCCAACTGTTGTTAAAGTTTCAGAGTTGAGCTTTGCAGATTTATCCTTGATATAAAGTCTGAATATTTTTCATTTTTTTTTAAGATGTGGTTTTTTGAACTTTTTCGAAGAAATTAAAGACCTTTTTTCCTTTGATATTCTTCTCAACAAAACAAAAGCCGATCGGCAAAATGATTATTGCGGGCGTTTCCTCGCACCATTTCCTATCGTCGCCTTATCTTCTCTTTTTTCAACCGGTAATTCTGTCGCCTTTTTCTCGCACTTACTCATTCCTTCAGGAATTTTTGGGTTGTTTTATGGTGTCACATTTTGACGTTCCGAGTTGTTCACTTGTGAGCTTGAAGATTTTGTTCTTGTGTTTTAAAAATGCATTTTTCTTGTTTCAGGGAGAAACTGTAAATATTTTTTTCAAGTTTGAACGACATTTTTGAATAAAAAAAAATCGTTGGAACTATCTTCTAAGGGTCCCTCTTTTTGCAGTCGACCCTCGCCGGGTTACTACTACTCGCGACCAGGTGGTATCCCTGCCGCTGCGCCGTCACCATCATACTCTCAACAGTCGCGAGCACCAATGTCTCAACCTATTGGTGATTTTTTTTTGAGTTTTTTGAGAGTCGACCTGATTTGAGAGCGTTTAGGTTAATATTCAAGAAGAAGAATTTGAATTTTATGCGTCAACTAATGTATAGGATATTCTATCAAGCCTTGGTTTTCACACAATTATGAATTCGACAGGTCGACGAAGCGCTGACTACCGCGCCGAGCCGCGATATGAGCGCGACGTCCGTGAGCACGGCTTCGCGAGTGCCGAGCCGCGACTTGAGGACAATACCCCGTCGTACAACGTCGAGCATTTGGCGACGTTCGCCGTGGGTCGGCAGTTCGGGCTGACCGTGCCGGCGGATGGAATCCGAAAGCTCAAACAAATGGAGAAGAACTCGGCGATCTGGGCCCAGCCGCTCATTCTTCGGTTTCGGCAGAACATCGTCACTGTCGAGGATGAGAATGGGGTACGGTCTTAAAAGCATTACCATTAGAAGAAGTAGTAAGGCTAGAACGTTCATTTTTCGAACTCATGCATCGGCTGGATCACACCCCAGCCATTTGCGCGCGAAAAAAAAATTTGAAAATGTACTGAGGGGGTAGGTTGCATCCTGGGGTGGAATCCAGCTGACTTATGTTCGAACTTCATAATAATCTTGAGAGTCCGCCACGACTTGACAGTTTTTTCGCATGTCTACGTTTCTCTGTTCCCTCACCGGCGAGGTCATAGAAAAGCGAAAATAGCGCATCCACAAGAGAGGGTCATCGAGAGACGAGGAGGGCGGAAGTCCCGCCCTTTCAAGTCGCGAAAAACGGGCTATAGATGTTTCCAAGATCACAGCTTTTTGAGGCTGAAAAAAAAGTTTTAGAAGAGCTTAGTCATGGTTTTTCAAGTCATCTCAGCTCCTATGTGATATTTGAAAGAAGTAATTGAGCCAAATGTGGTTAAGGACCTCGTGGAGCAGTTCCCGTTGGACCTCATCGAGCAACCAACGGCTCATGTTAGCAGCGACCCTCGCGACACCTACAACAATATGTTGCTTTTCGTCGTCCGAGAGGACCGCAAACGAACCAACACACCCACGGAGATGCACATTTTCCAGGTGAACTATTGAGTCTTTCACAAGTTTGGATAACCAAAAAAAAAACAATGAAAATTCTCCTCCAACATAAGGTGACCAAAGAAACATGAATATTTGGAATCCAGCCAATGAATACCCTTCTTCTCTTACCATCACACGAAAATTAATGCGCTGAATTTACGAGCGCCTGCGAGTTTTAAATGATAAGCAAAGCAGATATCGAATCGTCGCGGTGTTTTGCATACATCGTAACGCGCAACATTTTCTTTTAGATTGGGGATGCAAAGTAACTAATAAATGTTTCTGACAGGGGGGTCATTTTATTTTTGCGATCGAGAAATTCTTGAAAATCAGCCAGAACACTTCCCGATGTACCAGATGGAGATACTACAAGTCTCAACCTGCACAGCTTCCTAGTTTTCGAGAAATGAGGGCTTAAAGTCAAATTAAACCATCGGAACACGTAAAATTAGGATTTTCCCAGCAATGTGTCTAAAGAGAGATAAAATGATAATCTCGGGATCATCTATCTCAGGATAATCTTCTCATTTTTCCCTTTCCTTACTTACTGAGCGATGAACACGGCTTAGTTGGCGATTGAAAGATTCATTGAACGATCAGGCTCTGTAAAACCGAATAACAACTTATCAGGGCCTGTCTGAAGCTTAGTTGATTAGCATCACCGATATAGCCGACTCGCGGCTGACTTCGGACGTGAGAACCCGCGGGACCATAAATGGGCAGACCATTTTTAGAGGCCGCCGACCCTTCTTCCAATCAAAGAATACCTCCACCAACCATACAGACTTTTTCTTTTTTGGGTCAAAACCCTTTTTCGATGGCTCAAGCCATTGGTTTTTCAAATTTTTGGCAGACCCAAGTGCAGCACCAAAAAAGTCCCTGTAGTTTTGTAGTTTTGTATTTTTGAGCAACACCAAAAAGATCTCCATGCATTTGACAGTCCTAAGAGCCGCACTAAAAATTTTCATAGGCAGTCCTAAGGAATAAAAAATGACCTCTCCCAGGAACTATCGATTTTCTACTGTGAATCAGTAACAGGATTTCGATTACTGTGTTTTTTTTTTACAGTGCAACCGAGTGGCGGCAAACGAAGTGGCCGACGACCTGCAGGCGTACATCCGCGGACAGTTTCGTCGTGTCAGAAACGGACGCCGCAGCAGTTCCAGCTTCCCGCCGCAACAACGTAAGTTTTCAATATATTTGGCTGATCGGATGGGATTCTGTCCGTTCATACATCGGCTGGATCTACCACCACCTTCCAGTCGACGTGTTTTTCTGTTTTAATTGTCTAAATAAGCGCTGGTCGAAATTCATAGTGAGGCTTTAAAATGGCTGGTTATCGCATTGGGAAATGATTGCATTTGTCGTCAGTAGGAAAAGATCGTTTTTAAAGTTCATTTCCGTTGAATTGAGATGTTTGGCGCCTTTTGAAAGTATTAGAACTTTACAGAATGTGAGCAAACTAGAGTTCAAAAATTTAAACAAAAAATTGAAACAATGGGAATGTTTTCATTCAGTTTTTCAGCCGAAAGTTTGATTTATTGCAATTTTTCAACCTAAAATTCCAATAAAATAAGTAAAAAGATCAAAAAAGCGTTCACCGTAAGTCGAGAAAGTTTTAAAAAAAAATTGCTTCTTTTGTTTATTATGCTGCACATGAGTTTCACCTGTGAATTTTATCGACTTTTTTTCCCACTCCGAGTCTCGGAAAATTTGATAAAAGACGCTGGAAGAGCCATGTCATTGTGGAATGCGAGAGCGATAAAAACCCAACTCTTTTCCTTGTCGTTTCGGCCTCTTTTTTATTTCGAATAACGTTGTTCGTGACGCGCTCGGTGAGGATGTTTGAGCGGGTAAAAGTTATCAAACGGCCCCCCGCCTCGGGCAAATATTCTTTCCAGCTTTTTTCGTTAGTTGAACTATACTGATAATGTCATTTTTTTTACTTTGATGTGAATTTTTTCCAAGCTGTCGGCGTGTGCTTTGTTGTATCGAAAATTAGGACCACAGCAGGGGGATTTGTATTTTTAAAAAGCGATTTTTTTGATTTTGATCGAGGTTGGGGCTTCATTACTGAATCATTTACCTGAGGTTATGATAAAAACTTTTTTTAACTTTTTTGAATATCACGATTAATGTTTTTTTACAATTTAATGATTTCAAATAAGTTTTTAGGTAACCAGTGTGAAAGTTCATCACTCAGAAATTTCGAAATTATTTCCAGTTCTTCAACTTTTTTTTCTCATTGGAACTCAGAAGAGGTAGTTTCAATTTTTGAGAATCAGTTGAGGCAAGAATGAACTTTCTACGTGGAAAAGGTGTTCTTTGTTTTTCATATTGTACGCGAGTTTTTAACTAAATTCAAAGGGTTCATGAATTCTCAGGAAAAAATAGGTTTTTGCAAAATTAGTAAGAAAATGTGCATAAAACAGAATATCAAAGCTGCAAAAAATAATTTTTTTGCAATTTTAATATCACTTGTTATCTTTTTATTGATTTCCCTCACAATACCAACTTTCCGGCCGTTATCTTTGGCCTATTTCGTTGTGTTTCTTGTTGAAATTTTCCTCCTCGCTCATCTTCCAGAATATATACTTTTCAAAGTTATAAAAAAATTCATTTTTCAGAAATGCCCTTCTACCCGCCAGATGATGCGAGCATCAGCAGCGAATCGACAGAATTATTTGAACGCGAAGTCGTGAGTTTATTATTATTTTTTTCGAAAAATGAATCTATATCAAAGTTTTGCAGAACACCCTGAATCGTTGCTTCGACGACATTGAACGTTTTGTGGCCCGGATTCAGTCGGCTGCAATCGCACAGAGGGAAATTGAGCAGCAGGTTTGACTTTTTGTCGATGACACATAGCTTTTTTGTGGTTCTTTTTAATGCTGAATCGCTTAGGAAGGGGGGAATCATTGAGTGATTATTGGAGAAAGTATTTGAAGAAACTATAAAAAAATTTAAAGAAAAAAAAATTCAGAGTTGTTTACTTTGCTCGAGCTTCGATATTGTTTCATTAGAATAATCCAAAAACCTTGTTTGAGGCTTCAAAAATACTTCCTAAAGCAGTAAGCGGAAGGTTTTTAGGTATATCCCAAGTAAAGCGCAAAAAGCTTCCTCGGAACAGTTCCCCCCCCAACAATGAAGATTTTTTCCAACCTCAAAAATAGAAACTCAGCCAACGAAACGTAATAAAAAGACGCCGATAAGGTCTTTCGAAGGTCTCTTTTTAGCTGAATTTTTCTTTTTTGTTTCCGACTCAAAATATTGTTTGACTAGACTTGACCGTTGATCTGCGCGGTTCTGGGAGACTAAAAGTTATCTCCACTGTCATTATTTTGTATTTGTAAACTCTCTTTCGATTCTTGTTCTAATGTGTTTTTGCAGAATTATCGCTATCGGACGGCTCAACGAAGGGATAAGCGGCAGAATGCGCCGGATCCGAACGGAATCCTCTACAGACGAGCTCAGTTACCAATCGAAGCGGAGTTCATCGACGTCTTCAAGAAGTTCAAGCTGTCGTTCAATTTGCTCGTGAGTCTTGAATTGAGTATTGATAATAGCAAAATGTGCAGCTTTTAAGGATTTATGAGAGAATCTTGAGCTTCAATACTACCGATTTTCAAAAGCTCTCCAACTCAGAAATTCTGCAGGCAAAGCTGAAAAACCACATCCACGAGCCGAACGCCCCGGAACTGCTGCACTTCCTGTTCACGCCGCTGTCGGTGATCCTGGAGGCGTGCCATTGGGGCCTGGGCCGAAACTTGGCTCCATCCGTCCTCTCGCCGCTTCTTTCCTTGGAAGCACGAGAGCTCATGCAGAACTGTCTGAACAGCCGCGAGAGCGACATCTGGATGAGCCTCGGCGAGGCCTGGCGCACTCCGCCGTCAGTTTTTTCATTGAAGATTTTGGAAGATTCTTAATAGATGATTTTTTTATTTCTGGAAACGCCGTTATTTTACAACTTCTTCGAATTTAAACCTATCATGATGATCTTAGTTTCCCTACTAAGAGAAAGAAGCATGTCTGGGAAACGATGAAACCAAAACTCGAATGAAACTTGATTCATGAGCAGCGCCTAAATCTGTTGGCAGTTCTGAAAGCAGCGATACAAAATCCTTATATTTTAGGCAGTCCAAAAAACAGCACCAAAAAGCTATCCATATTTTTTTGGATTTGAACTTTATTGGTTAGCAGCGCCGAAATCCGTTGGCAGTTCTGAAAGCAGCATCAAAAAGCTATCCTTATAATTTTGGCAGTCCAAAAAGCTATTCATATGATTTTGGATTTGAACTTCATTGGTTAGCAGCGCTAAAATCTGTTTACAGCCCTAAAAGTGGTGGCGAAAAATTCTTATATTTTAGACAGTCCAAAACGCAGCACCAAAAAAAAAAAGCTATTTATAAGGTTTTGGACTTGGAATTTAGTAGTTAGCAGCCCCGAAATCTGTTCGCAGCACCAAAAAGCTTATTTGGCAACACCCCGAACAACTCCTAGAAAGATGAAAATTTCAAATTTCATTCCAGAGAGGACTGGGCAGGAAACCTACCACCGCCTTACCGGCCAATGTTCATGGACGGTTTCGCGCCGTACGGCGTTGCCGACAGAGGAACTCCCGTGCCGAATCCGCTGCATCGAGGACAGTCTGCCCCGCCGGAACACTACAGACAGCCGCCGTCGTCGCGTGAACGAAACGCTCTCGATACGGTATATAAATTTAGCTTTGCGAGTTTTTTAGGATTAGAATAACGAACTGATTGCGCTTCCAAGTATTGGAGGTTTTTCAACTGGATGAAATTATCAAGTTTTAATGGTATAGGGCTTCTCTGGAGTATCTCCTTACTTCTTTACCCATTTTTTTTTTCTCATTGGTCACCTGTCCGCTGTCCTTGTTTCTGTGCATGAGCTTTTGTTCCTTCAGGCGCCAAATACGCCCGTCTCGTCCCGAAATCGCCCGTCGCGTCCGCACCGCAACATGAGCGTTGACAATGTGAGTTTCTTTCGACAACTATCCCTCATGTTATTTCCTATTATTTCCTTTTTTCCGAAATTTATTTCCTAGGGTGAATTATGGAAAAAAAGTGTTAAAGGGCGTGATCTGAAATGTCGTGGTCGCACGTAAAATGGCCTGAAATGTTGCGCTTGGAACTGAAATCACAGCCGGTCTGACATTCAGCAGCTAGCTTTTATTGTCAGTGCGCGCAAGCCGCTACGGGTCGGGTGCAACTTCACGCGTCGAGCCATTCCACATGCGAACAAGAGTTCTCCATTTGAAAAAAATTTAAGTTTACAACAATTATCCGAATCAAGAATATCAGGAAATGAAATTGGGCTATCTTTTCGCATGATTTTTTTTCTGTCGCCTTAAAAATAGGCAACTCCCACTTTCCCTTCAATTTTACCCTCTCGTTTTCCTCTTGTTTCATTCAGATATATAGTTTTCCCTGGGAAAAACAATTTGCACGTTTTTTGGTTTCTTTTCATGCATATCTTACGTTGGTAGGCATGGTTTTGTTGGAACTGGGGTCTCCTGAAAGAAATTTTCTTTTTGAAAAAAAAAACTGAGCATTTGAAGAAAATTTTGGTTCAAAAAAGTTCCTGATTTTTTGGAATATCTTCCAATAGATTCATAGACGTTCAAAATTTTTCCAGCTGGAACTTGATCGGCTGTCATTGGAACGAGAACGGCTGGAATTCGAAAAGGCCAAGATTGTCGAGAGGGAGAGTCGCCTGAGGGCAGAAGAGAAGCAGATTGAGTGAGAAAAATGATGAACTCGGCTTTATTTTCATGATACTGATTATTATAGAGACGAGAAACGTCGCATGCAGGCCGAGAAAAGTTTGATCAAAAAGGAAAGTCGTGAAGAGCCGCCCGTCGTCAACAATGCGCGATACGATCCGTTCGTTTATCATTTTTTATTGAGGACCGAACTAGTGAAAAAAAAAGCAAAATTGAGCTTTGATAATTAGGCAACGTTGGATCAAGAGCGCTCCAACGAAATCTTTCTCTGATTGACTTGAAACTTGAAGGCCTTTTTGTTCATTAGAGCGCACTTGTCAAGCTAAATTCAACGGAATAAAAGAAATAATTTTTTGGAAAATCTTTGAGGTTCGAAAAAGTTGGGATCATGCAAGGCTTGCGTACTTTGCGTTAAGCAAAAAGAAACTGGCAGGTTTTGAGAAGGAAAATAAGTGATAAAATTAATAAATCAACTGGCTTTTTTATTGAAGAAAGATGTCATGAAAATAACCTGAGGCTTAGAAGTCTTTTCGAAGAAACGAAAATTAGGCTAACAAAACTGAAGTGAAGCGAGGAGAAGGTCCCAAAAAAGCCCAAAAAAAGTAAGACAGAGGGGTGAAAGCGGACATAAACTGAAGCAAAACGGACAGACATATATTTCTTTTTTTATTATTTTTTTATGAAAAATTAGGAAAAATTCCAAAAATTCCACCACTTCCAGTGTGCTGCCCCAGCCGTCGCCGGCACAGCGACAGCCACCGTACTCCAACGTTCGCGTCGTCGTCGACGCCGACACGTCGCCGCGACAACAAGCCTTCATCGACGACGTCGTTTCGCGCGCTGGAAAACTCGTTGTCGCGACGTTTGACCGCGTCGCCCAGAACCCCAAGGAGTTGACCGTCAGCCGCGGCGAGTACCTTGAGGTTTGAGTTCATTTCCTCAAACTAAAATCTGAACTTTTCTAGGTGCTGTACGATGAGAAGAACTGGTGGGAGTGCAAGAATATGCATCAAAGAGTCGGATACGTGCCACACACGATCCTCTCCATGGTGCCGCTCGAACATCAGCAGCCTGCCTACGCCGTTCGTTTTTATGATTTTTATAAATGACTTAAGCAGTTTACGAGTTTATTATTTTTTCAGTAATGGTTTTTCAGATTTAGCAATGATTTTTAAATGTAGAGGATCGAGTAGCGTAATAACAATCAATTAATATAACTGTTGAAAAATAGAGTCATTTTGTATCTTTGGGTTGAATTTGGAGACTTTGAACCAGTGAGAAAGTTTGTAGGAGATTTCGAGGACCAGAAACACGTTTTTGGGCTCTCTTTGGGTATCAAAAAAATAAAATGAAACTGACTCAATTTTGATTCCAAGAGCCGTTTGCAAGCCTATTCTCAGTTGGAAAGTAAAGAAAAAATTTGAAATTCTTTTTCCGATTTTATTTTTTAGTTGTTCTCTTATTTAGACGTTCAGAAGAGAAATTATTTTGTTGAATTGAGAAATAATAAATTTTTTTAACACTCGAACAAAATCGTATTGGTGGATATTGCCGCTGAAAGGAAGAGGCTCGAAAAAGGTCGCAAAAAGGCAGAAAAAAGAGACCTTCAATTTTTTCTGAAATTTAAAAGGCTCAAGAAATGGTGGAGAAAGGAAGAGGCAGCAAAAATGGTGCATAAGAGGCGGTGAAATAGCACAAAAAGGCAGCAAAAAAGGAGCTTTTGTCTTCCTAAAAGGAACATTTCTACGCAGCTTTTTTTTCCACCCGTTTTGACTTTGTCCATAGAAAAAGTCTGTCTTTTTGCTGCCTTACTGCGGCTTTTTTGAGCCTCTCCCTTTTAGCGGCCATTATCCACCATTCCGACTTTGCCCGAGTCTATGCCAGTTTTTGGAGAAAAATAAACAATGAAAATCAATTTTATCAAATTGCTCTTCCAAATTATCGTGATTGGTTGCAAAGGACAAAACTTCTTTTTTTCAGTCGCCCAACGGTGGAGCGATATCGCAACGACATCTGCCGCCAGCGCCAGGTATGCTGCCGGACGACGCGCCGTCCTACGTGAAAGAGCGTCAGGGAAAACGCGGCGAATTTCGCTACTTCTAAATAAAACAAGAGAATAAATTCAAAATGAATCAGGAACGTCTACTCCCAACTGTGATATAGGCTTTTTATTCAATTTTTCTTTTCGAATACCGTGTAACTGAATGCTCAACCTTTTTTTTCAATCTTCTTTTTCAACCAAAAACAACAAATTTCTAACCTATAACTGGGATCGTTGGCTTGAGAAACGCGATTGTTCATGTCGGGAAGCTTTTCTGGAATCTAAGCGATGCTAGTACAAATTTTGAACGGTCGCACTGCGAATGGCTTGAAACGTATAACCATTCCAAATGCGACCGGGAAGTTCTAAATTGAAGGAAAATCGATAGCAGCCCCAAAAATGGCCATCATGTTCTTAAGCCAACGGTGAATACACTAAAATCTTTCGATTAACGCGACTAATGCTCACTCGCCAATACTAATCGTTGGAAAACTTCTCTATCTGCACGTTTTTTCCTCTTTTAAAAAATAATAGAAGAAAATATATGTCTGTCCGTTTTGCTTCAGTTTCTGTCCGCTTTCATCCCCTCTGTCTTACTTAATTTTTTTTGGGCTTTTTTTTTGGGACCTTCTCCTCGCTTCATTTCAGTTCTAATAGCCTATATTTCATTTTTCAAAAAGACTTCTAAGCCTCAGGTTATTTTCATGACATCTTTCTTCAATAAAAAAAGCCAGTTGATTTATATTTTTTTATCACTTATTTTCCTTCTCAAAACCTGCCAGTTTCTTTTTGCTTAACGCAAAGTATGCAAGCCTTGCATGATCCCAACTTTTTCGTACCTCAAAGATTTTCCAAAAAATTCTTTTCCTTTTTTCAGATGTCCGTTTTCATGAATTTAGCTTGTCAAGTGCGCTCTAATGAACAAAGAGGCTTGTCAAGATTCAAGCCAATCAGAGAAATATTTCGCTGGAGCGTACTTGACCCAACATTGCCTAATTCTCGAAGCTCAATTTTGCTTTTTTTTTCTCAAAGTTCTTGCTTCTGCTCCCATATCTTAATTGTGCCAATATTTGCAAGGTTTCTCTTTCTTTTTGCGCCTTTTCCTGAAAATATCTCTTTTATCGATTTTCGAAAGTTATATGTTATGTTATTGATCTTGAGAAGAGTAAATTATTTATATATATGAATCTTGCAACCTTTGTTCTGTGCACGTCGCATTAAAAAAACTGAAAAAAAAATCAATTAAAGGGAGAAAGGTATTTGGCGAGGAGCATTGGTCGCATTGAAGGGAAAGAATCAATAATTAAACTTGGAAATGAAAGAAAAAAAAAACTTTTTAAGTCGAAAACCAATTAGTTTTAACTTCTTTTGGAAAAAAATTAAAAGATTTTCATTTTAAATAATTTCAAAGTTTTCCGATAGATTCAGTGTAAAATGTTCTAAAAAACTTGCATCAAGGAAATTTTCGAAGCAAAATTTTGTGTAAATTCAAAGATTAATCAGTGAGCCTCTACGAAAATTTTCTCGAAAAAAAAAGTTTTTCAAATTTTCCGAGAAGGCCAGAAGGAAAAAAACGAATAGATGAACAAGTAATCTGAAATATTGAAGACTGTAACGGACGTAAATTATAAAATGAAGTTTGGAACTCAAAACCAAAAAAAAAAACTGAGCATTATTAGTGGTACAATCGACTCGACACATGACCGTTTCCGACGCCGGCGTCCAGGTCGAAATAAAGCAGCAGCATCCGCCACAGCCACCACCACAACCGCCACAGCCAGTCTACGTTCCTCCGCCACCTCCTCCTCAGGTTATCATCGATAAATACAAGTTAACGTGAAAGAAAAAAATTTGAGAAAAAGAAAAAAATGAAAATTTCGAAAAAAACGAAACTCCTCTTGACGTGTGCGCTGGCGCGACGTTTCACGAGAAATAGTCGTCATTTTTCTGCTCAAGTTTTCTTATATCCTGATTATTGTAATCGCAGTTTTTCTTCTGCAAAACTGTTTTAATTTCTTTTTCTGACTGGTTTTCATCCTTTATCATATTTCTTTTAGCAGCAAAAAAAAATTTTTTTAAAAAAATTTGAAATTAGTTTTTAATGAAAAATTTGATTTCTTTATTATTTTTCTGTATTGATATTGAAGATAAATAAGTAAATATTCACTGTTTATCTCTTTTTGACTCCAAAAAAAGTTTTTCTTGTCCATTTAAAATTTATAAAAAAACTTCGGCAGTATGTTAAATTTCGTCAGCGGTGAATGCACGAGAAACATTATATTTCACGACTTTTTTGTAGGCGGATTTTTATTTGGATACACCGTGTTTCGCTTCAAAGCTACGTTGAAAAATTCGTAATAACACGGCGAAATAGACCGTATAAGTCACTTAAGTATAATTGGTAGCCCTGGCAGAATCTTTTGAATTCAAGTTCTGCTGTTTCGAAGTTGATTTCTTATTTTATCACAAAAATAAGTGTTGCTCCCCTTTTCAAACTGTTTCAGAATATTTTCGTGTGAGATTTTTGTTGTTTAAAAGCGCAAATCGGGCTTTCCTCCTCTTTTTTGTTGCTTGAAACGAATTTTGAAATTCAGGTGATTGTCGCTCCTCCGGCTCCACCTCCACCGCCAGCTCCCCCCATTTCCGACTTCCAGCAGCGAATTCAACAGAAAGCGTTGAAGCAAACTGTAAATATTCAGATATACAGGAATTTACATTGAAGTTTTGTGTTTTCAGAGTCAACCGGAGTCTCCGCGCGAAAACCTGTACTCCCCACCGCGTCCGGCCATCGATATCTCACGTCGTACCGCAAGTCATTTTCAAATCTCATTCTTTAAAACATTGAGTGCAGTGAGAAAGGGTTGAGAGATGTTACAGGCTTCGAAACGGGAATAATCCATGTTAAATTTGGTCAAACTGAAATTTTGATACAAAAATTGTTTTGCCAGTTGTTTTGGTACATGTTACAAGTGGACTGCGGACTGTGATTCAGCATGGCGTTTTTTTGGCGACACCATATATTGTTTTCCGTAAAGTATAGTGTGTCGTGTGCATACACTGCGGCGCTCTGGCACACGCCGCGTTCAACGCAATATTCGCGAACTGAAATTCAGTTATATTTTTCACTCTCTGGTGGCTATTTTGACTTTCGCGGAATTACTTTCAACACGGCATGTGTTTTAAAACAAAAAAAAAACAGAAAAATTGCGTTTAAAAAAAAATGAGAAATATATTCCTCTCGGGACCCATTTATGCGCCTTTAATGTTCCTGTTGATTACGCGTTTTTTTCCCATGACGCCACATGGGAACAGCGGATATTTTGACCACGCCTCCTTAATATTTGGTTTTTCATTTTCTTCTACTAACAAAAACGCCGTGTCAGACAATGCTTCAGAAACTTTTAAAAGTTACAAAATAAGATTTTGAATATTTTCAAAGGCACCAGACCTGTTTCAGACTAGTCTAAAGTGGTACGAAAATTTTTCAAAAATTGTTAATTTTTTCTATTGCGGTAGTATTACGGTAGCTTCACAAGGACTTTTTGAGCGAGCAAAAATTTCCAAAAATCAGGAAAAGGGCTCAGAATGTAGCGGATGCTGTAGTTGGGGACCGGCGACTGCGTTCTAGGCTTTTACACGGGATTTTGATATCAGTATAAATTATTAAAGTTTTGATTGCAGATCCACAGTTGATTGGAGAATTGAGCGAGACGATCAGCAGAAGAGATGGAAATGCGCTGAGAGCAGCTGGAAGCCGTCAAGCCAAGGTGACTGGGCATTCTTCAAGGAAAATGAGCCTTTTTTTTTAAAATTTGTTATGTGAGGGTCAATAACGAGATCATTGATTGGATTTTGAAATGATTTTCCTCCAGGTAGCCATTGATGAGCGGTCGACACCTGAAGAAGTCTCCCTTTGGTTGCAGGTCAAAGGGTTCTCGCCAAGGTCAGTTTCAATCATTTGATTTTAGAAAGATCGGTTTTTTTTCAGAGTAATCGACTTGCTCGATGGCCAAGATGGCGCCAACTTGTTCTCCCTGTCCAAGCTGCACCTTCAACAGGCCGCCGGCCGAGAGGAAGGAAGCCATCTCTACAGCCAGCTTCTTGTTCAGAAGAAGCGATCTGGGGTCGGTTTTGGAAAATATGGGAAAACCTATCTCGATATTTGTCCGCTCTTTGATGAATAATGTTTCCAAAATTGGTGGGCAAACTCCAGTGGCCACTTAGAAGGTGTCTCATTGACTACTTGGAAAAGACGCTACAGAGGCCACTAAAGCCACTTCTTGAGAGCCGCTATTTTGCGACTATAGCATCACCTAAAAACTCTAGAGTGGTCCCTATAGAGACGGCCTTTAGGGCCCTTGGGTAACACTTTACCAACTTCTATAAGAGCCACTAAAGCTTGTAAAACCCTATAGGGATCACTTTTTCGGCCTCTACAGGAGCTGTTTTTCACCTTAATCCCCGTAGGGACTACTCCAAAACTCTTAAATATTTATCGGTACATTTATATCACTTGGACATCTGAAGAGGCCGTTAAAGTTTAGTCACTTAAGTGGCCACTAATTCGACAGCTACAATGGCCTCCAAAACGCCAAAAATCTAAAATTTCAACTTAAGCCTGTCCTAGAAGCTCTCAATAATTCCCCCAATCGAACTTTTTTTTCAGAATTTAAAATTTATCTTTTGAAAAATAAGCTTACATAAAAACCCTGTAGTGGCCACTATAGGGATTTGACGTTTTAGTGGCCACTATAGTAGTCAAATTAGTGACCACTTAATGGGTTAATAATTAGTGGCCACTATAGAGTTCTAAGTACTACTACTAGACTACTAAAAATCCTAGTGATCACTTTAGGGGTCAATGGATCAACACAACTGGTCCAATATGTTTGTTTTAAAATTATCAGAGTTACTGGAAAGAATACTGGATAAAAAACTACTGAAGTGGCTACTAAATAGAGAAACACTGCAGAGACCACTCAAACGGAAAATAGTGGCCACTATGGAGGTGGGATTATTGTCCTCTCCAAGTAGTCCTTGGCGAGCCTCTATGGTGGCCACTAAACATTTTCCCAGTATCCTGGAAACTTGGAAAAAAAGTCAACAGAAAAATTTTGCGTTTGCTCATCTTTAAAGGCATAGGGGCAGTAAAAAATGGGGTTTCAGGTAAAAGCAGTATCTTATATAGTTTTTCTTTGCGAATCGAATGGTGTACTCAAAACAATTACAGATGTGACAACTTTAAAAGAAAAACGCGATTTTACTTTCCCGCCTTTAGTTTTGAAAAAAGCTTTGGATCGGCCTACGGACAAATGTTTACAGTAGCCGTGCACGCGATATTGCGGACGTCTCATTAGACTCGCATTTTGTGAGAAATAACCGGCTCTCTGCTTCAAATTAAGGGTTTCTTTTCTGAAAAAAGGTTTAGTCAAACAAAAAACACACACCGATAATAAAGGAAACACAAAATAACGCTATCCCAATCGAAACCGATGTAAAATCATCATTTTTCACCAAAGAAGCATTTTTGCGATCAAAGTTTGCAAATTATACATGAATAGAAAGTTTTTGGGACAAAAAGAACTGTGGTGACAACAGGAAAAATTGAAATTTGAAAGAAACGAAGAAAAAAGCGAAAATCCGGAAGATGGGAAAGCCTGTTGTCCATAGAGCAACTTTACTGCAAAGTGCCCTTTTTGCGGGAACTCAAACTTTCTTCTCTCCGACTTTGAATTATTTTTTCTCCAGAACTAGGAAGTTCGGTACGTTTTCAAGTTTACCGTTCGATTCGCAATGAAAAACTCTACAAATTACTGCTTTGAACTGAAACCGTTTTTTACTGCCCCTATGCCTTTAAATTGGAATATTCTTCAGTTCCGAACGCACACGGCCGACGAACTGAAGGCGATCCTGCATCAACGGCGGCACCATGTCGAACTTTCCAACGAGACTCCAGCCAACGAGCCGACTTTTGCCGTAAATGGACATTAATTCCCGATTATCCTCACTTTTTATCCTGTGATTCTGTTCTGTGATAAGTTTTTTTTACCATTATTTAGTTGATATACCTTTTTTCTTTTCTCATTCTTGCTCTACACTAATTAGAATCTTGTATTTGAGGTGGTTAAGAACAAAAAAAAGTTCATTTTCAAGATTCTCCTTTATCACCTTTTTTTTTTGAATTTTCTATCAAAAATCATTCCTCGCAATCCCAGTATCGCATCCTCCCAAACAAATCGCTGCCATATTCTTCGAAAATTATACATATTTAACCGTTCTCCATGACACCTTTCTCTCGATTTCAGTTCGCTAGGAAAGCAGAAAAAAAAAGCTCAACCTTATTTCCAATATATATTCTCCAACTGTGATGAAGTAATATTCGGTTAAACTTTTTTTGAAAAATTTTTTTATAAATAAATGAAAAAAATTCCTTGCTTCAACGTAAGGTAAGATGAACTGGATTGCAATATTTTGGGTGTCACCCGATTGGAAATATTGAAGATTTGAAGAGAAAATGAAATAACAACTTTTCTGACAGGTGCATCGAAAAGACTCACGGAGCCGAGCAGAGAGGAAAATTTGAGGAATAAAAGGTGAATAATATTAAAAATGCATGTAGATCGAGGTTTGAACTATTAGGAAAAATGGTTTTACGGGGCGTAAATCGTGTTTTATATAGGAATTGATAATTTACGGGCTGCAAACTGTCACTACGTCCTATTATCTGAATTATGAAAGGGTAGAAAATTTCAAAAAAATTATGAATTGGGACCTTTTTTTCTCTGATTGTGTCTAGCAATTTCTGAAAAATCTAACTGTTGAATTTTCAGACTTTCAAAATACGTTTGATGAAAAGTTTTGAAATTTTTAAAGGCGTAAAGGCTGGATTTCAAAAAGGTCTCCAGACGAAAAGCCGTTCCAAGTCTCATAAGAATCTTCGGCGCCTTCAAAAACGAGAGTAAATGATAGGAAAAAAAAGTGTTAGTGCATGAAAAATGGAAAATATTCTAGAGCGAAGATGGGGTTTAATTGGGAGCATGAGCCGAGGCGAGTGAACGGATCCATTCGATCGGAACGAAACGGCGGAGGCTGAGGTCGGCGGCCTGCTGCTCGTTGAGGACGGCGACGTCGCTCTGGCGGAACTCCAGGTTCGCCTCGGAAATTCCCGAAACTGAGAACCCAGCGCTGCAGTCGGACACGATGGCTGAGAGGTAGCCGAGCTTTTTCGCGTCCTAGAAAGAGATAATTGAGACAAATTAAATGTTTTTAAGGACAAAGTCAGCGTCTCTTGCAACATACCGTATACCTCTAGATATCGGGTCTTGAAGCGAAGGCCCAAAAAATCTTTGTATAATGGACTTTCCCATTTTTTTAGTGTGAAAAATTCACCTTGATCGTGTATTTGACACAAATATCGTAGGCCAAGCCGCAGGCGACGACCGCGTTTATTGAATTCTCCTTGAGAAGATCATCAAGGACAGTCCTGTAGGAAAATGTTCGATTGAACAAAGTAGCCGAATTCTACAGACTTGCTGATTCCGTCATTGTCAGTGAAGGCGCTGTAGGAGTCCACATAAATGTCGGTCCCTTTCCGGACAATTGTCGAATCACTTGAGATCTGAAACTTTACAAGTTTTTTTCTGAGTTAAAAATTAGGGGGTATGAAATGGAAACCAGCGAAATTTCGAACGGCGACTTTTTCGAAAATCTCTACCTCAAGGAAAACTTGGAGAGGACACTAAAGTGGCCACTAAAAAAAATGGTCACTAATTCTACCAAAATTTCAAAACCCTGAAGAGGCCGCTAAAATTTTTTCCAGAGCGGTATGAAAAATCGGAAAAGTCAAGGAAATTCGCTGGTTTTTTCTTATAGCACCTAAAAATTAGCCTTTCGGGAAATCGAGCTAGCCTAACTTCTATCTGTCTCCGTCAGTAAAAATGAAGGTAGTTTTTTTTTCTGAACTCAACGCCGTGAGAACCTGGACTCAAAAAAAAAGATAGTTGATCGAAATTTGTGTACTTGTGTACTTTAGGACCCCCTGATTGCAGATTGAGAAAAAAATTTCTCGCAATAGATCTTGTTTCCGAGTTATGGAGCTTCAATTGGCAAAATACGCAAATTAGGCCAAAAGGCGCTATTTTGATCTTTTTAAGTGTCCTAACTCGAAAAAGACATCTATTGCGAGAAATTTTCTTTCTGTTCTGGAATCAAGGGGTTCTAAAGTACACTTCAGCAAAGTTTCAGCAAAAGTTCAACCGGGGGGTAAAAAAGGTTCCCTAGTTAGTTTTGACTTCCCGATACAATATTAGGCTAGTGATGTCTGTTTAAAAGATACAAGTTTGCCCTAAGACGAGCGAATGGTCCGTTCCTCGACGTCTCTCGCTGTTTTCAAATCTTTTCTCTTCCTTCGTGTGATTCTTGGAAATTTCAACGCCATGACTCAGACACAGAGCCGCGCGCCGTCCCCTGCTGCCGGTCACCATTTCTACTTTCTTTCCTTTTTCCCATCGATTGTCGTCTTTGATATTTTTTCTGTTATTTTCAACTCTTCTTTTTCTTCTTTCTACGGCTTTTTACTGTTTGGCGTCCCAAGTCGAGGATAAAAGGTGCTATCCTGATATCAGTGGACTTGTAAATGACGGCTGGGGATTATAAAGCCCTGGTTTTCCATTACCGACTAGAACCCCTTGATTGGGTCCATACGCGGGCTAGGGGCTATTTAGCTCTTTTGAAGTTTATTAAGTGGTGAAATTATTGACAAAATAGAGTTTTTTTTTAAATAGTCTTTTTTTCAAGGGGGCGCTATGACGTCACGAAAAAATGTGCGTTAGCCTATGTATTGGGTCCATACATTGGACCATTTTTTAAGGTATTTTCAACTTTTTTGTAAACTCTCCTTCTGGACAGATCGAGTTCTCTAGTTGCTCATTTATGATTGGGTCGTGGCGGGGATCGAACTAGTGACCCTTTGAACCGTAGACAGGCACACAACCTGCTGCGCTATGGCTCCTTCTGTTTCATTTTATTCATATTTTTCACCACCCAATTTTTGATCAAGTCTTCCGTTGAACTGTATTCTTTAGTATTAGCTGAAGGAAAGAAGCATTGGAGAAACCTGCTCACTAGTTATGTTCTCAAATTTTCAATTTCATTATTATCAAATCTTTTTTTGACTAAACATTATGATTCATGGGAAGAAAATCGAATGAAATAAAAAAAAAAACTGTCGCGGCCTTTGATACGAAACGTTCTAGAAGCTTTTAGAAACCTTTCCATCCACTCTTTCTTTCCGGATAAAAAGGCCATTTTTTTCGGGAATTTCTTCATTTCGCTCCTTTCCTTGTGTTTTTACTTTTGTATTTATCGTCATATTTCTTTTCTTTATATTTCGAGGGAGTGAAATCCGCACGACATCTTAAATTAATGAGGAAAAAGGCGAGCCCAAGTTAAAAAAGGAACTTCGATAGCTTGAAAAAAACTACCAAAAATCAACAACTTTCAGTGAAGCGCAAAACTTTTTATTTCTATATTTTTCCTTTTTGAAAACCTACATGAACTTCCGGATGAATCTCAGCACCCCAAGAGCCTTGAACACAATGCGTAGGATATAAAACCTGAATTTTTCAATAAATTTTGTGAAAAAAAATTGTTTTCAAACTTGTTGTGTTGCAGGCTTCTCGAAGCAGACCTTCTCGAAAGGCTCGAAAGTTTTGTTCCGATCCTCTGGACAGAGAATTCGGTCGGTGTCGTGGGCATGTTCGCAGAAGGAAATGTGGTTGGACGGATGCCAGTCCTCAAGGTAATCACTTTAGATCTTATTAATATTCCTTGATTTACCTGCGTGTAAACGATCATTTCCCAGTCACTTTCCTTAAGAAGACGGTTCAGGGGTGCAAGCGCTTTGTCAGGGTCTTCTTTTGCATCTCCTTCCTTGAAAGATTTTTATTTTTCAAAATTTGAATTGAAAACCAACTTTAACACTCAAAGAACCGGAAACGAAATCGTTCTGAAAATCGACGACCACAAATGCGATGCTCAAGTTTTTTAGTGGTTTAATAATATATTGCTCGAAAGTTTGCTCGTCGTCCTCGTTGAAGTCCTGAACCGATTCAAATAATTAGACATTCCAAACATTGAAACCGTGGAAAAATCATCGATAATCTGCTTCAACTGAGCTGTTTCGATGTAGTCGCCGGCAAGAAGTTTCAACTGCTCCAGTACACGCTCACTCGGCGTTGCTGTTGAACTCATCTGTAAAGTTGGACTTGTAATTCTAAAAAAAAAAAACAAAAAAAAATTTTAATAAAATTTAATTTTGCTCGTGAGCACGAAGTTTTGTACGCAAGTTTGCAAACCTCACAAAACATTTTAATTTACGCACAAGTTGATTTTTATTTATTTTTTCGATGGTAGGACGAAAAATTTGATCCGCAAAAATACGTCGCGTGAAAATTGCGACCACATAACCTATGAGCCACGAAAATTTTAAGCCTTCAAAATTTTTTCGTGAAATTTTAAAGCTCAGATGATGACTTTTTGAATTTCTTTCTTTTCCTTTTTTTTTCAATTTTTTTCCCTTTATTCTTGATATTGATTAATTCCAGAGCTAGAGCCACTGTTTTCGGTAGGTTTCTAGAAATTTCAATCATTATCATCAATAAGAAGTCTGTCATTTTTTTGTTATAAACATGGAAAACGTATTTAGTTGACAGATTTTGAACTTTAATGATTTATGGCACAAATTAATTGGGAAAACAGAAGAAAAAAAGAGTTAAAACTCGAAATTAGGTTTCAAAAACGTCATCAAATCTTAGGATCGCCGGGATAACTCAACGCAGAAATGAGAATCAGTACTAGAGCAGAAGTTTGAAGAAGACCAGAACAAAGAAAAACAGAAAATACAGAAATTGAAAGCCTTATATGCAAGTAATTTCTAATTTAAATGGACAAAATTTTAAAGGCTTAAAATTTTCGTGGCTCATAAGTTATGTGGTCGCAATTTTCACGCGACGTATTTTTGCGGATCAAATTTTTCGTCCTACCATCATTTTTTCCTTTAACTTATTGATTTTATTCGTTTTTAAAGTCTCTCTGACGGCTGTTTCCATTTTCGCGGCGTTACTTTGAAAACAGTATAAAGGCCTCTTTTAGTTATACCACATAAGTTTGTTAGATTTTAGTTTTTTTTTTAATTGATTTCAAAAAAACCATGAAGGAGTAAATTTTGACAAAAATGAACCGTAATGACAAAGCAATGCATTAATGTAATATTTATTTGGCTCCGTATCAGGTTTTTGCCCTTTTGAACATTAAAGCACGAATCGGAATTTTTCCTCGACATTTCACGCTTCAAAATTTTTTTTGAAACCTTTTATTTCTTTTGATTAATCGGAAAATGTTTAAAAGGGTGAGAAAAAGGCAATAAATCAACGAGCTAAAATGTTTACACAAGCCGAAAAAGAGAAACACGGCACAAAACGATTGGCCAACTTCAAGTTAAGTCAACATATGAGTGGCTTTGTTAAACCTAACTTTCCTTTTTTTCTGTAAGAAATGAACGTCTAATTATTTTTCAAGAAGCTTTCAAAACAAAAAGCAAGAAAAAAGAAAGAAAAACGACCCGAGCCATGTGGGAAAGTTTGAATTTCCGGTGGCTTGGCGCTGGAAAAACAAACTCGCGCGGTTTTGCATTTCGAGTTCTTTGAGCGAAATCGCGTTTGCTGCTTTTTACGACCTTCAAAGAGGACATTAAAACTCTGCAAGCCGCGAAAATTTGTGGGCCACGTGATTTTTGGAATTTGAGTCCAGTTGGCTCAAAAACTGGCCGCCGTGAGTTAATTTTTGCGTCTTTAAGTTTTTTTAATAACATTTTTTTCTGTTCTCTAGATCCGAAATGTTTATATTTTTTACTTTTTATTTAGAGTGTGCAAAATTTTTTCTTACCTTTTTTCTTTGATTAAAAATTTTTCTCTAGTTGGCCTTCAAAATAATCAATTTTTATCTAGCCTAAATCAGTTTTTCGCGATTCCTAGCATAAAACTCCTTGTTTCGAAATTATGAAATCTTAGAATTTTATAGTGTGTTCTTATCGATTCGCTCAATAAGGAAGTTTAAGTGATAAGGAGGTTTAAATTGATTTTGGTTCCAGTTGAGGCATATTTACAACAGCATGAAAAGGTTATATCAAGATTTAACGGATGTTCTAGAAAAAGTTTTTAGAACATTCTAAGTGTAATGTTTTTGGAACAGAAGAGAAACAAAGGCGAAAGAGATAAAAAATAGCATTTAGAGATCGGGTTGCCGGGCAACGAAGCGAGTATTTCGCAATTGTCTGAGTTTCGATTAATCTTGAGTACAAGTTTTTTGGAAAAGGAGACGTAAAGTATATAGTACGAATTTGATGAAAATTTAAAAGTCCTCGTTGTTTGATGAATTTTAAATTTAGTAAGGTTTGAGAGTGAATAGCCATGTTCAGGGAAATCAGAGTAAAATAATTTCAAGTCTACATTTCAAAAATTCTTGATTGGTATAAATAAACTATAGAAAAAGCGCGTACAACTGAAAAACGAACCTTTACGAGGAAGAGAACGGCCAGTAATAATCCCAGCATGGAGAAGTGCTTCTAGTCTGCAAAAAATGTAATTTGTGCGAGAATTGATTGAAAACTAAAGTAAGAACATGCGCATGACTGCTCTCAAGGAAAATTTGAAAGCTTTCAAAGCGGGAAATCGGCCATTTTTTTTTAAACCTACAACTTTTCAAACAAATAAAGTGGCAGGTTCTAAGGTTCATTACTTATAACCCGCTACAAAAGGCAAACACAGACTTTTAACCTTTCTGTATTTGCAATAGTACTTTGAAAGGGTGAAAAAAGGCATCGGAACAATGTACAAAGTTTGGTAACTTGAGAAAAGATCGACTGACATTTTTTGAGAGTTTTCATGAACCTGTGATAAGGATTTAATCCCGAGAAAAGCCGTCAGAAAGTCAGCTATCGCAATCTATGAAGATATTACGTCTGTTCAAACCATGGAACTTTTGTCTTTTGAACTCTAGACTAAAAGAAAAAACTTCGCTTTCATTGCTTTTATGTTTTTTTAAGTTTTGCCACTTCATTTCAAGTCTTGGTTCGTTTTAGCTGCAATTGTTTATAAGCTTGGTTAAACTATCTTTAAAAGACAGGTTTAAAATACTCATTTTTTAAAAATTGCACGCGTCAACCGCAGAATGCCTGCAACCAGCACTTCGCAATTTAATAACTTCATATCTCTACAAATGAGAGTTTCCGCCAATAGCCACTCTACTATATCTATTTGCTTCGTAAAAAAGTGTTCTAGCGATTTTTTTTTTTTGGCGAATTCCAAAGCCCTCGAAAACTTTTCAGATTTGCCGCTAAAAGCACCAAATTTGCGCCAGTGGTGCGCACTAGCGTTACTTTCGAACAACAATTTACTTTCGTTTTCTTTTGTTACTTTTATTTATCACTTTCAATTATTTCCACTCTCTGATGCCTACTATACTATCGTGATCTCCTCACCATGTCATTATCAATATTTTCATTACCTTTGAGTAGTTGGTTTAATTCTACCAATGAGGTACAGAAAAATTTGAGTTATTGCTTGAATCTGTTGCTTTTCAGTCTCTGAGACCTCCGCCCGTGGATTTGTCTCAGTTCCAACGTCTGCACACCCAGTCCGAACATAGGACATTGGCTGAGAGTAAGCTTCGAAGCATTGAATTATGAAATTCTTGGCTTTTTTCAGTCCCTCCAGAACGGTCGGGTCATCGGTGTTTTTATGGGAGTGACGATGTTTTCTATGTAGTCGGCGGTTATTCGGCAAATGTTTCTGTTAGAGGAGTGGAAAGTGTTATTTATCGAGAGGTTGCAATATTCAAACTACGTTTTCATTTGTTTTTGTCATTTGTTCAGGTTTGGGCATTGAATCTGCTTTCAAAAAAATGGAAAAGAATGACGATCAGCGGCTCGTTTCCGACCGCTCTAGCTTCATTTTCGCGTAACGGATTATAGTTTCGCAAAAAAAGCATCGACTTGATTTAGTTGCCCAGAGAGAACCATACAGCGACATTTTCATGGTCTTCGGAGGATCTGGGGCCACATTTGGGGCGAGTAATTCTAATAAGGTTTTTCTATGAAGGACAATCTTTTTGTTTCAGATGTTTGAAGTTGTTGTGGATGATGAGAAGAGTATGGCGATTGGAAAAGAGCGGGTCGCCATGTCGGATAATGTTAAGGCGCCTTCGTATGGACATGTAAATTGATTAATTTTTTTCATTCAGTTTTTGTGAAAGATTTTGAAAAGGGTTTATTCGTTTCTTTTTTCGGTTTTCTTCTTCCAGAGTTCTACTTTTTTTTTTCATTTCTCGTGATTTTTTTTATCAGTAGTATCATATAAAGTTCATTTTAAGGAAATCAAAAAAAGGAAATTTTCTCCTCATTTTCAGTGTGCAAAAGAAGTCTAGAGCGTTTTCTCTTGTTTTATAGGTACTAAAAAAGAAGAAAAAAATTTTTAACACGAAAAACGCTTATATTTGTTTTAAATTCTGTTTTCGATTGACCTTTACTTTTAATATTCAGGCGATGATCAGTGGACCTAGCCCCGGAATATATTTCATCGTCGGCGGAACCAACGGATTCGAGTACAATCTCGATATTCACGTTTTCAAAACTATCCGACATCTAGGAATAGAGGCGGTCATTTGGGATTATTTGACCACTCAGCAAGATGTTCGTAGTTTTTTTTGAGAATTTTTTCACAATAATTATGGAATTTTCGAAAAAATTTGAGTTATATAGCCCATTCCGCGCCAGCTTGCCACTTTTTCTTTCCGCCAAAAATACCGTATACCAAATTAGATGAGAATTGAGCATCTTCGCTTCAAGACCTCTGTTTTTTGCAGTTTTGTAGAGCAAAAATTTGTATTTACAGTAGCTTTTTCTTTTCTGTAAAAACGTGACCGTGGAACGCACTGTAATTGACCCTCGGTTTTGAAATTTCAAAAATCCTCTTGTTCAAATAATAAAGTCATCAGAAAATGCCTGTTCAAAAAACTGAAAATCACAATTTTGCAAACCATTTTTTTTTTTTGCAGGGTGGAGCCTATCGAATGGAGATCATTCTGGACGACAATCGATTGTTTGTTTTTGGTGGAGGCACTTCTCGCGATGTCCTAGGATTCGATATTGTTCGTTTGAAATCTCTTTTTTGGTCGAACTTCAATCTTCAGATGTTCTTCTACAACTTGGACACGGGAGGATTCGAGGTCATCAAGCCGATCGGCGACGAAAATGACGATTATCCTGTTGCTAGAAGGTATATTATCTTCTTTTTTTTATGGGTAGAAAATTTGGTTTTTGAAGTGTTCCTTTTCAGCAAGATCTTTTTTTAAACTTTTTTTAATTACCACCCGCTTTTGCCTATTTCATTATGTACCTTGAAACGAAACTACGTGAATTTTTCTTCTTCAGTTTTTTGTTTGAATCGCCTTGAGGGTTTTTTCTACCTCAAGAAGCTGTTAGATTATATTTCAATCGAATTAATTCCAAAATTCGAAAAAGCGTAAAAAATTCTCGCGACACGTTTATTTGAAAATGGTATCGTATGAAAAAAATTATCTTGACCTAATTCGATATTTCAATTTTTTTATTTAAATGGCTTGAAATCCTTGAGACCGCACTTGGAATGGCTCGAAAGTCATTTTAAGTCGGTTGCACCGGTAATCAATCGAAAAAGACTCAATTTATGCCCTAGTCTTTCCATATGCGGTTTTCTCAAGCAACTTCATAATTTTTCAAAAAACTCGAATGCACTTCGGATCGTTTGCCCCGTTCAAAAATTCTCCCACGAGAACCCATAAAACCCTTTTTTTTCCGTTTGTCTGAGGATTGAAATCTGAACTGATCAATTTTGTAAACAGAAATTGTTATTCGAAAACGCGAAATACGTAATTTTGCGCTATAAGCTCCAAAAAAGCAACACCTTTCAAGCCGAGAATTGCGCTAATTGCACTAAAAGAACTTCATTTTCGGAATCCTGTTGAATATTTTTCAGTCAAATGATTGGAAAACTGTTAAAGGTGTCACTCGGCGACGCAATGGGGCAGAGAAGTCGTGATCGCCGGCGGATGTACACCGAGAGGAGCGGGACTTGGGGAAATAATCGTCCTCGAAGACGTCTGGTTCTTCCATCTGGACACTTTCCGATGGCGTCGCCACCACTATAACCTGGTCGATCCCGTCTTTTTCCACTCGGCGGCTGTTTCCACGGCAAGAGCTTTTGAAATAATCTCATTTCTTTTCCTTTTCCAGGAAGGATGCCTGACGATTTTCGGCGGAACTCTTGATGAAAGCTCGAAGCACCGGTCGAATACCACCCAGATTTGTTGGCTCGCCCCGCCTTCTCTGAAAACTTTCGCCACTTGGTCCTTGAAGAAACATTTCCCCTCGGTTGGTTTTTGAAGAGATTCCTTTGAAATTATTTTTCCGAGTGTCCGTCGATTTTTAAGAAAAATGAGCTGTTCCACAGAGGAAGGTGCTATTGGAAAATTACCAATAAAAAAAAATGTTTTAAACTTTATCCTAGAAGCTAATGTACTCAGATTACGTTCACCTATTTGTCATTTTTGAGTCATTTATGGAAAATTTGAGCGGTCTTCTGTAAAAATCACTTAAGTGGCATCTTGTCCGGGTGGCTTGGTCATTTTTGAGCCATTTAGTGCGAACTTGAACGGTTTTCTGTAAAAATCACTTAAGGGGCATCTTGTCCGAGCCATTTAGTGAGAACTTGAGCGGTTTTCTGTAAAAATCACTTGAGGAGAATCTTGTCCGGGATTCTTTATAAATGTCTGAGTGATTATTGGACGAGAAATCAACCACAGAGCAAAATTTTACCAATTTTCGAAAAAACTGAAAAAAAAAACTTTTACACAGGTTTCTTAACCTTTCTCCATATGACTTTTGGAAAAAAGTTCAACTTTGAAAAAAAATCATTTTTTCAGGTATTTGAAGACGATGGAGCTGATTTACGGCTACGGGACAGCACCAAGATAATCAAAAGATTTTTCGGCTACTCGTCGGACGCCGAGAAGAATTGTGAAACGGTATGATTTTCGATAAATTGTTGATTTCAAATTTCAAATCTTTCAGCCTTCCTTCGAAGAAGAACCGCTTCTATCTGAGGTGGATTTCGCGTTCGCGTAAATTGTTATCGAGTTTTTTTTTTCTTAATTTAATTTAACTTTCGTGTTCAATAGTTGGCCTTGAACTTTGTGATGAGAGTGAAGATTGTACTGTTCGCTCTCATATTGTATTATATCTTACTTTTTCCGGTATTTACCTCAGAGAAATGATCCAACATACGGAGATTGTGAAGAATTTTTTCGTTTTTTTCCTGAGTCGTGAAACTCCATTAATATTAATAAGTTATCGCATCGATGTCCTTTAATAAATCAATTTCTTTACTCGAGCGTCGTTCGAAGAAATATGAATGTTTTTTGCAGCTATGAGCAATATTTAAAATTTTTGGCGGATTTCCGCGGGCTTTGCTACGAGAATGCAATGGCCGCATGGTTATTGTGCATAGTGGGCATTCATTTCAAATAGCGGTTGGAATTTTTTTCAAAAATTTTTGTATTTTTATTCTCTCTAATTTGATTGATTCTTTAATTTGTCAGTTTCAGGACATGGAAAAAAACCCGAAAGAGCTTTTAAAATCGGATAAATATTCCCTGGATATTTTTAGAAGATTCTTTTAGAATGAAAAAGTTTGATTTATTTTTTTCGTTTCCAATGTTTTTAAAGTGATATTATCGTCTATTTGTTTGATCAATTAAAAAAATTATTTAAGAAGTATAATCTAGTTTCTGCTCATTTTTTTAATAGTCGCCTATTTATAATAATATTTTTTTATCAAAAAAAATTTAATTTTTAATGAGACGAATTTTTCAATCTCGTTTCTCTCGCTTCAAAGTAGTTAATAGGGAAATTTTTGAATTTTTTTATATTGTTATACTAAGAGACGACATAATTAAAATTCACTAGAAAAGTCTAATTTGCCTCAAAAAGAAGAATCAAGAGCTCCTTTTTAGAAAGTTATTAGAATGTTGTCAAATGTTTTTTTTTTCCATATATCCCTTCTTTCACCTTTTCCCGCCTTCTTCTGCTTTTTCTATCAAATAGGTCCTTTTTGAAGACATTTTCAAAGGTTCTGTTCTACTTTGTTCGTTTTATCGCTATGTTCCATATTTTCGTTGTTCCGTCGTCGTTAGGATTACTGTTATTTATGTTTTTGAGGATATGTATATTTTAGGCTGAGGGCATCAAGGCTCTGATTTTTCTCCAACTAACAAAATCAGGCGGCGATGTCCCTGTCGTTGCTGCAAAGCAACCAGTGCTCATTCGCTGGGTGCGGACTTCATTTCGCCACAGTTTACGACCTGATTGCTCACATCGAGTTCAATCACATCCGTTCGTTCTTCAGAACGATGGAAAAACCCGATGATTATTTAGCTTTGGTCGAAAACGAGCAGCGATTGAAGGCCGCCAATGGCCCAGAAGAAAGGGAACGGGGTTCGGCACCCAATTTGCCCCTCAGTTGTTTTAGCAGGTGAAAAAGTATCCGAAAATTGTAAATATACCTTCTTTAGGGTATTCCGAACGCCATACCAGCCGGTTCCGATAAAACCCGAGAAATTCACCATTTCTTTCCATCATTATCGGAAGAAAGTCCCGCAGCCCGTACATCCCAGCGGCCCTTTTCATCGTCCCAATGGCAATTCTTGTAGGTTTTATGGCTTTTTTTCATTTATGAAAGCCCAGACAACAAGAAAATCGAAAATTTCGTAGAAATATTTTTTTTTTAGTGGCTGAAATGTCGATCGACGCACATCCGGAAGACTTTGAAGAATGCGGAATTAAGTTAGTTTCTTTAATTTTTTTAAAAGATAAGATGAATTTTTTTCATTTTAGCGACACGGAAATGCGTTTCCGATGTGAGATTGTCGACTGTGCCAGGAGGTATAAGAATGCGGTTGCTTTGAGGTGAGAATTTTGATTTTTTCAAGGTTTTTCAGCAATTTTTTTTTCATAAATATTCCACTTTTTCACCTTGAAAAAAATTTTTATATTGAAATTTCTTTGTCAATTTTTTTCCACGTTTTGAAATTTACACAAAAAAAGAGGCTTGAAAGCACTGCCGGGAATTTTTTTGAAATTTTTTTAACCAATAGGAGATTTTTTTGAAATTAATATTGAGGAAATATTAACTATATTAAAGAAAGTTAGTGGGAAGAACATAGAAAATGTAAAATTTATGTTTTCGAATTTTTAAAAAAAGCAATATTTTTTTACTGCTTTGAATTGTGGCTTGGAATAGAGATTTAAAAATATTTTTTTCGTTTTACTGTTAAACTCCATTTTTAAGTAGCTTGAAACAAGAATTTTATTATATAAAAAGTCGAGTAAAGAGTTTCTTAAGCAAGGAAGTTTACGGGCGGTGTAAACTAAATTATTGAAAAATAGCTGATTTGAATATATTATATTCCGAATTTTGAATAGGGGAATCTTGGGAGGGTATAGGGAAAGTGAAAAGAAGGTAGTTGGAAGGTTTTTGGAAAGTAATAAATTGAAAATGCCCGCCGGAAGCCTACCACTAGAAGGTAAGTTGAGGCTTTAGGAGGCGACCACTTGCTAAAAAGCATCCAAACGCCTTCCGAGGGACCGAAAGAAGAGGCTTCCCAATTTCCACCTCAGAAAGAAGTTCAGATCGCACATGAGGAACGCTCACAGCATGGTCGTCCGAGAAGACGTCCAGGGCGCCGTCGTTACCGCCGAAGGGACGGCAGGATCTCCAGTCGTGGCGAGCAGCAACGGCGGCTCCATGCATCCTTCTGTCGGCGTCGTCTACGGCGGCAGTGGCGCCTTGGCACCGCCGACTTCTTCCGTCTTTCCCGGAACCGGAACGGGTCCGCTGCAGTTCCCCGCCGCTGCCTCGAGTCCCAATAAGTTAGTCGTGGAAAATATGGAAAATATGCTTGTTCTGTGAATTTTTCTAGTTGAGAGACAGTCAGTTTTTTGAATTTTGAAGCTTTTTCCTTCTTTTTTTTTAAGAAAAAGGTATAACTAATTTTTGATCAGAAGCTATAGTAAAATATTCAGATTTTCCCTATATGGAAAAAAAAAACGATTATTAGAAAATTGTTATTATGGAAAAATTTTTCTAGAGACCACAAATGTCAGCACTGCTCCAAGAGGTACAAAACCCCGACGGGACTCTCAAATCACCTCGCTTCGGCCCATCAAAAAAGCGCTAGTTTGTTTTTTTCTCTTTTAAGGAGTCTTATTCCGGTTTTATGTATATTCAAAAGTGATAGAATATTTGAAAATGGAGGTTTTTTCAAAATTCATCATTAATTCCTTTGTCTTTGTTCCTCATATTAACAAAAAATTGTTATTAATACTCTTTGCAAAGTTAGGAGTCTGATTCGGTTTTCAAAAGGTTCAAAATTTGAGGTTTTCTTCTTAAATTTCTAGGTGACTACCTTATTATTGTAGCCTCACGTCTATTGAGAATATTCAGTACCGTCAAAAAAAAATACTAAAAAAACGGTCATAACTCTCTTGTTAGGAATCCAATCTTCCTGAAAATTTCTGTGATTGTGATGAATGTCATTTTTATCACTCTGATGAAGCTTCAGTTCACAAAAAAAAACGCAGCTTTAGAAACTATCAGGAAGTTTGAAAGAATTAAAAGAAAGTTGTGACCGAAACCCCGTTTTTTCGTATCTCTTCTGACTGTGTTTGATTGAGAAAAACATTCATGAAAATTTAGTAGATGAGTAATAATTTTCCAACAGATTTGTTCCCCGAGCCGACAACTCCATCTCCGGCCGTTTTCGAAAAGTTGATCTCGCAGGCGAGAAACCACCGCCAACAGCAGGATGCTCGGGCGGCGCTGGAGCAGCAGCAGGTTGGGAAAACAAGAGAAATTAGTTAAATTCGAAACGTTAGGAATTATTGTTGTGATTTTGAATCACTGGAAAGTTGTCTTCTTGAAATGTCTTTTTTCTCTGCGCCCTCCTCGTTTCTCGGCGACCCTCTCATATTGTTTTGCCACTTTTATATTTCTCTGACTTTGCTGGTGAGAGAACAGAGAGACGCAGACACTGAAAGATGAACTTAGTTTTTTTTTGTCAAGATCCAAAAAAGAAACGGTAGCGAAATATGACCTTTCTGATTTTTTTTGCGCGAAAAATACTTTCCGGGTATTTAAAAAAAAGAATAGTTTGGAAGGCATCAGATTGCCTTGGTTTTCGAAAAAAGTAACAAGAATTCTTCTCAAGGCCCAACGTAACGCGATGATGACGGCGAACGTCTCGATGATGGGCCAGAATGGCTCGTCGACGCCTTCTCCAGGCCCCGGAATGCACTCGCCGCACATGCAACAGCAGCAAGGACAGTCCCAGGACTTCCGACAAATGCCTCTTCCTGTTTCGGTCGCCAATCATCAGCAGATTCATTACTCGACTCAGGTCTTCATTTTATGAATTTTCTGGAGTTTTTATTCACCTGTAACCATACATAGGCAATGTCGGGAGGTTTGCCTTTTTGCGCCATTTTTGCTGCCTTTTGACACCATTTCTTGAGCCTTAAAAACCCTAGAAAAATTGAAGGCTCGATAAAGGGACTCTTTTTTGAGCCTCTTCTTTTTCGCGGCCATTTTCCACCATTCCGACTTGGCCCGAGTACATGGGCAGACCATTTTTGAATTTTTTTTTTACTTTCCCAAGTATTTTAACATTAGAGTCATCACTACCTCTATGAGGGCTGAAATTTATGTTTTATTTGTTGCAAGCCCTACCTCTTTGACCTTAGAAATCAGTTTCTTCACTCGACTTTTTGGCCAATTTTCTAAGGCTACCCCTCCTGTCCAGGATTAGGAGGGGTCCTGGAGGGTCCTGGACAACTTTCGGAAGGACGAAAGTTTTTTCAATTAGGAGGGGTCCTGGGCAAGTAGAGTTCAATACTTACAAAGTATGCCTGAAATAAGATCAGCGAACTTATAAAAAAAGACAGCTCGCTGAGAAACCAAAATGATGAAAAATAGTTAAACAAAAAAAAGTAGAGTAGAAAATATGTGGAATGTTGTGAGTTTAGCAGATTTTTAGGAGCTTCGACTTTTCATTTATTCATCATTTTTCATTCATCTTCGAAATTTTATAAATTAAGGGGAAAATGACGAGTTTTTCTTTTACTGTAGTGTAGAAAAGTCTGAATAAGTCGATATAGGCACGGTAGAAAATTTTGTGTGCGAAATACGATTATTTTGTCGAAAATAAGGTTTTCCTAGCTGTTTTGGGTTGATTTTTGTGAGCAAATAAAAAATGGAGTTTTTTGTTGAGAAAATTTCCGTAACAGGCATGTGGAAAATATCAAAATGTTCTGCTTAAAGAAGAATTCATTGATTTTGTCGGGTTTTTTAACTTTCATACGATGATAATCTGGTTTTTCTTTAAGCAAGGGCCGCAACAGACCCTTCCGGTGCGGTCCTTCACGATCGGATCGCAAAATCTCCGCATGAATCATTTGCAGGTACACCTTTTCTTGTACTTTAGTCATTTTTCATGATGTGGTGTCTTGACGGGTGTACCCGTTTTAATCCCGTTTTTTTGAGGCATTTTGAGTCTCAGTAGGGCTGAAACGGGTTTAGAAAAAAACAGGAAATCCAGCTGTGTCTTTTTTTTGTGAAAATGTCAAAAGACCTTATGCGCTCATACGGGTTTAACACGGGTTCACCCGCTGGAAGCCCGTGTTAACAAGACTCGTCAAAACTCGCCAGCGTGAGAGACTCTGAGATTTTATGCATTTTCTATCATTATGATAACTTTTCTTGTACTATCCAGTATTTTCAGCAGCAACACATGGGCCACGGGTCGGCGACGACGACCGGTCAAATGCTCCAGATGCAGTTTCAGCAGAACCGACGTCTTCAACTACAACAGCAGCAACAACAGCAACAACAGCAGCAGCAAATGCAGATGCAAAAAGCCTCACAGCCTTTGTTGCTCGATCCGGCGAAGATCAAATTGGTACGGGGAGGGGGACAATAATCGGCTGGATCCCACCCCGGGGTTTTCTTCTCCGATGTATGACAATAATTCATAATCAACTTTATTCACAAGAAAAATCTTGGCTAGTAGAAAGCGATCTCTGAGAAAAAAAGTGAAGCCAATTTTTTTGAAAAAAAAGTATAGGAATATTAAAGAAGCAAAAAAACCCTACAAAGTTTTTGAGATTATTAATAGATTTTTTTGCTCTCTTTGAGTTTTCGACAAATTTGAAAGCTTCATGTGAAGTTGAAAAGCAGCTCCATCAAAATATTGATAAGGTTTGTAGCTTTAAAAAAATCTTCTTACTGAAAAATCCAGTCTTAATTTAATGTCAGTTGCTGAGAAATGTTCTTGGGGAGATGGTAGTTCAAAAGAGAAACGAAATAATTTTGATTCATCCTTTTCAAGACGAAGAGGCGGGTGAAAGAATTTTAATCAGGTAAAAATTAGAGAAAATCTGGAAAAATTTTAGTGGCCACTTGAGGGGTCAATGGATCAACATAACTGGTCCAATCTGTTTGTTTTAAAATTATCATAGGTACTGGTAGGAATACCGAAGGAAAAACTACTTTAGTGGCCACTAAAACGGAAAATAGTGACCACTTTAGTGTCCTCTCCAAATAGTCCTTGGCGAGCCTTTATAGTGGCCACCAAACACTTCCCCAGATATTTAAAAACGAAAACTTGGAAGAACATTTTATAATTTATTTCTAATGATTTCATGTTCCCTATATAAATAGAATCAAGAATCTTGGAGTTTAGAGGTGAAAAAAATGCTATAATAAGTTAAACAAGATAGCTTCAGGACATGTCGGTGAACTCTCCGAACCACGGGGTCCATGTTCAGCAACACTCTCCGATGCACATGAACGAGTCGCAGTTCCACCAACAACAGCAACACGTTCAGAAGGCCGCCCACAGTCCGATGATCAAGCTCGAGTCTTCTAATAATTGACATTTTTTCAATTTTGTAGTTTCACCTGAAGGGTTCTAGTAGGAGCCGATGTGGTTGTTCGAGCTTTTCCTCCAAATTTTTCACTTCAAAAAAATATTTTTCTTTTTACCTCATTTTTGTAAATACACAACGACTTGAAAAAAATTCCCCAACTGCACGTGTGTCTCTGTTTTATTTCAATGTTTTATCCTTTTCCATGGCGGGTTGTCAAGTTTTATAATGACCTCTCTTTTCTTGTATTTTTCATGTACAATTTGATAATCTTTGATGACTTTTCGTGTACGACCCTATCTATACCTGATAATAAAATGAAGGCTGCTTTAATTTTGAATTTTCTTTTTTTTTCGCGTTTCACAACGGTTCCGATTCCGAACTATCTATCTGAAAACTTTGGAAAATCAAGATTTTTTCGTTTTTTTCAGAAGGATGGTTGAACCAATGGAAGCGACGACGTCGGTGCCCGTTGGTGGCGATAATTCCGACGCACTTTTCTTCACACCATTGTTTTTATATTATTTTAGGAATTATCAAACTTTTAATGCTTCAGGGGCTCCGGACAAGAAGTCGGACGATCCTGCCACCTTTTAGAGTACAAAAATAAACGAGTTTTGGTTGGTTTTGAGTGAAATTTAATGGATAGGTCTTTTTTTTTTTCGGTTTTTTCAGCTTGGCTGAAGATTTCCACAGCTTAGAATTATGTAAGAAGGTACAGGGAAAGATTCAAAATGAAAGATTAAGCGCGAAAAAGTAACTTTAAATTGTTTTGTTAAGAAAAGTTTCTTTTTTTTTCAAATTCATCTTTTCATCTTTGTTTTTATGGAACTAAACTTTCATGAGAATTAATAATCAGGTCTTATTCTATCGAGAAAAAAGCATTTATTTAAAAAAAAACTGACAATTTTCAGCTCGACTGCGGAATTCATCCCGGCCTTCAGGGCGTCGACGCGTTGCCCTTTGTCGATTTTGTCGATCTTGAGAATATCGATTTGCTTTTGGTGAGTTTTATAATTCATTTAGAAAGCTTCAGGTTGAGAAAATTAAGAAAAAATAAGTTTTTGAGATTTCTCCAGATCTGTGCGAAAAAAAATTCGCAGTTTTCTTAATCTAAGAGAAAAAGGAATCACCATTTTTATTTTCTTTTTTTCCCAATTTTGAGCAATTTTTCAAGTTTTTTTAGCTCAAAAGAGTAATTTTTCAATATTATTCCTTCTACGACGGGAAAAAGAAGGAAAAAGGATAAATCCAGAAAAGTTTGGCTTAATTTTTTTTTTTTTGAGTAAAATTTATTGGTCCCCCCTGTGGCGGGGGAATTTTCATACTGTTATGATTTTTTAATTCAAATTTTCCAGGCTCAATAATTCATCCTATAATTTATCATTTATATAGTCATTTATTCAATTATTTAATTAACAAACCAGCTTTTTCAGATCACACATTTTCACTTGGACCACTGCGGCGCACTACCATGGCTCCTCCAAAAAACGGCTTTTCGTGGAAAATGCTTCATGACGCACGCGACGAAAGCCATTTATCGCATGATTCTCGGCGATTATATTCGAGTAATTTGATCTACTTTTTTGAATCTCGCTTCCTCTTTCATTTTTTTTTTGACGGAAAGCCGTTTATCTTAAACAGAAAAAAAAGAGTTGAATCTGGCTAAATTATTGGTTTTAACTGCGGGTCTTTTGGCTATTTCGCGGCTTAGGAATGAAGAAATTCGGAAATAGAGGCTTGAGAAAAAATATTTTCAGAACAGAGGCTTCTTCATTTATTTTAAGTTGTAAGTATCATGGTTTTTCATCATTTTTTGTTTAAATAATCATTTTTACTGAAAAATTTTGAATTTTCTGTTGTTTCAAGCTTCAAGAATGAACGCTTGTTAAAAAAATTGTAGCTTAAGAATCAAATTGAAATTAAAAAAAATTAAGGCTTTTTCATTTTTTTCTCAATGAATTTCAGGGAGCTTTTTGTGTCGTTGGAGATGATATTTTTTTCTCAAAATCGAAGGATTTTATGGAAAATTTGTGGTTCAAGTTTCCTTTTTTTATTAATGTGTTTACAATATGCTATATACGGTATTTTTGGCTGAAAAAAAAATCGTGACAAGCTGACGCGGAATGGGCTATAACACGTGTGTGTAAAATTAGATATTTCTGCTTTTTCAGCGCGACAATTTTTACTTTTGCCTATTGGTCTTGTCAATGGAGACAGCAATATTTTTCTTAATTTGCTTCATATCAATGTGATTTTCAATCCTTTATTCAAATTTTTGCCAGATCTCCCGATATGGCGGCGGTGCTGACAAGAACCAACTGTACTCGGAAGATGATTTGGACAAAAGTATGGCCAAAATAGAGGTTTTCGGGAGAATAAAAGCCGAGATCCAAGCCAGAATTCAGGTCATTGATTTCCGAGAACAGAAAGAAGTGAACGGTATCCGATTTTGGCCCTATGTTGCTGGTCACGTTCTTGGCGCCTGCATGTTCATGATCGAAATCGCAGGTTTTTTTTTTGAACAGTATTATATTATTGTAATATTGTTGTTTTACAAAGTTACTACCGATTCTCTTCAGAAAAAGTCACTTTAAAATAACTCGATTGATGGAAATCTCCCAGAAAATTTTCTAACAGTCTTGGGAACTTCAGAATGGTCCCTATAGGGGCGACCTCAGGGGCCCTTCAACGTTTCCCCCTTTAGGGACAACTTTACCCCCTGTAGTGGCCACTGAAGTAAGCTTTTTGAATTTGCAAATTGGAATGAAGTGTCAAAAGACACTCTAGGGACTACTTGAAGTTTAGGAGTACCGCCTCAATTTTAACCCTGTAAGGTCCACTGTTTTGTCACCTACAACGATTGTTTTTCCTCCTGACCCCTATAGGGACCACTCCGGCGCTCCTGAGATTGTCAGATTCATTTTTGCTTCATTTTAGTTGTAAAGTTGTTTTAAAAAAGGCGAAAAAAAATTTCCACAGTGTCCCTAGAGGGACTTTTAAAGGCTCCTCCTTAGGGACCACTTTACCCCTTTTAGGGACCACTAAAGTCTTTAGAGTTTTTAAATTTGAGCAATAAGTTGAAAGATGTTTTAGGGACCACTTGAATTCACTACTAAGATTCTTAGAGTCTCCCAGGAAATTTTTCAACAGTCCTAGGAACTCCATAGTACTCTATAGGGTCATCTTTAAGGGTTCTCGGAGTTTGCCCCTTTAGTGACCACTTTACTTACCTCTATAGGGGAAATCCTGGTCGATTATTGTTATAAACTAGAGTTCTCAAAACCAAACGTTCGAACGAACGTTCGACCAAACATTTTTCGAACAAATGTTGAAACAAAACTTTTGGTTAAAGTTTGAATTGAACGTTTCGTTCAAAAGGTCATTTTATTAAAGTTCGCTTTTGAACGTTCAACCAAAATGAACGTTCATTTTTCATTTTGAAAAAGTTCGTTCAAAAAATGAACGTTCATTTTTCATTTTCAAAAAGTTCGTTCAAAAAAATGAACGTTCATCTTTCATTTTCAAAAAGTTCGTTCAAAAAATGAACGTTCATTTTTTTCATTTTCAAAAAGTTCGTTCAAAAAAATGAACGTTCATCTTTCATTTTCAAAAAGTTCGTTCAAAAAATGAACGTTCATTTTTTTCATTTTTCAAAAAAGTTCGTTCAAAAAAATGAACATTCATTTTTCATTTTCAAAAAGTTCGTTCAAAAAAATGAACGTTCATCTTTCATTTTCAAAAAGTTCGTTTTTCTCTCGAAGAACTTTTTTTAAAATCAAAAAAAATAAGGAAATAGTCAAGCTTTGTGAGAATTTCGCGCTCAAGCGGCGTGATAAACGCAGCGCGTCGCCTGCGCGTCGCGTGCGCAGGGCTTTTTTTAAAATTAAAATTCAAACTCACTTCTAATGTGTTTTTATTTTTAAAATTTCATTCAATTTTTGAAATAAAGTTGCTTTGTTCGAAATTAACATTAAAATTTTGTTCAGATGCCGTCTCTTATCTGGGATTTGTTTTCTCAAGTCGACGGAAGCGCTTCAAAATGCTCTTTTTGTGAGCAAATCATCAAAAATAAAAACAAAGGCACATCACATCTGTGGTGTCATCTGAGAACGAAGCATCCAGAAAAAATCAAAAATCTTGGAGAGGTCGACACTAGAGTTCTCAAAACCAAACGTTCGAACGAACGTTCGACCAAACATTTTTCGAACAAATGTTGAAACCAAACTTTTGGTTAAAGTTTGAATTGAACGTTTCGTTCAAAAGGTCATTTTATTAAAGTTCGCTTTTGAACGTTCAACCAAAATGAACGTTCATTTTTCATTTTGAAAAAGTTCGTTCAAAAAATGAACGTTTATTTTCCGTTCGTAAAAAGTTTGCTCAAAAAAATGAACGTTCATTTTTTCATTTTTAAAAAAAGTTCGTTCAAAAAAATGAACGTTTATTTTTCCGTTCGTAAAAAGTTTGCTCAAAAATGAACGTTCATTTTTTTCATTTTTAAAAAAAGTTCGTTCAAAAAAATGAACGTTTATTTTTCCGTTCGTAAAAAGTTTGCTCAAAAAAATGAACGTTCATTTTTTTCATTTTTAAAAAAAGTTCGTTCAAAAAAATGAACGTTTATTTTTCCGTTCGTAAAAAGTTTGCTCAAAGAAATGAACGTTCATTTTTTTCATTTTTCAAAAAGTTTCGTTCAAAAAAATGAACGTTTATTTTTCCGTTCGTAAAAAAAGTTCGATCAAGAAATGAACGTTCATTTTTTTATGTGAAAAAGCAAACGTTCATTATTATAAGAAAACAATTTTCGAACTTTTTGGTTGAACGTTTGAAAATGATATATCCGTAAACTATCGAAAAATGAAAAAGTTCATTTTTTTTAAACGGTCATTTTTTGAACGTTCGGTTTTGAGAACTCTATTATAAACCTAAGCTTATGAAATTAAATTAGTGTTTTTGAATGAAAAAACTGATCGAGTTAAAAAGTTAAAGACCCCTTTAGGGGCCACTGGAGGGGCTCAGGGGTCAGAACCAGTACTTTTTTGTCCCCATATAAGGTCGTTTTTTCTCCCAATCCCTTCAGGGACCACTATGACGTTCCTAAGATTCTCAAAGTCATTTTTAAATTTTATTTCACATATAATAATGAAAACTCATTTTTTTTAATTCTAGGCGTCAGAACTTTGTACACTGGCGACTTTTCTTGCCTAGAAGATCGACATCTCTGTGCTGCGGAAATCCCTCCAGTGACCCCTCAAGTGCTCATTACGGTAGGTTTGAATGATACATTGAATAATTGATTGAAACGTTAAAAAAGGGTTGTGAAGGGAAAAAAAGTTGTAATTTTTTTCCAGGAGTCGACCTATGGTACTCAGTTGCATGAAGATCGAGAGCTCAGAGAAGGAAGATTCACGAAAATGGTGGATATTTAAAAGAAAAAGAAGTAAAATACCTTTTTTCAGGTACACGAAATGGTCGGCCGAGGTGGAAGAGTCCTAATTCCGGCCTTCGCACTGGGTCGAGCTCAGGAGCTTCTTCTGATCCTCGACGAGTATTGGGAGGCTCACCCCGAACTTCATGACATTCCAGTTTATTGTTCGTTTTTTGTGAAAAATTTCTAGAGGCCACTCAAATCTCACAAAAGCGCGTGTGTGTAGAAAAATTTCAGAAACGTGAAATTTATCATTTATTCTAGCTTACGTGAAAAAGGGTCTTCATTGTTTAAATGTCTTGTATAGCTGATTCACGGCTGGCTTGAGCCATCAAAAAAAAAAGGGTTCTGACACGATAATGCACGAGATAATGCCTGGCTCGTGGAGAGTGCAGACAGGACACGCCCCCTTAGCGTCCCAATCTGGCCGTGAAACAGCTATATAATGACGTCATTTGAAATAGCTCGGTGGATGGCTCGCTCTCTGATTTGTTTATGGCGAACTTAGGGGCGGAGCTTGAGCGACGACTTGAAATTAAAGTTCTGAACAGACTATAAGAGATATTTAGCTCTCATTCTATTGGGTGAAGGTGATTTCAATACAAATATGCGTTTTTACTGGAAAATCTACTTTTTCTGAGCGAATGCAGTTTTTACTATTCACTTTTGACTTGATTTCAAGCTATCCTAAAATTCAGCGGCACTGAAAAATTTTTCAAGCTAGTTAAAATGAACGCTTTTTTTGACGTACGAAAAATAGGAAAAAACCCTTTTTTGATCACAGCTTTCTTGTATGGAGTTTGATCTTTCTGAAAATTTCTGGTCTTGTGGTAATTGTTATCTGTTACATCTTGGTGGAACTTCAGACAGCAGAAGGAAAAAAAGCTCCGCTGTTTCAAAAAGATTCATCTTCATAGGGGAGGTTGCGAACCAATAATTCTTTTTTATCGTTTCTGAAGGTCCCATTTATTGTCAAAGGAACGGCTCAAAAGGGAGTTTTTCTTGACTATCGCATTCTGACAAAAATGAGAAAAAGCTTCTTGGAATTCGGGAACAAGGACCGGACGCGCTCTGGACGTTTCCGAATGTTTCTAGTGATCCCTTTAGTGACGTTAGCACCCTTACGTTTTTTTTTCGCAGTTTTCAGGGGGTAGGCCGCACCTCGGGGTGGGATCCAGCCGACTTATGGTTTGCGTTATCAAAGTCCGGGTGTGCCGAAAAATTCCTCATCTGAAGACCCACCCCCTCAAATTTTCTGAATGATTTTCCATCCCAGATGCCTCTTCGTTGGCCAAAAAGTGCATGGCCGTGTATCAAACTTTCGTCAGCGGCATGAACCAAAGGATCCAGAAACAAATCGCCGTCAACAACCCGTTTATTTTCAAGCATGTCAGCAACCTCAAGGTAAAAAAAGCCGAAAAAAAGCCTTTACTGTAGGTTTCCAGGGCATGGAACACTTTGAAGACGTCGGACCTTGTGTGGTGCTGGCCAGTCCGGGAATGCTCCAGACTGGGCTCAGTCGAGAACTTTTCGAGATGTGGTGTGGCGACAGCAAAAATGGGTGTATCATTGCGGGATACTGCGTTGAGGGCACCTTGGCCAAGGTAGAAAATGATCTTGAAAATTTAAATTACTACTGGTTCAAACCGCGTCATAATTATTGACTCACCTTTCTTCCACAGAAACTTCTTCATATGAAATTTTTTTAAGCAACCTTTTTCAAATCTATCAAATTATTGTGGTTAAGGAAGCAAAGAAAAAACTGACATTGAGAAAAAGTTCAAATATTGAGTTCCAATGTATGATTAAGAACGCCAGAGTGGTACCTATAGGGGTCAGAGGGAAAAGCTCTTATATGGGGCAAAAAAAAAGTTAAATGATTTTTGTAGGGGTTCAGTGTTTGTCTACTGAGCCCCTAAAGCTCAAGTACTTCCTATAGGGTCTTTAACTTTTTGTCCAGACTTAAAATTCAAAAAGACGAACTTGATCGATATTTCCTCTGTTTTTCATTCAAAAAAGGTTTATTTATTCAGTTTTTCGCATGGAAATGCTTCTCATAGAGTTGAAAACGATGAAGGACTAGCATGACCCCCTATAGGGGCCACTTAGCCAAGTTTTAGCGGTCCCTAGAGGGAAACCTTCAAATGGCCCCAAGGTTGTCCCTATAGGGACCACTCTGGAGTTCTTAAATAACTATTCATTCATTTTTGATGATTATGTTCCAGCACATCTTATCTGAACCCGAAGAAATCGTGGCGATGAACGGAGATCGGCTTCCGATGCGAATGCAAGTCGGCTACGTCTCCTTCTCGGCTCACACCGATTTCAATCAAACCCACAACTTTGTCAAGGCCCTCAGACCTCCTCATTTGGTGAGCAGGGGAATAAATTGATAAAAATAGAGTAATTTTCCTAGATCTCTTACACGTTAGCTGTAAAATTGTATTAGATTTTGTCGAGTTTTTTTTTGCTTTTCTTTGATAATTTTACTGAACCTGCGAGAAACTCCAGTGGTTTCACAAGAGGCTCCTTAAGAACTACTTTGGAAGGACACTAAAGTGGCCACTAAAACTACCTCTATAGAAACCACTATTCAACGTCTTAGTGGCCATTATAGTGATTCTAGTGAAACAATAATACTCTTAGAATTCTAAAAAAAAAAAAAGCTTTATTTAAGCCGTTTTAGTGTTTACCTGTTCGACTACTTAAGTGGCCATTCATACGGGGAAATCCTAGAGTGGTCACTGAAACATGGTCTTGTATATAAGCCACAACTTTAAGTATCAGTGGCGTCTTTAGTGGACCAGTAACACCACTAGACTTCTAAAAAGGCCATTAAATTTTACCCACTGAAGTGGCCTTTGATTCGACTACTGTAGTGACCACTAAATCGTGAAAACCCTAAAGTGGTCACTAAAATTTTTCCCAGAAGAGTTCTAGGAAAAATCTTCCAATTTTATAAAAGACCATTTCAGGTACTCGTCCATGGCGAAATGCACGAGATGAGTCGTCTGAAAGCTGGAATAGAACGGTCTTTCCAGGACCTCAATATCCCTATTGAAGTATGAAAATGACATTCTGATTGAAAAAAAAAATCTAATGATTAGGTACACAATCCAAGGAACACGGAACAATTGACTCTGCACTTCCGCGGTGAGAAGACGGCCAAAGTTGTCGGAAATTTGGCGAAACGCATGCCGGAGGTGATTGAAACAGCGATAGATTTATAAGATCCTTCAAATTTTTTTTTTTTTTCCAAAACTGTTTGAAGAAGGAATTACTTTCCAGAACAATGAGGTGATCAGCGGCGTCTTGGTGAAACGCAACTTCACCTACTCGATTATGGATCCCAACGATTTGATTGGTTTTTAACCCGTCTAAATATTGATTTCAAAAATATTTTCTAGGTTACACATCTTTACGAATCTCCAAGTTGACCCAGAGACAATCACTCTACTTTTCCGGCAGCATTGAGCTCTTGATGCATAATTTGAGGTTTTCTCCGAAGACGAATTTCGATTAATATGATTTTGCAGACAATTGAACGACGATGCGATGCTGTACACGGAGAACAAAGGAAAGGATCTCAAGGAGAATCTCCCTTCCTATATTGTCCACGTTTTTGGGGTTGGTGCGCACTTTTCGAAGATTTGTGGGGTTGGAGCGCTTTTTTAAAAAGGTTTTTGGGGTTGGAGCACATTTTTTCAAGATTTTCGTGGTTGAGAGTATTTTTTTAAGATTTTTCAAATTGGGGAAATTGGAGTTTTTTTTGAGATTGTTGAGATTGGAGCACATCTTTTGAGAGTTTTAGTGTTGGAGCTCTTTTTTGGGATTTTTGAAATCAAACCTTTTTTTGCGATTTTCGGGGTTAGAGCTCATTTTTGAGATTTTTGGAATTGAGCTATTTTTTGAAGTTTTTGTAGTTGAAACGCATTTTTTGAGATAGGCAAAAAAGTGAAAGATTATCTGTAGGAAAAGGGGTTTTTTTGAGAGTACCCAAAAGAAAAAGGGTGAGCGCATTTTGAGATTTACCAGATTGGAGGGAACTTTCTGAACTTAAAAATGAAAAAAAAAACTGAGCAAAATTAGCTGCAAAAAGGGTTATTGTGTGAGGATATCCTAGAGAAATGCTTTAAAAGGGGGTCGTTCAAATTGTTCAAAATTCCGTCGAATAAAAATTAGTTTCAAAAATTTTTTTAACGGTATAAAAATTTTACTGTCTAGGACTATTTGGATATGAGAGACAAAAGTACAGTTTTTGAGCTTTTCTTGAGTCAGTTTTTATTAACAAGCGTTCTCATTGTGAATATGAAACTCTTGATTTGTCTTGACACGATAATAAAAGAAATAGTGTTTGTCGGATGGAGATCGCAGACAGGCCTTCTTGACTTCCCAGGCTAACCGTTAATCTGCTATAAGCCTTTTTTTCTTTCTCAAACTCATTTAATTCCTTGAAGGGCCTGGTAGCCGTCCACTACTACCGCTACCCACTCGGTGGTGATGATTCTGTGGGACTCGAATCCCGTCAACGACATGTACGCCGACGCGTGTGCCGCCGCCATTCTACACGCCCAGGCGAATCCTGTCCCTGATAAATGTGATACACGTGTGGTTTCCCTCAATGTTTGTACGTTTTCCAGACCTGCCGACACTGGAAACGTTTCCATCGTTCCAGGAGGCGATCCAAGGCATGGTTCATGACGTGGGTTTTCATTTTGACCCTTGAGTGGATACTTGAAAGACGTGGAGGGCTCTTTAAACAGAACATGAAGAAATGACGTTTTTTTTTAGATTCTTTGAGTTTTCACGTGTAATGATTTCAGTTGAGACTGAGTGACCCCTAGAGCATACTTGAGAGATTTCTAGTGACCACTTTAGTAGCGTCAGCACTCTTAGGTGATCCCTAGGATCGCCGAAAAAAAAATTCGGAGCGCTTACCGAGGTCCAAGTTGGATTTGAGAAATATTTCTTTGATCTGAGTCTAGCAATCAAGGTTCGAGAGCAGATTTCTAAGCTTGTACTTGTTTTAAAATATTAAAATATTGATCATTTTCATAATAACTTTTCTATTTTTCGCTACAGATCTGTGGTGATGACGCAAAGTTGGTCGATGATTCGATAACGGGCTTGACAGTGGTTTTCGAGGAGGACGGGCGAAGGATTCCTCTTGATCCAGCTCTCGGTACGGCCTTTTTATTGGGAGCTTGAAAAAAAATGCATCCATGAGCAGACTGTTTTAAAGGCCGCCGACCCCTCCTTACAAGTTTTCCTAAATTAAAGTTGATAATACCTCCCTAAGGTTGAAAATATTCCTAATTTTCCAGAAATTTCGTAGGTTAACTTTTCCTCCCGGCCTGACTAAGTTATCTAAATGTCATTTATTTATTTCGAAAGGACGAAAATAGCAATCCAGTCTATCGGTTTTTCAAAGGATACTCTAACTCATATTTTTAAAACCCAGAATGAGAAATTTTGCGTGGCGTCATATTTGGAGGTTTCTGATGGCAACGAGCTTTATTTTCAACCTTTGTGAAAACTGATATCAGATTAGGGATCAGCGTAAAATTTTGAACCGGATAGATACTCAGAATTGGATTTAGAACTCAAAATGAGAATTTTTGCACAGTGACGTCACATTATTTATTTTGTTTCTTCATTTTTTTAAAATTAAACTTCAGAAGTGAAGGGTGTTTCAAAAAGCTTCTGAAAAGTTAAATATACGAGAAAATGTGAGCAAATTTAGAGGCTATCTAAACGGTACACTGGAAACAAGATGGGAACCTAGAAAAATATAGATACTACGTGGGAAAAGAGCCGGAATTTGAAACTATAAAAACCCTATTAGTAGCATTTTATTACTGTAAATTACTGATTTCAGCTTCAGAGGGAGGTATGAATCGACTATGATGATTTAATGATTTCCAGCGGCGTCGGACAGTGGAGCGGCTGTAGCGGCCGACACGAGCGACCCTCTGACGGGACATCTTCTCCAGCAACTCACCGCCAAAATGCGCCAGTGTGTCCCCAGCACAACCCGACAAGATTCATAATTTTGAATATTTTTTTCATTTTTCAAAAATTGTTTTGCTGTTTCTTTGATGATCTTGACGAGGTGGTCGTTTCACACTTGCGAGTTTTCTGAAAATGGGCTAGGACATTCCTTGAAGCACCAGAGAAAGATCCTGAAAGTATTCTGCTTTTTTAGGGCTATTTTTCGAGATTCGAGCTTTTATTTCTCGAAAACTAAGAAATTTTGAAGGTTGGGACTTTCTGAAGGCTCATCTGGTACACCAAGAAGTGTTCTGACAAATTTTCAGGAATTTCTAAAAAAAAATGACCTCCTTTTTGAGCCACTGTTAACCGTTCTCATTGGCTTTGCAATCGGGTCCCTTTAACTGTTCCAATTTCCTCAATTAATTTATTTTTGTTCGATCCTTGTTGAATTTTTATTGTAGCCCCCGGTCTTTTCAATCGAATAAATTTTATCATTTTTTTTCCATTTTTTTTTGCTGGAAATTTTAGCAGTTCGTGAACTCGAGTATATCAAGCTGAAAAGGTTCCGTTATTGACCCATTTTGTTAAAGCACTGTTGGAAATTTGTTTATAGTTAGGCGTTCTTGTATATTTTCTGTGGAAGTATCGAATTTCTATAGGGGCTATTATTTCAGGTAGGTGGTGCATTTTTGATCGAATTGTGTGTTTTTTCATTTTTTTACGATATTTGAACTGAATCTCATTAACCTTTTGTGAGGAAAAAAAGTTATTTAAAGAAAAACTTGAGAGAATTAAGTTTTTTTTTCACATTTATCACGTTTTTTCTTTTTCGAAAATTTGAAGTTTCAAGTATTTTTTTGAAAAAGTGAAAAAAAGAATAGAGGAATAGATGAGAATTTTTTTGTTTATGAAATAGAGATTATCGTTTTTTTGATGGCCTCTCAAAAAAATTTTTTTCTAGTTCAGTAGGGTTCATGACGGAAAGAAAACTTGAATTTCAACTATTTCAAAATTTTATCAAACCATAAGCATGCTTATAACATCTCTTTGAATAAATAAATAATCAAAAACGTTTCGGAACATTATTTATGAGAAAAGTACACGAGAAAAGGTCAGGATTAGGATGATGTAGCGAAAAAAGTGGGTGCGCGGAGCAGGAGAAGCTGAGATGCAAGCCTTTGGAGGACTAAAGAGTCCCTGGATCGATTCCTCACCCCGCCTGCTTTTTTTCTATCTCACTGAACCCTATTTCTGTTCTATTTTCCCTCCTTCCAAGGTTTTCTGATTATAGGTTTTGCCATTTTTCGGAGCAAAACAGTTATTTTTAGTAAGTAAACTGAAGTAGAATTTGAGATTATGATAATTTAGTCATTTTCTTTGAATGAAGTAATTTTTTTGGAGTTCATTTAAAGCGGAATAGATGATTGAAAAGGTTAATAAAGGTCTGATTTTCCTATTTTTGTTTGCCTAGTTCCTGATAAGTCACGATAAATGTTATAATTCATTTTTTGATTATTAATTTTTGTTAAACTTTTTTTTTGTATTAGAAAACCTCGAAAGTAATTGGTGTGAACTTTTTTTTCACATTTTAGGTCACTTTCCCATAATTTCCGGCTAGAACTGGGAAAATTTTTAGTGGCCACTATTTTCCGTTTAACTGGCCATTATAGAGGTTCACTATTAAGTGGCCACTTTAGTAGCTTTTCATCCAGTATTCCTCCCAGTAATTCTGATAATTTAAAACAAACATATTAGACCAGTTATGCTGATAAATTGACCCCTAAAGTGGCCACTAAAATGTTTAGTGGTCTATTGGTAGCACTTAGACCTCTATAGTGGCCACTAATTTTTAGCCCCTTAAGTGGCCACTAATTTGACTATTATAGTGACCACTAAACATTTTCCCAGAAGAAAAAAAAATTGAAAAGTTGTCTGATTCCTGAAAAACTATCAAGTTTCGAAAGCACCTGTCGTCTCGAACGTGGCTTTTGATTTGATGTGTGTTCTTTTTTTTTCCTGCTCCGAACTGATATTTTCAACTTTAACTTTGAAAGATTTTTACTTGTTGAAAATTTCATAGATTTCTTTTTGCCTCGTGGCCGGGGAAAGGGATAATTGTGTTAAATTGGCATGCTTCGAATTCCATTTGCCCTGTTTTTTTTTCTTTTAACGGCATATTTCTCTGTGATTTGGACGGAATTTTGATATTTTCCCTTTTGGAAGTTAGAAAAATTGCTAATTTTTTCTATTTTATGTAGTAAATTTCGAATAAATTAATGCTAGTTTAATTATAAAGTTGAATACAATCTAATATGCTTTATTTTTGAATTTGAAAAAAAAAACCCCTAAAATTCATGTCCATACTAATGATGGCTGCGTGTAGGGAGACTTTTTTCGTTAAGAATCCGGTTTTTTGACGAAAATTGCGGGTTTCTGATGCTTCACGACGCCAGGAATATATATTTTTTCTTCAATTTTTTCCATATTACCTTTTTTATTGCGCAATCAGAGGGGATTCTTAAATATAATAGTGATTTTTGAGGGTGCCCATAAGTTTAAGTTTACAAAAAGGTCTCTTTTTATAAAGCCTGTAACGTCTTTGAAGGTAGTTCTTAGGAAATGTCACGGTTTTTTCGGGGCTTTTTACATTGAAAATTGACCAGAACCCTTCTTGATGTACCAGGTGAGCGTTCTGAAAGTCTCAACCTTAAAGTTCCTATTTTTCTAGAAATAAGGGTCTAAGTTCTCAAAAAAGCCCATTTTTATGAATTTTGAGGGGTTTCTTTGACTTTGCGTCTTTTCATAGAAACGAGGAAGTTGTGCAGGTTAAGACTTTTTCTTGTACATTAAGGAGTGTTCTGGCTAATTTGCAGAAAGATTCCGAAAAGTAAAATGACCTTAATTGTTAGGCGAGATCAGGTAGATTTAAAGAAAATTTTTTCATCAAACACTTCTTGAAAGCAACTTTGTAACCATCAATCCATTCTCCAGTAGCCTCCCAGATAATTTTTTGTGAAACTGAATAAGCCGTAAAGTAATGCTGTAACCTAGCTTAAACCGGCGGATGAGCGAGCAGTAAGCGGGCGGATGTCGGTGCGGGGCGTGCGGATTTGGCGGCGGACCAACGCCCAGCTGCCGCCGTCGCTTCTCGTCGAGAAGAACGGCGTCCTCGGCTCGCTGCTCTTCCAGGAGTCCGCCATCGCCACCTTGGGTTCTTGAGAGAGATTATAGCAAGAGTTGAGAGGCATTTCTTCAGACTCGGACTCGACGGAGGTCGAACGGAGGACCTACTCGAAAGTCTGCGACACTTACGGAATCCTTGGCGTCTTGAATGTTAGCAAAGGTGGATTTTGTAGGATTTTTGGGGGTTTTTATACAAGAAAAAGCGGAAAAGAAAGTTTTAAAAGAAGTCGTAAAACTTCTTTCTTAGGAACTCCAGAGTAGTCCCTATAGGGGCTCCAGGGCTCCTTTCCAGAAACCACTTTACCAACCCCTATAGGGACCACTAATGCTTGCAAAAGTGGCCATTATAGAGGCTCCAAGGCTCCTTGTAGGTTCCTTTCTGGTAACGACTACCAACACCTACAGGGATCACTAATGCTTGCGAAAGTGGCCATTATAGGGGACCGGCTAGTCGATTATTGTTATGAACTTTATGAGAAGAATTGTCTCGCGAAAAATTAATAAATCAGCGTTTTTTGGATGAAAAATAGCAACATGGGACGAATTAATCAATTTTGTCTTTTTGATTTTCAAGAAAGACCCTATAGGGACCACTTCAGCTAGAGGCCAAAGGGGCTAGACCCTAAACTCTATAGCGAGCACTCACGTTTTACCACTATAGGGGCACTTTTTGTACTCCAGGGGATTTTTTTTCTAACCTATTTTGGGACAACTTGAGGCTCAGTGGCTTAGGGATAAGACCCTAACCCCTATAGGACCACCTAAGTTTTACCACTACTGGGGTTGTTTTTCCCTTAACCACTATAGGGACCACTCAGGCGTTCCTAAGTAGAGAATTTTCAGTTTTCTAGTTTTTAAGGGTCTTTCTAATCAGATACCTGCCTTCATCACTTTCTGACCAAATTTGTAGATTTAAATACAATTTGTAGATGAATCGGTCCTCGTCGCCGTCACGGGCGTCCTCTCGGTTGGACAGCTTCATGGCGCGGATATTCTGAAGGTTTTTCACAGTCTGAAAGGAAAATATGAAGAGAATCTTCATCCAGGTGACCAACGTCGAGTTCATCTCACTGCGCACCTATGGCCATGCTGAAGCCGTCGATCCCAGACTCATCGATGTATATTCTTTTGGAATGTTACTGTACCTGATTGATTCTGTTTCAGCTCCAAAGATTGCTCGCCTCCCAAATGTTCTATTTTTCGTCCTCGTCGACTTTTGACCTCACACGATCTTCTCAGCATCGAGATTCTCATGACGGAAGTGATGCCAGATTTTTTTGGTTCGGAAATTTTTGGATTATCTATGATTATTTCGTCCGGTTTGCTATTTTTCAGAATAGTTGAAAATTAGGTCATTCTTTCAGATCTTAATGAAAAAAAGGATTTGAGGAATCATTCTAGGAAAAAGCTGGAGTCGGTCCTATAGTTTAAAAAAAGCCCCCCTACATGCTAAAGGACCTTTTTTTACGCCTTAAACGGTTATTTTTGGACTCTAGGAAGTTTGCAGAAAGTGGCTAGCAGGAAACCAAATTCAAAAATGATGTATACAGGAAAAATTACAAAACTGAAAAGGAAAAAAAGTTCTACGTGGTTTTAAAGGGCCTACAGGATTTCCTTCAAGTTTCTCTCAAGAGGATGTTCTAAAACAGTTCCTCTAGGACACACTGATTCTTTTACTCCCTTTAGGAGCCACTTCAGCTTTTCTCAGTTCATCAGAATTTATCGAACTTCTCTGTGACTGATTTCAGAACGCTTAATCTGCTTTTTCTCTTGCATTGAAAAAAATCCAAAAAACTGAAAATTGCCTCCGAATCAATTTTCTGTGTAAATTTCAGTCATTTTTTAGGAATCGATGCCTGCATTTTTCCTTCGATCGATACGGAGTCGACACGTCGCAGTGGTTGCTCAAATGCATGGCTGGGTAAGTTTAAAAGAAAAATTTTTAACTTCTCCTGATTTTTCGAAGAAATGGAGCTAAGAAGAGGTAAGAAATAATCATTGTGAAAGTTGAGTACATTTTTTTTTTAAGTAGAACTAGCCAACGTTTTTTAACTGTAATGTCGATCTATGAAGTCTGATTAGGTTTTTGAACTCTAATATATTTTTACAATGCCTAACTAGGCAACAGGAAGTCTTTTTTGGGAATTTGATGGGGACTTATGCGAAATAGGAAGTTTTGATGGTCCAATTAGATGAAGGAGGATGTTCTTGAAAGCTTCAATCAGTCAATTTGTTTGTTGTTCTCGTCAGGCGGTTAACAAGAATTTTGAAGCTGTTTCGAAAACCCGTCTTGAAATTCGAACGCGTAGAAAAATCGTCTTGAAATCCGAACGTGTAAAAATAAAAAAATAAAAAAATCATACCGCCCTCCGCTTTGTTCTTGGCGCTTAGTTCATTCCCTGACGAGCCTAGAAAGTAGCGGATGTTGTAGCTTGAGCCTGGAGACCGTACTCTAGGTGGAAGCCTCGAAATGAGAGCAACCACAGAGAAAAGAAGACTGAACGGAAATACTTGACTGGTTTTTCCGTTTTCAGAAGCGTCCTGGTGCGCGTGGTTTACGTCGGAGCCAAGACGGGAAGATTGGCTTTGATTTCGCGACTGAGCTGCGAACGCGTCGGAACGCGATTCAACGTCCGTGGAGCCAACTATCTTGGCTGTGTGGCGAATTTCGTGGAAACTGAGCAGGTTGACCATTTTTGGACCTCAGTAGTTTAGCTTTCATGTTTCAGTTGCTCATTTTCGACGACAAAGAATGCTCTTTCCTCCAGGTGCGTTTCTTTTCGCCAGTAGATTGAATTTTAGGTTTCATTCAGATTAAATTTAAACTTAGGACCTTAAAATAATGCTTTCTAGAAAAAACTCCTTGAAATTAACTTTAGGAAGTTTATTGATAAAAGACAGATCCATCTTTTGAAAAAAGCAAGGCCAAAAAAATAAAATCTCTATTTTGCGTGAGTTTTGTCTACGTAAACTATTCCGTTGCCATTTTGAAAGTCAGTCGACGCTCAAACTCCGCCCCCAATTTCTCGTTAAACCAATCAGAGAGCGAGCCATCCAAAGAGCGTTTTCGAATGACGTCATTGTACAAGACATAAAAAATCAGAAGTATTACCTGTATCGGCATTAAATTTCTTCAGTTCCTTTATAAGCCTGAGAAAACCTTGATTCCTGAAAAAGCAAGGCGGTAATAGAATGATATAAAAACTTTATTTTGCGTGAGTTTCGTATACGTAAACTGTACTGCTCTCATTTTGAAAATCAACTCGTCGCTCAAGCTCCGCCCTCAATGACGCGTCAAACCAATCAGAGAGCGAGCCACCCACAGAGCGTTTTCAAATGACGTCATTGACATTTAAAACCTGAACTCGAGTTTTTGCATTAATTTCCTACAGTTCATTCATTTTTAGCTCAAGAAAACCCTAATTCCTGGAAATATTGGTAGTAAAATGTCTGTTTTAGATCCGTGGATCGATACCATTGTTTTGGGAACAACCCGGTGTCCAAGTCGGATCCCATAAAGTCAAACTGAGAGCTTTTGAAACCAGCACCCCTGCCTATCATCGGTGATCAATCGATCTTCTTATCATGATCCCAATATTTGATTTTTAGGCACCTTGCCCAGTTGAAATGTCGTTATGGCGATGTCACCATGGTCAATCTTTTGGGCCGGAAAGAAGGCGAACGAGTTCTTGGCGACGCTTTTAGGGTCTTTTTTCGAACTGTACCTAATGAATTTTGCTATTCAGACCCAACACAAGAATTCTCGATACGCGAATTCGGTGGATTTCGTCGACTTTGATTATCACGCTCAAATGAGGTTTCAGCCGCGATTTTTCAAAGAAAAATCATTTTTAAGAATTTCCAAAGACGCAGTAAACATGTTGAAAAAACGGCTTCTGGACTGCTTGAAGACCTTTGGCTTTTATTTATCTGTTGATAAGGTTATCAGCAGGTATGGTTCATCGGGAAAAAAATATATATATATAGTTTGGTATTTACCAGAAGACAGTCGGGGATCGTGAGGACCAATTGTTTGGATTGCCTCGATCGAACAAATGCCGTTCAAACGATGATTGGCCTTCATGTTAGTCTGATGAAAAAAAAATCATGGAAGATCCATTTTTTTCCAGATTTGCCGAGAACAAGTCGCCTCCTTGTGCTTGGACGCTGGAAAAGTGAATCTGGAGCAACGAGTCGAGGAAATTCTCCGAGATTTGTGGCAGAAGAACGGCGATCAGTGCAGTAATATCTATGCGGGGACTGGCGCCTTGGATGGGCGGAGCAAGGTTTTTTTCCTACTTTGAATTGATCGACTTGCGAATATTCTTATTACCATTATTATTATTATTATATTTTTGCATTATATATATGCATGATAAAAATCGAGAGATCCAAAAAGTTTTTTTCCGACTGCAAGTATGACCTGTCGAGAAAATCTAGACATAGTAGCATTTTTTATTTTAAACTTACGTGGCCACAACTTGTCCATTCCGGAGTTAGGCCCAGCCAAAGTATCTCTTCGAATCCTAGCTTCCGAATGAAATGTGATTTCATAAACCTAACTCTAAATTTTCATAACCAATAGAAAAAGTAAGGCGCACGGTTTTTTTTTGTTGAAAAGTTAGATTGCGAAATGTTTGAAAATGAAATGAAAGAACGTTCACTTAACATTTGGAAAAAGCCAAGTACGGTATTTTTTTTATTGAAACGTTCATTTGCAAAATGTTCCCAATAAGCTTTTCGGCGACCGCGACGCGCACGCTTCACGTCTCTTTTTGTGTGCTTTTTTTTTCCATAAATCTTGTTTGCTTTCTACTTTTTCTCAAGACAAACTCAGCTGCTGATCGTTAGCTACTGCGTTGTTCAAAAAAGAAATAATCATGAATTTTGCGTTGTATCTGGGATTATTTGCCTGTTTTTGAACGTCAGACAATCCACATTTTACAAAGAGGAATGTTGAAAGAGCCTCGGAGAATTCTGTAAAGCTCCAAAAATGATGGGGAAAAGCTTTTGAGCTCCTTTTTTCATGGTCTCAGAGGATTCTTTTTGAATCTCTTAGAATTTTCTTACCTTCTCTACCTTCTTTCCAGCTTCTCTAGATTTTTCTTTTCATGAAAATGACTTTAAAGCAGTATTTTTGTTCCTGATTTCATTTCTGAATGGTTTTGCCATTACAGTTCAAAGATGCGAGTCGGTCGCTGGCAAGAACCATCCAGAACAACTTGATGGACGGCGCCAAACAGGAATCTTTCGATTTGTTCTTGGCTGGAGCCCCGTATGATTCGAGGATGTTCGACCGGGCTTGCAACCTTCTCCCGCCTAGTCTTATTCAAGGTTCATTTTTTTTTTTGAGCATACCAAAATAAGATAGATAAAAAACAGAATAACGTTAGAAAATAGAAAAAATATATAAGAATATTATTTTTGGAAACATTTTCAAATGGTAATACAGGTCCTTTTTATAGAAACTCTTTTAAATTTGGAATATTTTTCAGAAAACTACTACTGTCATGGTGAGTTGTTGCCTCATAAGTGTGAATGTTGTATGGTATTTTTCATTGTGATTTTTTATGTGCTTTTAGAAATTAATTATTGATCTAGAAAATGAGACTATTTGCTTCTTTCTTGATTGCGCTTTGTAGAACCGATAAATCTGCATTTTAGAAAGGAAAATGATAAAAGTTTATAGAAAAAAGCCTTTTTCTGCATGCTATTTTTTCTTTTGGGATTTTTTCTATAGTCTGTTCAATTTTTGAATTTGAAGGGAAATACCGTTATTCGAAAAAGCTCTCTGATTGGTTTCTCGCATAATTAGGGGCGGAGCTTGAGCTTGACATTTGAAATCCGAACAGGCTTGAGCTTCTATTGGGAGCATTCATTATTTGAATTCGTTGGCTTATTTTTTAATTTTTTATTGAATGGATTCTAGTTCAGGACGGCTTTTCTTAGAGTTTGACGGTGCTTGATAAAGCCAAAAATGTGAAAAATTTGTGACATTTGTTTTGAGACAATTTTGAATAATCATTGAGATTTCCGAAGCTTGTTTGACGCTAAAATTGAAAGCAAAGCGGTATTAATTTAGTATGTCTACTTTATTGAACTGATTTAGTTCATTCCGTCACGATTTTCGTGTTCGCTTGAGCTATAGAACCCCTTCCCTTCGATGTCCGCGGCCATTTTCTGTGCATGCGCCTTTAATAAGACAGAAATTTTAGTCCTAATAAAAAGCACATGTGAATAATAAAGGCCGCGCGCTTCGAAAGGAATGGTTTTGTAGCTGTATAGAATAATTAGGGCAAGCAAATGAACTTTAAAAGTCTCTGCGCCTTTAACTCTGAAGCACGCTAAGAGTCGACTTTATTCCAAAGCTATTCAGAATACGCCGACGCCGTCTCACAACTGGTTGAAAGGGCCCCAGCGATCGCCGACCCTCATCCAATAAAAATCTTCGTCGGCACTTGGAACGTCAACGGCGGCAAGAACATCCACAACGTCGCGTTTCGCAACGAGTCCAGCTTGAACAACTGGATTTTCGCCTCGTCTAGACTTGGTTCGGTCCGCTCTAAGGTCTAAGGGAAACGGATAACTTTAGTGGCGGTGGATGATGAAGAGGCGGCTGACATCGTGGCGATTGGCGTCGAGGAGCTGGTCGACCTCAATGCCAGCAATCTCGTCAAGGCGAGCACCACTAATCAGCGACTTTGGTGCGATAGTATCCGAAAGGCGTTGTCTGAAAAAGCCCCCTACTTGCTCATCGGCTCGGAGCAGTTGGTATGAGAAAGAATATTAGGAATATCCCTCATCGAATACTGTCAGGTTGGCGTCTGCTTGTACCTCTTCGCTCGGCCTCGGATATCACCATTTCTGAAAGATTTTGCCGTCGCTTCGGTCAAGACTGGCATGGGTGGCGCCACCGGAAACAAGGTTGCAGATTATTTGGAAATAGTAGTTCTAATTAGTCGAAAAGCAGACTTTCCTGAAAAGCTCTTTTGATAATAACAGCACATTTACAATGATTTATTGATCCCTTAAGACGTTTCAAAGCTACTTGAAGCTTGAGCTTTTTCAGAATGAACATTTAGGGTTCTATAGTTTTTTATGACCTAAAATAACGGTAAAAAAACGGCTTTTCGCTTTTAGGAACTCATGAAATTTTTCTGGACACTTCTGGAAGTTTCTGAATTTTTCAATCAGAAGGTATCTCAAGATCCTTCAGCGTCTTTTTGGACTAATTTTCGAGATTACTGGGGAAAACTGTAGAGGCCACTTGATAGATTCCTGGAGTGCCACTTGGAGAGAACACTAAAATGGGCCCTTTCAGAAGTCACTATTTCGTATCTTAGTGACCACTATAGTAGTTTTTTAGGAATAGTAGTACTACTTGGACCTCTGAAGAGGCCACTAAATTTCAAACCTTTACGTGGCCGCTACTTCGACTACTAAAGGGGCCTCTGAAACGTCAAAACCCTAAAGTGGTCACTTAATCTTTTCCAAGTATGACTACTCTTTTCTTACGTCAAAGCCCTAAAGTGCTCACTAAATCTGTTCCCACTATGAGACTCTTTATTAGAAAAAAAAATTAGTTTTGGAAAAGTTGAAACTAACTTGGTTCTTAATATCTTGTTTTGGAAAAGGCTCATTTGTGACATCTCTAATCTTTCTAGGGATCTGTGGCCTTCCGAGTGGTACTGTATTCGACGAGTATCTGCTTCGTCTGCTCACACTTTGCCGCCGGCCAAAACGAAGTTCGCGACCGGAACGACGATTTCACGACCGCTTTGCGGAAGATCCGATTCCCGCTTGGCCGTGACATTGAATCGCACGATGTCATCTTCTGGCTTGGCGATTTTAATTACAGGTTTGATTTTTTCAGTGAAAAGCATACGACGGCTGGATCCCACCCCGGGGTGCGGCCTCCGCCCCTCAATTTGCGGTTTTTGGAGAATTTGTCTTGATATCTCTTTGTCTTGATAATCTTTCAGGAACTCGTAAGTATTTTGGTAAAGTTTCAAATGTCTTTCAAACGGAGCAGACGATGGGATTGAAAATTCAAGGTCAAACTGAGATTTAGAAAATTGAATTTTTGTGGTAGCTTCAAAGAGTTTTTTCGATGAAATTTTGTATTGCTCGTACTCTGACTTCTTTTTTGGATTCATCAAGCCTTTTTATCCGTTTCAGAATCAACTTGTCGGGCGAGGAGGTGAAACAGGCGGTGCGGATGAACGATTTCCAGAAGCTCCTTGAACATGATCAGCTGACCCAGCAGAAGGCCCAAGGCGCCGTTAGTTTTCCCTGATTTTTGGAAGAACTTGATAGATCAGATCTTCAGTTTATTGATTGGTAGGACAGGAGGAGTGAAATTCCAATGTAAACCTTGACCTTTTCGGCTGAAAAGCAAACTTCGCCTTAGCCAACCCCCCACCCCCTCGCTCTTCAAAAATTTTTCAAAAAGTCAACCCTCCTGCACTGACTAGGTTCTGTACCACTTCTGAGCCTACTTTAAGATTATCGTAGTCTCAAGAAACGCTTCCAATTTCTCTCTCAGACGTTCGTCGGCTTCAACGAAGGGCCACTCCGGTTCGCGCCAACCTACAAGTACGACACGTTCAGCGACGATTATGATACCAGCGAAAAATGCCGCGCGCCGGCGTGGACTGACCGCGTCTTGTGGAGGGAACAGCGTGCCCAAGCCGACACTCGGCTTTTGAGGTTGGCAGCTTGATCTTGTTGGCTTCTCTTGGAAAAACTATTGGTTTTCAAATGATGTTTTACTGAAAATACTTTAGTGGTCACTTGAGAGATTTCTCAAGGATGTACTTGGAGAGGACACTGAGGTGGCCACTAAGATGACATCTATAGAAGCCACCTTTGCGTCTTAGTGGCCACTATAGTAGTTTTGGTGGTCTAGTAGCACCACTAGGCTTCTAAAGAGATCACTATATTTCAGCCACTTAAGGGGCCTCTAATTCAACTACTGTAGGGGCCTCTAAAACGTCAAAACCTTGAAGCGGTTCGAAATTCGACAGTTAACTCGATATTTTTAAGAAGACCTGAATTAGAAGTATTTTAAAGTATTTTAGTGGTAATAAGAGGTAACCCAACAGATTCCCTCATAAAATTCAATAAAAAAACCAGGATCGGTTTTTGTTCAGCTATGACCGCGCCGAACTGAAGACGTCGGATCATCGACCCGTCGGCGCCAATTTCCTTGTCAACACCTACAAGGTCGACAGCGCCAAGTGCATTGAACTCGTTGAAGACGTCATCGAGTAACGTCTTCTATTTTTTCCATGCCATGTTTCTGATTTCGCAGATCTATGGGACCTCCTGACGGGACCATCATTGTTAACTTTGTCGGGAAGCAAAGATTTCCTCCAGCCATGTTCCCGCCGGTCCACGAAAAGCTCAAGGAATTGGGAGTACGAGTCCTTCTCAGCAAGTGAGATCTCAAAAATGAGATTGAACCCATTCTGGTTTTTAGGTTTGAGAATGGAGATCTGTGGATTGTCGTGAATAGCGGGGAGAGTGCTCTGGCAGCCATGAGCATGGATGGATTGAAAATTGGTGAGGAATGGGGTCTATGAAAGTTCCAAGGGTGGTCATTTTATTTTGCATTCTGGTGATTTCAGAATGTTGTCCCTCAATGTACCAAACGAAGATTCTAACTTTCTGTGGCTAGTTTCCGATGAAGATAGGCTCAAAGTCAATAAAGTCGTCAAAAAAAAATTCCAGGATCTGCATACTGACATTCATTGGTTTTTCCCCGTCCTAGAACTTCGAAAAATCCCCCTCTCCCCCCTCAAAAAAATGCCGAAAACGCGCGTGGTAGCTTCCGATTCTCAGATTTTAACCACGAGAAATGACCCTGAAGTCACGATTTTTTTTACCACGGATCTACCGAATTCCTCCCCCGGGAGAAAGCTCCTGAGTTTTAATCGATCCTTCAAAAATTATAATATTGATTAACATGACCCACTTTTTTCAGAAGGAGAGACTTTGAAGGTGAAGTTACGATCGCCAGATTGGGCCTACGCTCTGAAACCCCAACTTTCTGAGTTGGACCTCGCGTCGGCGGCTTTCGAATCTACCAGTGAAGAAGAAACGGCTAGACAATCTGGGGCCATGTTCGAGTTTGAAGGTATCTTCAAGAAAAAGATTCAAATTTTCTCTGGATCTTCTTCAGACGACGAGGACGACGACAAGATTAGCGTAAGCAATATCTCCTTGTACTCGACGGCGCCGTCTACCACGACAACACTGGCTCCAGAACGACCTCGACCGCCGTCAGCTCGGAGCGACGCCATCAGCATCGCCAATCTGGATTGGCCGGCTGAGGATGGGTGAGAAGAGATCGAAGAATCCTTGTTCAGAGAGTTAATTTGACAGGCCCGCGACGCTTTCCACCTCGATGCCTTCAAGGGCTTCATCGGCTTCGCTGGCCAACTCCACCTGGTATGAGCATGTTCCGCCGATCGCCGCGCCGCCCGCCCATCAACCGACGTCGAACGCGACTCCGCCTCCACCGCCTCAACGTCTTCTGCAGCAGCAGCTGTGCCAGGCTCCGCCACCACCGCCCAGGAACACCTCCCAGGCCCCGCCGTTGCCCACAAGACCTGCTCCTCCTCCGCCGCCGCCTCGACCTCAGCCACTCATTCCGCCCAGACCAGCCGGCTTTTGATCTGATTTTTTTTTAGTTAGACTCTTATCTACTGAAGTTCAGAAAAGAAGAATCAGGGGATTTTGAATTTTTTTTTCCTGTGGTTTACCAAGTCCTGCTGGATTCCGAAAAGAAAAGGATCCAAAATTCTTCATCAACTTGGTCTTTGAGAAAAATTGAATAACCTTTTTCGGAACTCAGGATTGAATTTTTGTTCAGTCTTCATCAGATTTGTATGGAGTTTGTTGAATATTTAAGAAAAATTTTTAACCAATTTTAGGATCTTTTTGTGAAAGAATAATGTAAGATCTTTATTACCCCATGTGATATTGTGATCCTTCAATTTTTTTAATTTATTATATTAATTTTTAGAAATTATTTTCTAGAATTTTCACTGTTTTTTTCTAGTCATTCTCCTCGAACGAACATTGTAATTTATCATTCACTTAAAATATTGATAGCAATAAAATCCCGTTGACCTCGTGCATTATGTTAAGTTCAGTAGTTTCACTTCTTGCCAAACATTCTTTTTAATATTACTAATTTATTTGCACTTTTTTTCGAGTTTGAATAAAGAAATCGTTCCTTAACATAATATTATGTGAATGCGTTTATTAAATTTCTCGTTTTGGTTGATCCTATCGGTAAAATTGAACGATTTTTAGGATAACGATTCTTTGCAGGCCCAACTGTCCCGAGCCTTTTCGACATTTCTCGGGTGACGGTCTTTCCAAAAGCCGAAGATCATCAGAAGGACGGACAGGAAGGCCAGAAAGACGGTTGACGACGAAATCGGCTCGAAGACCTTCTTATCGGCCACATTTTCGTAGAGGTAGTTGACTAGCACGAATTCGCAAGCTCCGAGGGCGTTAAAAGCGAGTCCGACGGTCGCCAGGTCGACCTCCTGCAGGACGCGGCAGAAACAGTAGAACGAACTTAGGGAGCATAGGAGGAAAGTCAAAAGGACAGTGAAAAAGTTGGGTTGACGCCATATCAGTAGGTACTCGGTCATTGGCCGGATCTCGTGCTGCAAAAAATTGTGACTTTGTTAACCAGAACACTCTAGTGGACACTCAGAAGGGAAAGTTTCTCACTAGGGAATAGCGCTTTTTTGGCCTAATTTGCGTATATTGCACACTTTGAAGCTCCATAACTCGGAAAAAAGATCTAAATTTTTTTCTTGTTCTGAAATCAGGAGGTCCTAAAGTACACTTCAGCAAAGCTTCAGCAAAAGTTCAACCGGGGGTAAAAAAACGTTCCCTGGTCAGAAACTCCTGGTTACAGACCAGTTGAGTTGAAACTCGTCTCGTTTTAAAGTTATGGTGCCTCAAAATTATGCTAAAATATGCCCCTCCCTCCTATTGAAAATATGCCCCCTCCCCATTGAAAGTTTCAAAGCGTCATATTTCCAAAAACTATACGATTTTTCACATTTAGTTCTAAATAATCTGTGATCAGGAGGTCCTTAGGTTCTTATCCGCAAATTTTCATCAATAGTTTCACCATGTCTTAAAAATTATAGCTCGAAGCTGCCAAAAAAGAACGTTTTTCGACCAAGATCAACTATTTTTATCCGACTTCTAGCGGTGTGAAATACAAGATTTTTCAGGAAATCTTCAAGATTAGGTTGGAAAACAGAATGCTCATAAAAGAAAAAATCCCATTTTCCAAATTCTTGATATCAATTGGTCCTAGTTAACTAGTTTTATCTATCATTTTTTCCCAGAACTCCAACTTTTTCAACCCTAACCGACCTGAAATATCTCCAGCAGAAATAAAAAGGAAGATGACACGATAAAGTGTCCAGATAGGAAATCTTTCACGCAGGATCTGTAAATCTATCTCATTTATTTATTCTTGGAAGTCAGAACTAACTGATTAACGCTTTGACGGACCAGGGCGACAGCCAAAAGACTGAATAGAAGATTGGAAATTCCATAGAGGGAACTGCTTTCAAAGGAAACTTCGACAAGAGGGACGGTTGGAGAAGCTGAAAAAGATTTTTCTTTTCCAAAAAAGTTTTTAGCTCACTAGCGTAAGAAACTATGATCGTTGAGAAGATAGCCAATAGCAACAGGAGTCTGGAATTTCGGAGCGTTCGAAGGGAAAAGTAGACGAGGCACGGGGCCAGGGAGTAACGGAGAATGTTTGAAGTTGCTGATTCCTGTGAATATATATTTTTTTTTGCAGTTTGATACGCTTCACGGCGTTTTTGTTAGTGGAAGAAAATGCGAAACCAAAAACACGGTGGGCGGAGCCAAAACCTCCGCCGTTCTCACGTGACGTCATGGGAACCGCAGCGATTTAGGCTCTAAGAGCGTAAATAGCAGATCATATTAAAGGCGCAGGCCGTCATATTGCCACAGATATTTGAGACGAATCGAAATTTCTCTACATAAGCGCGAATTTCTGCGCGAAAGCGGCGCAGTGCATGCACACGAAACACGACAATTTACGCAAAAAAAAACGCCGTGGCCGTATTTCTAGCTGCAAATGAATGATTTCTCAACCAATTTGGTCTTGGTACAGCTTGCAAAACGGTGGGGAAAAAAAGAAGCTATCAAAATTGATATTTTTCAAAATTTTAATTTAAGATAGCGGTGAATGGACTATGTGGCCTTAAGCAGTTTCATGAAGATTTTTCAAAAAAAATAAAAAAATTTTTTTGAAAGTCTGAACATTTTGAAAATGGGCTATGTCATATTTATTGAAATTCTTCTTTTTTTCGATTTTATCGACCACATTTTTAGAGCATAGAATTTTTCAAATCGGACTTTTTTTAAAAGTTAAAAAAACTTTTTTTCAGTGTTTTTTTGTTCAAATCGACCTTATTTTTGAGGTTAAGCGTTTTTGAAATCATTTTTTTCACATTTTGAGGGTTTTTTTACTGCTTGATAAATAGTTTGATATGAAATTTTTTTAAACCATATAGAAAGATATATTTTCTCACCTTGTACAGCGAAATATAGTTGAGATAAGTCGCTCCAGTCAATGCAAACGTCGTCAAAACGGTTTCATACCGAATCTTAGCGAAGCTCCATTTTTCCTCTGTCTTGTTGTTTCTGATTTTAAAAGGTAGAAATTTTCCTTATTTTTAACTTACGCAGTTAGTTGAGAAATCGTGAGGCCGATAGAAGACTGAATTAATAAGACGAAGATTGGAAATTCGAAAAACAGAGAATTCAGTACCAAACGGTAGAGTACTCCTGTGGCCAGAGTTGTGCCGAACCATAGGGATAGCCTTAAAATTTCGAATAAATATATTTTTGAAGGTTCTTTGATTTTTTTGAAGGTTATTTCAAGACGTTATAAAGGCCGCAAGTTTCAAGAAAGAGGGGGGTTTGAAGTAAAAAGTTGCAGATGTGGTCCAAAAATTCAGGGGGTCTGAAGTGAAAATTGCAGATGCGGTCCAAAAATTCTGGGACAGTTAGTCCTCAGTATGGGTACTTAAAAATTAGAATAATTATTTACTAAGCGTCAAGGGTACTGAGAAAGAAACCATCCAAAACTGAAAAAAAAAATGCTGAAAAACTGAGTTTTTTGGTTTTTCGGCTGTTGGAATGACTACTGTAACTCAATATAACATAACTTATTATATTTTGAGCTACAGTAATCATTCCCTTTTTAGTCATTCATAAGAATTAAGGAAAGGAAGTTTTTTGCAAAAAATACCCACAGAGAATCAGTTTTTGAGCTGTTCACGTACATTTTCGGCAAACTATTTCTTACCTTATTGGGCTTTGTCAATAATTATTTTTATTTTTGAGCACTCCTACTTAAGACTATCTACCACGGAAGTTTGGACCAGATCTCCGGTTTTCACCTCAAACACTTTCCTTGTGAAGAGCTGGATCAAGTAATTAATGAAAATTAGTTTTAAAAACTGTTGTAAGTCGAATCCGTAGCTGAACTTCTTGGAGGAAGTATATAATTTTTTTGAATCTTTTTTGATTAAGGACTTTCTAATATTATTCCCGATTATATTTGTTTCCTTTATTGAAAACTCACCAACAGAACCGCTTCTGCAGTTGAGAGATGATCATCTACAATTCCCCTGTTCTTTTTTCCTGGATTTCTGCTTTTTTGAAATGTTAAGACATCAAGGACCCAACCTTAAGAATTTGAAAAAATTATTTCGATATGTGAAATAGTTTATTGCACGGAGGAGATGTGAGAAAAAAAAATACATGTATAAAATCAATATTTTAAGCTTTGCTGAGCCAGGGACCTTTCATGATGACTTGATCGTTGGTTTGAACCTGGAAATGGCTTTTTTTTGAAATTTTTATTAGGGAAGTTGTTGAGTAGCTCGGAGATCATTGAAAAACAGAAAACAGAGCTCAAAGCCCTTGAAAATAAGCTGAGCCCTTAAATATAAGCAGAGCCCTTAGAAATAAGCGGAGCCCTTAAATATAAGCTGAGACATTAAATATAAGCCGAGCCCTTAAATATAAGCTGAGCCCTTAGAAATAAGCGGAGCCCTTAGAAATAAGCTGAGCCCTTAAATATAAGCTGAGACATTAAATATAAGCCGAGCCCTTAAATATAAGCTGAGCCCTTAGAAATAAGCTGAGCCCTTAAAACTAAAAGAAAATAAGCTGAGCCTTTAAAAATAAGCTCAGGAAAATGACTAAGAAAAGTTTTCATGAGTGCGTTTTCATCCAAAGAAAAAGATGACTTTTTCTAAGTTTTGAAGACTTTTCATTGAAGTTAATTTTTAAATTCAAAACTTTTTCACGGAACGCAAATGGATTCTTCATTTAGAATTAATAACTAAACCTTGAAGTAATAAACCGCGCCGCCAAGCGTGGCGAACAAGAAAATCCAGTTGGTGAGTCCCGGCGAGACGTCGTAGAACAAATATACAGATAGGTAGTAGGCCACGAAGATCTGAAATTTAACAGTTATCAGGATGATCTAGGAAAATGATAAAAACATTTTACTGTTTGTCAGTTTGAAAAATCAAATTATTAGTTTTTTATCAAATTAATTCATATTGCTATATAGTCTATTCAGATTTCAAATGTCAAGTCCTCGCTGAAGCTCCGCCCCCTAATCGCGCGATAAACCAATCGAGAGCGAGCCATCCACAGAGCGTTTTTCGAATGACGTCATTCTACTTGACATTAAAAATCTGAACAGACTATACACGGCTTTTTTGTTAGTGGAAGAAAATGCGAAACCAAAAACACGGTGGGCGGAGCCAAAAGATCCGCCGCTCCCACGTGACGTCATGAGATTTCGGCGTAAATAACAGAGCATATTAAAGGCGCATGCCGCAGTATTGCCAGAGGTCTTTAAGACGAATCGAAAGTTCTCTACATGAACGCAATTTTCTGCGCGAAAGCGGCGCTGTGCATGCACACGACACACGAAACTTTACGGAGAAAAAGTGGGCGTGGCGTCGAAAAAAAGCCGTGTATAAGATTGACTGCTTAAGGGGTCATTTCAAAAGCGCATAGTTAAGGAAAAAAATACCCTTTCATTTTTCTGAAAACCTAAACCGAAAATCTAAATGCCTTTGTAGGCCTTCCTTCAATGGAAAAACTGAAAAACTTCTTAAGTGATCCCTTGAAACTTTATCATCCCCTATACAGGTAACCCTCCTATTTTTCATAAGAAAATGTGTACCTCAAAAGCGGCCCGGACATTGGAGACAATCTGAAGATCTAAAGCGCTCGTCTTTTCCAAACAGTAGAACAGCGACCATTGGAAGATAATTCCAGCAATTAGTAGGAGCGCTGAAAATTTTTGATTCGAGAATATTTGAATTTTCTTACCGAAAACTCCGCCGAAAGTTGGATGGGCGGCGGTAATCATGTACATGAACGCGTCGCGAATCTCATCCTAAACATTTTTTCTGCTTTTTTTAGATCGAAAGAGTAACCTGAACGATATCAGCCAACAAGAACATGACTAGCGAGTTGAACGAGTGCATGTAGAGGATATCGAAGGACTAGAAATCGACTTTTTGTAAGGCTAGGTCGTTATTTGAACTACCGAAAGGTTCTGAAGAAGTCCTTCAAACTGCAAAAGAGCGCCGGCTTGAAGGGCAGCCGCAGCGAGGCCGTAGAACAGCGAGTAACGGTCCAGGCTCATTTCGAGGTTCACTTAAGGGTTTTTGATTAGGAATGAATCAGAAAAGTCCCCATGATGTCAAATTTCTCAATTCTAACTAGAACTTCTAGTTTGGAAATCCGTGGTCGCACGTAGAATGGCTTTTGGCGCAAGTCGTTTTAGGTCGGTGGGTTTAAACCAAGTCTAACTGTGATCGTAAGCTTGTAAAATGGAGATGAAACGAGTAGCTTCTGGAGTTTTAAGACTAACTTTAAAGGTTAAAAACATGATAAGAGGGAAAAGGAAGAAATACAGTTTATAAATCCATGGTCGCACGTAGAATGGCTTTTGGCGCAAGTCGTTTTAGGTCGGCGGGTTTAAACCAAGTTTTACTTTTTCTATCTGTGATCGTAAGTTTGTAAATTGGAGATGAACCGAGTAGATTCTGGAGTTCGAAGACTGAAGAAAGGTTAACAAACTGATAAGAGGGAAAAGGAACAAATACAGATCCAGCGTTTTCGATTTATAGCGGCTTTCTTTAAAAGGAAAAGTTAATTTGAGAAACTTCAGTTTTTTTTAAAAAGTTTCGATCTTACCTGTGACGGAGGCGGCAAAGGAGATTCCCAAGGCAATGAGAGTCCTATTGGCGTCGATCCGTTGATTCTGTTGGCCTCGTCCAAATACAGCCATCCCGAGGCAGACGAAGAATGGCGAGAATCTGAAACCTTTCAAGATTTCCTCGGAATTTCAAGTCCCTGTACCTTTTGATAGAGTCAAAAGAAGGCAAGCCGATGCCCTCGAAAGAGGCGACGCTGATCCACTGGGCCACGCTCAACATCAACGAGGGGACGAAGACATGACGACCTTTCTCGAAGGAATAAGGCGCCAATTTGAGGACACCCAGGACTCTGAAAGGCGTCTTTGACCCTAGGTTCTGGGTCGAATGAACCTGAGAACTTCAACGATCAGAAGTGTAGCGGTTGTTTGTAGCATGAGGATCACTAAGGGATAGTCGAAGAAGAACCTAGTCACGAGAATTTTGGCCATCAGTGACCAGAAGGTAGAGGCGGCTACATAGCCGATCGAGCTGGATATTTGGATTTAAAAAATATTTTAGAGGCTAAAGTTTGTTCAGGGATGACGGTTTTCGAAAAATCGAATCTTTCGTAGCACTGTCAAAGTCGGAAGTGCGGAAAACGGGCGCAAAATGGCCGCTAAAAGGGTTCCGTTTTGCCGCCTTTATTGAGCCTTTTTTTCTTGCTGTGCCAAAAAGGGTGAAAGGGTGCTGAAAGTCTTGGCCAATAATGATTTCCGATTTATTACTGTAGCACATTTTGGTTCATACACAATCACTATTAAACTTTAAAAATATTTTTGTTTCTCAAAAGGATCCAAAAAGGGTGGATAAAGGCCGTTGAAAGGGCGGAAAAGGCAGTAAAATTGCCACCCTTTTAGGACAAGTTATTGGAAATATTTTGTATCCATAACGGATTTCCATGAGGTTTGAAAGCTGTCGGAGATGAGTAAATGAAAAATCTTGCTGGAACTTTTTTTTCGAGACTTTTTTTTTGAGCCATAGGAATCGAATGATGTCAAATTATTGCCAAGACGTTCTCGAGGTTGACACAAAATATTCCAAAATAGGCAATTTTATAATTTCGTCGGCCCATCCAGACATTTTTTTGACGAATAAAAAAAATTGGAGCAAACCTTCGAACGGCGGCCGACTGTAGGACACGCATAGCGAGTGAATCGGGCCGACTATCGGCCCCTTGGATCTGACCAAGTTCTTGGGGGGTGAAATGGAGAAAGGAAGTCAAGCCAGAGACTCGTTGGTCAGATTGTATCGGATCACTTGGATCCTCGAGGAGAGGTTGTCTCGAGGAAAGCCCAAAGGTTTTTTTCGAACAAGTGAGGGGACTCTCGGGAAGATTCCTCTCAGGAAGGAATGGTCTCAGCTCCTAGTGGGACATTTGAACGAGATCAGGTTTACTGGAACTCGTTTTTAACGCTGATTTCGGATCTGTCCTCATAAATTTGCACCTACTTAGGAGCTCCAGAGTGGTCCCTATAGGGCAACTTTAAGGACCCTTTAAGCGCAGAAGCACTTCCATGGAAAAATTGAATAAATAAGCGTTTTTTGAATGAATTTGAGAGACCCCAATAGGGCCCACTTCAGCTCTAGGGGTTAAGGGGACCGACCCTAAACCCCTATAGGGACCACCTTCATTTTACCCCTACAGGAACCACTTTTTCGATCCCTGTAGGGGTTGTTTTTCCTTCTTAACTCCTAGAGGGACCACTCTGTAACTCCTAAATAGGCTTACAAAAAAAGGAGAGTCAGGATGGAAATTTAGTTCACAACTTACAAACTTGTAGAATTTTTGAAAATCTGCGTCATTGAGCTTTTTTTCCCAATTAATTTTTTAATTTTCTTGAAAACCGAAAGAATTTCATCATGTCTGTTCTGTTGGGAAACGGAGACTTGTAAGCTGTAATTAAAGAAATTGGAACAAACTTTGATCATTTTCAATTATTGTTAATTCTGATTTCTTGAAAGGAAATTTCTCCATAATCGAGCAAAGAAAGCTTTTTTCATACACCTCTTTTTTGTTAGGCGCGAAAAAAAGCTTTGAAAATCTTTATTAATTTCTAATTTTTAGTAGTATTTCTCTTCACCATTGTCTTGCATTTGAAGATAACTTTTCAATTTTCAAAGTCCTCCTATGCTCCGCCCACCAAACCGCGGACATTTTGCAAGAACTGGAGCATTTACGCGAAAATTGCGCCCAGTAGAATGCCGGCAGTCGTTTTTTTTTTCCTGCACCGGAATGTTCTCATTGATTGCTTTCTATTTCCTTGCAAAAAGCGTATTTTCAGGGGGTCATCGTTACAAATTGACGTTTCTAGAATAATTTATTGAAAGCGGCTATGGAAGTTGGGGCTCGCGTTGAGACAGGTTTTTTTGTGTTTTTATATTGTATAATAATGCTTTTTAAAAAAAGTTCATGTACTGTTCGTGGATGAGTAAGTTATGCTGCAAGTTTCTGGAAGATTCAAAAATAAAAACCGAGAAAGTTTAAAACAATTAGAATGGGCTCAAATGAAACTTATTTTCTTCAGAAAAGCAGTTTTTTATTATTTTTTTATTAATTAGAAAGAAGACGGATTATAAATAGCTTATTAGACTATGAAAAAAAGTATTTTGGGCTAATTTATTCAAAATGGAAGCCTTTTGAATTTCGCAATCGTTCAATTTTGACTTTTTTGCGTATTTCCTTTCCGGTAGGTTGTTTTTAAATTATTGATAGACTATCTTGTTAGCCAAAAATCTAAAGAGAAGTGGTAAATCCTGTATAGTTAAAATGTTTCTAAATAAAAGCTCCGTTTTTTAAAGATAATGTTTCGTTCAGCGAACTGCGGAAAAGGCCGGATCGCTTTCCGTGGCTCGACCCAATTTGCTGATGGAGAATGGATCGGCGTTGTTTTGGACGAGCCGAAAGGCAAAAACAACGGAACAGTCAAAGATGTGGAATATTTCAAATGCGAGCCGAATTATGGGCTTTTTGTTCGGCCGGATATGGTTGAAAATATAGATTGAATTATTGAAAAGAGAATATTTTGCAGTTGACCTTGGAGGGATCGAAGAAGGCTTCCGGGTTGAGGGCTCCGAACACAGCCAGGAAAGAATCTGTGCCGATGAGCCGTGTCAGCAGCGCCAAGCCTTCGCCGGGGGTCTTTTTTCAAATTTATTTTTTTCTTTCAATGTGATTCCTTGAAATCATTTAATCCGACCTTTTTTACTCGTTAGGGAACTTTTTTTAGCCTCTGGTGGATCTTTTGATGGTTTCTTGGGGCCTCCTGATCTCAGATAAAAAATTCTTGCTTTAGATTTTTTTGATTCATGAAGAGAGCTTGAAAAAAACGATTTTTTTGTGATTTTTTTGTAAATTTTGAATCTTTATAAATATATTAAAAAAACATTTTTTTCTAGTACTAAAGTTCAGGAGGTCCTACTTAAGAAAAAAATTTTTCATCAAAATTTCAACCGGGGCTGAAAAAGGTTTCCTTGTCAGGTAAAACGGATGGCAAAAAAATGGTTTCCCGTAAAAAAATATTATAACTTGCCTTAAAATTTCCGAATTTTTTTCATCAAGTTGTGTTATAGAAATTATGGAAAAATTCTATCGGCTTTTTTTATTGGATTATTTCTCACATTTTCTTTATTCTCGTGGTTTTTTCATAACTTTTGAGAATATTAACCATGTTTCTGTCCTGAAAATTCAAAATTAGACGGAAATTAACAGAGCTTTTTTTGAAGTCATATAAAAATATATTATCAAACTTTTGTACGGTTAGAAGCATGGCAAAAAGACGGGTTTTTTTATAAGAAATAACAAAATTTTTGAAATAAATTTAACTTTGTTATTCAAATTTAAAAAGATGGTACAATTTTTCCATCATTAATAGTTCACCAAATAATGTCATTATCTGTAGGAAATGTGAATTTTTCTCTGAAAATTTATTGAAAACTCAATTTTCATTGGAAGTTGGAGCTTGGAACAAAGTCGCCCGAAACTTTATTTTTATAACCGTTTTTTCCTTCTTAACGGTAGCAAGTTATAATTTCAGTCGAGCCCTGGAATGTCGCCAGCGGCTTCCACCGAGCGGCTGACCAAGTCACAGACTTCTTCCATCCGGAAACCGGGATCGACGTCGCGTCTGGCTGAATCTGTGCCCAATGAAGTATTGCTCGATTTTTTGTTTGTCAAAAAATGAATCATAACCTGCGAAAATTTTGTGGCCGCTATAGGGTTTTGACGTTTTAGTGGCCACTATAGTAGTCAAATCAGTGGCCACTTAAGGGTTAAAAATTAGTGACCACTATAGAGGTCTAAGTGCCATTACTAGACCACTAAAAATTTTAGTGGCCGCTTTAGGGGTCAATGGATCAACATAACTGGTCCAATAGTGGCCACTATAGAGGTGGGTTTAGTGGCCACTTTAGTGTCCTCTCTAAGTAGTCCTTGGCGAGCCTCTATAGTGGTCACTAGACATTTTCCCACTCGTCAACATTCTGTCAATGACAAAATAATTCCTGTAAATCAGAATTCTAGTGTCCTTTTTCAAAGTTAATCTTTTTTTTTTGAAGCTTTTTCAAAAAAATTCTCGTATCGGTGAGCCACAAGTTGCTTTGATTCCTGTTCTTTCTTTAAAAAACCCCCGGGAAAAAAACTGAGTTCCCCTAAATGTTTGTAGAGAAACGCGAGCAGAATCCAAAAATCGAAATCGCCGGCACCGGTAGAGTTTTATCATCAAAATATCGATTTTCCATCAAAATTTTTATGTTCACTCACCGCTAATGAACTAGAAGGAAGAAGACGATTTTCTAACGGAGTTTTGGATAATTTTTTCCACTAATTAATTGAAAAACCCGCTTCAAACACATTCGGTTATCCTTTTTTGCTTGCACTAACTTGATTTTCGATCAGTTTTTTATAATATTTAGCCTTAAGTTATTAGATTTATTAATTGATGTTCTGTGAAAATTTCACCGCTTACTTGTGTTTTCAGTTTTGAAACTTGACATTTCTCGAAACCAAGAAAATCTCTTTGAGCATGACTCATTTTTCCCATTTTTCAGCCAAGAATGGTCCGCGAATCATCAAATTTGTCGCAAGCTTCGACGGCTTCTGCCCGCGGTTCCATGCCGCCGCCAAGGGTAATCGACAATTTTTCAGATCACCAAAATGATCCGAATTTCAGCCCTCAATGGTCCCTGAGCCGAAAAAGAAGACTTCGATCGCGGCGAGACCGGCGCCAGTTCCGGCAACGCCTGCGAATCGCGCCCGACCGACGCCGCCGGTTGAAGCAGTGGTCGCCGAGCCGGCTGACGACGTCCTGCCGCCGCCGGAACCCGAACCAACGCCAGAGAGGGAAATCCCGACGGCCAGCGTCTTGTCCCGCGCTAAGAAAATCGACGAAGTATGGTTTAAAAATCAAAAAAAGTGGTTAATGAGGATATTATCGGGTAGAACTTTATGAAAGCAGAGAAAACTTCAGGGCATTGAAATGGAAGGATTTCATTTTGAAAAATCGAACAAAAGCCCTAAAAATAGGCATTTTTTGGGCATTGAGCCATTGTAAAAATAAACGTTAAGGTCAATTAATTTCAAAAAATCGTATATTTTTCTTTAGTTGTCCTAAATTTGTGTTTCAGGTACCGGAAAACTTATTATGGTGTGCTCGATAGTCCTAGTAAAACAGTTCACTTAAACAACCTTAAGAGAAGCCTCCAAATAAGGAAAAACTTAACTTTAGCGTCATTAGATAAATTCAAAAAATCATATCATTTTCTCTAGGTATCCTAAGGTCATGTTCCAGGTACCAAAATATTCAGAACTGTATTTTTGATGATCCTAGGTAAACAGGTCTTTCAAAAAACCTTAAGAAAAACCTTAAATTAAGGGAAAACCTTAACTTTAAGGTCATTTGTTAAGTCAAAAAATCATATATTCTTCTGTAGTTATCCTAAGGTCATGTTCCAGGTACCAAAATATTTAGAATTGTATTTTTGATAACCCTAGAGAAACAGGTCTCTCGAAAAACCGTAAGTTAAGGGAAAACCCTAACTTTAAGGTCATTTGTTAAGTTCGAAAAATCATATCTTTGGCTGTAGTTGTCCTTTCAGGTACTAAAAGTTTCATAATGGCTTTTTGATTATTCTAGACAAACTATGATCTCAAAAAGCCCTTAGAAAAATGTCGAATTGTCGAAAACTCGGAAGTTGTGCAAGTTGGGACTTTCGGAATTCGGGTTTTCTGGCCAATTTTCAAAAATACCTCCCTTGTGAGAAGCTTTCTCAAAAAAATAGAGATTTTTTTCAATTTGAGGAAAAATTGGAGAACCTGGAGGAAATAGTTGAGAAAAGTGTGGAAGAAACAAGCCGATCGAGGTCATCTTCCATAAAAACCGTCGTGGTGGGTTATGGATGGACATTTGGGTGGCTTTTTGTGAACTTTTCCCAATTTTTAGTTGCTTCTGGGTTAGCTTGTTTCTTCTCCTAAGTTGTGGCTTTCGATTTGAGCTTTTTTTGGAGTTTCTACAAGAAGAAGATTTTTTTTAATGAGTTGAGTTCAAAGAAATGAATTTTCTGGCTTTGAGATGAGTTTGAAGCCTTTTTTTTCTAGAAAGGAAGGTCATTTTTTTGGCTTTTGAAATTTTCCTGAAGCTTGTAGTACTAGAAAAAAATTCGGAAAGTCAGAACCTGCCCAAATTTTTATTTTTTGAGAAATAAAGGCCGTAAAATAGGCTATTTTGGAACTTTGAGCACTATTCCTTGAAACATAGGAAGTTGTGGACTTTCTGAACCTTGTTCTGACCAATTTTTAGAAAGAATAGAACAATAAAGTAAATTTACCTTCCTTGAAAGGTTCCCATGGATTTTCCCAATTTTTGGCAAGTCATTTGTCATAGTTTTCAATGAAACAGTGTCCGTGTTTTCCGTGAGGAAAAACTGAAAAAATTCCTCAAAAAGATATTTTGAGGCCGGACCCATCACTCCGATGTCGCCAATCTCAACGGCGGCCCCGAAATCGGCCGACATAGCCTCCGAACTCGAATATCTGCGCCAACAGGTCAAGGAACTCAATGAGAAGCTTGAAACTTTAAGGTTTACCTCAAGAAATTCCGAAAAAAAATCTCTTGAAGAAATAAACGGAAGGAAGATCACGCCAAGCTGCTGGAATATGATAGACAGAAAATCGACATGATCGCCATGCAGGAGGCGACTCGGCGGCTGAACGACACGAATGTCGAGTTGCAGAGGAAGCTTCTCGAAGCGCAGAAGGTTGGGATCAGAGAGAAAAAAAAGACATTTATTTATTCAATGCAGTCTTTATCAGTAGGTTAAAGGTCTGGAATCGATTTTTTCATGGTTTTTAGTGTTTTTTGCTCCAAATGTTGAAGTTGAATGATTCGAAAGCTTCTGATAATGTCTAGGGATCACTTAAGAGGCCTGGCGCTACTCAGGAAAAAAAATGGGGGAGCTTCTTCTTTCGGTTCCTCGAAGCGGTTTGGAAAATTTCCAGCACCTTTACTTACCTTCCAGAAGCCTTTTTCAACTTTTTACCCTCCAAATACTTTCCGAACAAATTAGGCTTTTTCAAGGACTTTTAGCTCCCATTTACCTTCCAACCACCTATTGGTAACCTTTCCAACACCTTCCTAAAAATCGCCTGAGCACTATAGTGGTCCCTAGAAAGTTCTACGACACGCCCGGAGCGCATGCGGTTCTTCCGAGTAAATTTTACTTTCTGAGTTTACTAAAAAGCTTTTTTTTTAGGTCGCCTGTAGTCAAAAATAACTTGGAAATTGAGTTTTTCAACTTTTTTTTCTGTGGAAATAAGCTTTTTCGAAGTTTTTAGAAGGGTTTTCCTAGTTCATTTTCCTGATTTTTGTAGTTTAAAAATTTCCTGTCAATTTCCCTCGATTACGAAAAGCTTTTTGATTACCTAGTCAAGAATAAAATGTTCTATTATAATCTATGTGCCACGACTTGAAATTTTACGATGTTCCGATGTTCTGTTGCGTGCGGTCACGAAGCGGCTTCGCCTTCAAGAATCTCGGTTGCGCTTCTATTTCTTTTTCTTTTAAATCAGTACTTGTTTTCACGTGTTCCCAGTTGAAACCGAAAAAAAGCGCTACCGTAGCTCGCAAAGACAAAAACGCTTCGCGACCGCACGCAGCGGAACAGCGGAATGTCGTTCGGTGAAATTTCAATTCGTACTATATATAGAAAATCTCAAGGAAAAGACAAGATTTGAGGTAGCCGATGAGTTGAGAGACTGGAAAAACAGCAACCAGGATATCATGAACGAGCACCAGGAGATGATCGAAATGGCGGCGATCGACAAGGAGATGGCCGAGGAGAAGGCCGAGGCTCTTCAGGCCGATGTTCGTATCGTTCTAGAAATATATAATGAGGTTGTTTTGTAGTGCGACCGTCTGAAGGAGCGCGTCGAAGAGCTGGAGGCGGATTTGGAGATCCTGAGAGAAGAAATGAACCTTGGCGGCGGGGAAGGTGGGTTTTCGAGGAATTTATAGCGATAAGACAAAAAAAGAGGGATTTTTCGGCCTTGGTTGGAATTTCAATGACTCAGAGGTAGTTCAAGGCCCCTGAATCTAGAAAAAAAATTGCCTGAAACCAAAAAGCCAAAAAATTCAAAAAAGTCCTGAAATAACGCTTTTTTACATGACTGGCGCACCAGAAATTTCAGCGTGATCCCTATAGGGGATAGGGAGGAAACAGCCCCTAGAGGAGTTGAAAAAGTGGTCACTATAGGGGTTTAGGGTCTGACCACTTATCGACTAGCATGCCCCCTATAGGGACCACTTTTGCAAGCTCAAGTGATCCCTAGAGGGGTTTGTAGAGCCCGCAAGGTAGCCCCTATAAGGACCACTCAAGTTGAAGGATCACAAATAGAAATCAGGATTTATTGAGAAACTTTTTTTTTACTTGTTAAAAAGGTCCGAAGTTTCATCGAAAATTCACCTGGGGTCTGAAAAAAAACTTCTTGGTACGATAACGATGCATAGCCTGTTTTACTCTGGACCCTCTCATGTTGACGGGCTGTTTTCAATTCTGTTACCCCGCTATTGAGAGAACAGAGACACACAGACACTCGAAAATTGTCGAACCGATAATATTTTCCAGGAGCTCCCGCTGGAAACAGCGTGCAGATGAGGCAGGTGGAGCAGCAAAACGAGCGGCTCAAAGAAGCTCTCATCAAGTTCGAAAGAAGGCTTTTGAGAGAAAGTCTACCCGAGAACTTCCAGACTCCGTGATCTCAACGGCCAAGCAACGCTGGACAAGCAGGAAGCTGTCAAGGAGGCCGAGAGGCTCCGAAACGAGAATGCCGAGTTGGTGCGACTCGCCGAGAACCTCCGACGGCAGACCGAAGTCGCCGAGTCGCGGATCGACGCCTTCCAGGAGCAGGTGCACTTCTCATCCAGTTGGGGACAGGGATGTGCGGCGATTGATGGAATTTTCTCTGGAAAAAAAGACGGGAGTTTAGGTAGCTCTTCAAAGAAGGGCATCTAATTCAGGGGTTGGGATTTTCCGAGAAATCGGCGAGAACAAGATTCTGAAAGGGCACAGCTTCTTAGTTTTTGAGAAATAACCCCAAAATAGCCTACCCTTCCTTTCTAGGAGAAAAAAAGGCTTGAAACTTTATTCTTATTGAAACTCCTCACTCATTTCCTTGTTACCTGAAACAAGTACAACTTATTTTTTTGAAAGAGGGGCTTCAAATTCCCAAAATAGCTCATTTCCCATCCAAAACTAAGAAATTTTGCAGTTTGAGATTTTTATGACCCTTCCCGGGTGCTTCATGAAGTGTTGTGCGCAATTTCAGGCGAACTGAAGGAACCTCGTTAGAGTTGAGGCATAATAATATCTCTTGAAACACCTTTTTACGCAGGTAGAGTAGCTTAACCCGTTGCGGTCTTGCTATATTAAGATGTAGGGTTTCAAAAATTGCACTTAAGGGTTAACGAGGTATTTTTTAGTCTTTTATGAAGTTTTTTATCATCAAATTTGCCTCTAAAAAGTTTTTTGACTTTGGAATGTTCCTGCGCTTGACTAGGCTTGTGCGTCAGGTTGGGCGGTCCGGCCCTGGTCGGCCCGGGCTTCGGGTCTTACTTTTTGCGAAAAGCCAACGAGGACTCAGGCTAGGGTTCGAATAAAAATTTGCGCTTTTTGGGCCGGGGTGTATACCTAAGGGCCAGGTAAGGCCCGGGCGGGCTTGAGAAACGCCCGGGTCAATAAACTGACGACCGCCTCCCGCACTAGCCTGGGTTTGACCAGGGTTTTTGGTAGGGGAATATTTTGCATTGTCGAGACCACCAACAGTTTTTCCCTTATAGCTGATTCACGGCTGGCTTGAACCATCCAAAAAAGGGTCCTGCAACGATAATGCACGAGATAGTGCCTGGCTCGTGGAGAGCGCAGACACGACACCTCCCCTTAGCGTCCTAAGCTAGCCGTGAATCAGCTATACAAGAATATTGCAAAAAAGGCGTTCGGTCGCTGCACATCCCTTCCAGGAAAGATTTTGTTATACTCTGGAATTTATCTCAACGTATAGTCAGCTCAAAATCTTTTCAACATGGATCTCCGAACAGACTATACCAAATTTCCAACCAGAGTCCAAATTCATCTCATTTTTTGTTAGTGTTGATATTTGTGAGTAGTTTGGTTGACCCCCAGGCTCATCATTTTGAGAATTTGCCTATTGCAGATTCAGTTGACGCAATGCTGGGAAGAGGTGGGGAGAGGCCGTAGTAGTTCTTTTTTTGGTGTCATTTGTGATCGTCCCTCTCTATCACTCTTTTCGAGCTGATTCTTCTGATTGAAATGCTTCGATTTCTCATCAGAGCATGATTTTCCGAGCTGCCTGTGTCCCCATAGACCGTGTGCTTTGCCTTCAGATCAACGCCGCCATGGGCGCCGAGGAGATGGTGACGCTGCTGACGAGCAAGAACATGGACATGGAGGACCGCATTCAGTGGGATTTTCATTGAAATCAAGAGAATGTCGGTGTCTTCAGGACGCTGGAACAACAGATCGAAGACATGGAGGAGCTGCACGACATGGACGAGCAGCTCGCCGAGGCGCAGAAACAAACCGAGAAAGACCTCCTTCATGACATCGAAGCTCTTCAGATCAAGATTTCTGAGGTCTCCGACCAGAAAAAGTCATCATTCAGCTCCAATTTCAGTTGAACCAACAAATTCGACAAGAACGGCAGCATTCCGAAGAGCTGTCCAACACGATCCTCAAGTTCAGAAAGAGGACCGGTGCTTTGAACGAGGAGATTCAGGATTACAAGGACCAGGTGAGGAATGAGAGTTACTTGAGCAGAAGCTGTAGGATCAAAGGTTGAGATTTTCTGGAAAATTTTTTTTTTTGCAAGGTTCTAAGCGGAAAAGTTAGCTTTAAATATCAGGTTTTGAATAATTTTGAGAATAATTTGCGTAATTTTTAAATTTTCGTTTGAAAAAAGGTCCCGAAAATTTGAATTTTTGTTTTGTGCTTATTCTTTTTCAAATTTATAACCGTTTGAGCTGAGAAAATAAGTATTTTCCCTAATGAGACGATTTCTAGTGACCTCTTTAGGGTTTTGAGCGTTTAGTGGCCACCCTAGTGTCCTCTATAAAAAGTCCTTAGTGAGTCTCTTAAGTGGCCACTACGGTCTTTCACTGTGTTTTTAAACGATTTTTTAAAACAAGTTACAAGTTTTCATAAATGCACAAGATCACGCTTCAATTGGAAAAACTTGAAGATGCTCCGACTAGAAGAAGAACTCCACGGGCACAGGAGCGAAGAGAACCAGATGGCGTCGATGGTGAGCACCCTCCAGGTGAATGCGACGCGCGCCTTCGCCGAGGCCGTCGAGCGGCAAACCAACGCCATCGAGCTGGAGTTCTCCAAGAGACACGCCGGCTACCTCAAGGCCTTCCTGCCGGACAATTTCGCCAAGGCTGGAGGTGTGTGAGACTGGATCAAGATCCGTGTAGTCAATATAGAAGCCAATATTTTGCGTCTTAGTGGCCACTCTAGTGACCTTTAGGAGTATAATTCTGAGACTTCTGAAGAAGCCACTAAAGATAAGGGAACTTGGTATTAGTAACCAATGTAAAGGGTTTCTTCCGCTTTGTATATCACCCACCTTTTAGAACTTCAGAAAGCATTCATTAATGTACCGGGGAAGTTCTAGTGGCCACTTGGAAGGACCCTTAAGGACTTATTATTTTTAGTTATACCACTTAGATTTCTAAGAGCCTTCTAAAGTTTAGTCACTTAAGTGGCCACTGAATCGACTGATATAGGGGCCACTAAAACTTCCTCTATAGAAGTCACTATTTTGTGTCTAAGTGGTCACTGTAGGGGTCTAGTTATGCCACTTGGACTCCTGAAGAAGCCACTAAAGTTTAACCACTTAAGTGGCCACTGAATCGGATGTTATAGTGGCCACTGAAACTACCTCTATAGAAGCCAATACTTTGCGTCTAAGTTGTCACTTTAGGGGTCTAGTCATAACGCTTAGACTTCTAAAGAGCCTACTAAAGTTTAGTCACTTAAGTGCACACTAAACGTCAAAACCCTGAAGTGGCCACTAAAAATTTCCCCAGTATTGTGAAAACTTTGGTAACTGTGTCAAAAATTGACTGGAAAGTCTCTTTAAAAAAAATTGGAATTGGAAATTTCACCAAAATCGGGTTTTGAGTTTGAAATATTGAACATTCTCGTCAATAAATCGAGTTCCTAACTATTTCGAAAGGCTTCTTATTCTTGAAATGGCCAATTTTCGAAGCTCTTTTCTGAAAATTAGGACTGAAATGAGGATTTCAGGCGACAATGACTCAGTTGCAATGTGCGTCTTGTTCCCGCGAATGGCCGCCAAATGCAGATTGCTTGCGAAACTGGCTGCGGAACGGGTGAGGAAGAAAATTGCGAATTCACGGTCAAAGTTCAGAAGGACCTAAATAGAACCTTTGGAAGCCTTTTTTCGAAATAGACTTTTTTACTAGAAAAAAAAGAAGGAGGCGGAAAATAGGTGACAAAAAGGAGCTCTAGACCTTTTTGAGGCCGTTTGGACTTGCCTGTTGACTAGAATACAACTAGGCTTCAAATGCTCAAAGGAACGGTTTTTTAGTTCCCCCACGTGCCCGGCGGTATGCGGAGAGAGCACGTGACGAAATCGCACAAAGGCGAACAGTGGGCTCATGTCAACCGGGTCGCCTACCTAACCAGTGCTCTCGTCGCCGTTCTGGGACAGTTTGAAAGGTACAAAACTGTGTCATGTGTTCAAAATTATTCCGGTGATTCCATACGTCGGCTGGATCCCACCTCAGCCTTTTGCGCGCGTAAAAAAAGTTTGTATTCGTACTGAAGTAGGCCGCACTTTTTGGGGGTAAAGCCGCAGTTTGAGAGGCAGGGGGGGTACGCCCCGGGGTCACATGCAGCCGACGTTTGGGCGATTCCGAAAATGACGCGGTATTCGTTGTAAAGGATTTCGTGCAACCCCGGGTTCAGAGCTGTGCGTTGGGCCGAGGTTGATGGCCGAATCGGCCCACAATCGTCGCAATCGCGAGCTTGAATATTGAATATTTATTTCACTCCAATACATAAAATAACATGAGCTATAAAGAAAGAGGCAAAGTTGGGCAAGAATTGTATGGGAGTGAAATGAGCACCGGTTTTAATACGCCCTCACGAGCGAATTTACCGGTATAGGGAATAGAACACGTAGAAGGATTTTTGATCACAGTAGACGTAAGGGAATGTTGGAAAAGAGTTCTTCGTTGCTTAGCGAGTCGAGAAACTTTCTGAAACGGGTGGTAGACGTGTTAGGGTTGAATCTTGAGCAGAGTCTATTCCAAAGAGGAATGACAGTGCTAAAAAAACTATTAAATCGGGAACCAGTCTGAATCAAACGAAAAGGATACCGAGGTGAACGACTTCTACTGAAAAACTTTTCTGCGCTAGGAAAGTGGTAAATGCCCAGGACGATTTTTTGAAGCGTTACTAGAGCAATAGAAGTTCTCCTACGGAAAACATGAGTAGAACCGAGTACATCAAGGCGATGGGAGTATGTGTCAAAGGATTTATTACGTCTCATGAAAACTTGCCTAGTATAATGACGGTAAGGTTTTTCAAGGAGGACGGAAAGTTCTGAATTTATAGGCGGTGAGAAGATTTCAGAGCAATAGTCAAGATAGGGTCTAGCATACATGTTGAATAGTAAATTATACTGCTGGATGTTCAAGTGAGCAAAAGCTTTGAGCAGCTGTTTAGATTTGAGAGTGGCAATGTTGACTACATGATTAATGTGAGGGCTGAAACACAAATTTTTATCGATAAGGAGACCGAGGTCTCTGACAACAGTTTCAGATCGAATAGGTGAGCCATTAACATTGTAAACATGTTCAGGATTGTTTCTGCCTAGATGAAGAACAACAGTTTTATTGGCCGCAACTGGGAGGCCCCAAGTTTTGGACCAATCGAGCAATCTATTTATACTGTCTTGGATAGCATCAGGGTTATCTGAAGAGATTTTCAAGTCATCGGCGAACAAATATGAAGTAACGGAAGAATCAAAGATATCTGGGAGGTCGTTGACAAAAATTAGGAAAAGAAGCGGGCCAGTGACAGTGCCTTGTAAGACTCCTGAGACCACGTTGAAGCTATCATCAGAAGCAAGACCATCAATTAAAATCTTAGATGTGCGGCCAGAGAGGAAAGTTTTAAACCAATTGACCATAAGACTATTGAATCCGAAAGTTTCTAGTTTGGCGATAAGAAGGTTGTGTGGGACATAATCAAAAGCTTTCATGAAATCAAAATAAACGACATCGATTGGTAATCCCCTACTAATAGAAAGTTTCCAGTTTGTAACAGAGTCAAGGAGAGCAAGTGTACAACTTCGATTGTTGAGAAAACCAAACTGACGGGAAGAAAATTTGAGTTTGAAGCTTGATTTTATGTGAGTGGCAATTATTCGCTCCATAAGTCTTGCCAGAGGATGGGTTAGACTTATAGGTCTATAATTTTTTCAGGATCAGCCTTTTTTTCCTTTTTTTATAAATTGGAACAATGTATGAGAGTTTCCAAGATTGGGGAACAATACAAGAGAAGTATGAATCTGTGAAGAGAATTGACAGCGGAACAGAGAGGGCTTCTCTACACTGCTTTAACACATAGAAATTCATGAGATCAGATGAGAAGCCAGTTTTTGGAGCCAATTTAGAAATGAATTTATGAATGTTGAGAGGAGAAAAATCAGGATGAACAGAAAATGGTTTGCCGGTTGGAAAAATGGAAGGAATTTCAAAATTATTTGAGTTGCGGTTAGTAGAAAAAACGTCAAGAAAAGCTTTTTTCATCTCATTTCATAATTCAAATCACAAAATTTTCCCAATAAACACATTTTCGATCACTCACTCCCCCATTTACACACTTTGCGAGAAGTTCGAGACAAAAAAGTTCGAAAAATGGCAAATTTTCGACCGATTCGCGACCGCGTTGCAACACTATGGCCAGCCCGGCTGGCCCAAAGCACAGCTCTGCTCGGGTTACTTTAAAAAAATGGGTCCTACAACGATACAACCCATTATTATCTCAATTTCAAACTGTCACGGTGAATTTTAAGCGCGAACTCTTTTTTAAAAATTTTCGGAAGTTTTAAACAGAAATTTCAAAATTGTCACCGTAAAAGTTCATATACCGCGATGTATCGTTGTAGGACCCGTTTTTGTGACGGAAACCTCTGAATCTTCAAAGTGATTCGAGAAAGGGTATCGCGATACTCTCTGAGGTATATCACAGGGATCTGAAGTTTAATGATGGTACCTTGAGTATACCTTTTAGGGCTTTGACCGAAATAAGATATATAGATAGAGCTAAAAGGTATACTGTAAGTCTCACGATGGGCATGTTATGGGACATTTATTTTGAAAGGTATCTTTGTGGACAAGTTATGCATTCGCCTGAATTGATTTATATTATCTCAGCGCGGTGAACGAGACGTCGCTGGAGCGGCTGGCGCGACTGACGCAAATGCAGCCGGATATGTCCAACCACGAACGCGTCATCGACCAGTACTTTGAACTTCTCCGACAAGGACGCTTCGACGACAACTCCTCGCTGGACAACCTCGAGAAGGCGCTTCTCTACTTCCAGGTGAGGATTTATGAGAGTGGAAATGTGTCCTTTTTCGGAAGTTTCTAGCGTTATCTTCACAATTCTTTTCCTGGGAATTGAAAAAATATATATAAGAGGTTTAAGAGTCTTGAAATGAGATTTTCTACTTGAGGACGTCAATGATTTTTAAAACATATAGATTTGAACATTGCTTACGAATATGGGAATCTTGTAAATTGAAACTTGTTGAATAAAACAAAAATTGGAAGGTTTAAAAAGGCCCTCGGTTTTACGCTGCGTAAAAGAGGCTTCAGAATTTGAAAAATGGCTGGTTAGAGGTTTTTGAAAAGTATTGGAGTCCAGGGAAATGGAAAGAACGGAATAAGATAGGAACTGTGAAAAAAAAAATGAGTTTGTACTAGTTTTTTGAATGAATGGTCATTTTAGTCTTGCACGGACTTATTTAGAGAATATTCAGGAAAAATCGTAACTGGTCTGTTGGGAGCATTTTAAAGCCCTTTTTGAAAAAATATACGTACGGAAAAATAAAATAATTTTTTTTAGCTCCACAGCTTTCAAAAAAAAAAAACAAGAACTTTTCACTGAAGAGCCCCCCACATTTTCTACTGAAGTTGATGTTTCAGAACGTGTTCTCACTGCACATTGGCGGCGACGGGTTCAACGCGGCCAACTGGGTGACCGGGCTGTGTTCGCAGCTTTCCGCCGGCCTCGCCTACTGTCGGATCAACATTCAGCGTCTGGGATACTTCCTCGAAGTGTGTAGTTTGGTATTTGATCGAGGAGACGTGGCTCTTCAACTTGAGAAAGTACAGGATTCAAAAAATGTCATGTGACATATTTAATAGCAGGCGAAACGAGAATATTATGTACAAGAAGGTGGATTTAAAGGAGATAAATTATCAAAAAATTAATGAATGGCTTTGGAGACCCTCAGAAAAATATTTAAGCAAGAAGACGTGGCTCAAGAAGTTGAGAAAGAAAAGACCCTTTTTCCTTATTTTTTTTTTTCAAGATTTCATAATTTTTCCTAAAAACGTTTGAAGAAGTCTCTGAATTTACGAAAAACATGAAGCCCTTTATGTTTTTTTCCCGACATCTGTGGACATTTTTTGAGATTGTCATTACATTACAGTCGTCCGTGGATTCTGGAGAAGAATTCGAGCTTCTGAAGACGTTGAACGACGAGATGTCGGCGTGCGAAAGCGTCGTCCTGAAGGCGTCGAAATGCATCCCCAATGACGCCTCCAAGGCTATCAAATTGAATTCGGAGGTTTCCTAAGTGACAACTATGGTATTCAGCCAAGTATTCACATGAGAAGTTTGTTGAAAAATTTATAGCTCCTCTAGTTTTGTTACCTGAATATAACCTCCTAGGTTCTTGCCCAAAACGCTTAAGCGGTCACTTCCAATTCCCCTCACTAGACACTAGAGCACGAATGCAAAGAATTTTGAATTTTCCAGTTCACCGACGAACTTCTCAACGCCGTCTCCCAGCTGGATCGCGTTCTGACGATCCTTCGCGAGGCTTGCAGCATCGCCAGCGTTCAGATCGGCATGAATACTGGTTGGACGAAGAGTTCAGAAGTAAAATGGAGCAAGTTTCAGAAGGAGACGGTTTTGCGGCGAGCCGAATCCGCGAAATGATCCACGTCAACGTGGAGAAGACCAACGGGCCGATCGCCCTCGACAAGGCGTTCGAGCCGATTCGGTAGGACCGTTTTTCGAAGTGAAGATGGTCGCGTTTGGAATGGCTAGAGGGCCGGGCAAATATTTGGAATTGAGTGCGGCGAATTGACCCTTTTTTCTCTCGAATCAACAATCTTTCACCGAGTTAGAGCAGTCCCTATAGGGGTCCGGGGAGAAACAGCCCTATAGGGAACGAGAAAGGTCCCCCAAGTGGCCTCTATAGGGGTTAAGAGTCTGACCCCTTTGGCTCTTAAAGCTCAAGTCCCTACAGGTTTTTATGATTTTTGGTTTGGAAAACTTGATCGATCCTCTGTTGATGTTTTTTTGTCAAGTAATGACAATTTTTTGAGTTTTTCGCATTGGAATGCTCTTTCTTGTGGAGATGTTCTAGCATGTCTCCCTATCGGGGCCACTAATCAGATTCCTTAAGAGAAGCTGAAGTTGTCCCTAGAGGAGGCTTTTCAAGTGTCCCTAAGGTTGTCCCTATAGGGACCACTCTGTATTTTTTGTTTGAAAGGCATTATCATTTTTACTTTTTTCAACTATTTTCTTGATGCTTTTGATTGAGAACTTCGATAATAGCTCTATTTATACATTTTTTTTTTTTAGAAAGTACATGTGGTCGTTGCGTTCGAGCCTCGAAAAGACGGTTTCATCGCTGGATGGCGGAAAGATGGAGACCGACGTTCCGGAGAAAAAGGTGTGGAGAAAGTGGATTTTTTTTCTGGAAGATTAGAATCCTGAATATGGCCCTCATTGTAGTAAAAAATGATGAAGGACTTCCAAAAAAGGCATAATTTTTGCTCCAAAACACTCCCCTCATTTTGACGATTCACAGAACTTCCCGCCGCTTCTGGACCGCGCGCATCAACGCAAGCAAGCCGCATCGGAAGCCGAAGGTCTCCGTTGGCAAATGGAGAAGAAGGACAACGAGATTCTGGAGATGCGCAAGCAGCTCAAGGCTCGCATCGAGGATATCAGCAATTTCAAGGTGATTTTGACAGGAAATCTGAGAAATTTGATGGTGTGTTCATAGATGCAACGGAAAGGAGTTTTGGGGCCTCAAAGTTGCTTCGAAACATTTTGACCTTGGTAACGCTGTTTTGGACGTCTCTGGGCTTTTCTAGGGATCACTTAAGAGCGGAGAGGTCACTTAAGAGCTTCTGAAGGGGTCACTAGAAATGACGCGCTTCTGGGCGTCTCTAGGGATCACTTAAGAGCGCTGACGCTACTAAAAGGGTACTAGAAATGCTCCGACACGAACGTGTTTCAAAACAAAAAAAATTGTTAGGGCATCAAATTTGCTTCGAAATACTCTGATCTCGATAACGTGAAACGGAAGCGTTTCTGGGCGTCTCTAGGGATCACTTAAGAGCGCTCACTCTACTAAAGGGGTTACTAGAAACGTCCCGACACGAAAATGTTTCAAAACAAAAAAAAAGTGTTAGAGCATCAAATTTGCTTCTAAACACTCTGACTTGGGTAACGCGAAACGGACGCCCTTTTGGACATTTCTAGGATCACTTAAGAGCGCTGACGCTACTGAAGGGGTCACAAGAAATGCCCCGGCACGTCCAATTTGCGTTACCAATGTCCGAGATCCGATGGGATATTTTGGATAAAATCTACTGGTTGTACTTCTTCTAGCTTTGAAAAAAATATTCAACATGGTAAAACCAATAAACCTCAGCTTCGGCTGGACATGTCTGAGGCGCGAATGGACTCTGCCGGCAAGCAAGACAACGCCAAGGCCGAACACCTTCAGACCAAGATGGACCAACTCGTCGCCGACCACCGCAAGCGACAAATGTTCATCTCCTTCTCTTAATCAGAAGATAATTTGTCAGTTTAGCGAGTACGAAGAGACGATGGACACGCTGCAGCGCGAAATGCAGGATCTGATGAACGAGAACGCCGAACTGAAGCAGCGCGCCAATCAGATCAGCAAGCAGGCTCTTTGGAAGGTAACTCTCATGCTGAACAGGGCCAGCCGTATCATCGGGTGCACCCGTATTGATCCTGTTGAAAGCCCACAACTTTTCGCAAAGCTGAGCCCAGTTGGGTCACAGATTTTCGAAAAATGAACACAGCTGTGCCCAGTATGGGGGAGGGGGTTTATAGGGTACACCCGCTGAGACACTTGAAGAGCCCTGTGTGTGAAGCAGTTTTTCAAAGAAACTTCTTCAGAATCAAGCTAAATTCAAATCGGAGTTAAAAATTTCCTGAAAATACCCCTAATATACCAATTGAAGGTCCTGAAATTTCAACCTGCACAAATTCCTGGTTTTTGTGAGATTCAAGCTCAAAGTTTTATGCTCCACGAAAGCTTCTTCTAAAAAAAGACCTTCTAAGGGTCCTCAACAGATTTTTTTTCCCATATTTAACAAAAAGTTGCTGAAAAGAAACTGGAGAGCTTAAAGGGTCTGCTGAGGCTATGAAAAAAAGAAGCTCAAAAAGAGTTTTTTTACATTTTTGGAGCTTTTAGAGGAACTTCTGCAACTTCTTCTGAACGGAAATTTTCCATTTTACTTATATAATGATACTTTATAAAGCTTTTTGATGATTTTCATCGACTTTGAGTTGTTTTTCTCAAAAAATAGAAGTTTGTGCAGGTGGTTTGTGCACTTCCAGAATTTTCATCTTTTTTTTTCAAAATGTTTTCCGGGATGGCCTTCCTTGTGAGCTGGTTTCTTGATTTCGAGATCATCGTCGGCATAAAATTGACTATGAGTTAGAGTTCGAAAACCGTTTCCTTTCCAGGGAATCCAATCGATGGAAGCGCGAACGACGAATTCGCCAATCACCGCGACTCCGATGACGGGTTCAGCGTCGCCAGCCGGTGTCGCGTTTGCGAACATGGTCGGCGGAGCGACGCGAGGCGAAGTCGTGTTCCTGGAGACGCGACTCCAAGACATGCGAGCGCGACTGAAGCGAGCTGATGTCGAGATTATGCGGCTGAAGGTTTGAAGCAAAAATAGTAAAGCTCAAAAAACCACGGGAAGATCGGTGATCTACGTATCATTCATTCAAATAAACACTTTGAACTGTTTAAGGAAAATTGTAATGATAATAATTAACTGAAAATCAATCGCGTAGAGTAGAAATAATTAGGCGAAAAAAATTCCACTAAAACTTTCGAAATTGAAGAAATAAATGAGCGAAGAGCTTCATGGAACTCTTCGATTTTGTCCGGATTCTTATAGCTGATTCACGGCTGGCTTGAGCCATCGAAAAAAGGGTCCTGACACGATAATAAAATAGATAGTGTCTGGTTGGTGGAGAGCGCAGACAGGACACGCCCCTTTAGCGTTCCAAGCGTGAGTACATCACCACTTTCCAGACGGAACTGGCTCAATCCGGCTTCAAACGCTTCGGTGACGTTCCTGGCCTCATCTCCGGCCCACTGTCCCTCGAGCATCAGGACTCCAGGCTCAAGCTTCTCAACGAACTGCACAAGGAGGCGTTGGCCTTGAAGAGGGTCATCCAACCTCCCCGAAAATGTTGATCAACGAAGGCTAGTTTCAGGACGAAGTCAAGTATTGGATGTACGTCCCTGACGCGAAACTGCCGGTGAACAGGCAGCGCGAAAGCCGCGAGAAGTGGGAGCGTGAACGGGAGATTTACGACGATAAGATTTATACGGTATTTTTACTGATCCTTCTAGGGAATATCGATTTTTCAGCTCTACAAACGCCTGCGACAAGGCTGGAACGACCTGTATCCGGGAGAGGAGTACCCCTTGTCCAGTGCGACTAGTTGCAAAACCGGTTGTCACCAAGGTTTGAAAGGGCTCCTTTTTTTTTGGGGGGTTCAGCTGAATAGAGATTTTGAGGAACCGAAAACAGGAGCTTGTCAAGCAGCCTAAGCCTACCTGAAATGAGTTTTTAAGTCAAAAATGAGCCGACCTCAAATTAACACAATCAGTGCGACTAGTTGCAAAGCCAGTTGTCACCAAAGTTTAAAAAGCACCCTTTGGGAGGGGGCGGGGGGTTGGTTCAGCGAAATAGAGATATTACGGAGTCGAAAACAGGAGCTATCAAAGGCCTAGCTAAAATGAGTTTTAAGGCTAGAAAAAAATGAGCTGGTTCCGAAAAAACATTATCTTTTTATTGTAATAGAGAGTGAACACGAAAAAGTGACCCTTTCTCTGAAAATGAATTTAAAAGTGAGAAAACATACTCCGTAAATTTCTTGTAATGATTTCACTACATTGACTTTGACGGTTCAATTTATTCAATTTATTGTCTTTTTTGTGTTTGAAACGTTTTTTATCTGAAAAATGATTCCTTTTTTGGGAACATAAGCTTTTTTTAAAATTTATTTTCAGGAAATTTAGTCCCTATTCAGAGATTTTTAAAGTTGGGATCAATAAATCCTCCTCTTTGGAGCTTTTCGAAAAAAAAAGTAATGTATTTTCGAAAGCCAAGCTGAAAAATAAACATTTTCATAACTCTAAGCTTCTAGACCTTAATAAATCAATAAACGCGCAATAATCTTCAAGAACAATTTTTCAGAGAACGGCGTTACAAATTTTTAGAAAAAGCGTCTTTTACCGGAAAGTTTTTGGTTTGAACATGAACCGACTATTGAATTTATTCAGTCCTTTAAGAAAAAAAAAAGCAAAAACTTCCAGGTTGACGACGACAAAAAAGTGGCCGAAGCTTTCGCCAAATGGGGCATCGCCTGGTAAAATTTGTTTTCCTGTTTTAGATTCGAAATTTCCGTCTTTTTTCATGAATCATGTGTAAGCTTTAGTATGTCTGGATACATACGATCTTGTCTTGCATTCTGTAATTTATTTTTTTCTTTTCTCTATTTTTTTCCGACACGGGTGTCAACCATGTCTGTCTTATGTTTCTTTTTTTGCTCCTTTCTTATTTTTTTCTAGCATAATTATTTCAATTATTGCTTTTTAATAACGGTGTTCGAATGCCTTATTTGCGAATTTCATCTGAACATTATTATTTATTTTTTTGAATGAAAACTTTAATTTGTTTTTTTCTGAAATCAAAAAAACCGTGTACGTGTCGTTGTGCAAAAAAAACGTGAGTTTGATCATTTTCACCACTTTTTCACAGACAATGGAAAGGCTCAAATCCCATGAGGTCCACATTAATCCCTAAAAGGGGCACTTGAAAAATTCAGAAGTCGGTTTCCTACGTTTCAAACGATGCATTCGTCTGGACGACCCAAAATCCTGATCTAGAGCTGGTCGAACCGCCCATCTTGGTTGGATTTCAAAAAAGAACTTTTTTTTAAATTTCATTTCCAGGCTTCGATCAATAGTAACTACCTATGTTTCGGTCGAAATGTAAGTCCCCGAAAATGCGGATTTACTCGGGAAAATTCCAGGTAAACCGCCCACCTGAACGTCGGCAAGTCATCGTTTGCAATCATGGCGACTTCCCATTGGCCTATAAAATCATGACAACCGATAATTATTCGTATTTTGTCGATCAGGTGATCATATTGGATGTTTCTCATGTTAGCTCATGGTTGCACAGGTTTTTGGCGTCATTCCGGCCAGTCGACTGCAAGGTCATCCTTTTGTTCGATGTCAACCGATGGTCACTATTCATGTAAAGATTTTTTTTTTAATTTTTGGGGTTGCGTCGCGGTCGCGTTGCGGCTAAAGTTAGGCTTTTAGCCATGTCAAATGCGACCAAAGTTTCCCATAGGGGAATGATAAAGAGATCCATAAATGGGACTGAAGCAAGAAAAAAAGGTCATCCTTTCATTCGATGTCAGCCGATGGTCACTATTCATGTGAAGATTTTTAATTTTTTTGGGGTTGCGTCGCGGTCGCGTTGCGGCTAAAGTTAGGCTTTTTAGCCATGTCAAATGCGACCAAAGTTTCCCATAGGGGAATGATAAAGAGATCCATAAATGGGACTGAAGCAAGAAAAAAAGGTCATCCTTTCATTCGATGTCAGCCGATGGTCACTATTCATGTGAAGATTTTTTAATTTTTTGGGGTTGCGTCGCGGTCGCGTTGCGGCTAAAGTTAGGCTTTTAGCCATGTCAAATGCGACCAAAGTTTCCCATAGGGGGAATGATAAAGAGATCCATAAATGGGACTGAAGCAAGAAAAAAAGGTCATCCTTTCATTCGATGTCAGCCGATGGTCACTATTCATGTGAAGATTTTTTTTTTAATTTTTGGGGTTGCGTCGCGGTCGCGTTGCGGCTAAAGTTAGGCTTTTAGCCATGTCAAATGCGACCAAAGTTTCCCATAGGGGAATGATAAAGAGATCCATAAATGGGACTGAAGCAAGAAAAAAAGGTCATCCTTTCATTCGATGTCAGCCGATGGTCACTATTCATGTGAAGATTTTTTTTTTAATTTTTGGGGTTGCGTCGCGGTCGCGTTGCGGCTAAAGTTAGGCTTTTAGCCATGTCAAATGCGACCAAAGTTTCCCATAGGGGAATGATAAAGAGATCCATAAATGGGACTGAAGCAAGAAAAAAAGGTCATCCTTTCATTCGATGTCAGCCGATGGTCACTATTCATGTGAAGATTTTTTTTTTAATTTTTGGGGTTGCGTCGCGGTCGCGTTGCGGCTAAAGTTAGGCTTTTAGCCATGTCAAATGCGACCAAAAGTTTCCCATAGGGGAATGATAAAGAGATCCATAAATGGGACTGAAGCAAGAAAAAAAGGTCATCCTTTCATTCGATGTCAGCCGATGGTCACTATTCATGTGAAGATTTTTTTTTTAATTTTTGGGGTTGCGTCGCGGTCGCGTTGCGGCTAAAGTTAGGCTTTTAGCCATGTCAAATGCGACCAAAAGTTTCCCATAGGGGAATGATAAAGAGATCCATAAATGGGACTGAAGCAAGAAAAAAAGGTCATCCTTTCATTCGATGTCAGCCGATGGTCACTATTCATGTGAAGATTTTTTTTTTAATTTTTGGGGTTGCGTCGCGGTCGCGTTGCGGCTAAAGTTAGGCTTTTAGCCATGTCAAATGCGACCAAAGTGTTTCAATGGAAGTATTGGTAAATTTTTATGAGATCTAGAAATTTAAAGCGAAAAAAACCTTGCCTTGGCTCAAGCTCATTAAAAACTTTGGAAAAACGAATATTTTCAGGTTAATTGTCGACCTTTGAGCTGTTATCCAGACGAGCAACAAGGAAAACATTACAATACGTTTGTTTTTTAAATTGGGACGTCAAAATTTTTCAAAAAAATGTTCAAAACAATTTTGCGGCGATTCCACTCATTTTTTCAGTGCGTGGGATGAAAAACGAAAGATGAAAAGTAGTTAAAAGTCGGGCGCAGATTCAGGCGGGACTTGTCCATTTTTCCCGCCCTTAGGAGCTTCAGAATGGTCACTATAGGGCAACCTTAGGGCCCCTTGAAGATCCCTCTCTAGGGAACAAGTTACCAACCTCAATAGGCGACTAAAGTTCGCAAAACTGGTCCCTAGAGGGGTTTCAGTTAGTGGCCTCTATAGGGGACATGCTAGTCGATAATTGTCATGAACTCGAAGCGTAGAAGCATTTCCATGGAATAACTGAAAAAAAAAATGCGTTTTTTGAATGAAATTTAGAGACCCCTATAGGGTCCACTTGAGCTTTAGGGGCTCATTAAATCCCTAAGTGGATCACTTTTTCGGCCCCTCCAGGGGTTGTTTTCTTCCCTAACCACTGTAGGGACCACTTTATAGGAAAAAAAAGTTTCAAGCTCAATCCTCAATTTTTAACAAGAACCCGCCCAAACTTCACTTTTTTTTCTTCCAGACCTCGAAAAGACAAACTTTTCATCCTTCTGGCCCCCTACATGAACAGTTCCTTCACGCCTGAGGCCATTTTTCACAACGAGCGATGTTATGAGAAGCTCCGAGTTCTGCTCAACTTCACCGGAAGGCCTCCAGACCCGGATAATCGATGTGATTATATCGGAAGATATTCAAGAAAATCTCGGAAATTGAAGCGAAATCGTTCCTGATCCGTTCTGTGAGAGGCTGGGCGACTTGGGAGGTTCAGGAGCGGGGCGATCGTTGCGACGGAATGCATAAATGTTAGTGACGTCATTTTATCGATTTTGTGACGTCAGAGTTTGAGAAAAATCCTGGAGGATGACTTGTTTATCACTATAGTCTGTTCTGATTCCAATTTTCAAGTTCTCGCTCAAGCTCCGCCCCCTAATGGCGTGATAAACCAATCAGAGAGCGAGCCATCTACCGAGCGTTTTCAAATGACGTCATTCAAAAATCTGAACGGACTATAACCGAACTTTATTGATTTGCTAAAAATCGTTCTTGAATATGACGACGTCATTGCAGTGAAAGGGATTCTGGAGAAACAGCAGCGAAAATTGAAAGATTCTCGGGACAAGACGCCGAAGAATTCACCGAGAAAGACACCGACGAAAGTTCGCGGCGAAAAATCGCGATCCAAAGCTGAAAGGTGGTCTTTTTCTCAGAATATCCTTGCTGGAATATCCACTTTTTCAGAGCTTCCAAAAAAGACCAAAAACCGTCCAATAAACAGGAATCGCAGAAAAACGCCGGGCAAGGGTAATTTTTCTGCATTTATGACGTCTTTTTGCAAGAAAAATGACGTCATTCTATAGATAACTTCGAGTGATCACATCCTTTTACACAAAAAATGTACACCGCTTTTCTCTAATTTTTTTTCAATTTTTATCAAGTCTTGACGTCATTTTTGATTCTATATTAAAGGCGCATGTTCACTGGCTCATGAGACGAATCGTTTTTTATTGAAATTTTTTGTTGCCGTGTCCAAAGTGATTCCGTGAAATTCAAAATAGCCGCCAAAAAGTGTAAAATTTAACTGAATTTTGCGAAAATTACTTTTAACGCGTGTGCGAGAGCGCCGCGGAGCATGCACACTATACACTAAACTTTACGGACAAAAAAAAAATTCAGGCGGGGCGTCGCTAAAAAACGCCGTAATATAATTTCGAAGGAAATCATGATTGTCTCAAAAAAAATTTTCCGTTTCAAATCAGCTTTTTCTTTGGAATGTCCATTTTTTCAGAGCTTCCAAAAAAGACCAAAAACCGTCCAATAAACAGGGATCGCAGAAAAACGCCGGGCAAGGGTAATTTTTCTGCATTTATGACGTCATTTTGCAAGAAAAATGACGTCATTTTATAGATGGCTTCTGACGTTGTGTTTTAATGCTATCTTTGAGTGATGACATCATTTTCAACAGAAATTTGAACCAATTTTTCATCAATTATTTCAATTTTCACAACTTCGTGACGTCATTTTCGAATTCTATATTAAAGGCGCATGTTCACTGGCTCATGAGACGAATCGTTTTTTTTTTTGTTGCCTTTTTTTTGTTGCACGCGATTTTTTGTTGCCGTATTCAAAGTGATTCCGCGAAGTTCAAAATAGCCGTCAGAAAATGAAAATTATAACTGAATTTCGAGAAAATTACTTTGAACGCATGTGCGAGAGCGCCGCGGTGCATGCACACTATACACTAAACCTCACGGACAAAAAAATTATGGGCCCCGCGTCGCTAGAAAAAAAACGCTGTGATATCCTTTTAAAGGAGTCATTATTGTATCAAAAATTTTATTTTTTCCGCTAAAAATCAGCTTTTGTTTTGGAATGATGTCAGTCAGGTGATGAAGATTTTTCGATTCCTTCCATATTCTTTAAATTCCATACAATTTTTCGCCCAAAGAATTTTTCTTGCTGAAAAATCCCATTCCGTGTTGGAAACCTAAAAATTTCAGTTCTGACCCGAAAACGGTTTCGGCCCGGCCCCCCACGCCGGAATTCACGCAAACTATGAATAGTCTCGTCGAAGCGTGAGTTTCTTTTTTCTTCTGTTGACCAAGTCGTTTGCCTGTATTTCAGAAAAACACAATCAGATTCACAGAGCCAAAGCCCATTCAACGCGAATTCTTGATTTTTTCTCCAAAATTAAACCTTTTTTTTTGTCCAATTCATCATTGTATTCTGAGTAGTGCGGCTCCCTAGTAACGCCAGAATGGTCCCTATAGGGGTTAGGGGAGGAAAAATCCCCTTCAGGAAAAAAATAGGCTCTTTTAAGGGTTTACGATCTGAGCACTGGGTCCCTAAAGCTCAAATGAACCCCAATTGGAACAGTCAGGGTTCCTATCCCCAAAAACAAGGCGCAAACATGCAAATCAGTCGCGTTTTGGCCCTTCGATCGCCACAGGAGGTCCCGCCCGGATCCTGCCCGAACTTTGCATACGAAATGAGCTGAAGCCAGCCTATAAATGGTCCGGGCTAGAAGATTAAGAATCGCTTCGACATGACTTCTTCCTTTTTCGATTCCATTCTGGTCCCTTTCCTGATGACGACTTGTGTGGCGGTCCTCTGCGGGGGCGGCTATTTCCTGCTCCAAACCAAATCGGAGCTTGATATGCTTCGGCAGAACTTTGATCACGAAGTCGCAGGAGTCAAGGTTGGGTTTTTTTTTCTGTGTAAATTCAGAGGAAACATAAATAATTTTTAAAGGAATTTTGATCAAGTTGAAGCCATTTTTGACCTCACTGAAAAGAAAGAATGGACTCCTTTCATATTTTGTGGAGGAAAAGTTGGAATATGTCAGCTTTTTGTGCCGAAAATTTCTCAGGGATCATTTTGGACGTTTAGATAACCGCACGGCTTTTTTTTACGACGCCCCGCCCATATTTCCAAATTTTTTTTCGTAAAGTGTAGTGTGTCGTGTGCATACACTGCGCCGCATTCGCACATGCCGCGTTAAAATTAATTTGAAATCATTTCTGAACTTCCGAAATTCAGAAATGATTTTGAATTTCGCGGATTCACTCTGAATACGGCAAAGAAAATTTGCGTTTTTTTTTTTTGAAATGAGAAACCGATTCGTCTCATGACCAATTGAACATGCGCCTTTAATATTGCCGCTTGTCTCCCATGACGTCACATAGGACCGGCGGATTTTGGGCTCCCTTCTTATTACTATCATTACTTTCTCAAAAAACCAGGTGTTGATCAAAGCCTTTGAAAATGTTCAAGAAATAAGTGAGAGTTCTCAGTTTTGCAAAATAGTTTCCAAAAACGGCGGATAGCATGTTGAACAACGTAAAAAAGGCCTTTTCAACTTGTCGACTTATTTCTGAGCGTTTCGAAGCTTTTATTTCCATCGAAATGATCATTTTGAGGGAAAGCTGAACTTAGAGCTTCGGAATCCTATTACGTCATTTGTGGGATCTCTTGAAGCCCTATATCATTAGAAAGCCAAAAAAAAAAATGTAACTTTTGTCATCAAAAAAAGCATTTTTCAGGTTCTCACCGAATCAACCTGGCAAGACCTCCGAATCCTCGCCGCCAGCAAACCGCAGCCGAAAAGAGACAAACGCCAGAGTTATTATGAACCAACAAGTGATGGATATTCCATGCCGGCTCTAGCGGTTGAAGCGGCTCCGCCCGCTTTTTCTCCGGAATGCAGTGGGTTTTCTTTTTAGAATGACTTGTGAACCTTAAAGTTCAATTTCAATATTCTCAGCTTTATTACAGTTAGGCTCTATATAATCTGGATTTTTTTGAATTTATCCTTTAGCCTTTTTAGTCAGAATATGATGTATTTTGGGTGCCTTGAACCCATTTTTAACCAGTTTTATATAGGTAAAAAGGCAGTTCTAGAGTCGCTTCTAAAATCTTTAATCGATGTATCTGATAATTCTCAGAGCTCAAGCTACTCGAGCTTTTTCAGACTGCAACTTCAAATCGAACTGCCCAGCCGGACCACCAGGACCGAAAGGAAAACCGGGATTGGCTGGGCCGAATGGGATCGATGGAGTTCCTGGGAATATTGTTCGTCTTGAAAATTTTTTACAAAGTCTTTTCTGTGCCCTTTTTGTGTCTATCTGACCTCCCTGGTGAGTGAAAAGAGGGTGCAGACATGTCAGACTGTTTCTAGTCGTACTGTATTTCATAGAAGCTCTATTTCGTTATATCTTGCTAGACAAGGTAGTAGTTGAATTAAAATATTTATTTTATCTTAATATTCTTTTTTTCGTGTCCTTCTAATCTCTCTGGTGAGTGAAAAGAGGGCGCAGACAGGTCAGACTGTTTCTAGTCGAACTGTATTTCATAAAACCTCGATATTTCTAGGGTCATTCTTCGGATGACGTTCACGACGTCTACATCGATCTTGGCTGCACCCATTGTCCGGCTGGAGAAATGGGACCTCCCGGGCCTCCGGGAGCTACTGGTTCATCTTCTTTCTCTATCCTTCTTTCGGGACTTCTGATTTTCTTCTTGTTTCAGGACCTCGCGGTCAGAACGGGCAGCATGGAACGCCTGGCTCTCCCGGAGCCAACGGAATGCCCGGAAGGAATGGAGAATCGGGAGTTCCTGGCCCGGCAGGTGAACAGAAAAAAATGTATTCAGAAAATACTGGGGAATTTTTTTTAGTGGCCACTATAGGGTTTTGAAGTTTTAGTGTCCACTATAATAGTAAAATTAGGGGCCAATTAAGGGGTTGAAAATTAGTGGCCACTGTAGGGTTTCGAAGTTTTAGTGGCCACTTAAGGAGTTATAAGTTAGTGGCCGCTATAGAGGTCTAAGTGCTACTACTACACCACTAAAAGTTTTAGTGGCCACTTTAGGGGTCAACATAACTGGTCCAATCTGTTTGTTTTAAAATTATCAGAGTGACTGGAAAGAATACTGAAGGAAAAACTACTGAAGTGACCACTAAATAAAGAACCCTATAGTGGACACTAAAACGGAAAACTGTGACCACTATAGAGTTGGGTTTAGTGGCCATTTTAATGTCCTCTAAAAGTGGTCATTGACGTGCCTTTGTAGTGGCCACTTAAAATTTTCCCAGATAGTTGTCGAAGAAAAGCTCTCTCGCAACGACGCGGTTTTACAAATTTCAAATTTTATATGAAAGAAATCCCTAGTAAGCACTGTCAGTTAATTTTGAGGTCCGATTGGAAGCAACGGATCCGTCGGACGCCGTGGAATGGATGGAAACCGAGAAAAAGGAGTCAGAGGCCCGAGAGGAGCTCCAGGGAATATTGGAGCCGTCGGACCCAAAGGAACTGTCGGAGCTTGTGGCGCGCCTGGATCCGATGGTGTTAGGTTAGTCAAAAAACTACAAAATAAAATATTGTCGTTTTCCAAAAGAAGCATAATTTTTGGTGGGCTGTATGAATTTAGAAGGTCAATTTTGATTGATAAATTACAGTTCGGTATCAAACTACATATTTTTTGACGCGAGGAAAAGTTTCCGATCATCTTATGAGCCAGAATAAAGCTATATTTACTTCTTGAAGTCAGAAAAGTTTTTTTAAGCTGAAAATTTGCTTATAAAACTCCATTCGAACCTGATAACATTGAAAAAAAGTATCGTTTTTTTTTTTTTTTAAATTTACGCTCGAGTGGAGTAAATCAATAAGTTACCTGTTTCAGAGGCCCTCCAGGACCTAAAGGGGAGCGAGGCCGAATTGGACCTTCCGGAGAGCCTGGAGATTTCGGATTCCCTGGACCTAATGGTCCCGATGGACTGGTAGGCTCATAAGGGATTATTCGAAAAATATATTTTTCAGTACTGCCCTTGTCCGAATCGCAACGCCGCCGTGGAGAAAACTGAACAATACATTCCTTATCGGGATTGAGAAAAAGATCTTTTTTTTCTTTTTTTGATGGGGGTTTTCTCGTACGAATGAAATATTTATTATTCAATTTGAGTCCTTTTCGAAATCTGGCATATTTTATTTTCGCCAATGATTTTGTTAAAAGTATTAAGAATAAATGATAATTTTTTTTTGCTATTTTCGTATGATTTTTTGGAGTAATCCTCCTGATGCTGACGTGCGTGGGGCAGATCGCTTGAGCCCCTTCCCCCGAAATTGGCAAATGTTGGAAAGGAGGTCAAAATCATCATCGGTCGATAAAGAAGATCAAGAGAAGCAAGAAAAACTAGGTCTCGAAGTCCCTAACTTCCTGGGAAAAAAGTTGCAAAATTTTTAGTGTCGAAGATTAAGTCTCTAGATGAAGCTCAAACATGTATTAACCGGTATCTTTGGAAAGCTGACGATGAGACGAATCGATTGATATGATCAGATAATCTGTAGCTGATCTGGGAGCCGAGATATAAGCGTTTGAAGTTCACCATTAAAATTTCAATAGGCGTCAGATAAAATGTATTTGGTGGGCTGCACCGTGGTGTACTTTTCTGGCGAAAAAGCAAAAGCTCAAAAAAAAGTTGACTTTCTTTAAGTTTTTTTCTAGTGTAATCGATAGAGCAGCTTCTATATAGTAATGTTATCACATCAGATTGACGGGATAATTTCAAAAAGTGAGCGAAAAATGGGTCCAAAAAGTCGTATTATCCATATTTTGAAAATTCATAACTTTCTTCATTTTGGAGTTTGACATAAATTGATTACATCAATCTATTCGTCTTGTTATGAGCTTTCCAACGATCTATACTTCTCAGTGTTTCGAGCGCTTTTGATAAAAACGACCAACTTTGAAAAATCATAACTTTATTTCTAGGCGCCCAAGAACTTTCAGACCTAGATTTTCGGACTTCCGACGTCATTTCCTATCGATTGATGTAGAAATCTCGGAAACTTTGGTTTTCGGGAAAATCGAAAAAAGTACAACCCCTTACGTTTTTTTCGAGCTTCTGAGGTCATGGAAGCCGATCTGGACGAAACCTATATCAATCGATAGATCTCGTTGAGAAAATAACCGGAGGCTAGTTTTGACTTCTGTAGGTCTACTAGGAACTTAGTTATAGGCGATCAAACTTAGAGGTCGAAAATTGAAAAATAGGTCAAATTTAGTATCAGTCGATAGAGTAGATCAAGGAGGTCAAGAAAAACTTGGTCTTCAAGTTTTTAACCTTCTAGAAGTCGAGTTATGAATTTTCAAAGTGTCAAAAATGACAAACTTTGAGAAGCCTCAACTTTTTCCTGGGGAGCTAGCAAACATTTTCCTTCGATATTTTTAATTCGGTGATTTATCTTACGTCGAGCTGCTGTAATTTTTCGATAAAGCCGAGTTTGATGATACGAAAATTTGAGCTTTTGGATGAAGCTTAACAAATCCATAACTTATATCACTGGAAAGCTGACGATGAGACAAATCGATTGATATAATTGGATAAGCTGTATCTGCTCAGGGAGACGAGATATGAGCTTTTGAAGTTTTCCGTCAAAATTTGAATAGGCGTCAGATAAAATGTATTTGGTGGGCTACACCGCAGTGTACTTTTCTGACGAAAAAGGAGAAGCTCAAAAAAAAGTTTGCTTTTTTCAAGTTTTTTCTAGTGTAATCGATAGAGCAGCTTTTATACAGTACCAATATCATATCAGATTAGAGGAAGAAGCTCGAAAACTGGGTGAAAAATGTGTCCAAAAGTCGTATTTTTCAGATTTTGAAGCTTCATAACTTTGTTCATTTTGAAGATACAGAGAAACTGATCAGATCAATCGATTCGTCTCGTTATCAGCTTTCCAATGATATAGGGCTTCAAGAGTTGACAAGAAGCTGGGTGACGTCATAAAAAATTGCAGCTTACAACTCAGCTTTTTCCTCAAATTGGATCATATCGTCATTGATCGATAGAGCGTTTTGTGACAAATCTAATGATATATCTTAATTCCGGATATTTTATTACAATATTGAGTTCTAAGCTGTCGCAAGTCTAAAGCTTCCGGATGAAGCTCAATCTTTTGATAACCTACATTATCTGAAAGCTGCTAATGAGACGATTCGAATGATGTAGTCAGTTTCTCTGTAGCTTCAAAAATAATAAAACTATGAAGCTACAAAATCTTGAAAATATGACTTTTTGGACCCATTTTTAACTCAGTTTTTGAGCATTTCCCCACAATCTGATATGATAACAGTACTATATGAAAGCTGCTCTATCGAAAAAACTTGAAAAAACTTGAAAAAACCAAACTTTTTTCGAGCTTTTCCTTTTTCGTCAGAAAAGTACACCGCGGTGCAGCCCACCAAATGCATTTTATCTGACGACTATCGAAATTTTTATGGCAAACTTCAAACGCTCATATCTCGGCTCCCACAGCAGCTACAGATTATCTGATCATATCAATCGATTCGTCTCATCGTCAGCTTTCTAGTGAGATAGGTTATGAAAAGATAAAGCCTCATCCAGAAGCTTCAGATCCGTCACAGCCTGTAACTTAACGTTGTGATAAGGTATTGAGAATCGAAATATATCATTAGATTTGTCACATGACGCTCTATCGATTGATTACGATACGATCCATTTTGAAGGTAAAGCTGAGATGTAAGCTGAGAGTTTTTATGACATTATCCAGGCTTATGAAAACTCTTAAAACTATGTACCATTAGAAAGCTGATAATAAGACAAATCGATTGATTTAATCAGTTTCTCTCTAACTTCAAAATGAACAAAGTTATGAAGCTTCAAAATCTGAAAAATATGACTTTTTGGACCCATTTTTTTACCCAGTTTTTGAGCTTCTTCCTCTAATCTGATATGATAGCAGTACTATATGGAAGCTGCTCTATCGATTACACTAGAAAAAATTTGAAAAAAGCGGACTTTTTTTTGAGCTTTTCCTTTTTCGCAAGGAAACCACACCGATCAGGGCCTCAGACAGGCGCTTGACCCGACGCGTAACCTCGGACTAGGCGTTTTATCTGACGCGCAAATTAAATTTTTAGGCAAATTTCAAAAGCTTATATCTCTGCTTTAAAAGCAGCTACAGCTTATCTAATGATATCATTCGAATCGCCTCATCGTCAGCTTCCCACTGATATACATCATTCAGTTAGATCTTTGTATTGTTGCTTTAGGTATTTTGCAAGCTCATTTCGTGTTTTTTTCACCTGTCTGATGCTTCTAAACGTTCCAACGATCGAAATCAGCTCTGTCGTGTCCAAGGAACTGACGCTTCATAAAACGGAAGCTTCAAATTTGCCTTAATCAGCGCTTTAAAGTAAAAAGATCACTTCGAAATAATTTAATAAAATAAAAGTCTCGAAAAGGAATAAGAGAGTTATAACCCATAGATCGGTTGTAAAAATAAGAAAAAATCGAACTAACAATGCAACAAACTCGGTAAAACAATTGATTGGATCAAATAAAGATTGTTTCAGAGTAAATATCATGTAAAGCTAGAGCAGTTCAGCAACGAAAATCCATTGAAAAAGGATCAATTTCTCTAGAGGCACTAATTTTCGTTTTTTGAGAGACTAGTGAATCGCTGTTTGACACAATGATAATGCATAAAGATTGGAACAAGAAGCAGAAAAAATACACGATTATTATGCAGGAGACTGACATCTTGCTCTAGATATAGTGACATACCGGAAAAATACTTTAAAAGTAAACAATAAAAAAATAATATCAAAAAAAATGGAAATTATTAAGAGAACCGCATAGCAGAAAAGGTCAGAGCAATCATTTTTTGGAAATTTTGAGTCTGCAATCAAAGTAAATACATAGAAAAAAAGAGAAACGAAATCAAGATGCCATTGTTTTTTTTTCGAACCGGGAGGTTTTTTATAGAGGAGAGGTCAATGTACATTCGAGGATGGGGCATCAATATACTCGCCATTGGGACAAGGCCCCTTCTATCAATTTTTGACACAGAAAACCGAAGTCTGAACCTTCGAGAGCTAGAGAGCATTGGGAAACGAGAGGGCTTCTTTCTGTCTCGCTTACCAGGCGCTAAAGCTTTCAAAGCTGGAAGACTCGAGAGAAAAATGAACTAAAGTCAAAGGAGCCTCATCCCACGGGAGAGATACCATTGTCCCAACAGTATGCGCAGCGAGAAGGAGTTTCAGACGGCGAGGGACTGTCGTGAGGTCGCGGCTTCAGTCTCGGAAGACGTCGTCGCCGTGCAACTGGGACACTCGTAGGGCTCGGAGGCGGAACATTGCCGACCGACGCAGACAAAGTGAAACCAGCGGTCGCAGCCCAACTCGCACTGCGCCCACGACATGCTATTTCCTGAAGGTAAGAACTTATTTCTGAGACATTGCGCAGATTGCATAGAAAAGACCGTTTCGGTCTAATATTTCGGTCTCAGGGCTCCAGCTACAGCATTCGCTACATTCTGAGCTCGTCAAGGCCCAACTGGATGAACTAGGCGAAGGATCGTAAAACCAGGCCTTCTACTTAATCAACTACACGTTCGGATTTCTTTGGTTTTTGTTCAGAGTTTCGAAAGTTTCTGTTTTGTATACTCTTCATGATATTCATTGTCCTCATACACCGGCATCAAACTACGGCCTACCCCTCAAACTACGGCCTACCCCCATCAAACTACGGTCTACCCCCCATCAAACTGCGGCCTACCCCTATCAAACTGCGGCTGGGATAGTATCCAGCCGATGTATGATTGTCCTTTCAGAGAATTTTCAACTCACCAAAAGGGTTCAAGCAATAGTCGGCGTCACACAGTTGACCGTCCTCATGAAGATAAACATCGCTTCTTTTGCGCTGTTTTCTGGAAATCGTCTTTGGAAGATGAGAAAACAGGTTTATTCCTACTTCGAGACTTCTTTCTGGCTCTGTCCAGACCGTTTTCCACGTAGCCGTTCGTTGATCAGACCGTTTCCAACAACGAAAAGCACTGGGATCGGAGTGGCCCTTGCTGGGCGGGACATCAACGTTGAGAACGCTCTGGGAAAATCATTGGATTTTCAAAAGATATTTTCATCAATATCCACGATTTTCTTACGGAGAATGTTATAGATTAATGACCTTTAGGCTAAGAATCATTGAAATTATGAGTCAAGGAGCTGAACAAACTTTTTTGATGCTCTAAGGAACTCCAGAGCGGTCCCTAGAAGGGAAACCTTAGGGGCCCTTAAAAATCACTTCTAGGGACCACTAAAGCTCGCAAAAGTGGTCCCTATAGGGGTTCCAGTCAGTGGCTCCTAAAGGGAACATGCTGGTCGATAATTTTTATGAACTATATGCGAAAAACTAAAAAATTAACCTTTTCTGAAAATAAATGAACAACCCCTACAGGGACCACTTAAGCTATATGGGCTAATGGGTCAGAACCTGAAACCCCATAGGGACCACTTTTTCGCACCCTTAAGGGGATTTTTTTTCCCTCAAACCACTATAGGGACCACTCAGGAGCTCCTAAGCTCTCCGAAGCTCGCTCAATCAATAAATTTCAATTGTTATCACAAGATTCCTCATACTTCGACTGTTTTTCGATGAGATCTCCGAAAACGGCTGGCAAAACACCCAGGACTAATCGCATCACATCGTTGTTCAGTACTTCACAAGCCAAAAATGCCAAGATTGAAGTTCGAAGCCTGAAAATCCGTTTGAAAAGAGATCTTCGACTGTTCCACGCACTGTTTCGAGATCTGTGGCGACGAGTTCTTGGCTTGGTACTTTGATATCGATTCCATCACATGTTTGGATGCGGATTGTGTTCGGGCGATTGATTCCCGGACGAGTACGACCTGAAAGATGATAAATAAAGAAGTTCAAGCTCTTTTTTCGGTCTGAGATTCAAGTCGACGCCTTCAGCCCTGAGCCAGCTGGGCGCCGTACTTTCCCTACATGGAGAAGCAGCTGACCGTCGGAAAGCTCGAAACTCGTCTAATTTATTCCCAAAAGGACGTGCTGATCTACGCTTTGGATCTACCTCACCTCGAGAGACTTCCTCGGCGCGACGGAGCAGGCTGCTTCGACGTCAGCGAGGTAAGGCCTCCGTCCGCGGAGGCAGCGGACACAAAGGAAAGCCCCTGCGGGCATGTCGCGCAGCACCGGCGTCCAATCGCAACATGACACTGAAAAAATGGAGTTAATCTGTTACAATATTTTTCTCGATATTTTTCGAAATCGGACGGCTTGTGTAGGGAAAACCTGCTATTCTTCATAATCTCCTGACTTCCATTTTGAACTAACCATGATAACTGGCCCGACAAATGAGACAACAGAGGACATTATCGGGCGTTTCAACGAGCTTCTTGTCTCCGCCGGCACAAATGCAAGTTTCGCGGACGGATCGAGAAGAGTTCGCAGTTTGGAGGGCGCCTGAAGACCTCAGTTATTCTTCTTCAACTGGAGATTCGAACCAAAGAGCTTTTCCTGCTGGGCTTTGAGCATGTTCTGATGGGAGATCATGGCGGAGGCCGAGTCGAACTCGTTGAGCTGGTGCCACTCTTCCTCGGGGTTCGGCGGGGAGGACGAGGTCTGCAATTCGCGCGGCAGAAGCTGTCCTTCGGTCAGTTCGGCGATGTCGTCGCGGTTTCCAATGATCTGAGAGATGGTGAAATAATCAACTGGGATCTTTGGAGGGGTCAGAACCTCGACCAAGTTATAATAAGAAGGCGAGGGCTTGAACAGTTTGCAGATTCGGTCGGTGAACTTGACAACCGCTTCTCGGATCGAAAGCAGCGTCTTGTAGATTTTCGACTCTTTCAGAACCCTGGAAAATCGAATATAGTCCTTCTTACGAAATTTAAAGCTGCAAAAGTTTCACACGGGCTGTTTTTCGCACGGCGTTCCCAAACGGGGTGTGGATACGTCAAAAATTTTTTAGCGCGAAACCGGAAACCTCAAGTATTCTTCATGCTGTTAAATACTCAGTTCACTTTGCAACGATAGGTAGCTGTGACGTCACAGTCCTTTTATCCGAAGCGCGCACTTACTTTTTTTTGTAAATTCAGAAACTTTGACGCCTCGCTCACTTTCCCTTACCCCATTAGGAATGCCGTGGAGACTTGAAACTGTTGTTTTTCTCTGCGCCCTCCTTATCTCTCGACTTCTCTCTCATGTTTACGTGCTATTTCCATGTTTCTGTGACCTCGCCGGTGAGGGAACAGAGCGACACATGAAAACTGACGGACTATAAAAATCACACTGGGAACGGCTCTTCGCTTCGGGAAAATCCATCAATTTTATCTATGCGCCTTTAAAACCACCAGAAAAAGTTTTGAACATGAATTTATCATCAATGTCCGTTTGTTTGGAAGGTTGCGTAATGCTACCTTTCGCTAGCTTGTCACATTTTTCTATCGATCAAAAAAGTCTTATAATTTCAGTTCACGGGGCCCAAAGCGATAGGGCAAAAAGGGAAACTTCTACTTCAAAAAAAAACATCGGCAGACCATTTTTATAGGCTGCCGACCTCTGCTTTCAAGTTTTTCTAAATGAAAGTTGATACTACCCCCCTGAGACTAAAACTGATATTATTCCCTAATTTTCCAGAATTTCGGAAGCCAACCCCTCTTCCGGGCAGTATGAGTTCTGTACTTGCCCATATATGTTTCAAAAAAACGCGAAATGGAAATTCCAGCCCCAATACCCACCTCGACTCCTCGCACTGGCCAATGAGGCCGTCGACGACCGCGCAGCTGAATTCGCTCTCGGCGAACTTCGCGGCGAGGATCTCGAGGCTCTTCGAGAATTCCGACGTCGTGGGATGGACCTTCGTCGCGTCTTGCAGCTGCTTGTGCACCTCGCACACTTTCAAAACCTCCAATCGCAGCTCGTCAATGTCTGAAAAGCCCGAGAATTTTTTAAAAATTCCCCAAAATTTATACATTTAGAAGTGCACCAATCCGAATTGCGGACAGTTTTCCAGACGTCTTGCAGATTTTCGATTCTAGGCTCTCCCATGAACGTCTTGGCCTGGAAATCATTTTTTTAATTTATAAGAATAAAAAGGAAAAAAATTGTGTTTTTTTGTTCAAAAAGATGTGTTCATTATTCAGCGCCGAAGTCGCTGTGAACAAAAAAATTTTTAAAAATAACTCTACTTTTTATTACTATTTCACGACCTTTTTTGTTAGTAAAAGAAAATGCAAAACCAAAAATTAAGGGGGCGTGGTCAAAACGTTCGCCGTTCACATGTGACGTCATGGGAAAAACGCGTAAAAAACAGGAAATATTAAAGACGCATCAATGGTTCCCGTGACGAATATATTTCTCATTTAAAAAATCGCGATTTTTCTGTTTTTTTTAAGTTTTAAAACACATGCCGTGTTGAAAGTAATTTCGCGAAAATTACGTTGAACGCGACGTGTGCCAGAGCGTCGCAGTGTATGCACATGACACACTACACTTTACAGAAAAAATCCCAAAAAAAAAACAGTGATTTTCGAGGAAATCGTCAATAATCTTCACAAAAACCCCCTCTTCTGCTGTTTATATTCGTTAAAAGGTTTTTTTAAAAGGATTTATTAATATTAGTCGATTTTCACAATATTCTCCAGTGGGGATTTTTTTTAAAAATTCGCATCCTATTCAGGGAAAGACGGTTATCCTATGTTTTCCGAAAATTAAAAAATGCTCGGGAATTTATTAGGTTTGATACCGATTTTTTTTAATTTCCTGAAGGATTCGAATAGAAAAAAACCCAACTTGAAGTATGAATACCATATCAAAAATATTTTCGGGCCCTTAAATTTGGAAAAAAAAACGCTTTCCTCTTTCATGCATTCACAAAAGTTCTGAACACGCATTTTCCTCAATTTTCATTTGATTTACTCCGTAAACTCCCTTCATTTACTTCGTAAAACAGTATGAGAAAAAAAAAAATTTAAAAACAATATGCTGCGCCTTTAATTTTTTTTTTCGTCATATTAAAGGCGCATGCGTAGGGACAAGCCGCGCGTAACTAAGAAAAGTATTGAATAGCTCGAAAAAATCTTAATAAGCTGGCGCTGAAGCCCAAGCTGATTTTATTCCCGAACCTCATGATCATGCTCGATGGCGGCCCGCATTTTGGAATGAAGTCGACTGGCCGGACCATCCGGAGACGTGCAGTCGAGAAGACGTCCGGCGTCGGAGACCAGTTTGAAGACGTAGTCGGTGGACCACCGTTGCCGGTTCTCGAACTCGGGGTCGTCCTCCATTTCCGTCGTCGGATCCCAGGCCAGGACCGCACTCGCCTTCGCTTGCCACTCTTTCATTTCCGAGGCCTGGAAGTTCGAATAATGAAAAACTGACTTTTTTGTGATCACTGTTTTATTTTTTATTTTTTTCCGAGCAGCGTATAGCAAAAAAAGGCGTGGCCTGTCTGCGCTCTCCACCAACCAGGTACTATCTCCTTCATTATCGTGTCAGGACCCTTTTTTCGATGGTTCAAGCCAAAAAAAATCCGGAAAAAAATTTCTACATTTATTGAACCCTTTCAAGCTACAAAATTTGCCTTTCAGAGCTTTTCAAAAAAAAAATCTGAGCAATAGGGTCAATTAAATAATTAGCTTTGAAGTCTAGGTCACCTAAAAATCATTTTACAAGTCATTGAGCATTTATTTTCGATTTTACAAGATAATTTCCTGTATTTTCAATCCTTTTAATCATTACAATTCTCATAAAAACCCCCTGATTACAAAAAACAATCTAAAAATCGAGAGAAAATTCGATAAAATTTTTTTTTACTATTTTTCTAATATTTTTTCACCTTTTTGAGATTCTCCAGCTCCGGGATTCGAATATCGAAATTGTCGCCACTTTCCACCAGCTTTAAAACTTCATCGGTTGTGGTCAAAGTGCCGTCGAACTGAATGAGAAATATTAAAAAAATCTTGATATCGAGCAAAAAAACCAACATTTTTTTCACTTCAGCGATGACCTCGGCAGCCCGTTTCTGCCATTTTTTGATCGATTGAACGAGTTCCTAAAAATTGAAAAAGATTTTCAAATACTTGAATTTGAAATAAAAGCTGTACTGAAGTTGATTCATATGATTTTTAATAAATTTCCAGAAAAACTAAGTTTTCTGATTGGCGCGGGTTACTTTTCTTTTTCTTCATTTTTCGAAGGTTCACTGGATTTTTGAGGGTCAATCCAAAAGCTTATAGCAAGTTTCAAAATGATCATAAAATTCCTAATTAAGCCCCCCGCTAGAAAACACTGTAAAAAAAAGGGGAGGGTAAAACGTGAAAAAAAAATTGTGTTCAACGAATAGTGGGCCGAAAAATGAACCTCCAGCTCGGCAATGGTGATCTTCAGCTTGCAGGGCATTTTCCGGAGTTCGGCGATGAAATCGATCAACTCATCGAGGTCCAATCGAGTGTCGGCTCGTTGGATCCGCGTCTTGACCCTTTAAAATTCGAACACTTTTCATTTCTGAAACTCTTCCGAAACCTCGTCCGAACTTTCCCGTTGAGAATCTTGTTGGCTTTTTCGATGGCCGACCGTGCTTGAGTTCGAAAAGCACAGACCGCGCGGAAGTTCGCCGACATGGGAAATCTTTCTTTTCGGGATTGCTCGAAGAGTTCGTCGAGTTGCCGAATATCTGGAATATCCAATGATTACGAGAAAGAATGAATAAATTGTCCGAGATTCGGGAGGAGATTTTTTTTTTCTAATCAAAATGTTTTATTTCTCACACAATAGAGATGCACGGCTTTTCTCCTTTTTTTCTTCTAAATTCTGGGTTAAAAAAAGTTTTTTTCAGAAGTTTGAAACAATGAGAAGATAGAATTCAAGAAAATAAGCTTCAAAGTCCCATTTTATGCGCCAATAGAATGAGCTTCAAAGAGTTTTTTTAAATGAAATTTTTAAAATGCGCAGGTTTTTCGTAAGCTTAAAAATGAGTAAAAAAATGCGAACCTTTTTAATGAAAAATTGCCTTTTTTTGGTGATCAAGACGGCTATTAATGAAATTCAAAAATTTTTTTAAAATGTCTTATATTGCCTCAAACAAAAATATATGAAATAAAGGACCTGTAAGATTTTTTTTTTCTCAAAAACCACTTTTTTTCAGGTTTTAATAATTTCCTCCAAGCTTCGTAATAGCCCATTCCGCTTGCCACGACTACAGAAGCCTTTTTTTTCGATACGCGCGTCCATGCGCCTTTAATATAAAAAAAAACTTGTGAGCTAATTTAAAGGCGCATTCCCAGAGACACGGCGCGAGTATCGAAGAGAAGGGTTCTGTGGCTCGGAGGATAAAAAAAATCGTGGCGGAGTTGGCTATAACTATTTTTAAAAAATCACGATTATGTAAAGGTCGTTCTAGAATATTCTATCCTTTTCTAAACCTTACGGTTGCATTACGTCATAGGGATCAATTTTAAAACTCGTTCCATCTTCTTCTACAAGGCTGCAAAATGTTCCAAAATGTTCCAGAAGGCTCTAGAAAGTTCTAAAAGGACCCAGAAGGTTCCAGAAGGTTCCAAAATGTTCCAGAAGTTTCCAAAATGTTCCGAAAGGCTCTACAACCCCTTTTTTCCCACTAACCCGCTTCGAAATCGCCCTGAACGATCGCGTCGATCCGACTCTTCCACTCGGAGTAGTGCATGGTTCTCAGTTCCAACTTCTCAATGAAAGGTAGGAGTTCTTTCAAGTCATACCGATAACTAAGAATACACGAATCTGTCAAAAATATGCCAATATTTGGTACTGACAGGAGCTGAAGTTGGGACTTCGGGCAGGTTTTGCAGACGAGTTTGTGGTGTTGGAGACAGGCGATTCTGTCATGAGCACAGGTTACCGCAGAGAGGTAGACGGTCGTTTTGCAGACCCTGAAACCATTTGACTGAATTTCGGAATACCCTTAACTTCAGGGGGGTGCTTTTCGAGTGTCTGCGTCTCTCTGTTCCCTCACCGGCGAGGTCAGAGAGACATAAAAACAGCTCGTCAAAATGAGAGGGTCGTCTAGAGACGAGGAGGAGGCAGAGAACTACAGTATATACTGTCTAACGTCTATCACAATGACGTCATTCGAAAACGCTCTGTGGTTGGCTCGCGTTCTGATTGGCTTATCGCGCCATAAAGGGGCGGAGCTTCATGACATTCACAATTTTAACAAACTAAACTTTTTGAGGAAAGCTTTCAAAGCTTCAAAATCGTAAAGCTGATAAAAACCAAGGAAAAACAATTTTAGACCTTTTTTTTCTAATTTTTCGAATATAGACTATTGATATCCTTTCCATTGAAAGATTGAACAAAAAAAGCTTAAATTTACCACATTTTTTTAGGTTGAAAAAAATATCAAAATCCAAGTTAAAAAGTAGATTTTTTTGTCTCACCCTTTCCATTATACTATCGACATTTTCTACACTTTCAGCTTATAAGTCATCAAAATCTTACTCCGCACCTTGCGAAAATCCTGAATCGATTTCAAAATTATTTTCAAAAATATCCTTATCCGAGTTTCAAAACGCACCGACAAGCTCGGAAATCGTCATTTTTCTCCTCGAAAAGCTCGCGTCTCTCCTTCTTTACCCCGTGGTTGGAGATCATCAGGCGGAGTCTGTGTTCACGTCGGGAGATCTGGAAAATCGATATTTCTTGATCATTGCCTTTCTGGTGATACCTCCATGAGCTCATCCAGAGTGGCGAGACTCGTCGAGATTCCCAGCGTATCGCAGGAACTCGCGATTTTCATTACCAATTCTTCGTGGGAGAAGACGCAGCAACGTCGGACCGATGCGTATTCGCTTACGCATAACCGCCCTTTGCTCAACTGAAATAGAAATTCCAACTAGAGCAACTTGATAAAACTTCAATAGATCTTATCCCTCGTCAGATTGTCACGATTTTCACTTTTCTCCAAGCTACAAAACCCTTCGCTTCGACGCGCGTGGCCTGCCTGTGTGCGTGCGCCTTTAATTTGACCCATCATATTAAAGGCGCATATGCAGAGAAAGGCCCCGCAAATCACAGGGAAGCTTCCCAAAAAAATTCTGTAGCTCCGAGGAAAATGAAAATCACGTAAAAATTGAGGAAGGATAGACTATGTGAAATCTTGAAATTTAGCAAAAAAAGAAGATTTTTCTTTCAAATTGACAGGATTTTCCCTTGGGGTATTATCTACCAATTTTATGTCAAGTTAAAATTTGAAATATCGAATTTTCCTCAACTCTAAACTGAAAACCAATAGTTCAAGTTAACGCGCCCCGAACGTGTCTCAGCACTTCTCGGGATCACTTAAAAGCCTCTAACCCTAGAAAGTCTCAGAAAAATGATACTTTCAAAAAACGACAAATAAAAGAATAACCCAATCAACCGGAGCAAAATTGACGGCTTCAGCAAAGTTGACGCCTTCATTGAAGCCGGCATGATACGCCCGCGGGAAAGTGACCACGAATTCGCCGGCGTTTTGTCTCACCTGAAAAATTGGTTAATTTGATACCATACTTTTTTTTCTGGGATCTAAATTTCACATGGTTACTTGAATTGCGGTTTCTAACGCAATTCGCGTCAATTTGATGAAAAATTTGGAAGAAAAATTAAATATCATCTTCTTCGGGACAAACGGAAAGTTGCTCGAAAGCTCATTTTCAAAAAAAAAAAGTACGATTTTCTACGGGTCCCTAGTAAATTTTTCTCACTTCATTTTTTCCTCTTTTCCACATCCATTAATAAAAAAATGTTGGAAAGCAACTGAAAAGGCTTGAGCCATCGAAAAAAGGGTCCTGACACGATAAAAAAAAAGAGAGAGCGCCTGATTGGTGGAGATCGCAGACAGGCCACGCCCATCTTTCAGCCATGAATCTACTATAATATATTCAGAATTTGAACGTCAAGTTCATAGTTCAAACTCCGCCCCTTTTTTGTAGATCAAACCAATCAGAGAGTGGGCCAGCGGAGTTTGCTCTTTGAACACACTATAAAGCTTATAAATTCAGATCGCGGGTCTCAAAGCGAAGCGCGCAAGGAACATCGGTACACTGTGGTTTTTCCTACTTTGTTTAATGTGACAAATTCGAATGTCCAATCACGGCGGTTTTTTTTGGCGACACATATTTTTTCCGTAAAATGTAGTGTGTCGTGTTCATGCACCGCGGCGCTCTCGCACATGAAAAAAAAAAATCAGAAATTCTGTTATATGTTTCACTCTCTGGTGGCTATTTTGAATTCCGCGGAATTAATTACAACACGGAATGTGTTTTGAAACACAAAAAAAAACAGAAAAATTGCGTTTTTTAAAAGGAGAAATAGATTCGTCTCGGGACCCATTGATGCGCCTTTAATATTCCCTGTTGTTTATAGTCTGTTCAGATTTTGAATGTCAAGTCGTGGCTCAAGCTCCGCCCCTAATGTTGCGATAAACCAATCAGAGAGCGAGCCATCCACAGAGTGTTTTTGAATGACGTCATTGCAGTTGACATTGAAAATCTGAACAGACTATACGCTTGTTTCCCATGACGTCACATGGGAACGGCGGAGATTTTGACCACGCCCCTTCATTTTTGGATTTGCATTTTCTCCCAGTAACAAAAACACCGTGCCTTTAGATCTATCTAGCTTTCTGAAAAATCTCGAACCATGTGGACAGGAACGCCTTGTTTCCGGAGCAAAGCCGGGTTGACGGCTGTGGTCATGTGATGGAAGAGGTCCCGTTGGCGCCCGCTCAGGCCCGGCGCCAGCTTCCGAACCGTCTAGAAACGAGAAATAACTTCTTTCCGAATTTTTCCCCTACGTTCTCAAAAAGCTCCGCGTCGTCGCCCCCGATACCGTACCAAACTTTCGGCTCTCCCCTAAACTTTTTTCGTTTTTATCTTCTTTCTATTTCGATAAACCAATGATTGTAGTTTATACTGTAGGTCCAGTGGTCTTCCGTATGCCAGCAGAATGTGCTAAAGCACATGCCGACGTAGACCCAAGGTACCATCATTCCTAGAAAAAATTAAAAATTGAAAAAAATTCGAGAAAAAATGCTCGTACTTGAATACAACTAAATTTTGAAAGTTTTCAGTTATTTTGTAGAATAAATCCACAAAAATTCACTGAAACCCTCTTCATTAGTGAAAATTACTCTATCAAAAATCGTCCGAAATCGCAAATCTCTGTTAAAGAACTTTAAATCAAGAGAATCGAATTTTTGGTAAAATAATCAACTGAATATTGTAGGGAAGATGACATGGAAAATTCAAAATCAACAGATTTCCACGCAAATTTTGAGCTAAATCATATAAACTCCAATCTGAACTTTTTTTTTTCGTTAACTTAATGACCTGAACGTTCAGAATCTGAACGTTCAAACTCCTAGAAGGTGTATAATTCCTTCAATCCATATTAAAAAAATAAATGATTATTTTAACCGTTTTTCCATAGCAAATGAGACGTTGAGATGTCAAAAGTAACCAGGGAAATCATTTCCGTTTTCGGTTAGGCTGTTCCCAAAAATTTGCCAGAACACTTCTAGCTTGGGACGCTAAGGGGGGCGTGGCCTGTCTGCGCTCTCCACGAGCCAGGCACTATTTCTTGCATTGTCGTGTCAAAACCCTTTTTTCGTTAGCTCAAGTCAGCCGTGAATGAGCTATAGTCTGTTCAGATTTTTTTTTTTGGCTTTTTGAATGTGAATGGCTCGCTCTCTGATTGGTTTATAGTACCATTAGGGGCGGAGCTTGAGCGACGACTTGACATTCAAAAGCTCAAAAATTTTATATTACTATAGAAAAATGACGTGATGATTATAACTTATTCTAGCCTGGCTTCGAAAAATGGGTCCTGACATGATTAAAGAAGAGATAGTGCCTGGTTGGTGGAGAGCGCAGACAGGCCACGCCCCCTAGCTATACGCATGATTAACTATAGTTTCGCGGAACTCTCAAAATTCGTCTTCTACTATCAAAAAAAGGACGATCTATAGCTGATCCACGGCTGACTTCGAAAAATGGGTCCTGACACGATCAAAGAAGAGATAGTGCCTGGTTGGTGGAGAGCGCAGACAGGGCCACGCCCCCTAGCTATTTCGCGGAACGACACAAAATTCTTCAGAAGACTGAATTAATGTTCATAATTTCCCTTCCTCTTTTCATTTCAAAGCAGAAAAAAGCACCCGAAATGCCGATATCGATATGGGAGAGGACGGATTCTTCAAGAACCGGCAAATTGTTGAGATTCCACTGATGATCCGCATAAATTTCCCGTTGTCGGCTGTCCCGATGGCCGCTGTGATCGTCGCCTTTCCGGGGAAATCCACTGCCGACCTGGGCTCTCCATTGTTTTCTTTACATTTCCTTCTTCTCCAACCTCGCTGGTGATCAGATCGGCCCCATACTTCACCACGACGTCTTGCTCCGAAATGACGTTCTTCCAGAATTCCGCCTCGACCTTTTCCGGCGATACATCCTGGAGGAGACAACGGTGAAAACAATGACGAAAGAAAAAAAGAACCGTTGGATTTTCGACATGAAAGTAGTGGCATTTGAAGTCATTGGCAAAGTCGGAAAACTCGTTGATGGAATAGGAGGTCGACTGATCGTCGTAGAATCCCCAATTCGAGCCGATAGTCGCGTCGACGGCTTTAACGCAGGCCGGACATCGCCATTCGCCCTGGAAAAAGCATGGTTATTAGGTTGTTCAAGGGTCCATCATCGTCGATTTTTGGAAAATTTGCTTCCTTTTTAAACCAATTTTTTTTCGCGGAAAGCCCATTCAAAAAAGTATCAAAGCCCACAAAAAAAAACTATGAGCGCGCTCAAAAAAAAAAAGCAAATTTCCACGTCGCGATGTCGCGGCCAAACCGCAGAACTTTTGCGATGTCGCCAATGTACCGCCGCTCCAAACGCGACATCGCACTTCTCTCGCTACTCTCACGCACTCGGAGAAAATTGAAAACATCTAAATCGCGATGTCGCGCCGAGAAAAATGTATGACCGGCGCGGGATTAGTGCAGCAGTTTCGCGATATCGCCATAGTACCGACAGCGGCCTTACGTTTCTCCCGACAGTTCTTTTCAGTGTAACCACCAAGTAGAGCGCAAGAGAAAGAAACAAAGTCGCTGGCGGTTAATTGACGACTTCGCAAAGGAACCGCTTTATCGCCGCTCCGGACGCGACATCGCACTTCTCTCGCTTTTCACATGCACTCAAAAAAAGTTGAAAATTTCCAAATCGCGATGTCGCACAGTGGAATCTGTGCGATCTCCAGGAGAAACACAAAACCAGCGCGGCTACAAAGCAGCACTCTCGCGATGTCGCCAACGTACCGCCGCTCCGGGTGCGCCCTCGCACTTCTTTCGCTTTTCTCACGCACTCAAAAATTTTCAAAATTATGTCGCGCCGAGAAAAATACAAGACCTTCGCAGCACTTTGGCAATGTCGCCAATTTCCCGCCGCTCCGGGGGCGACATCGCATTTTTCTCGCTTTTTTCACGCACTCAAAAATTTTTGAAAATTTTCAAAATTATGTCGCGCCGAGAAAAATGCAAGACCTTCGCAGCACTTTTGCGATGTCGCCAGTGTACCGCCGCTCCGGGGGCGACATCGCAGTTTTCTCGCACTTAAAAATTTTTGAATATGTCCAAAATGATGTCGCGCCGAGAAAAATGCAAGACCTTCGCAGCACTTTCGCGATGTCGCCAATGTATCGCGTTTTTCTCGACAGTCATTTTTGCGTATTTTTGTCGATAGCTTGTTCTAGTACAAAAAGACCCGACTTAAAGTTCACCTCAGGAACAACGGAAAGGGGAGGTTCGCAGCAGAAAGTGTGCATTCCGGTGGAGCAGGACTCGATCTCGCAGACCAACAAGAGATCTTCATGGTCGCCTTTTCTGCACTTGGAGCAGTAGACCAGGTCCATCGGGTCTCTTTCCTCCTCTTTTTCTGGAAAATAGCATAAATTGTGAATTTTTTTTGATTATATTACTGATTTTCTTGTTGGTCTTCTTAGCGGAGACCGGCGTTTTCTCTTCTCGCGAGAGTCCGGCCATCATCCTTCCGGAGGGTCGCTTCGTTTTGCCTTTTCCGGCACTCATTCGACGTCTTCCCTAGAAATATAATGATTAAAAAATATATTAGCTCTCGTAGATTTATACTTTCAGGTTCAGAAGTTTCTGCGGACGTTTACACTTCAAAATTTAGGACAAAAAATAATCCAGAAACGTGTTTGAAGCTGCTCTTTTCGCACACTGTCTTACAATGAATTTAAAAATCCCAACGAATTCACAAAAATTAGGCTACTTTTAAGAATCCAAAGCCTTGAATCATTCACTCAAAAGAAATGAAGAACTGATTGATTCACGGGGGAAAAAAAAATGGAAAAAGGTTGTTTCCACTTTTTCGAGTAATATTTTTAGAATTCGATTCGAAAATTAAGAAATTTGAGAAGCTTTGAGTAAAAAATTTAAACTTGACCAGAATATTTTGCAAAAATTTTACATCCTACAAATGTAAATCTAACCAGAACGGTATTAGTAAAATGAATTTTCGACGAAAAAAGGCAGTAAAATTTTTTTGAAAAATCCATAGAGCACAGCTTCAGCATGTCGTTGTGAGGCCGTTCATTAGAAGGATTTTTTCTCAAGTCTTTGTATCTTGCAAGCCATAGTTCATTCCACGCAAGCTAGTCTCTTTTTTTCTAGAAAAAAGTCCTTTTGGCATCAATTTGACTGAGTTTCGCTTCAAGACCTCTGTTATTTCCAAATTTCGTACATTTTAACGGCACAAATCCCGATTTTAATTCTTTTTTTTTGCTTGCATATCAACAAAAACTATGATTTAACAAGTAGAAATGCATTTATTCAAAAGGAAATTTCAAATGGAACTTAAAAATTTATTGGAAAGATGGCCCGGCCCGAGCCCGCTCGGGCTTCATCGCAAAATCGGGCTGGCCCGGCCTGACGCGCAACTAGAAACTGTTTCTATAGATGAGCAAATACAGAGCTCGTTCAGCCCGGGAGGAGGCGTTGGAATACAAAATCAGGAATAAATTCAGTTTTCAACCTCCAGGAGGTATTTTCGGCCACAATTATTCAATTTTTAGCCTCAGGGAGGTAGTATCAACTTTAATTTTTAAAAAAAATTGGGAGGACATTTTAAAATGGTCTGCCCATGTATGAATGTTTCGTTTCTGCTTTTTAACATTTTTCGAATTTTTCGGGGTCTCAAGCAAAAAGCCTGGTCCCTCAAGTGGTCCCTAGGAATGCAAACTTCAATTTTCAACCAACCTGCATGATGAAGGAGCACTCCGGCTGCTGTTCCTCCACTTCTTCTTCTTCCGTCTTGACCTCCTCTTTTTTGACGCCATGATGGTGTTGATAGCGATGTTTCTCGTCTTCCTCCTCGAAGTCGTTGTCGAAAACGTCGTTTTTTGGTTCGTCCTGGAAAAAAGTTTCTCTTAAACATTCCTAAAATGAAATAAAAACCTTGACATTCTTCAAAAAGCCAATCAAATGATCGGCGTAGTGTTTCTTGAGGAATGGGGCAAAGGTTGCGGGAGGCGTTTTGGTCAATTTCCACATATTTTCGGCGATCTTCCCCCAGAGGTTCTTCTTCGTCACTTCATCGAAGCCTTTGTAGGCGGTGACAAGCTGAAAATCAAACAACTCTGAAAAAATAGGGAAAAAAGTGGTCCGGCTGTTCTAACTACAGAAAAGTTTCATTAAATCTTGAAAAAAGGATAAGAAAAAAGAGAGAGTGGGTGGTTGGTTGAGAGCGCAGACAAGCCACGCCCCTAACTTTCTAAGCTTCCTTGAATCGGCTATAGAAACCTCGGACCTTGATAACGCGCTCCGGGCATTTCTAGGGTTCCCTTAAGTGTTCAGACCCTAGAAATGCTCAGAAACGTCCGGGAAGCGTCCTATTTACGTTAGTGGTGCCCTGTTTTCGTGCTTCTAGTCAAGGGATCACTTAAGGGACGAAGCTAAAGTGGTCCCTAGAAATGCTCAAAAAAACCTCCGGGGCGCGTCCTATTTACATTACTAAGATCGAAGTGGCTGAAAAAAATCTACGAAAAAAATCTAAATTAACATCTCAATTTTTTTGAAGGGGGACGCCTGGCCTATTTACGTTATTGGTGTCCATGCATTTGGAAAATTTCCGAGATAAGATCAAAGTTAAGTTTTCTAGCTTGGAGGGGGTGGTTTCGCGCTTCTCATCTAGGGATCACTTAAGAGTCAACACTGAAATGGTCCCTAGAAATGCCCGAAAACGCCCGGGACGCGTTCTATTTTCGTTATCGATGGAAGTTTTTCGGGATAAAATCTTAATAACTTGAAAAATTTTGTTTAGTTTTCGGAACTATTGGTTCTAATCTTCTAATCTAGGGATCACTTAAGGGTACGGACGCCTCTAAAGCGGTCCCTAGAAATGGTTTTAAAAAAGTCCAGGCCCGGCATCGATTTCCGAGACTAATAAGAACGATTAGAAGGAGTTCTACTGGAAAATCCCAAATTTTCTAATTGATCGCAATAATTTGTGCAAAAAGGTCAATTTGAATGGAAAACTTTGGAAGGAAACCTTATGAAGTCGATATAAATCGAGAGGACGTCCGAGCTCATCGACAGCCGCGTAGTCGCTGTAGCCGTTGAGGCGGTTGTAGTTGATTATCCGTTCGATGAACGTCTGGAACATGATAAAACTCTACCAATTTTCTTTTTAAATATTCAAAAAATTGAATTTTTTCTAGACTAGGTAGAATCAAATTCAGCGGGACAGAGAGGGAAAAATACAACTGAAACTTTGGAGAATCAGAGATCCCTATGAAATCGGGAATATTACTTCAAACCAGGTATAATATATTGCTATATTCATGTTCAATTCAAGGAATATTTCAAATCTAGGGTCACTTAAGAGCCGACGCTAAAGTGGCCCCTAGAAATTCTCAGAAACGTCCGGGATCGACGTCCAAGTGGCTGGATAGTCTACGAAAAAAATCTAAATTGAGATTTCCATTTTTTTAGGGGGGGGGAGGGGTTGGTATCGTGCTTCTAGTCTAGCGTTCACTTAAGAGCCGACGCTAAAGTGGCCCCTAGAAATTCTCAGAAACATCCGGGACGCATCCTATTTACGTTATTGGTGTCCATGCATTTGGAAAATTTGAGATAAGATCAAAATTATGGTTTCTGATTTGAAAAAAAAATATGCTCGGCACAGGAAAAAGCATGATTTTTGGTTCAAATTTCGTTTTTAATGGCAAACATTTCATGTTCTTTCACTTAAAAATGTTATTTTCTTTTTCTTCTTCATATATTTCTTCGAACAAACGTTGACTTTAAGAGAAAAATCACAAAATAAATAAGAAAACGGTCAAAAAGGAGAATTTACTTCAAGGGAGCATAGATTCATTTAAAAAAAAGTTCCTGACGCGAAAATAAATGAATAAAAACCTAACAGAGCTATGAAACAACTTTATACAGATCATATAACAAAATCACAAATTCAAAAAAAAAACCAACCGCTTTCTCCTTGATAACCGCCTCAATCTCATTGAGCCTCTGGATCCTGGGCCGGAAGGTGAACTCGTCTTTGTTCAGTACAAATGGCGGTTTGAATGACTGAAAATCCATCTTTTTCACAAACTCTAAAGGCCGGAAAATGATGACAAAAAAGTAAATCTCCTTGAATTCTAGCCAAATATCGAAAATTCCAAAAGGATGGAAATGCAGCGAAAATGATACATAAGAGTGAGTGAAATGGCGCAAAATGGCACCATAAAAGAGCTTTTTTGACTTTTGCTTATTGATATCGGTCAGAAAGTAAAATATCATTCAATTATCACCGATAAATCCCAACTTTTTCACTTCTTAGATGGAATTATGCTGAGAAACAGCTGAAAATCCTTCGAGGGAACAAACAATGATCGTATGAAACTGTAAAAAGAAGCCCTAGAGGCCTTTTTTTCCGAACTTTCTCGTAGGCCCCTAAGAAATGAAAAAGCTTCTCAAAAAGAGTTCCTGAAAAGAACTTCTAAGGGTCACCACAGACTTTTTAAAATTTAAAAAAATACTATCCATTATAAATTCCTAATAAAACGGTGCCAGAGAGTCCTCCAAAGCCATAGAAAAGGGGATTAGAAAGCTGGTCCCCACTAATTTTGGAAACTTTTAGGGTATCCTTTTCAGTTCCTTCTGAGGACCTTCAATAAGAAATTATCTGTTTTACCTATCCAGAATCCTTTTCATTTTACCAATGTTTCGAAAATTAATTTTCAGATGCTATAAATATAATCTGTGTGCCCCGACTTGAAATATCACCGAACGACATTCCGTTGTTCCGCTGCGTGCGGTCGCGAAGCGTATTTGCCTTTGCGAGCCGGCGCTTTTTTTTTGGTTATCATTGCTGGTATCTGGGAACACGTGAAAATCAAGTACTGAAAAAAAAAAACCAGAAGCGCAACCAAGGTTTGTAAAAGCAAAAACGCTTCGCGACCGCACGCAGCGGAACAGCGGAATGTCGTACAGTGAAATTTCAAGACACGGTACACTGGCTATATAAGAGTTTTTTTTTAATTTTTTAAAGATTTTTTCGGATACTTTTTAGAATGCTAAGGTCAAAATAAGGACCAGGATGCTTTTCTGAGCCAAATACTCGAATTTATGAAGCCTAGAACTTCAGCTCACCACAGGAGGGACAATCTTCACGACGCCGTACTTTTCAGCTTCGTCGCGAATTTTCGCGACGTACTGAATGGGGTCCAAGAATTCCTCTTCGGTCGGGAAGAAAATTGGCGCGAATGGGGGTCGTTCAAATTTCTGAAAAATTTTTTTGTATTTTGCAAAAAAATCGAATGCAAAAAAATGAGTTCAAACCAAAAAAATCTAGATATCAGAAAATATTTTTTTCCAATAAATTTCGTACACATAAACACCTAGAAATCATCAAAAAAAAAAAACTCGGGGCGTTTCTGATCATTTCTAGTGACCACTTCAGTGGCGTCAATATTCTTAAGTGATCCCTAGAGTTGCATAGAAACGTCCGGGTCGGACACGAAAAAAATTGTATCCAAGTGCGCTCCACGGCTAAATTCAGAAAAAAAGGATTTTCTAATAAAATCAGGCTTCCTCCTCAGAACTAAAGAAAAAATACAACTCTGAAATTTTTTAAATCAGATTTTGCTATAAAAATAACGCAGAAAAGAACTAATTTAACGAAATATCAACGAGAAAACTTAATAAATTGAATAAAAATATCAAAAAAACGAACATTATAAAACTTTTCATAACGGTCGATGCCCTCCGAATCGACGTCGACGGGATTTTTCGGCTGTGCCGATTTTTTGGGCTGAGTCGGGGTCGCATTTGGAATGGCTGCCCGGGGACTTGGTCGCGTCCGCAGAGTCCTCGTCGTCATTTTATCCTTCTTGGGAAGTTCTCAGCCCGCTCGGGGGTTAGTAAGAATAATAGATTCTCTGAAACTGAAGTCAATAATATGAGGCCATTGGAAGTTCTAGGGAAAGTCATTAGTGGTCACTTAAGAAGTTGCTCAAGGAGAACAGGAAAGGGACTTTAAAGTGATTACTAGAAAAACCCCTATAGAAGCCACTAGTTTGTGTTCTAGTGGCCATTATAGCAGTTTTAGTAGAATAGTAATATTTTTAGACTTTTGAAAAATCCACTAAGCCACTTTTAATTGTCATTTTAGGGTTTTAAGTTTTATTTTTCTCTTTATTTTATTCATTTTAATTATTTAGTTTCATTTTATTTTTTCACGAATACGTGGTCACTTTAGAGTTCTATTCACGAATAAATAAAATGGAACTGAATAAATAAAGTGAAAAATAAAACGTAGAACCCGAAAGTGACCACTCAAAATTTTCCCACTTTTTTATCCAGCTTGGATCAGAACGTCTAGGTGGACCTAGAAGAACTTAAAAACTTCAAAATTTACTTATTTCCTTGAGAAAAAAAATTCCTAAAAATCCTTAACAAAATAGGATTTTTCCTTATTTTTCTTTGTTCAGTTTGAACCATCCCCACTCAAAAAAAATGCCCAAAACTCACCCGTTTAAAGCTTTGAGCCTAAAGGAGGGACACTTCTGTTTTCCAAGTCCGAGCCATAGAAAACCCTGAAAAATTGCCTGTTAACGCAAAAAAAAAATGTGAAATTAAACGACAAAAAGACGAAAAATCCAAAAGTTCAAACGGCAGAAGGTTTAAATAAACTGAGTGGAGAGAAATAATCGAAAAAAATACCAAAATGAGTCATTTTTTGGAGAAATTTCGCAAGCCCCTTCTAAAAAAAAAATCTAGGTCTCGAGGCGAAAAAGTATTTTCAGTGTATTTAAGGTCATAAAGGGCTTCTGCGCCTTTAAAAAAAGGATTTCGAAGAAACTTTTTTTTGTTGATGGATTACATTTTCGTGTTCGATTTTGTACAGAAAAAGCTAACTACATATCAAAATCCATCATATTTCTTGAAAAAACGTCGAAATTTCGACAGGTCATGAGATTTGTCGTCAACAATCGCTGCCCTGATTAAAGGCACAGCCCGTGGGCGTGGCCTAAAAAATTTTTTGGAAAAATCTCCTTTTCTTAATTCTCAATGATTTTTTTTTTGATGAGATTCCAAGTTTAGAAAATATTTATTTGCGAAAAAAACGTCATGTAGAGCCACATGAAAAAAACTATTTTTTCAACTTTTTGAAATTTTCTTTGAAAAACTGGTGGAAAAAAACACCATGATCCTAAAAATAACCCAACTTTTCAAAAGTTACAAAAAAGTAAGAAAAGAGCAGGTAGTGGGCGGAGCCTAGAGGTCCTACCACGAAAGTTTCAAAATCAAGTTTTTTGGCTCTTTGGAGCAGAAAAATGAAAAAAAAGAGCGAGAACTTATTCAGAAACTGTTCAGGAAACCGTTCTTAGAACTGGTTTGAAAAAACCATTAGGCCTAAAATTTAGGCTTTTTTGCAAAAGTCACGAGATTCTGACTGGTTTTTTGATATTACCTGTATTTTTCTTAGGAACGTCATAGTGGTCCCTAGAGGGGACTCTGAAAAGCAATTAGCATTCAAAGTCTACACATAACTACGAAAAAGGTGGAAAAATACAAGAGGAAGACAAAAAAGGCCTAAAATTTTGGGAAATTTTTTATAATTTTCAAATCGGACCCTTTTACCTAACTAATGGAGCTTTTCGGAGTCTGCAAATTTGAAGAAAATACCAAAAAAACTGAGAAATCTGAGAAGTTCAAGAATGCTGCAAAAGTGGAAAAAACTGACTGGCCTAAAATTTTCGGATTTCTCAAATTTTGGAGAAAAAAACAGTCACGAGGTTTATCAAAAACTCATTTCTAGCCCACTTTTTGATAATATCAATCCAATTTACCTACAGAAACCCGGAAAAATTGACGAAAAAGTGAAAATGAACCGGTCCAAAAAAGGTTTGAAATACCGAAAACTGGTAGGCCTACAAATTCCGGAGTTTTGGACAAAGGACTTATCCGGATTCTTGATGCTAACAGGTGCCTTTGAAATATTGATTCACTTAGCTTCTCGGCAGCTTTTCTCTCATTATTAGCGAATTAGGGGGCAAACCAGTTTTTGGGGCTTTTTCGGGGAGCCCGATTTCGAAAATCAGCTTTTCCCCGGTCTTACCGATAGGAAACCTCGAATTGAATCATGAAATTAAGAGAAAAAAGAAAGATCAAGGAAAAAAAGGCTGGAATTTTGAGGAAGAAAGGCTGCGAGAGGGTAGGAGCTTGATACGTAGTCTGACTTCCCATTCGGAGGGACAACCTCCGCCTGTAGACACACTCTCTCGCCAGTCGTCTGTCATGAGTCTCCGGGAGGCTAACGGTCCATCGACGGTCGGCAGTCTCTGGGTCTCCTCGGTCGGCGAAGTGTCTCGTCGACCAACCAATGGGGCAGACCAGACCTGCGGTCGTCGACGTCGTTCCTCTCTCCTCTTCCTTCGACGCTCCCAAAATGCGGGGGCCAAACCAGCGACACACACTCACGCACGCAAAACAACCCGACCCATTCCATCGGCCAATGGCTTTTCCCTTTTCACCAAAAATGTCGTTGATTGGATCATTTTCACTGATAGCACTTCCTCCTTAACATTTCAAAAATCCAAAAACCTTAGAGGATTCATAAAAGCTACAGTTCTCCTTATAAGACTTCAAATGGAAAAAAATGAAGGTTAAGAAAAATCGAAAAGCCAAAAATACAAAAAAAAAGCCTCTTCTGAGCCTCTAATGACACCAAAAAAAGTCGTTAATTAGATTAATTTTTTTGAGAAATCTTTAAAAAAAACTTTTCATATATAAAAAATACCAGTCGGAACCTATAGCCAAAAGGCTTCAATAGGAAGTTTGAAAAAGAAGCTTTAGAAATAAAGAAAAAGTGATGTTTGAAAATTTGCCTCATTCTACAAAAAAAAAACAGTGAATAAACTGACTACATTCCAGTAAAAAAGAATGAGATGCGAAAAAATTACACACAAAAAAAGTAAAAAAAAGCTTCTTATAGAAATTCACACACTTAAGTCCTATTTCTAAGCAAGATCTTCTGAAATTTACAAAAAAAATGAGAAAAAAATGGGAAAAATTTAAAATTGAAGTAAACCATTCAAACTGCCATGCATTAAAAAAATCAAGAATTTTTCAAATTAATTCTTTTTCTTCAAAAAAATCATCAGCATCTTAATTCTGAAGAATAATCGGATGAAAATCGAAAACCGTTGGAAAAACCAAAATTCTAACTTGCAAAAGTATAAAAAAATCTCAGAAAAAAAATAGAGCGTTTGAGCTTTACTGGTAATAAATTATTGATTTCTCATTTAGAAAATTCAAAAAGCACCCTGCAAAAAGATGCTTCAATGTTTGAAAAAAATAGGTAAGACCAGACAAAAAAATTAATTCAGAAAAGGAATTTTTTTATTGATAGTATGTCCAAATTATCCTTCACTTACAGGCCTTTTTATTTGTTTCGATTGCATTTTCAAATTTTCTTCTAGATGCAAGTGATGACAAAAAAAAAGATTAAAAAAACCTTACGAATTCGCTCTTCCCAACATCCAACCTTCATTACTTGACCCACTGGGTGACTCTTTATCAGCTGACGAAAGAATCTTATCATTGCTCGAAACATATGTAGAAACCATGACGTGGAATGTGAGCGATAAAGAAACTCACCAATTGGAATACCGCAATAAAACATTTCATCGAATAAAATAAGAGAAATCTTTTGTTTCTGACAAAAATGTACCAAAAACCAAGAAAGCAAAAAAATAATGGCCGAGTAAAAACGAAATTTTTTTATAAAAGTTAACAGAAAAAAATATAAAATGGCCTCCGTGGTAATCAAGAAGTACAGAATAACTTTGAAAGCTGCACGATATTGATGAAAAATTAGGCAAAAAAACATGAAAAAAATTTAATTTTTAAAAAAATTAAAAAAACCGTGAGAGTTAACGTGGGATGTAGGCAGAATTGCGCTCACAGTAACCCGAAAAAAAAATAATTCCATTTCGCCTTTTTCAAAAAGTATTCCACGGAAACGTTATTATCGACATCAAAAAAAAGTGTAATGACCAAGGAAATATGAAAAAGAACGTGAAGTCACTTTTAGGAGGCTGTTATTTCATGTATTTCTAGTGGACCGAGGACCTCCTACTCAGAAGTCGGTTCCCAATAAAAAATGGCTGAAAATGACTACATGGCAAACATTCGGTTCAACGATGGTAAACGGTGAGAATTTTCGAGAAACAAAGGAAAAACAATGGAATTTGAAAGATTTGGCGATTGGGTCATAATGAAGAAATTAGACGAAGGTGGCTTTGGACAAGTTTACATGGTGAGAAAAATGGATAAAGTATAAATAAAAAAATGATTCTTCAGGTGCAAAACTCGAAAAACGAAACAACGAGGTGCACTGAAAGCCGAGTCCAATGAGATCGAAGGTGGCTCTGCAATCAAACTCGAGGTTTTTTTGAGAAAAAAATCTTGAGGTTATACTTGGCAAAAAAATCATTCATTTCTTAAGATTAGATTAATATTTCTCCTTCAGAGATAAAAATCTCTTTTTTTCAAAAACTGTTCAAAAAGAAGAACTAAACCTTCTTGAAACGTTTTTGGAAATCAGGAAAAATAGTTTTTGTTGATTAAGAAACTGATACAGAACCACAACTCAATAAAATCTGGAACTTGTAACAAAAAAGGAGTATTTATACACTTTTTCGATAAAAAAAAATAGCTTTCTCTACTCAATCGAACTGATTTATCGTCCAGAACACGAGAAAGAATGGAATTTTTGAAACAAAACGTCTAAAAATTGTTTGAAACTCCAGAAATTTTCAGAAAAATGAGCTCAAGTTGGAATATTTTTTGCCCCTTTTCTCTCAATTTCTAAATTTTTCTGTAACAACCTTTTCTTTTTGATTAATAGAGTTCTTTTCTGTAACTTCAAAAATCCCGATCTATAGTCGATTCACAGCCTGCTTGAGATGAAAAGGGGCGTGGCCTATATGCGTTCTCTTTTTGATCGTGTCAGGACCTTTTTTTGAAGCTAGCCTGTGTACCACAACCTGGAATTTCACCCAAAGACATTCCGCTGTGCCGCTGTGCGCCTTTGCGAACCTTAGTCGCGCTTTTATTTATTTATTTCTTTTATTAAGGTACTCTACTTTCATGTGCTCCCACAACAATAACAATCAATTGAAAGCGTGACCTAGATTCGAAAAACGCTTCGCGAACGCACGCAGAGGAACAGCGGAATGTCGTTCGGTGAAATTTCAAGTCGTGGCACACAGACTATATACGCTTCTCATAACTTTGTGAACCAAAACGACTCAAATTTTCAAGATAATGATCCTTCGAGACCTGAACAAGCACGGGTCGAAGCCGCACGTTCCCGAGTACCATCATGCGGCCAAGCGCGGCAAGTACAGCTACATGATCATGACGCTGCTCGGCGACAACCTCAAGCATCTCAAGAACAACAACGCGACCGTCAAGGAGCGGTTCACGCGTGGCACCTGGAGTCGTCTCGGGATTCAATGTCTCTACAGGTTGATCGGGCTTGAAAATTAAAAGATCTCAAAAGAGCTAAGCCCAAAAAATAGCCACAAAAAATCACCTTATTTAGAAATGGGGCTATCTTGAAAAAAACTGAGCCGTGGACAAAAATCGCAAAAAAATGGTCTCCGTTCAAAGATTTCTTCACAGAAACTCGCAGGCCATTTTTCGTGTTATTTTTGAGCGGCTATTTTTTCAATTTTTGAAAAAAGTTTGTCCTTTGTGTATAACAGAGGCACTAGAGTAGCTATTTTCAAGGCTTTTTCGTTTTTCAGCTGACTTTTTTCGCAAATATTCCGTCTTCAAAAACATTGAAGCCATTATTTTCACTTCCAATCACTATAGCAGCTGTTTTTTCCAAGATTTTTCATCCCTAAGATCACAAAATTTTCTTGTTTCCTGATTAATTTGGTCCAAAGCTCATTTTTGCGCGGCCAACTTCTTATAAACTAAATGGATTCTTTTTTTTCGACAAAATTCTCAATTTATTTTTTGTCCCGGGTTCTTCGAGATGTGCTTTTTCGAATAGAGACAAGTTTTTCACGGATTTTTCGAGATATCTGAAGGAATTTCGATAAAAGAGCTCAAAAATCGAGGTTTCAACCTGAAAATCGACATTTTCGTCTCAAAATCGTCTCGAAAAAAGGATTAGGATTCGCGAGATCGATGAATTTTGAGAAAACCCTTTTCAGTTGAAAAAAATCCCGCGAAATTCAAAATAGCCATCAGAGAGTGAAAAATATAACTATAACTGTTTTTCAGAAATTCAGATTAAAAAAAAAATTTTCAACGTGGCATGTGCGAGAGCGCCGAGGTGCATGCACACAACACATCACACTTTACGGAAAAAATATGAGGCGTCGCCAAAAAAAAACGCCGTGCAGTGCTTTTGGTTCTTAATACGGCGGTTAAATTAGTCTATACTTTTTCTTGAAATCCTCACAACCTTTTATTTCAAATCCGAAAAATTCAGCGTCAAGTACGTGCACGACTGCGGCTACATTCACCGAGATATCAAGGTTGATTTTTTTTTTTTCTCTTTGGAAAAATGCCAAGTCACACTTGCAGCCGAACAACTTTGTGATGGGAGCGAGTGACGATCCGTCCCGATGCCGAATGGTTCACATTCTCGACTTTGGCCTAGCCAGAGCCTACGCCTTCCTTCGCGACGATAAATGGATCGCTCGTCGGGCCCGCGGCACCTCCGAATTCCGCGGCACACAGAAATACTGCTCTGCAAACGTTCACCTTCGCAAGGAGCAGGTCTGTTTTCGGACATTTTGAACATTTTTCGCGGTTGGGAAGTGTTTGAAATCCGTCCAGGTTCTGGGAAAGTTTTTAGTGGCCACTATAGGGTTTCCACGTTTTAGTGGCCACTATAGTAGTCAAATTACTGGCCACTTAAGGGGTTAGAGATGAGTGGCCACTATAGAGGTCTAAGTGCTACTACTAGACCACTAAAATTTTTAGTGGCCACTTGAGGGGTCAATGGATCAACATAACTGGTCAAAATTATCAGAGTTACTGGAAGGAATACTGGATGAAAAACTACTAAAGTGGCCACTAAATAGAGAATTTCTACAGTGGCCACTAAAACGGAAAATTGTGGCCACTGTAAAGGTGAGTTTAGTGGCCACTTTAGTGTCCTCACCGATTAGTCCTTGTCCAGCCTCTATAGTGGCCACTAAAAATGTTCCCAGTTACTCCTCTATGTATCAGAACTGAAGATCGTCCTAGTTTACCCGAAAAGACGTCTCAAAGTCAAAGAGGACACCAAAAACAGCAAAATTTAATCATTTTGAGACTTTGAGACGTCTTGTCTCTAGATTTTCCGGTCATGACACACAGGATCTTCACATGGTTTAGCTCCTTCCAGGCCGGCCTTCTCCGAGCTGTATAATGTGACGTCATGGGAGCAGTAGAAATTTAACCTCTAAGAGTGTGAATAACAGGGCATATTAAAGGCGCAAGCGACCGCTTTGCGATAGGTCATTGAGACGAATCGAATTCGCACATTATAGACGCATTTTTCTGCACAAAAGCGCCGCAGTGCATGCACACGACACATGACATTTTACGGAGAACTGGGCGGAGCGTCGTTGAAAAAACGCCTGTAGTCATGCGCCTTTAATATATTCGGGCCAAATGAAAGGAGGTAGGGCACGCGCATTGAAGGGAAGCTTTTTAAAAGGGTTCTGTAGGATGTTAATAATCATGATAAGCTAGCGCAGAATGGACTATACCAAAAAAAAAAGTCAGGAAAATCTCTGATTTTGAATTTTTGAAACATTTTCGACTCTTTTAACCTCAGGGAAGGCACGACGATCTGTGGTCCCTGCTCTACGTCCTCACCGAGTTCAACGGCGGACTTCCGTGGCAAAACGAGCGCGAGAAAACCAAAGTCGAGGCGATGAAACTCGCCATGTCCGACACCACCGTCTTTTTGAACATGCCAGGTCATTTTCTCTGAAATCGAGGGAATTATGAACATAGAAAATTTTTTTAACATATCGGCTAGACCTTAAAAAATATAAAAATAGTTCAAATCCGATGAAAAAGGCAAGTTTCAAAGGAAAATCAATCTCAAAGTATGATCTACTGGGAAAATTTTTAATGGCCACTATAGAGGCTCGCCAAGGACTACTTGGAGAGGACACTAAAGTGACCACTATTTTCCGTTTTAGTGGCCACTTCAGTAGTTTTTCATCCAGTATTCCTTCCAGTAACTCTGATAATTTTGAAACAAACCGATTGGACCAGCTATGATGATCCATTGACCCCTAAAGTGACCACTAAAGTTTTTAGGGGTTCAGTAGTAGCACTCAGAGCTCTATAGTGGCCACTAGTTTTTAACCCCTTAAGTGGTCACTAATTTGACTACTATAGTGGCCACTAAAAATTTTCCCAGTAGGTGCTTATTTGATAAGAACCCATTTTTGAAGAATGAACTATTTTCAAAATTTCTCAACTTTATCTGAACCTTTTCCTTGCTTCTAGTTATCCCTGATAAAAAAAAATCTTTCAGCATCTCTTCAGCCAGTTTACCCCCATTTGAGGTCCCTCGACTGTTACCAGAAGCCAGATTACTCGTAAATTTCCTCTATCTTTTGATTTTGAATATCTTATTTTGTTTGAAGTTTGTTATACAACGGGCTTGTGACAATGATGAAGCAGGAAAAAGTCCAGCCATTGTCCAAATACGACTGGGAGACGGACGAACAGGAACATGCAGCGGTGAGTTTGAGAAGAAGGTCTCGGAAATCTCTAGTGGCCTTTTAAGTGATCCCTTGAATATTTAACAGTTTAGATGACTTTTGGTTGATCTACAAAAGCTAAAAGTACACTTTCCACACTTTTAGCGCTTTCCCAGAAGATTTAAAGAAGAGACAAAGAAATAATTTTAAAAAATTTAAAGATCCTCAAGCGAAGTGGCAGCTTCTGAATATTCCAAGTGGTCACTTTAGGGATTCATAACTGAAAAAGCAGTGATCTCTGAGTGGCCCCTAAAGGTCAATCAAGTTACCCACCTGAAAGTGGTTCTTAAAAAAACGAAAAATCTCTTAAGTGTTCACTTAAACTTTCTGAGCTGACTTATATACTCGGACCCAGGTGAGGACAAAGTCTAGTGGTCACTTTAGTAGCGTCAGAACTTTTAAGTGATCCCTAGAAACGCTCAGAAACGCCCGGAGTCGTCGTCCGTTACCGAAGTCCGAGTAATTTTAATGAACTGGGAAAATTTTAGTGGCCACTCCAGAGGCTCGCCAAGGACACTAAAGTGGCCACTAAAACCACCTCTGTAGTGGTCACTATTCTCCGTTTAGTGGCCACTATAGAGGTTCTCTATTTAGTGATCACTCCAGTAGTTTTTCATCCAGTATTCATTCCAGTAACTCTGATAATTAAAAAAACAGATTGGACCGGTTATGTTGATCCATTGACCTCTAAAGTGACCACACGAAATAAATTTTAATGGTCTGATAGTAGCACTTAGACCTCTATAGTGACCACTAATTTTTTAACCCCTTGAGTGACCACTAATTTGACTACTATAGCGGCCACTAAAACGTCAAAACCCTATAGAGGCCACTAAAAATTTTCCCAGAAAAGTGTTTTTTTTTTCTAGAGAAAATACGCAAAAGAGCATGGACCGTCCGCATGGGAGAATTCCGAAGCCTATTTCAAGGTAAAAATTTCACTTTCTAGTTTTTTTTTTATTAATTGGTATCAAATCCCAAAATTTCCGGTCAGAGTATTTAATTTTTTTCCAATTTTCAGTCGGACCCCGTTGGAATCAACGGACCTCCGACGTCAAATGCGCCCAATTTCAGTCAAATTCAAGCGCCGAAAACGGTTTGAAAAAAACTATTGGAACCAGAAAAAAACTCAATTTTTCAGCTCAAAGTTGATTCAGTGATCAACCGGGCTTCGGATCACAAGAAATAAACATTTGCTCAGAAACTGGTCTGCATTGAATGAACTTTTTCGAATCTCAAGCACTTTGATGAGAAATTCGATGATTAAAACTGACCAAGAAAAATGAAAGACTAAAAAAATCTTAAAAACCATAGAAAAAAATTAACCAATTTTTCAAAAAAATTTATAGCTACTCCCAAAAAAAGCTATGAAAACGTCTTTCAAAAAGCATCTCATTGGACTTTCAGGTTTTTTTGAGTAAGTTTTAGAAAAACCTCAAAAAAATCAAAATTTATCGAGTCTTCGAAAAAAACGAATGGAAGTCCAAAACTTCAGAAAAAGTGTTTTTGAAAAAAATTATTTTGTCAGGTTCATTAGGGACTATAGAAAAAAATCGACTAATTTTCACAATTTTTTAGAGATTTCCATTAAAAAAAAAGCTATGAGAACGCCTCTAAATGGTCTCTGGCCTTTTTTGAAAAACTTCATGGGAAACCCTATAAAAAAATCATATTTTTTTGAATTCTTGTAAAGACGAATGGAAGTAAAAAAACTTTTAAAAAAACAGAAAGGTTCGAAAAAAATTTTTTTGAAAAAAATTTGAAAAAAATTTGGAGAATATTTTTAATGGAAACAGATAATGGAAAGACTGACAAAATTTCCTCTTTTTAAACAAAAAGAACCTTGAAAAAGCCTTTTTACTTCTTTGAGAACAATTGGTCAGAAATAATAATCACATTTTTTTATAAATTCCTCAAAAAGAATCACTTGAAGAAGAAGCTCAAATTCGACATTTTTGCTCCCTGACGTTCCTCGATATCTTGTACTTGCCATTAACCTCAAATTGATAGAATAGCCAGTCGTAAACCGATATAATCACTAGTCTAAAATTGAGAGCCTCGACGATTACGAAGGCGCCATAGTTGTCGTCGTGGTACCAGTGCTCAAAAGTCGCCGTCAAACTGTCGAAATCCACGCTTTTCAGGCTAATCTGAAGAAAAAAGCTATAAATTCGTAGACTCCAGAGGTGTCCCTGTAGCGGCCACTTTGTTGATCCATATAGGGGCTCATTAAGCATTGCAAAAGTGGTCCCTATGGAGGTTTTAGTTAATGGCCTCTGTAGGGGGCATGCTCGTCGATAATTTCCATAAACTATGCGAAGAAAAACTTCCATGCAAAGAACTAAACATAGGAAAATTTTTAGTGGCCACTGAAGGGTTTTGACGTTTTAGTGTCCACTATAGTAGTCAAATTAGTGGCCACTTTAGTGTCCTCTCCAAGTAGTCCTTAGCGAACCTCTATAGTGACCACTAATTTGACTACTATAGTGGCCACTAAAACGTCAAAACCCTATAGTGACCACTAAACATTTTCCCAGAATAGCGCAAGCTTCAGGGGCAAGGGGTCAGACTTTAAGCCCCTATAGGGTTCCCTTTTTCGACCCCTCTCGGGCCTGTTTTTTCCCCTAACCCCTATAGGGGCCACTCTAAAATCCCTAAGAAAGGGCCTACCTCGCTGGTTTTGAAAGCAGAAAACTCGAAAAAGTAGATCCGTTCAACGTCGACTGGAAAAAAAAATCAAAATGAGCCGGAAAAATTTCATATTCTACTTGAACGCCTAGATGGAAGCCCGAAGGTTTATTCACGCCTTTTTTTTGCCAAATCATGATCAATAGAATTTTCACTTCAAAACAAGCCTTGATACCATTTCAGAAAAAATAATATTGATATTTTCCACCCGTCTTTCAAGCATGCAATAGGTGCATGAGAAAATTTTCATCTCATTTTCAGAGAAAGTTTTTGACGGTTTGCAAAAAAAAGAAAACTACTTTTTCGAACCCCCAAATTCAAAAAAATAGCAAAATCCAACTGTTTCCGACGTAAGTCATCTCGCAATACACAATCTGAGCGTCCTGCGTGTACAAAGCGGCCATTGCAGTATGGTCTCGCTTAACAGTAAAATCGTTCATTTTTTCGACTATTTTCGTCAACTCCTTTTCGTTCGCATTCTGAAAAAAACACAAAATTTGTTGAAAATTTAATGAAAATTACCAAAAGTGAACAAAAAAGCGTTAGAAACAAGATTTGAATCGACAATCGCTGTGGCAACATCTGATAGAAATGACAAGCGAAAACACGTTGAATAAAAATATATTTCATGTCTGAGTACTTTACAATTTTTCAAAGAAATGCACAATTTCTCAAAGCCCAAAATTTTCAACATATTCCACCATAACACCGAATTTGAATTTTGCAAATGCAAAGTGGAGCTTTAACGGAAGGGCTCCCGTTTGTCAAATTATTTGAAAAAAAACAAATATTTACTGGACTTTAAACGCGGCATGAAAATGATAAAAAAAGAAAACAAAGGCGGAAAAGAAAAAAAAAGTTATTTTTGGAAATGTTCGTTAAAAATTGAAGTAACAGCAAGTGCGTCGTTGGTTTGCAAAAACTCCGAGTACCGTACACCGATAATTATTTCTTTCACAAATCTCTTTTAAAATCGTGCAGTTTGAGCGCTATTCCGTGCAATATCGCAGAAAGATTTATTGACACCTTAATTCTTTCAAAATTTCAGGCTGAAAAGTGTACAGAAGACGAAATATTATCAAATCCCTCTATCGAAAAGACACAAAAAAGGAAGCAAACACGTATTTTCGGCCCAAATAGGCCCAAGCACCGGTTTCGAGAATAAAAGAAAAAAAAGCAACAATTTTCAGCACTTGAAGTTCTTTTCATGGAGCTGCCGGACCTGAAACTTTCTAAAGTCTTAAAAATGGGATTAAACCGAACCTGAGGTAAATTCTGATAAAAATTCTTATCGATATCCCGTTTTCTGGCACCCGTCGAAATTTTGTGCAGATATTCTCCCACACACATAACCGCACCAAAGTCAAAGTCCATCTTGACTTTGTTGGCTGAAAAAATGGCAAATTTTAGCTCATTTTTGGAGCGTGTTAGAAGGTATTTTAATATCTTTTGGACTTTGAACTTGGACACAGAAGGGGTTTTTATTATCTCCTAGAGCTTCGAAACATACAGAAAGGAGCGTGGTCAGCCAATCAGAGCTACAGTTCGATGGAGCGTACTTTCGAATCTTGCAGCTTCTTCTAACAGGATTTTCCTGCGTTCTTTTTCAAAATGAAAGAGAAAAGTCAAAATTTGGGATTCATTGTGCAGGAAGAAGCTGGAAAAATAAAAATTCTCAATTTTTCAAAAAGAGCTCATAGCCATTTTGGGCTTGAAAGTGGTACAATTTCGTTAGTTTTTCGCATGACTCCATAAAATCCGTATTTTTGAATTTTCTGCACAAGAAACTGCTCTACGGACTTTGAAAAAGGCCAAAAAAAGCATTTTTTTAAATTTTTTTCAAAATTGTATTAAAAAAATGACTTTTTTTGGACCAGTCCAATTAGAGGCCTGAAAAAAATGATCCGATTCCGTTGATTTTTTTCGAATTTCTCGAATGAAAAATTATATTTTTTTATAAAAAAAGAGTTCCGCGGAATCACTTTGGAGGCCGATTCTGAAAAAGCCCAAGGAATCTTTCAAACCCCCCTCTAGAGCTCATTTGAACAAGCCCCCTCCCATTTCAAAAAAAAAAAAATGAACACACAAGAAAACACAAAAACAAGCTTGTTTTCCAATCAAAAATCTCGCTTTTTATGCCTTCAAATGTACAAATTTCCTATTTCGGAGCATTTTTTTTTCGTTTCAGGACATCTCCAACCTTTTCAAAACTCCCTATTTACCTACAAGACGATTCGTTTTGGACAGTTGATTGAGGTACTCGACGCCCACGAGGCAAACTCCGTGCCGCCTTTTTTTGGAGAGGCACTTTTTCTCACTTTCATAGTTCCAATGGGTCCATCTGAAATCACAAAACTTCCTTCAGGGGTAGAAAAGTCAAAATAAACCGAACAAAATCGGGAAAAGCGCAGGGAATCTTTGGCTGGCCGCCAATTTTCAGCCATGTATTACTGTGCAGGGTGGATAGGAGCATTTCATCGCCACCGTAGTACTGAAAAATTCACAAATATTGAATGGAATCATTCAGGAGAGCTGTTGCTCCAAGATTCATTCAGAAAGAGAGAAAAATTGGACACTTTGTCGATTTCAAGGGGTCACTGAAGGGACGGTGAAAGATGATCTCTTAAGGGGTTTTTTAAAAAAGAGTTCTCAAATGTAAGCTCTGGCGAACTGCCTCGAAAAAACTTCAGAATTTGAAAAAAGGGGCGTGGCCAGTCAACCAGAGCTTTATTTTTACGCTGGAGCAAACTTACAGGATGCAAAAAGCTTTAGAATGAATATTTTCACTTTTGATTTCGAAATCTCTTAAGAGGTCTCTTGAAAAAGAACCCTTAAAAGTCAACTCTGGCGAACTGCCTCGAAAAAACTTCAGAATTTGAAAAAAGGGGCGTGGCCATCCAACCGGAGCCTTTTTTACGCTGGAGCAAACTTACAAGGTCTAAAAAGCTGTAGAATGAATATTTTTTTACTTTTTGATTCCAAAATGAACTTTAGTTGATCAAAAAAACAAATTTCTAGGTTGCAAAAATAGATTCAAAAATCATATGCTTCAAATTGGCTTTGAAAAAAAGCACTTCATTCCAAAAAAACTTTATGAAAATATTTTTTTCAAATCTCCCAAATTGTGTGAGTCATGATAAAACTAAGGCGCACTGAAAAAAATATAATTTTTTCTGCTTAAATGGTCCGTTCAAAACCTCTTTCAGCAATTTAAAGGAGCATCGGCGGTTTTTTTCAAAGGTCTCGAAACGAAGAGACGTTTCAAGTTTTTTTGGTCTTTCAAAGCTAGAAGACAGCCCAACAAGAAAAAAAGCAAAAAAAGGGGGAATTCAAAAAAAAAAAGATTATTCTATAAATGAGAAAAAAATCTCCACAAGCCCACCTTTTTTTGATATTGAAGACTTTCAAAAATCCGCTCCAAATTGAGATTCGCAGAAATATTCTCGACGAAAATCCTGGAGAGCAGCACCTCGTTCAAGCCTTTCGTGACGGTCAAATTTCTCGTTAGTTGCTCCTTGCTTTTATTTTTCTCTTGAAAAATTCAAACATTACTTATTCAGCTACAAAAATACCATTTTTCCATAGTTTGAGAAAGTGCGGACTCCAGTTATTTTTTGAATCGAAACGATTATTTTGAGCATTATTTTTGCCGACTCCAGAGGCGTCTCCCAAGATTTTGCTGATTTCGGAGATTTCTTCAGGGGTGTAGAGAAGAAGGTCGTCGTTCTGAAATTGTGAAACAAGTCTCCTTTAGTGACCACTTTACGGCTAAAAAATACAAAAAAGCTTCAAATTTATAACGAATTATCCTACGCATATTTGTGCGAGAGCCGGGCCTTAGCAGGGCCTGAAGCAACAACGACCGGGCCGTCCCGAAAAGCACAAACTCTTTCTTAGTAAATTATGAGCCCGCGCAGGCTTTTTTTGAGCCCGGACCGGCCCATTGAGGGGAGGGGGGATGGGGTTAGAAAAACCAAAAAAAAAAGGTCCGAAGTAATTTTCTAAGACCGACCCGGCCGGGCCTTAACAGGGCCTTAATTGTGCGTAAAAAGATTAAATTTTTTTCCCATTGGGGGGTAGAAAAAAATCTCTTCCTGATGCTTATCTTTCTACTCTCCTTCAATAAAAACCAAGGAAACCTGTAGAAAGAAGACGTGGGACCACTGTTTTTTCTCTCGCAACCTTTCCAAGCAACCAAAATGGGCGATATCCTGATAGTGGCCAGCTGAGTCGAACTCGTAGGTCTGTAGGAAGCAAAAAAATAATAACTTTTACTGATTTTTCTACCTTGTTTAGAAGATAGATGTTCGGGAAACATTGCTCAAGGCGTCGAATTTTCTTCGAGAATTTGGAGGTCGCATTTTTCGAGAGGGCGAAGCAGTAGCTATTGTCCGGATGGTAGGAAAACGAGAGAAAAGCTTCTTGAAGTGCGTAGGACTGGAAAACGGGCTATATTCGGGAGATTTCTCCTTCAAAACCTCGTAAACATTGCGGGCGATAGCGAAGGAACGAATTTTTGGATAGGGATTGTTTCCCATGACACGGCGACGGATCGACGCACAGTCCATGGCGACCTCGACATCCTAATCAACATTTCGTACTTTTTTGGCTTTCCCGTTGCTCACCTTTTCCAGGCGAATTCTACCATTTTTCGCATATTTTTCCATAACTCCGTTGTCATTATCGATAAAGGCATTGCAGTTGTAGGTGAGCACTCTTAAGGAGAAAAATTTGGATACAGCTCTACATCTTCATTTTTTTTTTAAATGAGTTTGAGGGGGTCTCACCTCTGAGCCCCTGAAGCTCCAGTGGTCACTATAAGGGTTTTTTTTAAATTTTGGTTCCGATTTGGGTGCTACGACAAGAGCGAGTTTTCCGTTTGCGAGGAGTACTGTATGTGGATATGCGCATTGCGTGCATACACTTTGCGTTTTTACACTTTCGTTGCGTGGCGTCACCACGTCGGACCACTCCGGGTTTTTTGTTTCCGATTTTTTTTAATCGAATGTTTTTCATTTTTTTTTTCTTTGATACTGTTTCTTATTGTGCAAATATCATCGTGAAAAATGCATATCTTGAAAAAAAGCAGGAAAATATTCGAAAAAAAAAACTTGGAAGTAAAAAAGCCCGGGGATGTCCGACCCGGTGACGTTACGCAACGAAAATGTAAACATTCAAAGTGTATGCACGCAATGCCATTTCCGCATACAGTACTCCTCACAAATGGAAAACTCGGTCTTCACGGCGTTTTGTTAGTGGAAGAAAATGCAAAACCAAAAAAAATTAGGGGGGGGGCGTGGTCCACGTCCGCCGTTCCCATGTGAAGTCATAGGAAAAACGCGTAAAAACAGGAAGTTCAAAAGGCGCATCAATGGGTCTTGAGAGTCTATTTCTCCTTTGAAACGCGAATTTTCTGTTTCTTTTTTTTTTTTAACACACATGTCGTGTTGAAATTAATCCCAGAAACTGAGATATTATTTTGAACTTCGCGAAAATTGAGCGTTGAACGCAGCGGGTGCCAGACCGCCGCAGTGTATGCACAAGACACACTACACTTTACGGAAAAAATGAGGGCAGGGCGTCGAAAAAAAAAACGCCTCGTCGTAGCACCCAGATTTGAAAATCAAAAAGACAAATCGAATTCATCCTATGTTGATGTTAACATTGAGTTTTTCGCATGGAAATGCTTCTTCATAACATTTAACGACTATCATTTCCCATATGGGGGCCACTAACTAAACCTCTATAGGGAATACTTTTGAAAGCCTTAGTGGACCCTATAGAAAAATTAAAGTGGTCCATAAAGAAAAGCCCTCAGGGCACGTAAGATTGCCCATATAGGGACCACTCTGGAGTTTTTTTTTTTCATTCACCGCTCACTTCCCAGGCGAATCGAGAAGGTACCATAATGTGTCCACAAAGGTACCTCTTAAAATGTGTCGTGAAGGCCTCATAATGTATCCTTCTTGAGACCTCCGGCATACCTTTTAGCTATATCTGAGTCATCTCGGAGGTACTTTAGAGTCTCTCAAGCCCCTCTCATTTTGCTCAAAGTGCTCAGAGGTATCCTCGAGGTACCATCGATAGACTTCGGAGCCTGCGGTATACCTCAGAGAGTCTCGCGATACCCTTTCTCGATTCGCCTATGTTGACGGATAACTTCCGAGAAACCATAAAATTTTTTAACAGTTTTTCTTATCACGACTTTGGCATAACATGAACATTTTTTCTCTCTACAATGAAAACTCGACACAAAAAAAATGTCCCACTTTGGTAGTTTATAAGCCCGCCAGAGCTCTTCAATATGACTCCCAATCGGCCGAATATCTTCACTTAGAGCAATCAAATCAATCTGAACCACAATCAACTTTGAAAAATAACAAAAAAAACCTTATCGAATCCGTAATCAAAGGAAACATCAGATATCGAGACGAAAATCACGAGAAGCGTCAGAACGACAATGGTCAAAAATAAAAAGGCTCTTCCGACGTTGGCTCTCGCACAGCTTTTCCTATTTTCCACTGCCTCGAGGTCATTTTCCACGGGTAGAATTCGATATTTATATTCGGGCATATTCTAAAAGAGGAAAAGTTTATGGTGAGGTTTGAAAAGTACTCTCTGATAAAGTCTTTCTTCCCATTTGCAGATAATAAATGTTCGAAGTTACGTTTTCCTAATCTTTGCGTGATTCACGCTCACCTTTATCAAAAACTTATTTTTGCTTTTTGTGACCAGTAATGTGCCTAAACTTTGAACTTCTCATCCTTTCATAGCTTGGGTGAAGCCAAGGATTTTTTGATTCCAATATAAGGAATCTCAAAAACTTCCCCTACATGTATGGATTTAGTTTACTGCAGAGGATATGCTGAAATTTGACTTTTTAGAAAATCGCAGGTCATAAAGGTATTTCAAAGTGGTTATTCGAGCATAACTTTTCTGAAAGTGGCTCAAATGACTTTAAACTTTGCACAGCTCTCAAATAGCTATGCAGTAATTCATTGCCGGGAGCAGAACTCATTTGCTTGAGTCAGATCGGACTTGAGAGCAAAAAACCAAAAATCGTGAAAACGGAAAGATTCGAAAAATCATATTTTCAAAGAAACGTCGATTTTTAATGAAAAACCTTTTTTCCTTGTAAAAAAATGTTCCCAAAAAATGTATTTGTTGAGAAAAAATTGTTTGAAAACGCCAACTTTTCCTAGTTGATCTTTAAGGAAGGAAGACAACAAAATTGCGAATTTATAACTAAATAATCAGCAAAAAAGAGACAGAGCATGAGAAAATGAGAGCTTTCTCTCCAGTTTAACATTTCTTTATTGAAGTTCAAAACCTAATTTTCTCTAATTTCTCTCGTGTGTAGGTGCTATTTTCATGGTTCTATGAACTCAAGAGAAAAGAGAGCGCAGAAAGGTCAGACTGTTGAAAGTGTGTACTGACAGAAGGTTTTCTTAAACCCAAGAGTTTTTTTTTTCTTTAATCCTTCTACGGAGATGAATTGATAGAAAAAAAAATTAATTTTTCTGCCGACTCAAAAAAACGGAAGCTTTATCATGAAAATATTGTAAGGAGTCACTTTGATTTACAGTCTGCTTATCGAAAAATTCTGGCTTGGGCGTTTTCCTTCCAAAGTTTGATATGGAACTTATTCGACAATTTATGGCATCAGGAAACTTTTTTACTGCAATATCTCAGAAAACGCTCATTTTTGGAGAACGAATCAAACCAAGATAGTTCACGACAGAGCTGTCCAAAAATCCAAGTTACCCCTGTAGAACAGTTTAAAAAGTCCTGTAGGGTTCAGAACCTCAGCATCTATGAAAAAAACTCTCTACAACTGTTTCAAGTTATTAATAACCCGAAAAGACCTTTTTTTCCTACTTTAATCAAAGGAAAATTCCACAGCGCATCCAATAAAAAAAAGTACCATCGCTTACAAAAAAATTTATCAAAAATTTTATGAATCAAAAATTGCATTGCGAAAAAAAGACATATCGATTTAATTTTCAAGGCTTTTTTGAACTCCGAAACGTCATTTCTCAGGAAAGGTTGGGTTCTCCAAAATCCATAGATTTTTGTCGAATTTTCAAAACCTTCGATCAAAAAAATCAATACTACCTTCCTTTTCAGAGACCAGCGTTCTCAAACTTTCATTTCCTTCCTTTTTTCAAAAATTGTTACCTTTTTTTGATATAAATTTTTTTCAAGTAGATAAAAAGATCTCAAAAACCTGGTACTACAGAGAGATTTTTTTCGCCGCACTTTTTATTTATTTTTCTAAAAAAATCTAGAGTCCTTTTTTTCTCCATTTTATATCTAAAAAAATCTCCAAAAAAATCTCCATCTGAGAAAAATTAAAATTTCTGCCGCCAGAGATTATTTCAAAATTTTCTCCAGTTACAGTCTCACTCGGCCAAGTAGCCACTAAAGCTTACTCTCCTCACGTTTCTCAATTTAAAAAAAGCAAGATTTTTCTGAATAATATACATAATCTCAAGCTTGTGGGAAATTTTTAGTGGCCACTATAGGGGCTCCTTGGAGAGGACACTAAAGTGGCCACTAAACCCGCCTCTATAGGGGTCACCATTTTCCGTTTTAGTGACCACTATAGGGCTCTATTTAGTGGCCACTTCAGTAGTTCTTCATCCAGTATTCCTTCCAGTAACTCTGATAATTTTAAAACAAACATATTGGACCAGTTATGTTGATCCATTGACCCCTAAAGTGGCCACTAAAATTATTTGTGGTCTAGCACTTAGACCTCTATAGGGTCCATTAATTGTCAACCCCTTAAGTGGCCACTAATTTGACGTCTATAGTGGCCACCAAACCGTCAAAACCCTATAGTGGCCACTAAAAGTTTTCCCAGTTTTTCCAGTACATCTGATTGGAAGTTTCATCAATTTTTCGCAGTTGACTAACATTTTGAAAGAGCGGGACCACGGAATGATTAGTCAATTCGATTCAAAGTCAAGTTCGCTTATCGAAATTGTTTTTGTGGTCTTCTCGGGCGTTGGCTTCGCACCGCCCTCTTTCAGTGTTTGCTCAAAACGATAATTTCTGGCATCAAGTTTGAGGCAAACTTTGTTCTCTATCTCAAACATCAAACTTCAAGTAAGAAATGAAAAAAAAAGACGATATTATTTGAAATAGTTGACGTGAATAGTGAAAATAGTGAAAAGAAAAATTAAAATTTTCTTTTTTTCAGAAGATTATTTAAAGATTTTCAAAGACCCTCAGATTGGTGTATGCACAACTCCCGTTCACGAATATTTGCGGACCCGAAATTTCTTCCTCCCATTGTGTTAACATGTAAGGGTCAACAAACATCCAAAAAACCCTCGAAGAAAAAAAAAGATGTAAGGAAAATGAAATTATTATCAAAACTATTTGAATTTAAATTTCATATCCGACAAAATGAATAATCTTGGTGAGATCATTCAGATGAAATGACTGCAGAAAATCTACAGTAAGAAATCTTATTTATTCAATTAGATTCTTTTAAAGTTCTAAATTCAAACTTTCACGCTCCACGTCGAATCAGAATAAAAAGGACAATATTTCTAACTTTCATACCACCTTTATTACATGTCGATAATCAGTGTTTAATGGCCTTTTTTGATAAATTTTGATCTTTTCCTATGAAAACGGGGATATGGGGGACACGTAGAGGTTTCAAAAAGGTGCATTTTTGAAGTGAAGCAGAACAAGTTTCAAAAGCAGAAACACAAGGGAACGAGAAGGAAAATCTGAGAAATGGAAAAAATTGAAAAATAAGCCCATAACTTCTTGGTTGCCCCTCAACGGGATTTTTTCAAACTTTTTTCCCTCAAGTTCTCAAAACTTAAGGCTTAGGAAAAAATCTTTATTGGGAATGTTTTCTATTTCTTTGAGCCTAGAGTTCTCTACAAACAAAAAATGTTGGCAACATTTTTAGTGGCCACTTTAGGGTTTCTACGTTTTAGTGACCGCTATAGTAGTCAAATTAGCGGCCACTTAAGGGGTTAACAATTAGTGGCCACTATAGAGGTCTAAGAGCTACTACTAGACCACTAAAAATTTTAGTGGCCACTTTAGGGTTTCATGAATCATCATAACTGGTGCAATCTGTTTGTTTTAAAACTATCAGAGTTACTGGAAGGAATACTGGATGAAAAACTACTGAAGTGGCCACTAAATGAAGAACCTCTTTAGTGGCCCCTAAAACGGAAAATAGTGGCCCCTCTAGTGTCCTCATCGAATAATTCCTGGCGAGCCTCTATAGTGGCCACTAAAAATTTTCCCAGTGAAATAAAAAATCCCATTTCTATGGAAATTTTTGAAAAAGCAGGTTTCTTCAGCGTGGGCCAAGCTCAAAAAGAAAAAAAAAAGTCATCTCGCGTACAAAAGCCTTTATCGTGAAAAATGTCCAAACTTCTCATAGCAGAATACTTTTGGCGATCATCCCGGTGACTTTGTAGGGGTCGCAGTTGGACGAAGGCCGGCGGTCTTCCAGGTAGCCCTAAAATATCGTAATCAAAGGTGAAAACGGCAAAAAAGGGGATCTCTTCCAAAGAATTTGATTTTTTTTCAAAGTTTATCGGACTATTTTCAGATAGGCTACCGTTCTAATAAAGTTAAAGATGGGATCAAAACTCATAAATTTCCTGGGAAGGTGAGAAAATTTTTTTATGCTGACTTTTTACTTCATTACAACCCTTTGTGTATAATTTTTTCTGCCTCTTTTCTGCCTTTCATGCTCATTTTTCAAACGTTTCTGTAAAGGGACACATTAGCGCCCTTTCTTCATTTTGCTACACTTTTCTAGCCTTTCGGACTCTTTTTTTTTAGAAAAAAAGGCAGCCATATGAACAGTTATTAATGAGATAGTGTTCCTGTCAAGATGAATAACCCAAAAATTTAATGAAATTAAAAAATACAAGAAATTGTGTACAGTTCTACCATAAGATATTTATAAAAAAACGTCCTTTTGACCAAATTTCTTTCTTTTATGTCGTTCAACCTTCATGAAAACTTCTGCCATTTCTGAAAATCTGGTAAAATTCCAGAAAAAAGGCAGCCGTATAGATTTCCAAAGAGATTGAGCCCCATATGATGAGCAAAATAATTTTTTCCGGCGGTTTCCATAAAAACGCCCGCTTCACCTTTCCCTCCATGGCGACCTGCCGCGGGATTCGGATTGAGCAGCCGCGGTTGGCGATGCCCCAGGAGAACTTGTCAGCCGAGCTGGTTTCGTGGCGGCCAGTCAGACGCTTCAAGTTGTCCTGACCTCCGTGAGGGTCATACACCTGTAAGCGCATCCTGATATCGTGTAAAGTCTTCATGGGAAGCTTCTCCGGGCTCCAGCTACTCCATTTTGAGCTCGTCAAGGCGCGGTTGGGTGGACTACGCTCAGAAGAATGAGACGAGACCTTCTTTCAACTTGATCAACTACACGTTTGGAGCTCAAGTTCGCGAAAGGCGGTCGTTTTTCTTTTCTTCCCTCACAGACGCTGCGGGTTTATTTTTAAAAGCCCCCCGAATCCGCACGAACAACCCCGTTTTTTTGGGAAGGGGGTGCAAGTTTGAAGTGAAAAAGCAACCCCCCTCATTTTATTCAACCCTCACCAAAAGGTCTTTGATTCAACCAACAGGCGCAACTGGATGAACTACGCGTACAAGAACAAGACAAAGGACCGGAAGAAAAAAATTTAGGGGGAAGAGGGTTGCAAGTTTGAAACGAAGAATAGCCCCCCCTTGGTTCCAAAAGGTCCATTTTTTCACAAAATATTCACCTTCATCGACTCCAAGTGCGTTTTGGCGAGCCCAGTCATGGCCTGAAAAACATTTTCTTGTTTTAAGTCGACAAGAACCGGAAAATTACAGCTTCAATGGCCGTCAAGCCGCCGGGAGCACGCATTTCGGCCGTTGAGAAATTGGTATGACATCCGGCGCCGTTCCAGTCTCCCATAGTGACCTTCAAAAAGAAAACTTCCACAAAAGTTTCAAAATTATTGGTCAAACGTTGGGCTTTGGGTCAAACGAAACGCAGACGCCAAACTGCTCGGCGACTCTGGAAAAAAAAATTGTCAGGTTCTTCTGAAAATTGGCTAGGACACTCCTTGATGATCTAAAAGGGATTTCTGAAAGTTTCAACCTGCACAAGTTCCTAATTTTCGAGAAATGAATGGCCTATTATGACGGATTTTGAGGATTTTCTCTACTTTTGAGGTCTTTTTTCTCAAAAACTAGAATATTTACCAGGTTGAAATTTTCAAAACCTTCTTTTGGTACATCAAGGAGCATCCTGGCCAATTTTCAGGAAATTCCCGACCCAACGACCTTCCTTGTTAGCAATGTTACAAAAATTTGTCTCCAAGTTACTACTTGAGGGTTTATTTCAAACTGCGTAAATTCACAAATTGGAAGTTTAAAATAAATCTTCAGGTTAGAAAATTTCTCGATTTTCAAACTTTTTTGATAATTACCGCACTTGTAATGGCTCAACAAAAGCTGGATTTTGAATAATTTTTTTGGCTTTACTTGACCATTAAAAAATCCAGGCAAGGGGCATATTACAGTATAACACCCCCTCCCCCACGTTGGGTATCGCTCCACCCCTCGCGACCCATTTGAAAAAAAACGACCCCACACAACTATCCAATATAGCCCCCCTCACAGCAAATGTAGGTTAAAGTCAAACATGTTGGTATGGTAACGTCGGATTGTTCCTGAAATGAGGGGGCCATTCTAAAATGGGAGGGGGTCATTCTAAAATGAGAGGGGCTTGTTCGGATGAGCTTAGGGGGTTGAGTAGGAAAAAAATTCGCCTACCACACTGCTTTCGTTCCCCCCCTCCGGTTTTCTAACAAGCCCCCCAAGCCAAGTTCCGATCTCGGGGGGAAAAATAAAAACGCGGGAGGCGAATCTGTATTCTAGAAAGCGATGATCAAATCCATTACTTGTACTAAAAAGCGGCTTCAGGACATCTAAACGTCTGAAAATAAAACCATACCTATGAAGAATGTAGCGAGCCAGCCAAAGTTGATCACCCATGTCGATGCCCTCGCAGGTGCCGATTTGGAACTCCCACTGTCCAGGGGTCACTTCTAAACCCGAGCTACTTGAAAAAATGTGAAGCCGCACCAGCATTGGTTCCGAAAATGTTGATGCCAGCATGGAGGCAGGCTCTGTAGTGGGTCTCGACGACTTCGCGACCAAAGGCGCGGTCGGCGCCGACGCTACAGTAGTACTTGCCCTGGGGCGCCGGGTAGCCGTGTTTGGGCCAGCCGAGCGGATGTCCGTCGCGGTCCACAATCAGGTACTCCTGTTCCATGCCGAACCAGGGGCGGTGCTGCCGGATTTGGTGCATTATTTCGGCGCACTCTTGCCGGTGGTTCGTTTCTTTAAAAGGTGATAGATATTTGCTGACTTGAGAATATTCTCACAGGATTTTAGGAAGAATAGAATAAATTTTAGCAGCTACAGATTAGTCCCTATAGGGGCAACTTGAGAGACTCTTAAAGGTTCTTTTCTAGGAACCAATTTACCTCGCCACATAAAAGTCACTGAAGCTTGCAAAAGCGGCCACTATAGGGGACATTCTAGTCGATTATTATTATAAACTATATGAGATTGAGCATTTAAAAAAATTTTTAATAAATTTGTCTCTTTTTTTAAAGGAAAAAAACCTCAGTAGAGGATGATGTGAACTTAAACCCCTACAGGAACCGCCTAACTTTAACCCCTGTAAAGGCAGTTTTTTGCCCTAAAACCCTATAGAAACCACTCTGGCGTTCCTAAGAAACCCAGTCTTACCAGTTGGCCGCATATTATGATCGAGGGTGTCACAGAGAACCAGACGACTGATTCCACCAAGGAACGGGTCCGGACATGTCGCCACAGGCTGAAAATATAGAACTCCTTTACCTGCGAGTGAAAGAAGATATGTAGAAGCAAATTAAGCGGAAAAAAATCATGCAGAAATTCCTGAGAAACAGCTTGTGAATAGTGAAACTTTATTGATATTCAATTGAGGTAAAGATTTATAAAATGAACAAAAGACGTATTATTCCAATTTTGAAAATGCTTTCTAGGACAAATTGGAATAAAATTTCTATCATGAGAAAATTCACAACTACTTTTTTATAATTCAAAAATGTCAAAAAACGGCAAAAACGAAAAATATTATTTATTTGAAAAACATATTTCTAATTCTATGGTTTACTTTAATCCTACATACAACAACGTAAAAAGAAAACAAACTTGGAAAAAATTTGAAATTATTTGTGGGCGAGAACTCAGTTTTTCAGCAAGTGCGTCATAGTGTTTACAGAACCAAAACATACCGTACTAATTTTTTTTTATTTATTCTGTTGTTTTAAAACCAGTAAACCATTTTATACGACCGGAAAAACTCTAAAAAAAAAGCAGAAATTTCAGAGAAAATACTTTTCAAAATCATTTCTAGTATAGTTCGAAGGCTTTACGCGTAACTACGCTTGCAAAAAAAAAACCAAAGAAGTTCATTTCTTCTTACGAACCCTCAAATATCGATCGGAATCTCTGCCCTGCGCTTGTCCGGTTGAAGAACCGTCGTAGTTCCACAGAGGATACTCTGTTGAACTCCATTTTATCAACTTAACGCGAAATTGTTTTTACCAGTAATCGAAATGGGCACTCTATCCATTGTGCGCGTTTTTGAGCGGAGATTTTCGCCGGTACCATCGATCCAGATGTATGTAGCCTGATTTGAATACTCGAATCATCCTCATTAACACCCGTTTTACTTGAATTTTGTTAGAGGGAGGTCGAAGACCGAGGAACTGATCGACGACCGCCTGGCCAAGCGGCATCCGGGTTTCGTAGTTGAGATGCGCCATCGTGCTGATCGTCAAAGGCGAGTATGAAAAGAAGCAATGCGGCTAATTATTGCTCTCTTCACGTCTTCACATTCGCGCTGAATTATCTTTATTTGACGAGAGTTTATTAAATTCGTTAGGCGCAGCAAATTTAAATGGGGTACTGTGAGTCTCTATGCCGCAGACACCGCGCCCCGAGACTGCATTTTGGCGTGGGACAAATTCGAATTGGAAAAGTTTTTCTTTTTTTCTGCAATCTCAACACGCTTCGACTCTTTCTTTGCTTTTTTTTGTGAAAAGACTTTAAAAGGCTTATGCCGTGTTCAAAGTAATTTCCGCGAAATGCAAAATGATCTCTGACTCTCCAAAATATAGTTATCTTCTCCTTTCTCTAACGGGTATGTTGCATTTCGCGGAATCACTTTGAACACGGCATTAATTTTTGTCTTTTGCCTTGAATATCATGCTTTTTTTTCTAAACTATTCAATTAAATTTCCCACTATTTGATTTCGCGTCGTTCTTTTTTCAATGTTTCGATTCTAATAACAGAATTTTCAGCAAAAACTTTCGTATTTGAGCCGGATCCCTGCTAATAGCACAAAATGTCGAATGTGAGTAACTTTCCGAATTTTTTTTACATTTTTCAATTTATTTTTCAGAAGGATGATGGTCAACGAAAGAAGAAAGAATCGGTTGTTGATCTGTCAAGGTTTATCGACAAAAAGGTGCGCGTGAAGTTCCAAGGCGGAAGAGAAGGTTATTTTTTGGATTTTCAACTTCAAATAATTATTTGGGATTCTAGCAAGTGGAATCCTAAAAGGTTACGATCAGCTGCTTAACCTAGTTCTGGACAATTGCGTAGAATACCTTCGGGATCCAGAAAATCCAAGCGTTGTAGGGGACGAAACAAGGTATTTTTGCAATTCTTATTTTTAATGGAATCAAATATCACTATTAAAGATCTCTGGGACTTATCGTCGCCCGAGGGACCGCCGTCACCGTCGTTTGCCCTGCCGATGGAATGGAACAGATCGAAAATCCATTCGCCAATCCTGAAGAGTGAAACTGCAACTTTAACTTTTTTTTTTACGTGTTTTGTCAATTTTTAATATTGTTATTGTATTGGCTGATCTCCCAAAATTAATACAGTTTTTGATAATTTATTTAGAAAAATCTTTTTTCAGCAGTACAGAAAGCTCAACCGAAGGTCTTGAAGCGATTTACCGTTTACATAATGGGTCTTTTGGCTTCAGCCTACGCTCCTTTGAACACTAAGGATCTCCAAATTTTAAATCCTTCTAATGGCTTTTTTTTAAATCTAAAGATGACGAGAAATTTCCATTTATAACAGGTAGTTTAAGAATTTCAACAAGCGTTTTTTTGACCATACCATAAGAGAACTTTTTTTTTTTCACATCTCTACAAAAGTACACATAAAACTTCATTACAGACAACAAAATGGTGAAAAAGTGTGCATAAAGGGCGAATTACCAAATCTACACAAAAAGAGAAACCAAGCGTAGAGGGGCAGTCACAAAGTCCAAACCGTTCCGGGAGCCTTCAAGCCATATAGCTGCACTTTTCGGATAGTAATTGTACAATTTGAGCCATTTTATGAGGGCAAACAAGGCTTTAAGATATCAGATGGGTCGAAAATAAACTGGCAGTTCGAATCGTTGGACATTCTTTGGGCTTTCGTGGCTCGGCCAATTTCGTGAAGCTTGATCCATTTCGAGAAAAAGGCAAAAATAACCGCAAGTAGATTAGTTTTTTTCAAGAACCTCAGTTTTGCTATCAACAAAAAATGTACGAGGTGAAGTAAAATCGATAAGAATTTCCTGAGGAACGTAGCTATTGGGTTTCGGGGCACAACTTTTAGTGAATGAAGGAGGAAAAAAAAATACAAAATGTACAAAATGGACAGTGAGAAGTATATGCTATTTACATGTACAGCAAATCAGAAAGCAGGGGCGAGGAAAGAACAAGAAAAAAAAGTGCTATATGAATTGAATTGATAGGGGAAATTTATCCGAACGCCGGCTGGCTGGTGTAGACCATGTAGACGAAGCCGTCAGAGTCCTTGTCCATCTGGTACAACTGCGACATCGTCATCGAGTTCGACACCATCGATTTTTCGTTGACCAGCAGGAAGAAGGCTTGTTGCGGGTGCAGCTGGAGGCTGAAAAAAAGGTCATTTCTGATGGTCTCATTCTAAGTTTACTTCACTCTGTTGCAACTTCTTAGAAACATACTCCAAAAAAAGTATAATTTACGCAAGAAAATACACATTTAACCTAGCTATCAAGAAACTTTTCATAAATAACAGGAAAACTTTTGAAGTTTCCAAGTTACACAGAAATGGGATAAACTAAAAAAAGTTATATGAAAAAAAGTCAAGAAAAACAGGAAAAGGAAGTTTTCTCCATGTAGAAAACAAGATGCAAATTTTATTCAAATATTAATTTTTTTCAGCTCACAAGGGAGAAGCGAGAGGAAGCCAACAGCTTCAAAAACCACAAAAAAATTTTTAAAAATGATCCTTTAAGAAAATTTAATAAAATTAACATTTTTCTTCTCACTCGACAAATTCCACTAGAAGTTACAAAGAATTTTTATTTTTTCAAATGCCGTGTTCAATTTGATTCCGCGAAATGCGAAATACCCGTAAGAGAAAGGAAACGATCACTAGATTTTGGAGAGTCAGAGATCCTTTTGCATTTCGCGGAATCAAATTGAACACGGCAAAAGGAAAAATTCTGAATTTATCGAAAAATGTTGCCTAAAAAACGCCAAAAAAGTGAATATTTCTCTTTCTCTGGCGTCTCTACAAATCTTCAGTTCTCGCTCCTTTTTCGGACTCTTTCAATTAGTTGAAAAGCACCAAAAAAAAAACAAAATATTAAGTACAAAATTAAAATAATAACCGTCTTCTAACGATCGACATTAGTTCTGCAACCGTAATATGGTCAGGGACCAGAAATTTGCATCGGTCCATCAAAGGCAAGCTGCGTTCCCCATCGAATCGCTCAATGATCACCGGCACCTGAAATTTATGCGAATTTACAAAACATTCATTTTAAAAAATACCTTATTAGGCTGCTGACGTCTGATTTCGAGCACGTCCTTCTGACGCTCATCTGCAAAATAATTGATAAGTTTGAAAAATTGAAAAGATCTTTGAACTCAATCCCTCCATCTTCCATTCTTCTCCATAGATTTCCTAACCAAAAACTATTTTTCGGCCCCAAAGTCAATGAGTTTTGATCACAATTTATTTCAAAACATGTCCTTGATAACAATTTGCTGACCAAAGTTTTTCGAGACCACTGATAAAGGCATATGGCGCATTATTACGAAAATATTCGAAAATTTCAAAAAAATACATAGACCATAAGAGCCAAGACTGAACTATTTTTCAAGACTTTCAATTAAAAAACAAAAAATTTCAATTTCAAAAAAAAAAAACAATCTTACGATTTGGAGCAAAATAAAAAAAGCAAGACAAAAAAAGTTAAATGTTCGTTCTAACGATAGCATATTTTTTTCCAGCTCTTGTTCAAATTTTTGAAGACTTTTTTTAATCAACTCTTCTACTTTTTATTCCAAAAACCCGAAAAAAATCTCCAATACTCGACTGCTTATCATGTATCTGTAAGCTCAACAAAATCATCGTACCAACCAAAAAAAAAAATCTCGTGCGGCGCATCCCCCGCGTCTGCCCTCAGGTCATATGACCGAACATGTGAGATTCACGTTTTTACCCCTTTTTCAATCACAAATGATGCCCACTTGAAGAATAAATCTATGAAAATGTTGATAAATCCGTTTCCAATTTTTCCTTGAGCTTAAAAGAACTATATTGAGGAAAGACTGGGAATCAGCTGATTTTCCAGCTGAGGTTAGAGAGCGAGAGTGGGCAGACGCGCCGCCGTTCCGAACACAAATTTACAGGCAAACAAGCGATTTTCCAAGAGTTCTGCTTCGAAAAAACTAGAAAATTCCTTTCGATGTTGATACTTTCCTCTTGAATCAGCTCCTTTACAAGTTAAACTTTTAAAAAAAAAGAATGTTTTGCTTAACGGATCTGGTGTAAAATGAAAAATACTATGTTCCACTTAAATAATATAAAGAACAATTACAAAAAGCCTTTCGTAAACAAAGATCACTCAGAGGTCTGAGAAAAACTCGATGAAAAATAAAAAACTCAAAAATAATTATGAAATCACATGTATTGAAGGTCTAAAATGAAAATCTTACGGAAAGGCCGGCGCTCTTTGAAGGAAGGAACCGTTCCGGCCATATTTTGACTGTTGCTGTGACTAGGATATAAACGATTGAGAGAGGCGAGCATAAAAGCAACGCCTAACCTGTAAAAAAATGGGAATTGTTTTACAATTCAAGAAACACGGTATTAAATCACGAGTAGTTGGCTTCAAAAGGACGAAAATTGTGACAAGAACGAATCGAAAGGGAAACTAGACATCGAAGGTTTGAGAAAAGAAAAAAAAAACAGAAGAAAAAGGGAAGACGAGGCGCCCTGCATCGCTTTCTCGGCGGCCTCTCTCCCTCTAGCGCATGACCTCACAGTAGGCCAGTTAGATTCGCAGGCACGCTACGTTGCGGGACCATTTCTGAGAGCCGATCGGTGTTTGTGTATTTACGAGGAATTATTTTTTTCTTTTTTTTGGTTTCAAATAATAAACACTTGTTCACGTGTTGCGCCAACGGCGAATGACAAAGTTCTGCAAGCGGAAATCGAAAACGAAAGGTGATCATTCCATAATAAAAACTGTAATAATGTTGGCAGTAACATAACTTCAAAAAATAAAATCTTTGAATACAAGTCATTTTTTCAGGAAATGACACGAAGAAAAGGTTTTGAAGACTCGGCAAACCTTCGAATTATCCCGCCGACTGAAATTAACAATATTAAAGGTTATTATTATTACTTTTTAATGAAAAAAATTAACAAAAAAAGTTTAGTTGAATCCACAAAAGACGGTTACTCTTTGAGGACAGTCATTGTAGTCTGTATACTCGTTTCATTATTATGCCAGGTGATTCCCTATTTCCAAATGTTCACCTTAAAATATTTTTATAGATTTCAATTCCATATTTGGGAAAGATTCTTCTAAAAACAGGTTGTCGCGTTGGTCTAGTCAAATTTTTGGGTAAGGATGAGGAAAATAATACGAATAAATGGCGGTTTCCAGGACCTCTATGTCCTACGCAAACGGGAAAACCTTCAAATCAACTGATAACAACGGAAAGTGAGAAATATCGAGTCAGGCGAATTTACTTCGAAGAGCCTTTACCAATCGAAAAGTGGAAGGTTTCAATGAAAAAAAAAACGGTTGAATTTATTTTTTTTTTCAAGGGTGGCCAAGAACCAGAAGGAAACTTGTTGATAGTGCAAGAAAAGGCAGAAGAAGAGGCGCCGACAGATCCGTCCAGAGTTAGGGAAGCCCTGGCGGCAGCAAAAGCTGCAAGAAAGTCGCGGGAAGATGGGAATTTGGATAAGGTTATTTAAAAATAAGTTTATCCCTAAAAAATGACAAAAATTACAGGCGATGACAATAATTGAGCACGCACTGATGCTGGCGCCAAAACATCCAGATATTCTGATCGAAATGGGCCGCGTCAAAGAACAACGGTCTGATCTATTGGAAGCGGATTTGTGCTACGCAAAAGCTCTCGTTTATGATCCGCAACATCGAGAAGCTTTGAAGTTCGTAATTTTGAGCTTTTATAAATTTTTAAAAAAGATGTCTATCGCGTGTTTTTTTGTTCTAATCAAAATTCCTAACTTGAGAGCTTATTTTTATTTTTCTTTTTTTCAGAAACTCCCTTGAAAGTGTGAAGAACATAAACCAAGCATGAAATATTTGAGAAAAGTGATGAGAAGTAAAAAAAATTGAGCGAAATTCCGAACCGCATTCAAAAAAATTATTTGAATTTGAACTTTGCGCGCCTTCTCAGTGGAGCAAACTTAGACGAAATTTTTTTTTGCTCGCATATCCTACTGAATTTTTTGATTACCTTGGAGATAATGTGAAAAAAATAAAGCAAGGAAGAAAATTGAAGGTTGCGAGCGCGAACGGGTCCCCTAGTTTCACAAATCGACAAAAAGCTTCTGAGATCGGTTCACGATCTTCGGGACAAGTTCGTTCATCTGAAACATTCGACAGCCCTTCGACGAGCCATGAGGTCCTTTATAAAGTGAAAACTTTTAATGGAAATTGATTTTCAGAGAAACCTACTTTCTGTACGTCTACCACACGGTAGCGATTGAAGGAAACACCTTATCACTGGGGCAAACAAGGTGAGATTTTTCAGCCGATTATTATCAATTGTAAAATTGTCTAAGGTCATGACCTTCTAGGCTATTCCAATCGTTTCAATTTGAAATTGAATTAATTTCCATAGTTCCGTAGTGAAAAAAGCGCAAAGAAAGCTTTTAAAAATGAAAATTCAGAGCGATTCTCGAGTCCGGAATGGCTATACCTGGCAAAAGCATCCGGGAACACAATGAGGTGGTTTATTATATTTTTTTAAACCTTCTGCGCCTTTAATAACCCTTCAAAGCTGTTATGAAACAACCAGTAGAAATAAAAAGGAATATTTGAAGGTGCTCGGAATGGACGCCGCCTTGAGGTTCTTGAACCATTCCCTACTTGCCAGCGACGCCGATTCGATCACTTTTGATGATATTCTCGAGATGCACCGTCGTGTTTTGGGTCATGCCGATCCAGTTGAAGCCGGTCGGCTTCGAACTACACAAGTAAAAAAGGAATTCATGAAAAATTAAAACTCTTAAAACCGTTTTGAGGCGGGAAACTTGATAATTTAGCAAAAAATGCCTTCGAAGATGCTCAATCTCATTATTTTTTCTACGGGCTTGACCCATCGAAAAAAGGGTCCTGACACGATAAGAAAAGAGACACTGCCTGGTCAGTGGAGAGCGCAGACAAGCCACGCCCCCTTAGCGTCTCAAGCTGGCCGTGAATCGGCTATATACGTCTTTTTATATTGAAAATCAAAACAAAGAATTAAAAAGAACACTATAGGGACCACTTGAATTTAGACCCTCTGGGAAGCCCTATTTCGTTCTTTATAAGAGCTGTTTTTTCCTACCACTCTAGGGACTTCTCAAGGAGAGATTTTAGTATAGCTCTGTCGAAAATATATTGAAAATATTGAGCTTTGGGTATACCTTTTAAGCCAGAAAAATCTAAAAGATGAAACTTTTCTCTACAGATCTCAAATTAAACTAATTTTAGCCCTCTAGGGGCCACTTAGATTCAAGCCCTCTGGGAAGCCCTAATTCGTTTCTTATAGGAGCTGTTTTTTTTCCTAACATCTCTAGGGACGCTTTAAGAAGTCTTTAACATATTCCTTTATATTTTCTCAAAAAAAAAGCCAGGAAAATCTAAAAACTAAAAATCTTCTCTACATATTTAAAATGAAGCTTGTTTCTTTATTTCTGATCATTTTGAGCTTCCTTAACAATTATCAAAAAAATACCCAGGTGTACGTCGGAAGGTTCACTCCAGTGGCCCCTCAGTACGTTCGCGAGCAAATGTTCGAGCTCGTCGAGTGGCTCAACGACCCTCAGACCCTCGAAATGGATCCCGTCGAACTTGCCGCCATAGCTCATTACAAATTGGTTAGCTAATCCTTATTTGTCCTCAAAAAACGTCAAAAATTGAAGGTTCTAGTCCACCCTTTCACCGACGGGAATGGTAGAACGGCGCGGCTGCTTCTCAACTTGATTTTGATGCGTTCCGGCTTTCCACCTGTAATTTCCTCCTATTTTTCCGTCAAAAAAGTTAATTTGAAAGGTAATTTTACCTGTCGAGTCACGTGCCGAGTACTACGCCACACTGAACGTCGCGAATCTCGGAGATTTACGCCCGTTTGTTCGATATGTGGCTCATCATACGGATTCTACGTTGAGGGTAAATTGAGTTCATGAGAGAGGTCACTTTAGTGATCAAGAGGCTACTTTAGTGGTTTTGGGTTTTTTTCTTCAAATATTATATTCAATAAGACTGATAAAATGTGATGAAAAAAGACGGAGAGCAGCGGAAATCTGAAGAGACGCCAGACAACGAGAGACTCTTAACTTCTCTGGCGTCTCTTCAATCCTCTATCGCTCTCTCGCCCATGAAAAAAAAAATTAATTTTTTAGCGCTACATCAGCACGGCTACAACGCATTGCATCGCCAAAAATGCGGCAAGCGACGGCGATATCGCGCCGCCAGAAGAACGCGAATGTTTCGCGGAGCCTTGATTTGGATTTATAAATATGTATTTATTGCTGATTTTTTGAATTAAACGAGACATATCTCCGAATTTTAGTACTTTAAAACTGTCTAAAGTCGTTTTGTTAATTTTCGAGACATGTTTCGTTTTTTCTTGCCAATTTACTCTTATGTATAATTTTTTAAAACATGTTGGTCGCACTGAGAATGGTTTGACGGCTATTTTGAAAATGCGCCCGACCCTGAATGACTTACGCGCAACGGCATAGGATATCTCTAAGTTGGAATGCACTGAGCCATTCTGTATGCGACCATTTTTTCTGAGCTTCACTGGGAATGGTTAGACGAGCTTGCGGTCATTTTGAATCTGCGCCCGACCCTGAATGACTTTCGCGCAATGGCATAGGATAACTTTAAAAATGCAAGTATCGAACTTCCAAAGCTGAGCCATTCCGCATGCGACCATCTTTGGGGTGTATTCAATATTTTTTAAACTATTCAAGCTTCTTCTTGTTTTTTTTTTAATCTGCACCCGACCCTGAATGACTTTCGCGCAATGGCATAGGATATCTTAGAGTTGTAATGCAAGTAACTGAGCCATTCCGCATGCGACCATCTTTGGGGTGTATTCAATATTTTTTTAACGATTACAGATTCTTCCTGTTTGTTTTTGAATTTGCGCCCGACCCTGAATGACTTACGCGCAATGGCATAGGATATCTTAGAGTTGTAATGCAAGTAACTAAGCCATTCCGCATGCGACCATTTTTTCTGGACTTTTTGAATCGATTCGAGCTTCTTCCTGTGATTTTTTCTTTTTTCTTTGCGGGTTCTTCTATCATCTGGCTTTCTTGTGTGCAAAAATATACCTTTTCCTCGATTCTCTGAAGAAATTGTTCATTGCAATTGTTAGTTTTCGGAATACGGTTACCTATAAAAAATGATCTATTCATATTTCAAGTGAATACATTATTAGAATAATTACTCGTGCTGGGCGAGGAAGAAGTTGCCGGCGATCGGGTCTCCTGAAAAATTGAAAATTCTTTTTTTCTAATTAAGATAACTGACCGAGTTGGTACTTCTCGATGAACTGCTTGACGTTGAATTTGGCTCGGGAGCTCGGTTTCGGGACGTTGATTCTTCTGAATTTCCACACTTCAAGTGGCTTCTTTAGGGTCAAAAATCGAAAAAATAGATCCTCCAAGTAATCAACAATATTAGGCCTGTCTAGATAGTTCTCCAGAATATTATATAACGAAGTTGTTTAAATGACCTCTCAAGGATCCATTATTCAAATAGCTGCCTAAGCTGTTCAAGTGATCACTATAGAGAGCAGCTTCATCTACAAGAATCCTCAAAAAGTTTTAACATTTTGTAATTTTAGTGGTGATTCTAAGCTTTGGAAAACGAAACCAACTGGGAAAAATTTTTGTGACCTCTTTAGGGTTTTGAAGTTGTAGTGGCCCGTATAGTGTTAAAATTAGTGGAAACTTTAGTGGCCGAAATCTAGTGGCTTCTTTAGAAGTCTAAGTAGTACTACTAGACAATTAAAAACTACTACAGTGGCTACGAAGAGCCACTTTAGTGTCCTCTCCAAGAAGTTCTTGAGGAGCCTCTTAAGTGGCCACTAGAGTTTTTCCGCAGAGATATGATCAATCTATTCTCCAAGTGATCACTATAGGTTTTGGCTTTTTGGGCAGTCTAAATAATACTACTAGACAACTAAAAACTACTAAAGTGGCCACTAAGATAGGGAACCACTTTAGTGTCCTCTCCGAGAAGTTCTTGAGGAGCCTCTTAAGTGGAATCTATTCTCCAAGTGATCACTATAGGCATTAGGAGTCCATCCAACTTCTTATAATAGCAATAAGATTGAAGTGACTACTTCAGAGCTTTCAAGAAATGTCTTAATTATAACAACCTAAGTGATAACTTAAGTTCTTACCGTCCTTGGTGCTCCCACATGAGGATGACGTATCGATGGAGATCAGTTCGGGGTCCTGGAGCTGGAGATCCGTAGGCCATTTGGTGTTGGCCTGGAAGAAATTTTGAATTCAATAAAAGAAGCTGGAAGGATCTACAATAACAAGGGCTCTTTTTGGGTAACAACTGGTAAGATCTTCTCACCTCCATTGATTCCTTCGATGACGTTGCTGGCCGGGATGTTGGTGACGAGCCAGTGAAGCCATTCGGCCACCGAGGGGTTCTTCCGGGAAAGATTGTCCGGATCTGAATCAGTTTTCAGTTTCTCAGTGTTCTAACAACAGAGTTTGTTTCCATTCCAGGTTCATGGTCTTATTCATTTGGGAAAACTTTTAGTGGCCACTAGGGTTTTCAAGTTCTAGTGGCCACTATAGTAGTCAAATTAGTGACCCTCAAGGGGTTGAAAATTAGTGGCCATTATTGAGGTCTAATAGCTACTACTAGGCCACTGAAAATTTTAGTGGCCACTTTAGGGGTCACTGAATCAACATAACTGCTCCAATGTGTTTTTTTTTTTTTGAAATTATCAGAGTTACTGTAAGGAATACTGGATGAAAAACTACTGAAGTGGCCACTAAATAAAAAACCTCTATAGTGGCCTCTAAAACGGAAAATAGTGGCCACTAGAGGTGGTTTCAGTGGCCACTCTAGTGTCTTCTCCGAGTAGTCCTTGGCGGGCCTCTATAGTGGCCACTAAAAATTTTCCCCGTGAGATAAAAATTCCCATTTCTAAATTTACTTTCCTTGAAAACTGGCCAGGATAGACCTTGATGTGCCAATAAAAAGATTCTAAAACTCTCAACCTGCATTACTTCCTAGTTTTCGAGAAAAGAGGGTTAAAAGCCCAAAATAACCTTATTTAACTTTGAGGGTTTTCTTGGTCTTGGAGATGTCCTTCCTCAAAGACTAGAGAATTTTGGAGGTTGAAAAGTTGAGAATCTGGTCCATTAAGAAGTACCCCGGCCAATTTTCCGGTATTTTCCGACCGCAAAGTAAAATCACCTTCAGCGCCTCTTCCAGTACAAGAACTCATTTAATGCCTTTTTCTTCTCTTTCATTGGTTCCTGTCTTAAAAACTCTCTGCTTCTAGAAAAACTATTCAAAAAATACACAGACCATACCATAAAAAAAACCCAAGCCTCTCCAACCCTCAAAATCTCACAAAAGTCCAGAAAGTGCAATGTTTGAACGCTTAAAAGCGGTGATTTAGGATCGTTTGCGGAGTAGACGAAAGGTTGTAATGGACCGATGGCCTCCGCCGAGGCGGCAACAGGTGCAGCAAAACTTTTGTTTTGGACTCTTTTTCTCATCCTCGAACGCAGTAATACACGTGTAAGTGATCACTTTTCTGATTGGCAAAAATTTGAAGTAAAAAAAAAATTGAGAAATCTTCTCTCGGATCCAAAAAACTCCTCAAGCTTCCTTTAAAATTGAAGATCAACCCAAAAAACTTTATCTTTTGCAAAATTCGATTATTTTTCTGTAGCGAGCCCTTTCATTGGGAAAACTTTGTTGCAAGCTCTCTAAAAACTAAACTTTTCTCAAAAAATGACTTCAAATTATAATTTTTCAAGCTTTTCGAAATATTTCTCACTACAAAAGCTTTTCAAAAGGAGCATTAAAAGGGGGGTTAAAGAACTAAAAAAAACCTTGTTATTCGAGATTTTCAATAAATCTGTTTCATTACAAGCTTATAGTGTGTTCAGATTTTAAATGTCAAGTGCAATGACGTCGTTCGAAAAACGCTCTGTGGATGGCTCGCTCTCTGATTGGTTCATCGCACCATTAGGGGCGGAGCTTGAGCGACGACTTGACATTCAAAATCTGAACAGACTATACTCCAAATTTTCATATCTTTAAGTCTTGAAATCCTCTTACCCCCTGTTTTTCCTTTTCCTTCTTTTTCAGTCCTGAAACCCTCTTAACTCCCCCTTCTCCCCCCGCGCTCTCTTTTGCCATTTTTTTCATTTCTCAACAAAAATGACAAGTTCTCACCAATCATGAGCAACGAGTAAGTGCTCTCCGGATCGGCGCCTTTCAGGTTGAACCGAGGCGCGTTTTTCGTGTTTCTCGTCGAGAGAGTCATGCCCGGCTCAACTTGGATTCCGTCCCAAACCAACTGGAAAAAAGTCACATCAAAAAATTGCATTTCAATAAAAACCCACATGTAACCGCTCTTTCGGAGCATTCGGGATGATTTTCGGGGTAATTTCATGTTGAGCGAAAGCGGCGGCGAGGTCTCCCATTATTTCTGGATAAATGTAAAATTCAAGACAAGGCGGTCCGAAAATTCCTCTTCTCGGACCAACGAGAGAAAAAAGAGGAGACTTTAAAATATAGTTTAATCAGCTTGAGAAGAAAATTTCGAGACTTTTTTTCGGATTGATCGTGAAATTTATATATTTTTAAAAAGTCTCACCAACTTTTTTGCGTACTCTGAAAAAGCTATAGATGATCTTAGAAAGTTTTTGAAATGAGATTTTTTTAAAAATTGTTCCAATAAACTGCGAAGGGATATCCGAGAAGGATCAAATTTCGTGAAAAGTTATTAGTTAATAAACTATGAATAAATAAAAAGAGTTTTTTCGAAATAATGAATCATCAAGTCTATTCGGAATAAAAGATGGAAAAAACTTATAGTGGCCACTATAGGGTTTTGACCTTTTAGTGGCCCCTATAGTAGTCAAATTAGTGGCCACTTGAGGGGTTAAAAATAAGTGGCCACTATAGAGTTCTAAGTGCTACTACGATATGACTAAAAATTTTAGTGGCCACTTTAGGGGTCAATGGATCAACATAACTGGTCCAATATGCTAGTTTTAAAATTATCAGAGTTTCTGGAAGGATATAAAACTACTGAAGGGACCACTAAATAGAGAACCTCTATAGGGGCCACTAAAACGGAAAATAGTGGCCACTATAGAGGTGGGTTAAGTGGCCACTTTAGTGTCCTCTCCAAGTAGTCCTTGGCGAGCCTAAAAATTCTCCAAGTGGGGCCAAAAATCAAGAAAATGGAGGTTTTTGAAGGACTCTTCTAACTCTTACACGATCACTGATTAGACTATCCTAGAGAAAAGATGAAAAATTTCTAAAGCTTCTCCCACCCACAGAATGAGTCAAATCAAAGACCAACCCGTTTATCTAGACACTCGAGAGAACAAATGTTGAGAAGACGAAAAAGAGATGAAATGAACTGGTAAACGAAGAAGGGCAAAAAAAAGAGTTGAGCAAGCAAAGAAAAGAAGAATGGGGGAGGGTTTGGGGAGGACGAAGAAACGGTCCATTATTACACCTTTCTCTCGTCGTCGTCAACTCAGCAAAACATATGCGAATAGAATGGAGCAGCTGATCTGCGGGGGCGGCTCAGAGGTCAGGAAAAAGAAGCCGACGTTCAGAAAATGGGCATTCCTGTTCATTTTCACGAAAAGATCTCAATGGAGACAACTTCAGATGAGGTCGAAGTTTGGCACTAATGAAATGAGAAGTAGAGAGGCAATCGAGAAATGCGATAATCCGGCCGATAAAAAGTCTTCTAATTGATTCCCAAGGCATCGAGTGATTCTACCATCGCGCTTGCTGTTCAGTTCAACGACCTGAAATCGAACATTCTGCATTTCCGGAACAAATCGCTCCAAGGCCAACAAAAAATCACGTAGGTTACTGTAGCTTCACCTACCGTTTTAGGACCATTTTCATTAAAATTTTTTTGATTGATTGACTTTTTTTCAAGACTGACATTTGAGTTTGGTATACTTTTATATAAAAATTTTCCTGGAAAAAATGTAACTCTGTTTTTTTCTGTCTAAAATCTGTATCGAAATTAAACCTCAAGCCAAATAATGCGGAGAAAAAATAAATGAATCGGCATTTAGGCATAAAGAGGGTCTTTTTAAATTTAAAGGCGCAGCGATCTGAAGAAATCTTTGTGGGCTTCGCCTATGCTCCTTTAATAAATCATGTCTCGTGTGAGAAGTCCCAAAACTTCACAGGCTTTTTTTTTTTGATCCTTTTTCTAAAAAGGACATAAGACCTAAAAGAAGAAGGCGAAAAAAAAGAGATCCGGAAAATTTTTTGGCACCCTTTTAGCAACTCAAAAATGACCTCTAGATTCTTAAAATTCAAAATTGAAGAGATTCAAGCCCCCAAGATTGGTGTATGCACGCTCACGAATTTTCGCTGAACCAAAATTTCTTCCTACCATCTTTTTTTTTCACTTTTCCCCTCTATCAAAACGAACCTCAGGCAAATTTCTATAATAAGTTTCATTGAAAGTCGATTTTCTCAAGCCTTTCGTTCGATTGTGCAACATTTCGGCGGTGCAAATGACAGTACCGAAATCGAACTCGCCCAGCGGCTTGTTCACTAAAATGACTATAATCTTGAAAAAAACGGCTATTAATCCCACTATGAAGTTCCGTGGCCCTATCGATTTCGGGTAAATATTCCACTCCGAGGACACAGATCGAATGTCGGAGCCATTTCGACTTGCATTCCCAAAAAGGACCGCTCGTGATTTTGCGACCGACTTTGAAGATAGAGTGCCTTTAAAAAAAAATCTGAATCCAAATTTTTCAAAGAATCACTCGAAGCGTCACGCTTCGTTCAGTGCAACCGACGGAAAACTACTTGCGCGCGCTAAAGAAAGTCGGTAAAGATCGCAGAGCGTTCATTCGACGAAGCCACGCCCACTTTTTCTCCGTAAAGTTTTGTGTTTTGTGTGCATGCACTGCGCCGCGCAGAAAAATTGCATTCACTGGGAAAACTTTTAGTGGCCCCTATAGGGTTTCGACGTGTCAGTGGTCACTGTAGTACTCAAATTAGTGGCCAGTATAGAGGTCTAAGTGCTACTAATAGACCACTAAAAAATTTAGTGGCCACTTTAGGGGTCCATGGATCAACATAACTGGTCCAATCTGTTTGTTTTAAAATTATCAGAGTTACTGGAAGGAATACTGGATGAATAACTACTGAAGTGGCCCCTAAAACGGAAGATAGTGGCCACTATAGAGGTGGGTTTAGTGGCCAATTTAGTATCATTCCAAGTAGTCCTTGGCGACCCTGTATAGTGGCCCTCTATTTTCGAAGAATGTAGAGAAATTTAGATTCGTCTTAAAGATCTTTGGTAATACGACCGCCTGCGCCTTTAATACGCTCCCGTATTAACGCTATTAGAGTCGCTGCCGTTCCCATGACGTCACGTGAGAACGGCTGAGATTTTGACCACGCCCACTTAATTTTTGGTTTTGCATTTTCTTCCACCAGAGCTGTGCTTTGGGCCAGCCGGGCTGGCCATAGTGTTGCAACGCGGTCGCGAAGCGGCCGAAAATTTGCCACTTTTCAAACTTTTTTGTCTCGAAATTTTCACAGAGTGTGTAAATGTGGGAGTGAGTGATCGAAAGTGTGTTTATTGGAAAATTTATGTGATTTAAATTATGAAATGAGATGAAAAAAGCTCGCGATTGCGACAATTGTGGGCCGATTCGGCCATCAACCTCGGCCCAACGCACAGCTCTGTCTTCCACTAACAAAAACGCTTGATTCAATTTCGGCTATCAACACGCAACGCAACCGCGACGCTTCAAGCCATTCCGGGTGGCATTTTTTACCGAGTTATGCCATCGACGTTTCCGTGACACTTAGGATTTTCCAACTGCCCAGGGAGTCCGAGTTGATTCATGAATATCGTCGGCCAGAACATCTCATCGACGCCGTAGAGCTAAAGAATTAGCCCTCGAGATAAGCTTTCCAAAATCTCAGAAACTAAAAAAAAGGTTGCGAGATAAATCAAAAAATGGACTCATGGGAGAAAAAGGATATCAAAGAAATTTTCAAAATTCTCCCTTATCGATCAATATTATAACTAGCCCCTTAAGAGACCTCCTTGATTATTATTAGTTCCAAGAAGAGAAAAAAATCTCAGGAATGCCAGAGTGATCCCTATAGGGGTTAGGGAGAAAACCTGGAGCACAAGGGACCATATAAGTGTACAATTCAAGTGGTCCCCATAGGGATTTAAGGTCTAACCATAAGCCTTTACAGGGTATTTTGATTCTCTGTTCAGTTTTGAAGACCAAAACGACCAAATTGATCAATTCATTGTAAATTTCCATTCAAATGACGCTAATTTATCAAGTTTTTCGCATGGAAATGCTTCCTCTCCTAGTCTATAACTGGTCCCTAGAGCAGAACCTTCAGGTGCCCCTATAGGGACCTCTTCCGAAGATAGGTCAAGTTTCTAGACAAATCAACCCTTTTTTTTCCAAAATCACTCACTCCAGTCTCTGCCATTTGTTTCAAGAAAATCGTGAAATCGATATTCTCGAAAACGGCGTCGACAAAACTCCTTGAGAGGATCACTTCGTCGTAGAACTTCCGTATAGTGAAGTGCTTCTCGAAAATTAGCTGGCTTACTTTTGATTCTGAGAGAGAAAAATCAATAAGAGCCACCTAATGGTAAAACTCGCCATTTTTGAACAATTTCAAGCCTTTTGGAGACCAGTCCGCTTCGGGATGATACCTGTAGAAATAGAGTTTTCGTGGATTTTGACAAAAAGGCGCTTCTTAGGATCTCCAGAGTGATCCCTGTAGGGTCCCCACTGGGGGGTACTTCACCAACCCCTATAGGGGCCACTGAAGCTTGCAAAAGTGGTCCCTCTAGGGGCTTGTTTTAGTATCCCCTATAGAGGACATGCTAATCGATAACTTTTATGAATTCCATGCGAAAAATTAAAAAATTAACCTTTTTGAATGAAATTGAACGATCCCTATAGGATCCACTTAAGCTTTAGAGGCTAAGTGGTCAAACCCTAAACCCCTATAGGGACCACCTTGATTTTACCACTATAGGGGCTGATTTTTCGGCTCCTAAAGGGGTTTTTTCTCTCCCTAACCCCTCTAGGGACCACTTTGAAATCCCTAAGCATTTCAAGCTTATGGTGAGAACATTATTTAGTGCGCAAAATTTTTTTTGCTCTGGAGCTGAAGTACAGTACCGCTCAAAAGTCTATTAAGTTTTGGTTTTTTGGGGATATCTCAGCGAGTACTTATCCGATTTATATATAACTTTCAGGGATAATGTAAAATATACTTTGAAACATATACGGTATACAAAGACATGTCCGCAATGACTGTGACGCGTTTTAGGCATTTTTTTATTGAATTCCATTTTTTTGTTTTTTTATGCTTTTTATTTTTTTATTTATTTTTTTATTAAATTTTTTTAAAATTAATAATGTTGCCATATGATTTTTTTCATGTTTTTCAGACATGGGAAGAATCTCTGGAAAATAAGAATTTGACTGATAACGACAAAAGAGCCATCGTTGTGGGTCGTCAAAATGGACTGACCATGATGACGTTGGCAGGAATGTTCGGCGTGACAGAGGCGGGCATTTCTCAGTTCCTAAAGCGTCAGAAAGCTCAAGATGGCTCTACTAACAGCCAACGCACTGGAAGACCACGTGTCACTGATCGTAATGACGATAGGAACATTTTGAAGACGTCTAGAACCAATCCAAGACTCACCGCCCCTGCGATCAGACGGGAAGTTTTCTTGAATTCGCCATCTCCGCCATCCGTCTGGTCCGTGAAACGACGTCTGAATGTTGCTGGAGTCATGGGAAGACGTCCAGTGAAGAAACCGCTGATTTCTGAAAAGAATCGAGCCGCCAGGGTGAAGTGGGCGAAGGAGCATCTCAACTGGACCCGTCAAGACTGGAACAAGATTCTGTGGTCCGACGAAAGCAAGTTCCTCCTCTTCGGGAGTGACGGAATTCAGTGGGTTCGTAGACCAATTGGGTCCAGATATCATCCGAAATACCAATTACCCACCGTGAAACATGGTGGAGGTTCTTGCATGGTGTGGGGCGCCTTCTCTGGAAGTGGCATCGGACCGCTTCATCGCGTGAACGGCATCATGGACAAGCACGTCTACAAAGACATTCTCCAGAACCAGATGTTGCCGCACTTGAGAGCCATGGGCCGTGGGAGTGTTTATCAACAGGATAACGATCCCAAGCACACTTCACTGTTCGTCAAGGTGAGAAAATTGACAAGTAATTCGTATGGTTTTTGAAACTCAGGACTGGTTCAAGAGCCGTCGGGTCAATGTCATGGGGTGGCCAAGTCAATCTCCGGACCTGAACCCGATCGAACATCTCTGGGAAGAGTTGGAGCGACGTTGTGCCATCAAAAGAGCCAAGAATTGCAACGAGAAGTTTGCTCAACTGCTGTCTGAATGGAATCAGATCCCCATGTCTACCATCGACACTTTGCTCAATTCTATGCAGAGAAGATGCCAGGCAGTGATTGACGCCAGGGGCTTCGCAACCAAGTACTAGGTCCCGAATATTGTTTTAACAATGTTTTGTGTTGATAAAAATTTTTTTGTTGAGCTATGATTTTTTTAATTGAAAATAGCAAAAAAATTCGATTTTTTTCGAAAATTCGTTTTTTTCTCGAAAAAAATTATTATTCTTTGAGCTAGCAACTTGAAATTTTTGCCAGAACACGTATGTCTCTCTCAGAAAACTATGAAAAATTTGAATCGATATCGCACTTCAAAAAAATTTATCCCCAAAAAAACCAAAACTTAATAGACTTTTTGAGCGGTACTGTAAGTAGGCCTTAAGTGAACTTCAGACTTATCAAAATATTCATTGAGGCCTGAAAAGCGTTCCTAGTCAAAAAAAAAAAAACAAAAAAAAGAGATCTTATATTTCTATTGGACTTCTTTTCTCTGAAAACTCCTCGCCTTTCTCTTTTGGGAGGTTCGGAGCCGGTGTTCGAAGAAATGTTCAGAAATTTGCTGACGGCGACCATTTCCTCGTGTGTCTTCACGATCATGTCATTGTTCTGGAGATAAATTTTTTTCAGAATAACTTTTTTTCAGGTTATAATAAACTGCCTCAAACTTTGGAAGCCGTAAAAAAACCCTCTGCTACTTGAAAATCACCAGAAAGTTCATATAAAAAATAACAAAAAAAAACTAATTTTTCCTACGTGTCTTTATGCCCAATATAGGTCATTCCGCGCCAGCTTGTCACGATTTTAAATTTCCTCAAAGCTAGAGAGCCCATTTCGGCGCTTCGCTTCGATGCTCTCGGTGTGCCCTCTTGCGTGCGCCTTTAATAAAACTCATTATTTCCGAATTTTTGGAGTTTTCATACTCTACAAAAACAGTTGTAACATCAAATTTAATATCAAACTAACCCAAAAATTATATGCACGAAAAGCTCGAACAGTCGGTTTCCTTAATAACAATTAAAAAATAATAATTCAATCTTTTTGATTTTCTTTTTTTTTACAAATCCAGCACAGAATCTGAGTGTGTATAGTTAAAGCGAAAAATGAAATCAATCCATTAAAAAAACAACCTCGTAAATTAATAAAAGAGATAGAGAAGATTGAAGCAATATCTTAATCAGAAATAATGTTTTTATTAAAGGCGCACGCAAGAGGGCACACCGAGAGCATCGAAGCGAAGCGCCGAAATGGGCTCTCTAGCTTTGAGGAAATTTAAAATCGTGACAAGCTGGCGCGGAATGACCTATACCGAGTTTTTCAATCGAAAATGTATTCAAAAATTCAAAAATAAAAAAAGACAAACAAATAAAAACGATACCTGCAGGCTCATAACGTGAAACCAGTCCTTGGCGCGCAATTTCTCAAAACAGGCCAAGCCACCGCGGTTGTAGTCGCGGCCGGACGAGTTCAGATCGAATTCCTAATAATTATCCTTTTTCTGATGACTTTAATCATTGAGACCAAGAAAAAAGGGAAGAATTAATTCAGAGAACCCTCTCTCTCTGCGCTTTAGGTCTCGGAATTTTGAAAAAAAAGTGTTCTCTCAGAAAATCGAGCAATTACTAAAAATTTTGGTACAAAAATGTCAACTTCAGCTCCTGGGCGATCTCCTCACTACCATAGATGGTGAGCGACCTTTTGAACCAGGTTGGACTAAGCTCCGCCCACTTTCAGGCTTATTCTAGAAAAAATATCGTAAAAACCAAAATGAATTCCTAGTGAGGTAATTCGGTCCAAACCAACTTTAATACAAAGAACTTATAAGAAAATGTTTTAAATTATATTGATCTTGATGGAAGTTTCCAGTTCATCAACTTACGAATTGGCTGAATTTTCTTGTGAAAGATAATGATTCTTTTCTACGATGTTTATTTTAAAACTATCTCCAGGACCAGTAAATCTAAATAAAAACGTGCTAATGTTTGCTCTGCTTATAAAATTGGTCTGAAGCTCATGTAAGTTCGAAAAAAAAGAGGATATGCCGACGTATGGCCCGATTGATTAAAAAAAACCGCTTTTCAACTATTAATATTCACTGAAAACCTCTAATTACCTCATCAAGAACGATGACATTATCGAGGCAGGCGCCGAGGACCTTCATCTCCGATTTGAACCTGCAGCTGGCCTTTTGATCGATCGCATAACAGTACCAGTCGTCCGGATGGTAAGACATGGACAGAAGCGCCTCTTGGAGGGCATACGACTTAAAATACGGATATTATTCAATGAATATATAATTTCAGACCCTATAAACGAGGCGACTGTACGCTAAAGGCCGGTCCGACTTTGTAAAAAAGGTATTTCCAAAAATACGGCGTCGAATTGAGTTGCAGTCCATCGAGAAGTTCAATTTTTCCTAAAAAGCATTTTTCTGATTTTCTAACATTGAGGAATTGTCGATCGTGAAGGACCTCCAGAGTGGTCTCTATAGGGTAACCTTAGGGGCTTCTCTGGGAGTCACTTTACCGATCCTTATAGGGGTCACTAAAGCTTGAAAAGGTGGTCCCTATAGGAGACATGCTATGAACTGTAAGCAAAGAAGCATTTCCATAGGGAAGAACTGAATAAATAAGCGTTTTTGAATGAAATTGAAAGACCCCTATAGGGTCAACTTGAGCTTCAGGGGCCAAGAGGTCGGATCTTAAACCCCTATAGTGGCCACTTACGCTTGCAAAACCAGTCCCTAATATGGATTTTAGTTAGTTTTCCCTACAGGGGACATGGTAGTCGATAATAGACGAAGAAGCATTTTTATGCTAAAACAAAAAATTAACTTTTTTTTTGAATCATTTTAATGATTCTTATGGGACCACTTAAGCTTCAGAACTAAGAGGTTAGACCCCAAACCCCTATATATCTTTAGGGGCCATTTTTTCGGCCTCTAAAAGAAAAATTGTTAATCTAACTGCTACTAAAATTTCTTAAAAGTACTTTCAAACCTCCGGCAGTGTCATCCGCCCCGCTTCAACGTAACTTTTCCGAGTCTCATTGTTATAATCGTCGAAAAACTCGCCGCACCGTAAATGGGGATTTACGCTCCTTGAAACAAAAAAAAATTGATAAAAAGTTAATGTCGTGTATAAAGTGATTCTGCGAAATCCAAAATAGCCGTCAGAGAAAGAAAAAGATATCCGAATTTTGGAGAGTCAGAGATAGTTTTACATTTCGCGGAAATGATAGCTGTGTCACGGCTGATTTGAGCCATCAAAAAAAGGGTCCTGACACGAAAATAAAAGATAGCGTCTGGATCGTGGAGAGCGCAGACAGGTAGCCGTAAGTCAGCTATACATTGAAAACGGCATAACATATTGCAAACCTGTTAAAATAATCCTTTTGCCATTCAATAAAATTGGCTTCGACTTCAGTAGATTTCAAGTGAGGGCTCTCCTCAAAATCCCACTTTTGCGGTGGCTGAAAATTCAAAAATTAGTTTTTATAAAAATCAGAGAAAAATTACCAAAACTTCATCGATGGCTAGCTTCTCAACGTAGTCCATATAAGAAAAGTAGAGCAAATAAATGACGTAAATCGAGGAGAAAAGTCCGAAAATGGTGAGCACCATCATGGCCATCTGTCGAAGTCGGAGGTTGATGAGACTGCAGGAAATCGACATCGACCGCCGGTTCCATGCCAATCCCAAGCTTCTTGAATCATAGCTGTAAATTATTTTTTCCTAGTTTCAGAAAAAAAAAAGGCAAGAGATGAAGCAATTTATTGAAATTCGAATGGAGGAAATTTGCAAAAAATGATAAATTTTTCAAGTTTAGCGCACTAAATCAGACGAATCGCGAAAAAAAGGTTGAACAATATTGTTAAAAAAAGACAGGTTGAAATTCGTTGATGAAAGTAAACCTTTTTTTAATTTTTCACCACGCGACCCTTGCGCCTTTGGATAACTTGTAGAATTTTTTAAAAAAATAAACTTTTTATAATTTTTCAACCTTTGTAGCAGAGGGGATCTATCCTTGAACTTCACATCGCCGCCCATGAGTTGAGCCGACAGCCCTGCCAGGTCCTTCTAAAAATGGCGCAAGCACTAAAATGCAATCTTCACGGGGATCAAAAATCATTTTCCTTCCGCTCAATGAGTTCAATCTACTCACTTTACAAAGTCAAACGCATGAACCTTATTCACCAATTCAGCTTGATAAGAATTTAAAAAAGACAAAGTTGTAAAACTTCAAAGCTCTTTGCACTAATAATCTGAAAAATATCACGCCAAAAATGGTATTTTTTTTCCGATAAGCTCTTATAATATGATCTATGAATCTCATGAACAATCTAGAATCTGTTTGAAAAATTTTTCGAAAATTTTTAAGAGCATAGACTGAATTTCAGGAGATTTTAAGGAGAATAGCCAATTTGTGTTATTAATAGTATTGAAAAATATTTCAAATAACTTCGCCTTTATAAATCTTCTGCAAGTAGCTTTTAACAGGTAACAAAAAACAAGAAAAATTAAAAGCATTGATAACCAAACAATAACGAGAAAAAAAGGAATGAGAAAAAATTCAGATTTTTTTAAAACACGATTACTGTTCATGAAACTTACGCAGATGACGGACTTGCGGATCAAACTTCATATCACGCGCAAATGGATAATTTTCAAGCTCACTTTTTATTGTTGAATTTCTAGATCTTCAACACATATTCTGCATCTGTTAATTTATTAAAATAAAAATGTAAGAAAGTTCAATTATCAAATAAAGTCTCGTTCTTCTTTGGGGAAAATCGTTTCGAGGTTGAGGACACCAATGTCGAAGGTACGTTTGGCATGGCCGCCGGGAGAAATGTACTGGGTCGGAATCCGGAACTTCACCTTTCGCTGACCAGGCTGAAAGTTGGAAGATTCATTTAAAAAAAAGGGAGATTTTCCTCATAAAGGAAACGAAACTTCTAGGAATCTCAAACTTACTTCAGAGCATCCGGATTTTTTCAAAAACAATTTTTTGACGCTTTTGCCTTTTTACCTAGTTATAAAGTTTCGAAGTTGATTTCTGTGAAGAAAAGGATGGTTTTTGGCGCTAAGCATGGGAAATTGTTTTGATATTGCTATCAGTGTACTTTCAAGCTGAAGTTATATCCAAATTCAAGACTTGAACCTTGATTCCGTCGTCGCAGTCGTGGTAAACCTTGAAAACCGGATCGATGTTGTCATTTCTCGTTCGCTTCCCTCAAATCGGTTGGTTAAAATATTGGTATTGATACAAAACGCGACCGAAAGTTGGAAAAAGCCGTCCGCGTCAGTGACGCCTTCGTCCAAGACGTCATCCGGATCGGGGCCGTCGTCTTCGTCCCACAGCTTCACCTTGACGTCGGAAGCCGGCCGAGGTCCGCACATCAGTCTGCCTTTAATGGCCACGGATTGCTCGCGCATGGCCAGACACACTTGGACAGTTAATATCAACAACAGAAATTTCCTCATTCCGTTTTGAAAGGTTTTGAGTTGCTGAAAAGGTACATTTCAAACTTTAGAACTCTGAGAATATTCCAGAACTTCTAAAAGAGAAAAAACACAAAGAGCCTCTGAAAACAAGGCTAAAGAATGATTTTTTCTCGAAACACCAACTGTCGACTTGTTTATGTCTAGCCATTTTCTCGATAGAACTTTAAACTTGTCTATTTTCCTGATTGCCAGGCCTTATTGATTCGGAATATGATAAAAGCAGTCAATTTTGTTTGTTTGTTGCGCTTAAAAGGCGATAAACGCAGTGATAACCGACATTTTGGGCACTTCTTTTTCGTTTTTCCATCAATTTACTACCTTTTTTGAGCCTTCTGATTCTCTTTTTTCAAGATAGCTGTTCAATATGATTCAATTGGACCGGAAGTACTGTGAAAATTTTTAGTGAACTCTATAGGGTTTTGACGTTTTAGTGGCCACTTTAGGGGTCAATGGATCAACATAACTGGTCCAATCTATTTGTTTTAAAATTATCAGAGCTACTGGAAGGAATACTGGATGAAAAACTACTGAAGTGACCACTAAATAGAAAACCTCTAAAGTGGCCACTAAAACGGAAAACAGTGGCCACTATAGAGGTCGGTTTAGTGGCCACTTTAGTGTCCTCTCCAAGTAGTTCTTGGCGAGCCTCTATAGTGGCCACTAAAAATTTTCCCAGTACCTCTCTTTTTTGGTACAAAGTCGGTATATTTTCTGTTTTTCGCTTTGACCCTCACCAAAATTATTCTACTCTTAATAGGCCATCTTTCCTATTCGAAATTTTCAGAATGAAGTCTTTTCTACTACTAGCAACACTTCTAACTGTAACCCTAGCCATGAGGGATCAGTCCGTGGCGATCAAAGGAAAACTCCGCTGCGGAGATAAACCAGCGGCCAACGTCCGCGTCAAGCTCTGGGAGGAGGACAGCGGTGATTTTTTAGTTGTTAGACTCATTATTGACGTCAGAACGGTCGCAGGTTATATTCCCACCGAATTCAGGTAAAAATGATAATTTTCAATCAAATGATATGAAGATAAGGCGTGCTTTAGCTGGTCAGACTCATTTTTGACTTCAGAAAAGCCCCAGGTTTGATTCCTACCCAAGTAAATTCATAGGAGGAAGATAACGATGATTTCTGGTATCAAAAAATTAGATAAAGCGTAGCTCAGTTGGTAATACTCATTCCATCGTTCGTAGGGTCACAGGTTCAACTCCTACCAAGGTTGAATTATGAGAGGAGGATAGCGGGAAGTTTCCATTCAAAAAATAATTTAATGAGGCCTCTTAATTTTCTTTCTTGGCCTTGCTAATCTCCGCAAAGTCGTAGGCTTGAGTTCTGTCTGATAACTTGAAAAAAAAGCTTGTCCTTATCCTAAAAAGAAACCTTCCAGGACCCGACCCGGACGACCTGCTCGACGAAGGCTACACGGACAGCAGCGGAGGCTTCAGTTTGTCTGGAGGAACCGCCGAACTCACCAACATCGACCCCGTCTTCAAGGTCTACCACAACTGCGACAAGGGCATTACGGTGAGTTGGAAATAATGAAAAGTAGCACAATTTTGATCTGAACTCCTCTAAAATTCTCAGGAAAAGTGTTGTAAAACCTTTTTTTGCATTTTTGAACGCGAAATCAATGAGGAAAGGCCAGGATAATCTGGAGAATTTTAAGCCAAACTCGAAAAATAAGATTTTTTCGCTTGAGTAAACCCTTCACGAAGAGCCCAACTCACTAAAATCTAGAGAACAAGTTCTCTAAAAGTAACAAAAACTGGTCATTTGCAGCCCGGCTCCCGAAAAATCAAGTTCAAGATCCCAACCTCTTACGTCACTAATGGCAAGGTATTTCTGTCTTTTTTCTTCAAAGCCTGCGAAAAATTTCAGTGGCCACTATAGGGTTTTGACGTCTTAGTGGCCACTATAGTAGTCAAATTAGTGGTCACCTTAGGGGTTAAAAATTAGTGGTAACTATAGTAGTCAAATTAGTAGCCTCTCAAGGGGTTTAAAGTTAGTGGCCACTATAGAGATCTAAGTTCTACTACTAGACCACTAAAAGTTTTAGTGACCACTTTAGGAGCCAATGGGTCAACATAAGTTATGTTACATAACTGGTCCAATATGTTTTTTTTTTGAAATTATCAGAGTTACTGGAAGGAATAATGGATGAAAAACTACTGAAGTGACCACTAAATAGAGAACCTCTATAGTTGCCACTAAACGGAGAATAATGGCCACTTTAGTGTTCTCTTCAAGTAGTCCTTGGCGAGCCTCTATAGTGGCCACTAAAAATTTTCGCAGGCCATCTCAAAACTGATTTTAAGACTGCGGCGAAGACTTTCGATATCGGAATCCTGAATTTGGAGACAATTTTCGCCCACGAAGAGCGCGAACTCATCGTTTCTTGAAATATTGTCAACTCTATGTGCAAAATGAACTTTCTTCAAAGATCCAGAAACTTTATTCTCTCTCGCGAAAGAAAACATCGAAAGTGCCCATGTCAAAGACCGGCGCCACGGGACCTCGAACGACGGCTTCTGGGGGTACATTGATTTCTGCGACACAGGTTATTTCCCGAGCCTGAAATCTCTGTTTTAACCTGGTAAAATCCGAGAAATCCTACACATTCTGTGAACACCAGGAAATAGGGTTCGATGGGAAAGAACCCAAATTCGAAACCCTGTAAAAATCTGATGATTAGTAACCGATTGAAGTGATTTATTGATGAATAATGTGCAATTAGTTCGTTAGTTCGAAAACAAACCCATGACAAAAAGGCAGCTTGCGAGCACAGTCTACCGATGGCTGGACCTTAACTTCTTCCGCTGTAGCCGCTTTTTTGATGGACACGAGGACATTGTTATTGTTGACTGAAAATTTTTTAGAGTAGACCCGTTCCTTTTCGTGGTATAAAATTGGCTTGGATTTTGGTAAGTAGTTTCCGTACAAACGAAATATCCCATCGTTTCAGAAAAAAAAATGGTGGAATTACACTGAGAACCTTTCTATTTCATCCTACTTTGTTGCAGTTTTTTTTTTTTGAAAAACGATTCACCACTTTCTTCCATCTTGTTGTTAGTAGCCGTAGGATTGGGGCCCGGAGGTTTTTTCGCCATCAAAGCAGTCGTCAGTTTCGTCTGAAATTTCATGAAAGTATTACCTTTATCTTAGCTTAGGATCGAAAAAGTAGAGAAAAAGATACATTTCAGTATGAGCAGAAACTAATTTTTTTGTTCCACTTTCAAACTATAAGGATCTGCACTAATAACATTGACGCGGTACATTGACGAGCTCGCAAACATCTCGCGTTTTTTCTCGCGCCGGTCTCGCATTTTTCTGGGCGCCAGCTCGCACTTTTCTAGGCGTGAGCTCGCATTTCTCTAAAAATTTTTTTCTCGAAAATTTCCGAAATGCAAGATAAATGCGAGGTCGCGGCGAGAAAAATGCGAGTTCGCGCCGAGATAAATGCGAGATCGCGCCTAGCACAGCGTTCTAAAACGGGGTTCACGCAGAAAGAGGCGCAAACTATTCTCAATGGAGCGCGTAACTTGGAGCGTTGTCAATCAAAATCAAGGTGCTTTTTTTTCTTTAACTTACATGCTATTAACTTTTTTCGATTGTTTTTTAAAATCTTTTTTTTGTTTCTAGGCACGTAAAATTTTAATTAATGTTTTTAAACGTTTTAGAAAGTTTTTGAAGTGTCCATAGCTCGGTTATGTGCCGAAACGTTGTTTATAAAAGAAAATACTGTATCCAAGAGACGAAACCGAAAATCGAAATTCCAACTCCAAGAATCGATCAAAATATCAGTTTCCAACTAATAAACAAGAGCTGTCAGTGTCCGCGCAAAAGAGAAAAAAAATTTCGACTTGACGAAAAAAATTCAAAAAAAGGTGTAATTGGTCTGTACCTAAGAGACAAAAACCGAAAAATCGAAATTTCAACTCCAGGAATCGATCACATTATCAGTTTTCAATTACTTAAACAGGATAAAAAAAATTAAACCTGAGTTAAAAAAATTTCGACTTTCGTGAACAGAACAATTATGTAGTCCTTTGAACCAATCAAACCACAAGAAAATAAACTGCGAAATTTTAAGAGAGTTAAAGAAAATGACTAGCAACACTTGGAAACTATAAATGTCAGGAAACAAAAATGCTAGCCTTCAAATAATCAAAAAATCCGGACTCTTAATTACGACGCGAAAAAGACGATTGTTAGCCACGCCTACTCATGCAACGTCCGCATGATTTTCAGAAAAGGGGCGGGAACCCCGCTTTAGAACGCTGTGCTAGAAAAAGCAACATGTTTGCGAGTTCGTCAATGTACCGCCACCGACCTCGCGTTTATCTCGTCAGTTATTCTTAGTGTGAGGAAGTCCTGGAAACAACCTCGAATCATTAGAGACTTAGCTGAACCCCTCGTGGAGTGGCTATTCTTCAAATTTTAAATTGTTGCCTAATTTGTCGAAAGAAATTAGCAAAAACGGACTTTTATTCAGAGATTTATTTGAGTTCATGAGTCTGGATTCAAGTCTTTTCACAGTCTAGATTTGAAAGAAAAGGAACTCCCACATGGTCAATGTTGTCATTGATTTCTTATTCATTTTTCTGCAAAGTTACGTTTCTGAATGCTCAAAAATTATATGTCTCGCACTAGATCTCGTTTCCGAGTTATAGCCTATTCCGCGCCAGCTTGTCACGTTTTTTTCCGCCAAAAAGACCGTATACCACATTAGCTCAAATTTCAGCTTTTATAACGCCAAGAATCAAAGGTCTTGAAGCGATTTTGGCCAAATTTGACCTGGCCTTTTGACGGAAAGAAAAATGTGACAAGCTGGCGCGGAATGGCCTATTGGAGCTTCAAAGTGTGCAAAATACGCAAACTATGACAAAAAAAAGCGCTATTTTGAGCTTTTGAAGTGTTTTAACTCGAAAACGAGATGAAATGAACAAATACGTATCGAAGTTACGAATTTTGCTTAAGCTACAGCTAGATAGAGATTTCCTTCAAAAATGTTGAATTGGGAAAAAATCTAGGCTCTCTAGGCTACGGATAATTGACAAAAACAATCAAATAACTCATACAGAAATGGTAGAGGCGTCATTTAGAGTTCTAAAATACTCAAACACCATTCATTGAAAACAGGCTTAATAGTTAGAAAAAAAATTGAAAGACTTCTCCAAAGTTGTCTAACCCTCCGAATTGCTTCTCACGCTACGGTAAGATCAAGTTTTGTTGACATTTTCAGTATTCTCAAAGGAGAAATTTTGGGCTACATCTCATTGGACTATCAACTATACCGTACTCCCTGAAGGATCCTAGGATTCTTCGAGACATCAAGTGATCACCCAAGTGGCGCCAGCGCTACTGACTAGTGAGGTGGTCACTTGAGAAGCCCGAAGCCTTCCAGGCTTTGCCGGGATGCAAACTCACAAAGAACGACATCGTGTTGCGTGCGTCGAAACTCGCAGACGAAATTTTTCAATGGCTAGATCAGCTGACCATTTCGTTTATATACTCTCATTCTTATCCACGTGGCACACGACGACACCAAATCGACGCCACGTCCACCTCAACGGCGGAAAATAAAATGTATTGTACGCAGCGCACACGATGCATGAGAAGCGACGCGCAAAAGCGAGATTGAATGTTTTTTATGAATAAAATTAGTTTTCATCGGACAAAACGAAAATTGCTTCGAAACGCAAAAAATTTCTCCAAAACAAAAATTAGTACTGTTTTGGAGCAACTTTGGCGCGCCGATGAACACGATTTTTCGTTTTGAAGCATGTTCCGTTTCTCCGATGAACACGCCACTAGCTGTTATAGTCTGTTCAGATTTTGAATGTTAAGTCGTCGCTCAAGCTCCGCCCATAATGGTGCGATAACCCGCGCCAGCTTCTCGCATGCTGAGCAGGTGTCTCAACGGGTGTAACCGTATTAAACCCGTGTTTCTGAGGTTATTTTAGTCTCAGTAGGGCTAAAACGGGAAAACAACGGGTGTAAGAAAAATATGTAACCCAGCTGTGCTAAAACAGGGTCTCAGTTGGGCTATATCTCTATGGTACCTGGATAGTACCTGGTCGGTATCTGGATGCTACCGGGTGTGTACCTGAAATTCGCGATTGCCACTGGCTGGCACATCGGTCGTTTATTTAGCACCAGTGTTTTTTTTTTTACACTTTCCCAGGCCTTCTAGGGTCTTATTGGATAAAGCTGAAACAAAAAATAACGACCCGGGAAGCGATTCTAGACTTTCCGAAAGAAATCGCGAATGTCAGGTAGCTACCCGGTAGCTACTTGCATCGACTTCCCGATTCACCTTTGTCTAAACACTGGTCAAAATCTTGCATTTACAATAAAAACAAGATTCTGTTAGAAAAGAAAGCTTTATGTAACGAGAAACCGACTGAATATCGAGAAAACCCTAATTTTAAAAAAATGGTCAAAAAAGACAGGATTTTTCTCATACCAGAAAAATTTTTTATCAAGGAAAACAGTGTTTACAGTCTGTTCAGATTTTGAATGTCAAGCAGCTAACTCCGCCCCTGCTGAGACGGTACCTTTTCGCGTCGATTTTTTATAGCGCGGGACGATTTTTGATCTTTTTTGATCTAAAAGACAGAAAAAGAAGTCAAAAAATGCAGCCTTATTAAAAAAAAGGCCATCGTCATATGTAGATAAAACATTGACGCGAAAGATATTGTAGCCTTGGGGGTGGAGTTAGCTGCGCTGCAGCTAATTTTTCCTCCGAGAGCACTGTCTCATCGCGAGCGACAATGATTATTCAATAACGCCGAGTTTTATAAATCTTTTTTGATACGAAACCTAGAAAAAAAGTCAAAGAATGCAATGAGATTGGAGAATCACCGTCGACGGCGTTCCTAAAGGACACACGCAAGAGAGCCGATGAGGCGTGTTGCCAAAAGTAAGGGGCACCAGCTGAGACCTTTAGCACGGCTGATTCACGGCTGGCATGAGCCATCGAAAAAAGAGTCCTGACACGATAATAAAAGAGACAGTGCATGGTTGGTGGAGAGCGCAGACACGCCACGCCTCTTCAGTGTCCCAAGTTAGCCGTGAATCGGCTATAACCTCCTCAGCATGCAAGATTTTGAGTTCCCATTACAAACTTAAACCTGGGTTTAGTGTGTGTACCACAACTTGGAATTTCACTGAACGACATTCCGCTGCGTGCCTTTGCGCGCTTTTAGTTTTTCTTTTTATTTAAGAACTCGACCAAAACGTGTTCCTAGTGGAACAGTCCATCTAGCAGAAAAAAAAACCAATTAAAAGCGAGACCGAGGCTCGCAAAGACACTGCGGAAAAGCGGAATGTCGTTCGGTGAAATTTCAAGTCGTGGCACACAGACTATACCGCAAAGTACTGTTTGAAATTCATCCAATAGTCTCGATTTTGATATCATCTTATAGCTAATGCTCCCTATCAGCAAATCTCATAAAATCTCGATAAAAAGTTGACGCGGAGCTGAGAAACATCAAGAAAAGGGCGCGACTCTTGTTAGAACGCTTTCACGGCGTTCTGCGTAGTGGAAGAAAATGTAAAAGTTTTTAAAATGCGGAGCGGCTTTGAAAGGTTGCTCCACCTAGATTACTGTAGACAGCTATGCGCGCGAACATTTGAATTTCTTCTCGCATGCTGAGCAGGTGTCTCAACGGGTGTACCCGTATTAAACCCGTGTTTCTGAGGTTATTCTAGTCTCAGTTGGGCTAAAACGGGTGTAAGAAAAATAGGTAACCCAGCTGGGCTGAAGCGGGGTCTCAGTTGGGCTAAAAAGTGCCAAAAGTTCTATCAGCTGGGGTTATACGGGTTTATTACGGGGGCACCCGCTGAGACCCCGTGTTAGCACGGCGGGGTTACCCTGCTCAGCATGCGAGTTGTTGCTCAAGCGTTTCAGGTGATTTTTCATGTTTATTTAAGTTGTATCTTTATCTGTTTGGTTCTGATTTACGGTAATTATTTTTCATTGCGACAGAAAAATGCGAAGGATTTTTCGTTTTTTAATTTTCGAAATGAACTGCTGGGTTTTGACAAAATTTCCCCTTTAAAGCAAAAAAAAGCCTTTCAGACACATTTTCAGTGTCAAATTAAATTTTTTATTCGAATCAATCAATCTCTTCATTTTCGCAACATCAGAATGGTATGGCGATGTTGCAGAGGAGATGAACTAAACTAAATCTGTGAAGAAAACTTTTTTTTTAAATTTTTAATAAGTAGGGAAAGACACATAGAACCACAATAAGTCCTTTTCGGCACAAAATTCCACGTTTTTCACTGAAAAAAGAACTTTAACTAATTTTGAGGGTGAAAGGTTTAAAAGTGTTCAGAAAATAAGAAAAACTTTCACCCAAATGTTTTTTGTCAGCTAGAAAAGGAATTGTGAAAGGATCGATTTTTTTCAAGTCTGTAATTTTGAAGAAACGCTATTTTTTGAGGAAAAAACTTATTCTCGAATTTAATGAGTATGCGAGTTAGCGTCGTTCTGTGTATGCACCAAAGACGTCAAATATTACGGAAATTGTGGGAGGGGCGTCGTCAAAAGAACGCCGTGGCTTTTTGTACTGAATCGCGTTCCGCCGATACGCAGGTGCCCACCGTCTGACCGTAACCCGGCTCCAGTAACAGGAAATGGCTCAAAAAGATTCCTCGACCGAAAAGGCGAAAGTTAAGGTTTGTCTTTTTTTGATGATTGCCTATTTTATTCTTGTTTTCTATCGTAAAATGGCGGTATTTAATGAATGAAAGGAAATTTTTGAGTCATAAAACGTGAATTAAAACAGTTTTTTTACTCAAAAAGAAAAATCTGCTTTTTCCGGATTTTTTTAATGTTCTTATAGCCCATTCCGAGCCAGCTTGTCACGTTTTCTTTCTCAAAAAAAAACCGTATACCAAAATAGATCAAAATTCAGCATCTTCTCAGGAATTCCAGAGTGGTCCCTACAGGGGTTAGTGAGGAAAAAAAACCCTCATAGGGGCCGAAAAAAGGTCCCTTTAGGGGGTAAAATCGAGGTGGTCTCTATAGGGCACGGCGTTCCAAAACTGGGATAAGTTTTAGGGGGCCCTATAGGGGGTAAATTAGGGCCCCTTGGAGGGGCCCTATAGGGGTCCCTAAATGAAACCCTATAGGGACCCCTACGAATTTTTAGGGGTCCCTTTAGGGGGGGCACGGAAAAATTTCTGAAATAGCTCCGGGAGGAAATAGAGAAACCCTTATTGAATGCGAATCGTTAACACATCCGCAGTAAACTCATCTCATCGCGTTTGAAACTGTTTCCAAATTTATTGAAACGAATTGAAAAACATTAAAAGCAATCAGGATCATCAATGGAAACAGATAGACATAAGTAACAAAACAACGAGCAAAAAACTGAAGATATGTATACGTAACAGGGTATTCGAGGAAGCAAAAAAACTTTTTGGCCGTAAAAAGACCCGTATAAATATTTGACACGTCTAAATCACTGCCAACGGAAACCGTATTGATCAATCTAATAGAAGCTCTTCAAGACAATAAAGATACGCCTAAAGCATATTGATATAAGCGCTACTTGCGAAAAAATAGAAGAAAAACGCGTTGTGTCAAAGCAAATGGTTGGGCAACTTTCAATAAAAAACGTTGGGACTTCCGACACGGAAACGGTTGAAACTACTTAGATAAGGGGCAAAAAGTTTGGCACATATAAAAAAGAACAATTGAACAGTGAGCAAAAAACAACCAACGTTGAAATTTGAAAGAAACTTATTGAATTGCTCGGCCCGCGGTAATCTTCCGTTGATTCTGGTTCATGTGGCGGCTCAAAATTTCCGTCGGCTGATTCCGTGCTTCTACGATCATTTATCATTATCAACATTTTCGATATACCTTTCAGAATCTTCATCGCTGCTGTAGAACCAATGCGCATCAATAAAATCGCGACTCCGCGGCATCTTAATAAAAAATTAAGTTTTCTTTAACAAGCAATAATCAAATAGAATATATAAACACGCATTTACATCAAAAACCTCCAACAAACATCATCTACCGGTGAATTTCTGACGGTTTCACACAATCCAGTAGACCAATTATACATAGACGAAACTCTGACAATACCAAAATAAAAAATACCCTGAACATATTTACATAAACCAATATATCAATTGTACATAAACGAAACACTGAAAATACTGAACCAATGTACAGATTGCCGTGTTAACTTTTATGAAGCACAAAAAAAAACGCACAACATAGGCAAAGTCGGAAGGACCCTTCACGGGCCCTTTGGGAGTCCGTTACGGATCCGTCTGTTTCCATTAATTGTTCCTAAACGGGTGGCAAAGGTTTCCTTTTTACTGCCTTTTTGCGTCCTTTCATCGGCCTTCATCCGCCCTTTTTGGACCCTTTTGTGAAATAAATTTTTTTTAAATCAAGACTAATCTTTAAAAGTGACTGTGTATGAACCAAAATATGCTACAGTAATAAAATCGTAAAAATCAATAGCAGAAACTTTCAGAACCCTTTTGCACCCTCACCCTTTCTTCACCCTTTTTGCGGCCTCTCCCTTTTTTCGCCCTTTTATGACTCTTTTTAGCCCACCAAAAATGGAAGGCTCAATAAAGGCCGTAAAAAGGGACCCTTTTAGCGGTCATTTTGCAGTCACTCCCTTTTTGCACCCGTTTTCCGCACTTCCGACTTTGGCAGTGCAAATCATTATAATACAATTTGAAACCATAACGAAAAAATCCTACTGACAACTCGTTCGTGAATAACGTATTACTTCCTTAAGCACCACAGAAATTGATGAAATATAAATACAAGTTATAAAGTTAAACTAAAACTGAGTCGACTGAGTCAACTCAAAACTTAGAAAATGGGAAAGATATTAAAAAAAAAAACCACGTTCGTTCCAAGGGGTCTTCGCGACCCCTTGAGGGTCTTGCAATTTTTAGGGAGCGATTTAGGACCCCCTATAGGGGGCCCTAGGGATTTCCCCCTAAAAAGGCCACTTGCAGACCCCCTATAGGGCCCCCTAAAATCGCGGCCCCCTAAAACTTATCCCAGAAGGGAACCTCGCAGTGGAGAAAAATGAGGCAGAAAGTACCGCGCCTCAATTGCAGAAAACTGGACGTGCTTTAGTTTTGTATTGGGAATTCAAAACCTTATTACTTATTACATTTTCGTTTCTGAGTGTTACTTTTGTGTTTATATTGTTCGTCAGCTCTGACTTCATATAAGTTGGTTGTGTCATGTCGCTCCTTGGCCGTTTACCACTTTAGTTGAGGAAAAAAGAAAAATGATAATTCGCAAGTTTTTAATTTTCATGCCATGTGTTCGACATCTTTCTGCTTGATTCATGTGCAGAATGAGTTTTTCTACAATCTCAAATTGTTCAAAAAAAAATCTTTGCCGGCAAAAATAATTTTTAAACTGAATTTCATGGAATCTTGTCAAATTTTGGGTGTTCCGCGCGAAAGACTAAAACTTTGTGGTATGTCGGTCAATCTTTTAATTTGATAGATGAAAATGTTCACACAGGTTCATTCAAAAGAACATGGTTAATTAGAAAATGGAAAATTTTTAGAGAACACCTGCGAAGATCGCAGAACTAAGCAACAAATGAGCGTTTTTTTCCATTATCATTCTATGTGATTTTTTTGTCAAAACTTCTCAACAACATTCATTCAACTTTTTTTGTTTTACGTTTTACTATCATTCTTTTATTTTTTAAACAATGAATATCATAGGCTTATAGCTGAAAATTTTTCGTAAAACCGATTTGAAGGTTGAGAAGCAAGTATACGGATAATTTCCAGTGAAACTTCATCAAATTGCTTCTTTATGATTCGAAAGCTTCCACTATTCCATGGACATCATGATAATCACAAAAACTACTCTGAATTCAATCGAAACGTCTCAGAAAAAGTCAAAAACGAAGTTTTAACAAATTGTGAATTTTCAAAAAAAAAATGTTTGTTGCGCAAGTACGATCCAACGAACGCAAGGGCGCGGTAAAATGACACGCTTCATCGGCTCACTTGCGAGTTCCCTTTTGGAACGCCGTGGCCTGGATTGTGAAGAGTGCAGAGAGACCACGCCCCTTAGCGTCCCAACCTGGCCGTGAGTCAGCTATATAGGGGGCCTATTTTTCTACCTATAGGGGCACCTAAAACAACAAACCCCTAGAGGGACCCCTCAGAAATTCCTCAGTAAAGCTCTTCTTCGTATTCCGGAAAATTCGTGGCAACTTTAAAGGTTTTTCTTTCACTTTTTTTTTCGAGCTCTCTGTTTGAAAGATGGATCTTTTAATCATTTTAAAATTTTTCTGAACGTTGAAATAAATTTCTCCTTGAACAAAGCAATTATCTGAGAAAAAAATTTTCCATTTTAAAGTTGAATCATGATTTTCAATATATAACTTGTCAAAAGCCAATTTTCAGACTGCCCTGGAGAGCCTCGTCGAACAGAAGCACAAGGAAAACGTTAATGTTGGCGAGCGCAACTCGGAAGCTCATCCACATCTGTTGATGATCGACGTTTCCACGGAGGTCAACGATTTTTTTCGGAAATTCAATCGTTCTTATTCGATTTTTTTGACTGTAAATGGTGTTATAATACACATTTTGAATTCAAAAAATTTTTGGAGAATATTTCATCAACTTTTGAACATATATGTTTGGCCGTTAAGGATCTTGAGAGGGAAATAAAAATGTTCCTCTAAAAGCTCCTAAAATGGTGTGAAAAAGCTTTCGAGCTACTTTTTCATAGCCTCAGGTTTTGTTAGAGGATGTTAAAAAGATGCAAAAAATTAAGGAAGTGATATAAAAAAGATCTGCTGGGAACTCTTTGACGGTCTTTTTTTCAGAAAAGCGTTTGGGGAGCTTTTCAGTTTTGCCCGAGAAAAAAAAATTTAAAAAGATTCGAGAGGATTCAATTAGGATCCTCTGAGGCTATGAAAAAGTAGCTCAAAAGCTTATTACACCATTTTAGGAGCTTTTAGAGGAACATTTTTATAGCTAATTCACGGCTGGCTTGAGCCATCGAAAAAAGGGTCCTGACACGATAATGCGTGAGGTAGTGCCTGGCTCGTGGAGAGCGCAGACATGCCACGCCCCCTTACCGTCCCACTAGCCGTGAATCAGCTATTCCTCTCTCTCAGGATCCTTTAAGATCCTCAAAGGGAATGAAATTTCAAATTTTTTTTCAGAGTCCGGCCCTAGCCCGCGCAGGCTTTTTTCTTCAAAACAAAGGCCGAAAGCCCGGCTTGTCGCACTAGCCTGTGGCGCGGTAAAATGACACGACTTATCGGCTCGCCTGCGAGTTCTCTTTAGGAACGCTTTCGAAGGTGATTCTTCAATCTCAATGCATTCTTTGACTTTTTTCTAGGATTCGTATCAAAAAAAGACTTTAAAAAATTCGGCGTTATTAAATAATCATCGTCGCACGCGATGAGACAGTGCTCACACCACCGGACAGAGCGAGATGTTTGCGAGTTCGTCAATGTACCGCCCCGACCTAGCATTCTCTCGCGCCAGACTCCGTATTTATCTTTAGTGAGTAACAGAAAGCCATTTATAGCCCGTTCACGGCTGGCTTGGGACAGCGAACGGGCGGTTTAACTTGCGCGGCGATGGTAGATCATGGCGGCCATACATGCGCCTTTGAAAAGATCCTCGTTTGGTGAATTATTTTTTTTTCAATTGAATTTACTTTTTCTTTTAAATTAGTTTCATTAAATTCAGATTTTCTTTCAGTCACCGAAATATAAAGTATAAAGAAATAAGTCATAAATTCAGCATTTTGTGGAAGGCGTACTGATGCCGTGTTCAATTTGATTCCGCGAAATGCAAAATACCCGTTATGGCGTGTTCATCGGAGAACCGGAACATGCTTCAAAACGAAAAATCGTGTTCATCAGCACGCCAAAGTTGCTCCAAAACAGTGCTAATTTTTGTTTTGGAGCAATTTTTTGCGTTTCGAAGCAATTTTCGTTTTGTCCGACAAACACGCCATTAGAGAAAGGAAAAGATCACTAAATTTTCGAGAGTCAGAGATCATTTTGGATTTCGCGGAATCAAATTGAAAACGGCACGATAGTCGTCATGATCTACCGCCGCGAAAATTAAACCACCCGTTCACTGTCCCAAGCCAGCCGTGAACGGGTTATACCTGGCGATAAATCGTTGTGGGACTAAGTTTATCTGCGCCTTCCCGTAATACCAATTCTGCATGTTTCCCGAAATCATTCTAAACGGATAACGCGTCAATTTTGAAATCTCCAAAATTACTTCGAACTTGGCATATAGGTCATTCCGCGCCAGCTTGTCACGATTTCCAGTTTATTTGGAGCTACAGTAGCCTTTTCGGCGCTTCGCTTCAATGCTCTCGGTGTGCCCCCTTGCGTGCGCCTTTAATAAAACTCAGTGTTTCCGAACTTTGGAATTTTCTTATTCTACAAAAACAGTTGTAACATCAAACTTTATATCAAACTAAGCCAAAAATTATATGCAAGAAAAAGCTCGAACAGTCGGTTTCATCAATAACAATTAAAAAAAGTAATAATTCAATCTTTTTTTGATTTTTTTTTTTGAAATCCAGCACAGAAGCTGAGTGTGTATAGTTAACGCGAAAAATGAAATAAATCAATTGAAAACAACCTCGTAAATTAATAAAAGAGATAGAGGAAATATCTTAATCAGAAATAATGTTTTATTAAAGGCGCACGCAAGGGGGAACACCGAGAGCATCGAAGCGAAGCGCCGAAAGGTGTTTCGCTCCGAGGAAAATTAAAATCGTGACAAGCTGGCGCGGAATGACCTATAAAGGATGTCTGTCATTGTTATTTTATACTTTATCGAAACAGACTCCAAATTATCAAAAATAGACGCTGACGTGGAAATGCCACTTGGCAATAGAGTGAGAGTATATAAAAACTACGCTGAGCTGATCTAGCTATTGAAACGAATCGTCATCAGACCAACGTCGACCAACGTGAGTTTGAATCCCGGCGGAAGGCTTCTGGCTCCTCGAGTAAACACGTAAGCGGAGCACGGCATTGATGAAAAGCTTTGAACATGTGTTTCCGAAAAATCTCCATTTTTATATTCCAAATACTACGAAACGATCACATAGCTTATAGCTGTTTGCCCTTATGGTCTATGTGCTATGTGATCGTTTCTACGTATTAGGATATAATAAATATTTTACTTCAACAACTACGTTGTCTAGCAAAATATAACATTCTCCGCTTTCTTTGAAAGTTCGCAAATTCTGTTCGAATACATCTGTACGATTCACAGTGGAGTTCGCAATTATTGAAAAAAGCCATAACCCGAAGAAACCTTATTTTGCAACATTTGAACTGGTAATGGGAAGAGGATCAGAGGCGGTCGTATGCGAAAAAATTGGAAAATTATTTTCCGCCATCTTGAAAATAGAGAGCGGCTTGGAATTGATCGCCTTAGAATTGGTTCTGATTTTGGTTTGGAAAATCATGGTTGGAAAAAGAGCCGGCCGATTTTCTCGACTTGGAAGCACATCTAAAAATGACAAACCATTGCAAAAAGAGAAGTTTCGTTTAAAAAGTTTGAGAAATCAACGGAAGAAAGTGTACCTTTGGTTCTGAAAGAACGTGCTTTGGTTAGGAATGAACATGTTTTTTGTTCGGAATGAACACATGAAAAAGTCCCTTTTTGGTTAGGATGATTACTCAATTGGTTCGGAATGATCAGGCTCGGAACCAAATCCCAACCAAGTGATGATTGTAGGTCATAGAAAACCTAATCAGCTTTAAGAAAAAGAAAGTTTTTCTTGTGTTTCTTTTAATTATATTGATATTTTTCAGCAACGGACACTTCGCCCATCATGAAGTGGAACTGTATTGAAGGTATCTTCTTTTCTTTTTTTTTAAGTTATGCTTTTTATTTCAGGAAGGTTGAGTCTGAAGCTGTTGCTAATGATAGCAATGCTGAACGCATTTTCTGCTGGTTTGCTTATTTTTTCCCTTCATAAAGTCCGTTCAGATTTTGAATGTCAAGTAGAATGACGTCATTCGAGAACGCTCTGCGAATGCCTTTATCGCGCCATTAGGGGCGGAGCTTGAGCGAGGACTTGACATTTGAAATCTGAAGAGACTATACTTTTCGTCGAGAAGTTTAGCTTCATGACTGACGCGGGATAGTAACCACGTCGCGATTTTGTAAAATCGCAAACCGCTTCTCTGTGACTTCACTTTACGAAAAACAAGAAATACATAAGTGAAAATATTTGTTCTATATATTAATTCACTTTGATTGGAAGAATGCGACGAGCCTGAAAAATTTCTTCACGTTCAAGTTTTAATTTGAAGTGTCCATAATTCTATAGAGTTCATATGCTTTTATCAGTTTGTTTTACCATATTATAACTCGAAAAGTTCAGACTTCGTATCAAATAAGTTAGGTCAAGATGACGTCACGAAATAGAATTTGCGTTTTAACTGAAAGTGTCGCTGCAAAAACTATGTCTTTGCAAAAACCCAAGAATGTTATTAAGATAACATTTTATGTCAAATAGCTTCAGCCAACAGTGAATAAAAGATACTGATGTGCTCAATATTTAGAAACACATCGGAACGTTTGAGAAAAAAACATTTTCATATCCTTTTTTGCTACAGATTTGGGGAAAATTGATCCCTTGCTCCATGACAAGTGCGTTGCGATTTATAGAATCGAAAGAATAAATCTTATTGGAAAATAAGTTTCATGATCATGAAAGCGTCTAGATAACGAGCATTCACTATATCAGCCTTGTTACAGTTGATGAGAATCCTCAACTTGCAGAAGATTGCTGCAAGAGGCCCATGACCGCGTACGCAGATAAAGAAGGTTTCCCAACCGAATGCGAAAAGTTGAAATGTACCGAAGAAATTATCTACGCGGATCGAGCTGAATCTGCAAAATATGTCTCCAGTTTTTTGTTTGCGGTGGGAAAAAGCAGTACGATCACCATGGTTGGAAACACGACGACGTACACTGTGGCTAATCTGGTAGAGATTGTCCACAAGGGACCGGGTACGTTCCATTTAAAACTGGAAAAAGGGAGATACTGGCTATTTTGAATTAATTTTCCGTTTAGGACTAGCGAAAAAATAGTTTTGTACTTATTTCTAGATTGAGGAAACCTGCGCTTACATATCCCCACTGTCACATTAGACTGTCAAATTAGGCTTCCGTTTTTGGAAAAATCATCTTTTGTTTTTAGGTCCAGCATTGACATTGGTGAACGTCAAGTTGATCGATGAATCTTTCGCGAAGTTAAAAACGATCAAAGTGGACGACATCTCTATTTATTGCGACGGCAGTAGCGAACTGATCAAGATAGAAGGAAGTATCCCTCAACCTATACTCGACCGATTGCAAAAAGTGGAAAATAAGGTATTTTTTTTTTAGAATAACGAGGAGACAAGAAAAGTATATTTCAGTTTGTTCAAATTTTTTTTTTTCCAAATTGGAAGAAAGTTTGTGCGAAGTACCCAAGTAATTTAATCGCTTCAGAAAAAACATTTTAGCAGTTTTATAACTCTCAAAGAAATCACATCATCAAGCCGATCGCTTCTATTGTTTGTAATATCCATCAAGTAGGCTCAAATTTACAGTCGCGAGTAGCCTTCTAATATATTTGTAAGAGGAAAGATTTCTCGAACTATTAAGAAAAAAATATGGTTCAATATTCAAACGCTTATCGTCGGAATTCAAAAATTCACTGAAATCATGGGAAATTTTTCAAAGGAATTGTATATTAAACACTATAATATTTCGTCAAAGGCATAATTTCAAAAAAGATTTATTGAGTTTTGAAAAGAGCATTAGAGAAAAAATTGAGCGCTTCTTATTTCCCTTTCGACAACCTAGAAGCTCTTTGAGAGCATGAATGGTTTCAAAGGAAAACTCGAAAGAATTCTCAGAATAGTTAATCTTGTTTCAGACCCTAACTGCATGCAAGTCACTGACGACTACTCAGCCGACGGTTCTCGGCGCGACCCACGGAGCAGGAGTCTCGAGCTCGAACTCTTCCGCGGTGATCTCCCAATTGTGCACGCAGAAGATAGATGCCGAGAAGGAGAAGTGCTCTAGCAACAGTGAGTTTGGAAAAAAAAAACAACAAAACCACTGGAAACTGAATTTTAGTGATAAAAAATGAAAGTGCTTTTGAAAAAAAGTAATTAACCTTTTTGAAAATTTAAATTCAGTGAACATAGTGGGTATTAGAGGATGTTAATTGTAGAGGTTTTACAGTAAGAAAATGTAGAAACATAACCTTTTTCAGATATCATTTTATAATTTGTTCACATCATTGAGCCAACAGTTCTTTGAATTTTCGACAAAATTAAGAAGAGTTATCTGGACTTTTCTTCACAGACACGCTGCTGTACATCGCCTGTGGAGGGATAGTGGTTCTTCTGATTGTGAGCATCGTTTCGACGATCATCGCTCTCAAGCTCTACTTATGGCGCCACAAAAAGAGTTGATCTTCCGCGACAGTGATCTACGGGTCAAAGAAAGGCGCCAAATTTTCCCCCTTTTTAGCCCTTCTCTATTGTCATCTTTTTCTTTCTCGCCATATTTTTCTATTCCTTTCAAGTTCATTGTTCTTTCTAATTAGTTACCTTTTTTTATTTGTTTTTCGTTTATCTATTTTTATTCATTTGTATCTCGTCTTTGTTAAATTAATTTCTTATTCAAACGAGTAACACTCCTTTATCCTATTAAGTACGCGTTAATAACTTCTCGTTGTTTTTTTACAAAAACGTGTTGGTTTAATTACCCAAGTTTGAGGTTTCTCAACGTGGGATCAACCTCAACCCTTGCACAGTTGTGAGCCGCCCGTTTTCGTACTCAATTCTTGGAAGTTAGTAAAGAGTGGTATTTGAAAAGAAATCGTGTTCGTGTTATATAAAAAAACCGCGTAATTACGCTTTAGAATTGCAAGTCCTCGAACACTTAAGTGTTCACTAAGCGAGAGTCGTCGAGGGGGCAAGGTCTCAGACCCAGCCAGCGTTGCTTCGTCGTGTCTCTCTGTCGAAGCTGCTCAGACGACTGCGGAAAACCGTGTTGTGGCTCTTGCCCGCCGGTTCACCTTCTTTCTCCTGCAGCAGCCCAGCTAGGAAGAGTGTTGTGGCTCAGCCCGCCTCTCTCCACTGGATACAAACCGGACGTGAACTTTCCAAAAAAACTTACTGAGAAAGCCCTGAAGGGGAAAAAAACCTCTCGGAGGCGTAGAAATCTCTTTAAAAGTTAGTTAAGGGAATACTCGTTTGGCGTTCTTTGATTACTGAGATTAGTAAAGTAGTGTTTATAATTACGTAAACCATCTTCGCTAAATCTACTAAAGGACCTAGTCCTAGCTTCCTTCGGTATTGGTTTTTTTCTGATAGCAAAATTAAGAATGTTCTTAATTTTTTTAGTTACCAAAAAAATAGAACTTAAAAAAACAACAAAGAAACAAAAATATAAGTATGAGCTTCAAAACTTCGAGAAATTATAAAGGCTTTTGAAAGTAAATGCTCGTTAATGTTACATTAAAAATTATTCCAATGGTCTCACTTTAAAAATTTTCCGAGTTTGGAGTTTGAGGCTTCGAGACATTTTCACAGAACAGTATCTGGGCAAAGTTCCCCAACCGTAAATCCTTTCTTGTTAACAATTTTGAATTAAAAAAATTGTTGTTTTCAGGTTCGTACGCCGCTCAAGTTTTCGACAGGGCCATTTACAACTTATGCGACCAAGATTGTCGCTCGCGTTAGTTTTTTCTTTTCAATTTACCTGGTTAATCCGATGAACTTCAGTGATGCGAGTCTTTTCGGATACGCACGCTGACGCTGCCGATGATGCACGTAAGAACTTGAACTTTGTTTTCTGAGCTTAAATTTCTCGAGCTCAGTTCCGAGTCTCTTTGAACGGGTTTTCCTTTCTATTTTTTCCATGCGGAGCAAACTCCGGCAGAAATTATTTATTTTTTTTCTTTCAGACGATGATGTGGCAAGAGAGAAGAAGTTGGCTGCGCGTCGATTCTGGAAAGTCCAGCAAGGCAAGAAGTTGGAACCCGACGATGACTTTGGGGAGCCGCCTGATGATAAAATCACTCCTGTCACGGATGATGAAGTCTTCCGGCGGGCCAGAGAGGGAATCATGTCCGAAGACGTCCAGGAGGCGCTGCAGAAGTACGAAGAAGTAAAGGCGAGCATCGTCAAAAATGGAAAGTTCGATCCTCCGAACAATGTGAAGCCCATCTCGGACACACGTCAGCGAAATCATGATCTGATGGCTGCGATGAAGTCATCGAGTCGGAAGAAGGTCAAGCCCGATGCTCCATTTTATATGGATCCTTCGATGTTCGTGGACCCAAAGAAGTTGGCCAGGGAGGGGCAGCTGCCGAAGAGACCAGAGCCGCAGTCCAAGGATCAGACAAAGTCGTCGGTGCCCGCCTCCAAGGACAAGGTTCCCGCTCCTCAGACCAACCGCAAGCCTGCTGGCGCCGAAGCCGCTGCCAAACAGCCCGCCCCTGCAAAGAAAGACGCTAAAAAGCCGCCCTCGCAGGAGACCACTTCGAAGGAACCTGTCGGCAAGTCTACGACTCAGGTTAGTTTGAAAGAAAAAAAATTTCGGTTTTTGAATGTTAAGAAAGCTAAACTGTTATAAGAGTTGACAGACGAAAGCTCAGACGCTTCGAAGTAGAGAAACATTTGGCTTTCAAGTTGATTCCGGTCTCATCTTTCAGCTCACCGACAACAAAACTGCTGCTCAGGCTCCGGCTCAAGGTGCGGGTTCGGTTGAAGAACCGCTGCCGCCGCCAAGAGTCAGAGAGTCGGAGGTCGACCCAAAGTACGCTGGACAGATCCCGAAGGACGTGACGCCCCGAGCTCTCTGCAAACCGTTGCGAATCAAGACGTCTGCATGCCCGAAAATCTCCAAACAGTTCTCCGGAGAGTCCGACGAGCTGAGTGAGTAGCCTTGAAAAGAGATGACAAAATCATTTTCCAATTTCAGAGCAAACATTTACTGTTCTAGCCATGATCTGCAACAAGTTCGAAGAGGTCCTGGAGGCTCACAGAATAGGTAAAATTAGAAAAATTGCAGCTTTAGGATTTAAAAAACCAGTTGATCATCATCGATCCATGATAACATAATTCAGCTATGAACGTGCTCGTTAGGATGGTGGAGGATGCCGTGATGTCCACGCGCGGAGCCGTATACGAAACGACGATTATCCGTGAGCGAGAGGGCGATCTACGAGCTCCTTTGACTCGGGGTTGCGTGCAAGGACGATGGCAAAAAAGGCTGCAACGTCCAGGGTCAGTACTTCGTCTTGTTCGGAAGGCACTGGGAAGGCGTTGGGAAGATCAGCGTCCAGTTCCGTGGAAGGCGTTCGGAAGGTTTCCAGCAAGTGGTCGAAAGCCTTCCGAATAGCTTCCCAACACCTTCCCCGAATTCGCCTGAGTAACTAATTTTTTCTTTACATCATTTCTTTTTTCCAGACTTTTTGAAGGACCTCGAGATGTTGCGCCAGAACGGCGGAGACGGTGATACAGAACTCTACAACCTTCTCGAGAATGGCGAGCGATTCCGTGCCCAGAAGTTGGGCGTCGCAGGAAAAAACTACACATATTTCTGGAATAGTTCGTTTTATCCTTATGCGAATCCCAGTACTGACTGCTGACGGGGCACCTCAGATCTTCCTGCTGTTTCGAGTAGTCGCCTCCTGGCGGAACTACCTACTTCTGGAATAGTTCGTTTTCATTTTCTTCCACTGAAAGTCGATAACTGGAAGAAAATGAAAATTTATTAATATCAATGCGACTGAGGAAGTTTTTTAACAATGTTAGCGCTTTGCGGTCGATAAACTCGAAATATGGAATTTTTTTTCAATAAAAACGAGTTTCAGAGAAGACGACTACGGCCGAGGCGGTCCTTCCGGGAGAGACATACGAGAAGGCCATGGTTCGTATGGAAGGTGAGAACTTCCTTTTTTTGTAGGTGATTTAAGGCATACATGCGGATTTATTTTTTGTCAAAAGCGTCTAAAAATTGCGGAAAAAAATGTTCAATTTTTTCAGAAGAGATGGAAGACCTCAATCGCGTGATCGATCTGTACAAGATTCGCAAGTGCCGCCTCCGAGCGAACCGTAGGGCAACTCGGGGCGTCAAAAAGGCGAAGATGTACCCCCAGCTCAAGAAGATAGATACGAAAAAGCCGAAAGACGACAAGAAGGTCGCCGGTGAGAAGAAGGAGAAGGAGAGCGAGGCGAAGGAAAACGAGAAAGAGTCCCAGGAGACCAGCAAGGAGAAAAATTAGAGTCATCGTTTTTTCCGCCTTTATTACTGGTTCCCGGCACGGCTTTTTTTTCACTGATTGCATTTATGAAATCTTTTTTCTTATCAAAGTCCCGTTTTATTTAAATTATACTGTAGGGAAACTTTATAAAAATTTAATCGTATCGCAAAATAAAATAATTTTTGTTCGCTTCTGGTTTTTTTTGGGAATAACATTGGAGTTTAAAACATGCTCGGCTTACTGTGGACGTTGACTGCATACACGGAGCTCGCGATTAAACTGAAAACATTTGAAATGACGACGAAGGATTTTTCTGCTACTTGTTCGAACACGGGCCGTTCTTCTTGCTCAATTTTTATAAGGTATTTCATATTTCTTTTCAATATTAATGGTGACCTCCTTATTTTTCAAGTGAATATTGCTTTTTTTTTAAAATATTTTCTGGGAACCACATAGCTTTATCAACTCGATTATCTGTTATAAGCCAATGAAACAATACAATTCAATAATGTTTTTGATTTCATTTTAGTATTGAAAATTTCTGAAGGTTTTGAGTTACTATTACAGTGCGGAATCAACAACTTTCATTTGCACATAAAAATTATTTGCATATTTTGAATTAAACATCTTGGCAAATGTAAATTTCTTTTCGGAAAAATGGCAAGGATTTCAAGAGGCTATGAGAAAATGCATGTTTTCGAAAACGTCTCGTCTACATTCCGATGACCCATATATAGCCCGTTCACGGCTGACCTGGGACAGCGAACGGGCGGTTTAATTTTCGCGGCGAAGGTAGATCATTGTGGCCATACGTGCGCCTAAAGACTCATTTGGTGAATTTTTTTTGTTTACATTCATATCATTGGTTTTTAGATTTTTTTTTAAATCGATAAAATACAAAATAAAAACAAATAAGCCAAAAAATAGGGCTTTTATGAAAGGCGCATGGATATTCGCCATGATCTACCTTTGCCGCGAAAATTAAACCGCCCGTTCGCTGTCCCAAACCAGCCGTGAACGGGCTATAGTCTGTTCAGATTTTGAATGTCAAGTCGTCGCTCAAGCTCCGCTCATAATGGTGCGATAAACCAATCAGAGCGCGAGCCATCCACAGAGTGTTTTTGAATGACGTCATTGCACTTGACATTCAAAAATCTGAACAGACTATAGAGTGGCCCTGGAAAAACTTCTTACTAGGAAATTTTTCTCAGCTCACAGCGGGACTTCTAAATTAGACTAAGCCCACTAGATGTAGTTTTTACGCTGATTCCAAATCTGTGTTCAGAAGTTGCCCTTGAGACCTATGAAAAAAACATATAGGTTGGCAAAGTTTAAAAAAAGTCGTTATCTCCAATTGAGCACATTTTTTTGTAGGGGTATATATAAAATGTTTATTTTCGCTCACAGACGATCTGTGGCGTGAAGGAAGAGAACCGGAAAAGTTATGTTTTTTCCTCGTATATAGTTCTTCTTGGTTTGGTCACCAACATTGGTCAATCGGCGCATCCTCAAAAATAGCTAACGGAGTTCACTTTCAAATTCAATCAGAATTCGCACGCGGTCAATCAATAAATATAGTCTGTTCAGATTTTAAATGTCAAGTCGTCGCTATTTTACTTCACAGACCAAGCTCAAAATTCAAAGATCTACTGATTCAAAGGTGTAGAATCAGAAAATCATAATGAAAATTTGATTTGGAAACGTTTGGTTACCGAAAAATCTCTAAAACTGCCGAAAAGCGCAAAAACAGTGGAAATCAATGTTTTCCAATCTTCCAGACCCACTTATACTTTTCAGAACAGTCTCTTAAGTGACATATATATATATATATATATATATATGAATTGATATATATATATATATATATATATATATA